GATCTACTTTTTCTTTAACTGCTCTAATCATATCTGTGCCAGTGTTGGATATTGTTGACTCAAGCCACCTTTTCCTTATCTTGCCAATACCATGATGATGTGAGATAGATCCTCCATTGGCAATAATCTCATCTCTAGCAGCATTCTCAATTGTCTCATAAACAAGTACAGGATTTTCAATACCATAATAGTTAAATCCAAAGTAAAAGTAAACACAAGCACCACTGTCATACGCCTGGGTAACTCTACATGTAACTAAAGGCTTTCGAATAATATTAAAATCAGAGCACTTTTTTGCCAATAATGCTTTGACATTCCTGCAAAGGTTAGACACTCTATCCCAAGGAACAGATGTTTCAAAAGATTCAGCAATAAAGTGATAGTCAAATCCAAGGTCCCTTAAATATGCTATCACAAAAGTCAGAGTGTAGCCTCGCTTCCCATTGGTCACACCTGCAGGTATTCCCCCATACTTTGGCACAATGCTGTAAATGAGTTGTGTTGCTGAGAAACCTCACCTTTACTCCCTTCAAAAAGTAAAGTGCAGACACACATTTTTGAAGCTTCAAATCTTTTGAACCTTAGCAAGTAGAATGCTTTGATACTATCAACAAACCTTGTCCAGACTGGTGTACTTCCAGGCTTCAAAGCCTGCCCAAACTGAAATTGTGCATTATCCATCAAACGTATTGAAGCAGGTGTACATTTAAGTTTAGCAATCTCTCTTAGGCATGCAATTCCAGCTTCAAATTCTGGAAAGATAACTGAGCCATAAGTTTTACATTCTGGCAATGGTCTGATCTTTATTGTAACTTCAGTGACTAGGCCTAGCGTTCCTTCAGAACCAAGAATAAAGTGATGTATATCTGGACCAGCAGACATTCTTGGTACCTGGCAACTCTTCTCTACGGTTCCTATTGGCGTCACTGCTTTTATTCTCACGACGAGATCCTCAATATTTCCATATCGGTTTTTCTTCATACCTGACGCCCTTGTTGCTACCCATCCACCAAGAGAGCTGAACTCCATAGAATCTGGTTCATGACCTGTGCAAAACCCTTGCTTTTCAAGTTTCCTTTCCAAATCTTGACCTATTATGCCAGCTTCAATGTGTGCAGTTAAATTTTCATCATCGACCCACAAAATTTTATCCATATTAGTCATATCAACTGACACTATCATGCGTGCTTCATCCTCTGGGCATTGCACTGCACCTGAGACGCTTGTTCCACCACCAAATGGAATAAGGCAAACATTATACTGAGATGCAAGTTGGACAACTTTCACCACTTCTTCATGACACTTAGGCCAAATTACTGCATCTGGAATCCGTTGCAACTTTCCATGTCTAAGAGCAAAAATTTCATGTAGGGTATGGCCGTGGCCATGTACAATCCTTTCCTCTGCTTCCATAGAAATTAGAATATCGTTCCTTTTTGCAGCATCCAAGAACGCATCATTAATTTTTACATCTTCGTAGTCTTGAATGTTTATTTTAGGCCTTGATGGTGAGTATAGTTTCATATCTGCACCACACTCCTTTTCAAACCATTCACGTAGCTTAGGAAGCAGCTCTCCGGCAAGTGCACCATACCTATCACCCGTGAAGGCAACTACGCCGTTATCCTGCAAGACAAATTTAGAATCTTTATACCCCCAGCCATTCCACTTCAAAACTTCATTGCGTTTCAGTGGGAATGCCTTCGAGTCCTCTTCCTTGCTCGCCATCATGCTGGACGTGGTTTGTGGTTTGGTTCTCCGGTTCGGTTCAGACAGTTCAGAAGTTCAGTCGTACGACGAATCACAGGGGTTACAGGTGTCAACACAAAACACTGGGGTAAAGTGGAGGTTTTCAGCACAAGATCATAGGATGAATGCTAGGAATAATATTGCAAGATAGAAAGAAGAATGTAAAAATCGACAAAATTGCGAAGATAAACAGAATAAACAGGGCCGTCGCTAAACACTGTCACTTAGAATATTTCTTGCAGTCTATTTTGCAATCGTTTAGAACATTTTACTATTTTTAAGCATACTTTTGCTACGTTTCAAATTCCATACTTAGAATGGAATTCGTTACGTTAAGATTGGATGGCAAGCAGCAAATAACAACCTTAGTAACCAATGGAACCCAAACATTGTTCGTAGGTTTTGGAAAATCTACACCTTCAAGCCTGCAAATATGCATTTGAACTGAAATCCTCAACCTGCTTAGATACATTTTATGCCGAACTAGGAAGGGTTCCTTTATAAAGCTTAATATTATTTTAAAACTTAATAAGCGCTTGAGTAGTTTGGATTTAAAACATATTTCACTTATTATACAGTGTTTCAGACGCGATAAAGCTTTTCACTTGTTATCCAGTGTTTCAGATTCTGGAGTTCTGAATTGAGTGTCTTAAGCTAAAAAAATATCTAGTTTCAGTGTACAATATCATCGACCGTGATAATTTGAAAACTATGCAATACAAAGTAGGACCAAATTTGACTCAAAATTCATGGAGAAACTTAAAATTCACATAATAAATGAGAACAAATTTGTTCCCATGCATTATATAAAACAATGGCAAGTTTGAGACTTATTAAGAATACGTGATTCCACTAGAAGCCTTTTCTGTGAGCTTAAGCTCAGTTTTCACAACTGAAATATTGAAATAGATTGATATGAAAAACCTTAAGGTTTGGCAGGATAGTTTCTGTAGCATTTTCAATCTATCACTGAACTGCATCAAAGAAAATTTTCCTAACTTTAAGTTACCTAAAAATGAAGAAAATTTTTCTCGTTTATGAGTCAGGAATGTATTTAAAAAATCACGTCAATAGGAAAAATGATCATTAAGTCCTTTCAAAAGCAATACCTGTCCTGATAACATGCACATGCAAGATAGTGAGATTTTTACTTCTTTTGTCAAACTTCTGTTAGCAAATATCACATAGCAAATTCAGAAAAAAATGGTTCTTTTTTTACTATTTTAATTGTTTTCTTGTTCAACTAACAAATATGTTATGTTTTGTTTTATTGCTGTTTGAATGCAGTTAAATTGCCTTAATCACAGTTATATCATGCTAGCAGATATTAAAATTAGATTTGGGGCTATCACGGTATAAATATCTATAAAAAGAAATTGAATGCGAATCACCAACCAACAATGAAACTATGGAATCACTGATGTACAGTAATAAGCTTAACATTGGATCATTATAGGTAAAAAGTGATCCCTTAGATTGAAAATAGATAAAGAAAGCATACTCTGCTTCATAAAGAGAAAAAAATGTTATATCTATGATTGTTGTGAAGTAGTCATAGTAATGGTTACGGCTCTTGTGTAATTAGTGAGTTCGAGTTAGAGTCGAGTTAGTGTTAGAGAAAGAGTTCGCGAGTATGGTCGTTAGAGTGGACATTTTTAAAATCCTGCTATGCTTGTAAATATTCGTTGTAAATAGTTTTATATGAAATGGAGTTGAATTTATAAGACGTTTTCTCAATCGTGTAAAACTGCAACCTACGAAACAACAATGATGTACCCTCCTTTAAATAAAAAACTTGAATCTGCACCCTGTTCAAAGTTGCTTATGAGTTGTCTAATACTTAGCACATGGAAGGATAGACAACAACCTTCCTTGAAAGAAAATAATTGCTTTTTGAACTACTTTTCTGAAGATGATGATTGTTTTTTTATGAAGATGACTTTAATGAAGATCATGAAGTCAGCATGTTTAAATTATTATTTCTAACTGATTTTTAACCTGAAATGTAACTGTCTATGTCTAACCTGGAATGTCTCACCAATTTTGTTAATTTTAACTTTGAATTAGTCATCAATTGGATAAAAGATGTTGAAATGGAATTTAAAAAAATGTCTTTTTTGTTGCCTGGCTGATTATCTACTTTATCATAAAGATGTGCTTTCCAATATCTGAATCTATTTAGGAAGGCATTCCAGTGATTGTCAGTAATATATCAAAGCACTGCAGAATCTGAATATCGTGACCTTGAGAAAGCTTTGAACAAATACGTTATAAAATCCTGTAATTTTGATTATTTCAGATTTAAAGCAAGAGGAAACTTCTCAAAACTACACTAGGGTATCAAAAGTATTGTAGCCCATGCCTGAAGAAACAAAATTGTCAAATGAGGGGCGAGTCGCTATATAACATTTATGAGGAAGTGGTCTTTAATTTTTAAAAAAATGTTGACCAGGTTAGATGCAGCTACACAACAGCTGCAGTAAATCAAAAAAGATTTCTCGAGAGTGTTACAGTAGTAAAGAAACTGAGAAGTTGGCGACCAAAATAGATTTGATGTTAGAGGGGAAAGAATTTGTCTGTTTTACTTCACTGCCTACAGCACCAAGGGGCAGTAAAGGCATGAAACTCAACACTGCGCAAGGTTTTGCAGCTCAAAATCCGTCCACAGAAAATATTTTTGCACAAATACAAAAGAAAAGGTTACCAGAGTAAACGGAAACCATTTTTACAAATATTTATTTCCATTCAAAAGAAAATATAGTTTTGGCATAGCCTAATCTTTAACATTGCTAAATAAGTTTGACTTCAAATGAAAAATGTTACAAACCATGATCCAAATGGTCGTCCAAAAGCCAGAGAATCATTAATTGTAAGAATTTTCCAGGTCTTTTGCAAAATTCCACAAGAATACGTTGACCAAAAATGTGGATCCATTTCAAGGAGGCTTTTTGCGGTTTCAAAAGTTTGTAGCTACCCGTCAAAATATTGAAATTTGAAAATGTTAAGAGACGTTTGCTACTGTTATTTTTTAAATAAATGCTCTAAATAGATTGAAGTTTTGATTGGTGGTTGTTTTGCTCTTGAAAAATTGGTGAATTAAAAGCAGAATTAATTTGCATATCAATAGCTTTTGATCATTCATTAGCTGCAATACTTTTGATACCCTAGTGTACATATGAAATAAGTAGCTAGGGTACATCAAAATAAAAACTCAAATGTTAATAACAGGAAGAAGTCTAGATTATGGAGAATTTCAAATAAGAAAAATTCTTCAAGCTGTAATGTGCTTTAACCACAAGAAGCAAGGATTAATTTAAGGTGCAGTGATGACCAATTTGTGCAGTGATGAATCGAAAATGTGAAGTGATGAATTGAAAAATGTGCAGTGATGAATTACTTCACTTTTGAAATACTCCAACTACTACTGATTTGGATGTTTTTAGAATAAAGACAAATGAATACAAACTATAATCAAGAGTCAAATAAGATAATAGAATCAACCTACGTGTGAAACTCAACTAAAACCAGCTTTAACAATAAAAATAACATACAGTTAATCACAAACGCACTTCATAATGCAAAAAGTGTTTTTCAAGAAAAAAGAAAGAATACTGGAAAAGAAATAGATAAAAAGAATAGTGCAATAAATCTGTTATTGCTAAGATTCCAAGGAATAAGCCAAGGTCTGTGGGTTCTTATAAAGTAATTATGTAAATCTTAAGACTGGAATTGATCAAATGTAATAAAAGCATGCCTTGAAAAAAATACCTGCAATGCCTTGAAAATACCTGCTAGAAATATTCTGAAATATATTTTAAGATAATCTAACGGGTGTGGACACAAAATTTCCTGCTGTTAAGCTTCTTCTGTCAAAAAATCCTAGGGCCTCCGACAACTTTGGATTTCTTACATTGCATGGCCATAAAGACCCAATACCACTACCACCATCAAATGGCCGCCTGCTTCTATTCTTTTGTATGAAATACAATACGCCACAATAATTGGAATGAATACCATTTCTATCTTTGTTTTATATTTGGATAAACATTTTTTTTGGTTTGGGTATCCATAAAGCTAGCCAGGTATAGTTTTGAAAGATTAGTAGCAGTTATGGATTTGTATTATATAAACGAACCTCATATTACATAAAAAGTAAGTAATATACAGTAAGGCTGTGCTTTGGACAGTTCTTAGAACATTGAAATATGTAACATGATTAGAGATCAAGTGTCTGAAAACAGCATTTTATGAAAAGAAACACCTAGAAACAGTTGATTTGCCTTTTAAGGATCAATCAATAACTTACAAACACAGTAATTGCATTCCACTCCATTTCCACCATTCACAAATAAATACTATATTGACTCCATAGGGTGGAAATGAAGAAAAAATTCCCTGTTATTAGGTTTGCTACTCTGTTTTCTTTTTGCCAGGTTTGATATGTTCTGGTAAGATTTATACATAATCAGTGGTAGCTGTAGTTAGGCCAAATTACACTGAAAAGTCCCTGAAAACAATGTAAACATTGTTGGTCCGTCCAAAAGAGGTTCAATCAAAGCCTAGCCACACCCTTCGCCACACCCTATTGGCCCCGAAAATCGATGTTTTACGCTGTTTTGTGCAGTGATGAAAATTCCTTAAATTAATGCCTGACAAGAAGCAAATGCAAATAATAAAAATGAAAGCTTTGTTTAAATAGATATCATAATACCATCTTTACTTGATGGTATTATGATCTTAAAATGCAAGAAAAAATAACAGTAGTGAAGAATTTCAAAACAGAAATCTCTTAAATTTTAATTTTAAGAGAGAGTAAATATTTCAATAAACAATTTGGTTGGTAAATGAAATCAGAACTGAACAATTGTATAAATTACCTATGATTCATGTTTAACTAAAAGTTTAAGATGTTAACGGATATCATTGACAGTTTGTTACAATAAATTCAATTAAGACTCTGGATATCTTCTATGTGATGCAATTTTTATAGGTGATGCTATTTTTGAAACATACACTTCCCTCACAAAAGTATTCCACCATCTGGAAGGAGGTAAATTGCTGGAGAATAATCACAAGCTATTATTGCGCAAATTGATGATGTTTTAAAGTGGTGTATAGGACAACAACCATCAACCAACACTTCAATCTTTTTAGAACACTTTTTGAAAAAACAGTAAAAAAACCTTTTAACAGTTTCAAATTTCAATATTTTGACGGGAGCTAGAACTTTTGAATTTGCTTCCAGCCTTCTTGAATTGGTTGGATATAATTTGGCAATGTATTATTTTGGTATTTCAGGTCAAACCTGAAGAATTTATTTAATGGTTCTCTGGTTTATCAAGAACAATTTGAATCATGGTTCATGATGTTTTACATACAAAGCCAAACATTTTCAATTTCTGCATTCAAATGTTTAGTATGGTTGAAAAGTTGACAAAAAGTGCCACCATTTGAACAAGGTGGTGCAATACTTTTGCTAGGGGAGTGTATACCTATCTAGTGCAATATGCTTTCACATTAACAACTTTATACACAATTATTTATAATTTTGAATGAGTGCCACTTGATTTTTCAAATTACTTTTTGCAAGCCTTTCAATATCATCTAAGCTCATAGAATACAACATGTCTTCGTACATTGTTTTAAAATGATATATGACCTTTTTCGAATCTTCTCCTGAAAAATGGGAACCCAGAACGTCTTCAAGTTTTGTTATGAAACTCTTGTTCTCTAAATTATGAAATCTAACATCTTTGTTCTCCTGCGTTGTACTTGTACAGCTTCGACTGCTTCCCTGAGACTTTATGGAAAGATGTAGCCGGCTGCCTTCCCCAACACCATAATCTTTTGTTGTTTTATTATCGCTCAGGGCCTTTCCTTTATATAAAAGTCTCTGAGAATTGGCCGGGATACCTTTAATCTCCCCTATTCGCTTCTTTAATTCAAGGATCGTAATAAACTCGTCCCGAGCTTCAATTTCAAACTGATCACTAGCACTGAGCATTTTAATCAGTAACTTCATTGTCTCCACTTTCGTACAGGTTTCCAGGTTTGGCCAAATTACCCCAGCACAAGCATCCAGCAAAAATCCAGCAATGATAGGCTGTTTGTAAGCGAGGTCAGCAAAAATGGTGTCCGATACAGGGGGTGTTTTTTGGGGGATCTAGAAACCCTAGAACCATCTGAAATTTTCGCAAAAACCGTAAACCAGTGCATTATTTTTCTTAAAACCGTGTAACCGCGCGAAAAGTCAGCTAAAACTAAAAATAATGCTATTTTAGAATAAGTTTTAATTCAATGGTACCTTGAAGATTCTTTCCAGATTTCTAGCTTCACAAATCATTATGATATTTTTTACCATTTTTCACGCTCAATAGGCGGACTTCTGCCATACCAACCAAAAACAAACCAATCAAAATCAATCCAAATATAAATCAACTTGTTGGGATCAGGAGCGTAACTAGGCCAATAAGTTCGGGGGGGGGGGTGAAAAGGATTTCTGCCCTGCAAAATGGAGTGGTGCCCTGCAGACCTCGAAGCAAAATTACAGGAGTCTACAGGATGCTAATGAAAGTTTTACCAATGTAAATTTTTCTTTACCAAGGATAAATTTATAAGCAATAAACACAAATTTAAACTTAATTGCATATGAAATATTTATTTATCTAAGTGAGCTTAATTAAAATTAAAAATTTGATTTTGCTTTGCAATAAAACTTACAACTTCACGGGAGGGGAGGCATATGTTTTCGGCTACATGATAGGGACGACGCCACAAAATTGAACCTGGCGGTCTATGTATCAAGTTTAGTGAGGTAGGAGGACCCACCATGGTTGGGTCCGACGCAAAATAAAATTTTCGAAATTGTACCTTGTAGAAAGGCTAAAAAAGCATCCCCCAGGCTAAAGTTTAGCAAAATACTTTACACTCTTTTTTTTATAAGAATCAGTAAATTTAAGTTCAGGCTGGCTGTTCTTAATTTTTTCGAAAATCTGAGGCTGGATTGTTCTTAATTTGTTCTTAAATTAAGAGGGTGTAAGCAGTGCTATTGTCCTCTCAATGAAAGTAAGTTGCAACATCGCTTTGAATTTTTAAGCAAAACTTTTATTTGTAACATTGGTGTTGTGTATAATTATATCTGTTAACCTCTTCTCTTTGGTGATACAAGAAAAATACAAATGAGCTGATGTTCCAGACAATTTCCTCAATTTTTTCATCAAAATGGCTAAATTATGCATTTTTAATACAGGTGGTATGCAGTGCTCTGCCTCTTCTCGGGGGGATGGGGTGGTTGTTTTAAAAGTTTGCAGATTTCGGATATAGCAAGTCAAGAAAAAATCATAGTTTCCTTTTACCTGTTTTAGTGGACGACACTACGTGGTGGGTAGAGGGAAACGCATACATGTATGTATGTATATATATACATATATGAGGAATCACTTATAACAGAACAGATAGATTAGGCACGTAGGCAGGATAGGGTTACACTACTGGATAAGGCTAATGGGAAACATGAACACAGTGGGAATGGGCGGGTTCCATTTGTTACCACATACCATCCAGCCTTGAATAATTTGGGCAAGGTGGCCGGGAGACTTTCCTATGCTTACAGTATCAGAAGAGCATAGGAAGGTGTTTCCTCAGCCACCTTTAATATCATTTAAGAGGTGTAAGAATCTTAAAGATATACTAGTTAGGGCTAAACGTCATAGTGAGGGGGCAGGGGTTTCACATAACAAGGGTTGTACTCCGTGTGGCAAGTCTCGGTGTCAAGTGTGTAATGTTATGTGTGACATTGATACTTTTACTTCCCATATAACTGATAAGGAATATAAGATAAATTTTTCGTTTAATTGTGATTCGTCCAATGTTGTGTATCTTATGGAATGTAAAGTATGTGGTGTACAGTATGTGGGTAGCACTTGCACGCCGTTTAGGCTTAGGTTTAATAACTACAAGGCGTGCAATCGTAAGTTTATCGGGGGCTCTTCGGGTATACCTCAGACTGATTTTTCCGGCATTTTGCAGGGAAGGATCATCATGGGTTTCTCGAAGATATTAAAGTAACTATTATAGATAGACTTAATGGGAATGGTAGGATACGTGAAAGTTTCTGGCAGTATAAGTTAGAAACTTTCGCGGCCCGGGGCCTTAATATTAGGTTAGTTGAAACATAGTTTTATTTTTATTTCCAATCTCTTGGATTATTTTCTTCTTTTCTCAGCTATTTATTATTTCCACATAATATTCTGAAGAAGCATATTGCGAAACGTTAATCAAGTTGTTTTTTTACTGATCATCTATATATATATATATATACATCCAACCAAAGTCGACCAATGAGCTTTGTAGATCACCTAAAAAATGTAAGAGCATCAACAAGCCAGAGCCAAAGAGACAGAACAACGAAAGTCCCTGGAATGATCAAAATTTTGCAGCGCCCGAAACAAAGAACGGAAAAGTCTAATCAAACAACACATGTTGAAGCACAAACAACCGAGGAAATTCAAAACCGGAACCAAAAAAACGAAACCACGGCCTCCATGTATCATGGGGGCCTAACAGATATGCTTACAGCCCTAAACGAAACAACAAAGGCAATAACAGGATTCGAAAAGTTATTAAGAAGCTTGTCCGAACAATAAACGATCCGTTTGGACAGGTCATAAATTTGTCAAACTTTAAATTTTCCTTAAGTGAATTTAAACTATTAAACAAAAACCTCAACTTTTGTCCTACACCCTTACCTCACAAAGCAAAAGAACTGGAAGAAGACATGAAGGAATCTTTTCGAAAAATCAAACTTAAAGCCCATTTTAACAACGATAAAGAAACACTAGAAGATGAAGAAGAAACTGACGAGCAACAAACAGACGAAGAAAGAATATTTAGGAAGAAAAGTAGATGGACACCATACAATGTACATCATACAGTCGAAACTTTTATAGAAGCGGTAAAAAGCGATATTTACTCAACACCTAAGGTACCTCTACCCAAAAATAACCTCTCAAAAAAAGAAATAAAAGCCATGAATGATTTAAAACAAAGAACCGCCATTATCATAACCAAAGCGGACAAAGGGGGAGCAGTTGTAATAATTGACGTAAAAGACTATATAAAAGAAGCAAACAGACAGTTAGGTAATACCCAGTTCTATTCAACCATTGATGAAGATTTAACCAATAAACACAATAAAATGATAAATGATTTAATCGACAGGTATATAGGAGAGAAATCAATACAATCTAAAATTGGAGAAGCGTTAAAAACAGCTAACCCTAAAACACCTAGGTTCTACATGCTACCGAAGATACATAAACCAAACAATCCCGGTCGATCAGTGGTAAGCTCAGTAGCTTGCCATTCTAGCCAAATCTCTAAATATGTAGACTACCACTTAAATCCAGTAGCACAGCGACTAAGTTCGTACGTAAGAGACACCACAGATTTTATTAATAAATTATCGTCAGTTGAAGACCTATCACATAATACAGTACTTATTTCCATGGATGTCAGATCCCTTGACACTAATATCCCTACAAATGAAGGCCTTGATGCTGTTAAATGGGGAAATTCGAAGAAGAATACATTTATCCATATATTGGGAATAAAGCTAAATTATATCTACGTTACATTGACGACATATTTATTTTGTGGACAGGCACCAAACAGCAATTTAAAAACTTTATATCTGAACTTAACGAAGAACATAACTCTATCAAATTTGATTATGATATGTCAGCAAAAGAAGTCCCATTTTTGGACACGATCGTTTATATCGATAACAGAAACCATTTGCAAACAAGACTACATAGGAAACCCACAGACAGACAGAATTATCTTCATAGAGCATCTGAACATCCACTACCACTAAAAAATAGCCTAGCCTACAGCCAAGCATTAAGAATTAAGAGAATTTGCTCTGATAATGCAGAGTATGAAAATAACACAGAGCAACTTGTCAAAGCATTTACATCACGAGGATACGAAAGAGCAATCATTGACAAACAAATAAAAGAGGTTGACAGCATTTCACGCGAAGAACTACTAAAACAAAATTCTAAAAAGACAACAAGTAACAGAACTCCATTCATCACGACTTATAACAGAACCCTTCCACCTATTGGAAGTATATTACGTAAGAACTGGAACATCCTTAACATCAATCCCAAAATCGCGAAAAGCTTCAAAAATTCTCCCATGATGTCATACAAACGTAACAAGAATTTAAGGGATATTCTTGGGAGTAATAAAATATCCAACAATGAAGTAGCAATATCTAAAAGCCGTAATGAAAAGGGTCATTGTAAGCCATGTAATACTAAACAAGGCAATTTATGTTGCCAACAAGTTTTGAGTACATCAACTTTTAGAAGTAACCAAACCAAGCGTACTTATGTGATCCGACATAAGGTTAACTGCAAAAGTAAGTATGTGATCTATCTACTAGAATGTATAAAATGCGGTTTACAATACATTGGTAAATCAGAAACACAAGTCAATCTACGAATAAACAACCACCGAAAAGACTCAAGTAAATCAGCATCAATACCAGTTTGCCAACATTTTAACAACACTTCCCACAACTTCAATAATGACGCGAAATTTATAATAATTGAACAGCTTAAGTCTCTTGAAGGCGACAAGGAACTCTTAAGATCTCGACTGCAACGACGAGAAGACTTTTGGATAAAAAAACTGAAAACCCTAAGTCCGCTTGGGTTAAACATGGAACTCAATAGCCCTATATAGGGCAATACATTTCATAACCTCGTTTTCCCAATTCATTCGTGCATTTTGTCAAACACACACTTTATTTCTGGGGTGAGGTATTACATCATATTAATAAACAATGAAACGTCACATTAGAATAGCCTATATTTAGATATGCTTTATGTAATTGGAATCAGTTGATTGCCATGAATATATATATCATAGATTGAAGAAAGTAAAACTACATGGTTTATCTCTACAAGCCTGTTTCGTGAGTAACTCACTCTCCAGGAGATGTAACATTCTTCAATCTTTCTTCAATCGTTTTACTTTCTTCAATCTATGATATATCACGCTCTACGTGCTAACGTATTGAGCACTGTGCTACGGAAGTATCAAAAGACAAATTTCTATATATATATATACATCCCTGTCCTGTGCTCCTACCTTGAAGCAACCTCCGCACGCACTGTAGTTACTGAAAGTCCAAACTGAATCCATGTATGAGCAGGAGGGATTCTTTCTATTGACGGACCTGACAATGAAGCAGTGCTCGGCACTTCTGCGCCGATACACCTTTGTTACTAACTCTAGAGGCTAAGCGTTTTAAGCACGTCGTGACTGCAAATAGTTAAATACTTAGTAACGGTTTCAATTTCAAAACAGCAGCATAAAGAACAAAAAGCTACAACAGCATCATAAGATTCTTCTACACAGCGACAGGATACCTACCTTTACTTCTTCTCTTGCCAATTCCCATTTAATTTCTAACGTTGCTGACTAGGCAAAATTTAACACTCTTGTGCTCTCATTTTTGAATGGACTATTTCGATTCACAGGCATATAAATTCATTCATATAACGTTTTCGACCCATGTTCAGATGTCTCATACTCTGACTAGTGTCAGATGAAAAGTTTAAGTATGTTTCAAAATTTTAATCATAGTAATATCTTATGACTTTTATTCTTATCTAGCCCATTAAATTCACCTTGCTAGCAAAGCATTCGGTAAAGGAAATGTGAGATGTACAACACAAGATGAATAGAAAAAAACAGAGATCTTTGGAAGTTGGACAAAGTTTGGCAAGCATCGCGATCGAGATCTTCATTTGGGTGTCTGCTTTATAAGAAGCCCTTACGTAAGCACTCAACACTTGTCATTTCATTATTTACTAACTTGAAAAAAAGCTCAGTAAAAGGTGGCTGACCAATGTATTGAACAAAATAAAATTTCTAAGAAGGCGTCTGAGTTTCTTTTCGAAACAAGGAAGCTGATGATCTTGTTATTTCAAATAAAGTCAATACGATAATAGCTTTTTCTCTATTTGCAGTTGGAAGAGGTAGTATTTCATTCATCATCAGAACCTTGAAAATACTATTGGCAAAGTAATGGGTTTTGATCATCTAGAGAGAAAGCATGTATTCATTTGCTTCTGACTACATGTTTAAAGAGATTTACTTTTAGAATAATGATCTGTTATATCAGTTAGATCTGTTATACGTAACTAATTACAAACATTGCTTCGTTTCTTTATTCTGTGCCTTATTCCATTTGGACTGCGAGCCATTTTAATGATTACAAGCACCAAATCACAATTATGTGAAATCGAATTAAAGCAGCTTTCTTTTCCCATCCCCAGCTCTTCGTCTTCTTGCATCAAAATGCTTCTGTGCCATAGCCAATCTGCCCTCTGTTTGACGCACCTTTAATTCCATGCTCTGTAGCATCTGAATCACTTCCTTTATCTCCGTTTGTAGTGTACCTAGGCATGAACTGCCACCTGGAAGATGATAGCTTGTTTCGAAGATGTGAATAACTTTAACGAGAGATCATACAGTATTTAGAATTTAGATATCGAATGCATGTGTTAAATATGATTTTTGCAAAAAATTCGAAAAACAACAAATGTTGGTAAAAATATTCTACTGCTTCTATAAAAAGGGACCTTCATCATAAGAAATACAGTACAAGCTACCTTCCTGATCACTATATCAAATTTGAATTAGCTCTCTTACAGAATGACCATTAACGTAAGGCAAATACCAATAGACCGCATATTTCAATGACTTAAAGCATTAAAGAAAACAGACCTAATAAATGGATCTGCTCACGCTGAACACTAGGTTCATTTTTAGATAGAAAACCAAGTTTTCTGTGACAAAATACAATAATAGAAGGTTTAATAGAAGGAACATTTCTTTATGTATGTTTTTAAACAAACGTCTTCGTGAAGCGTTGGAAGGACCTAATTTTTAATTTATGTTTTTTGGGTTTTCATGTTTTTCAAAGCGAGAGTTAAAATGAAAACATTCCCCCTTAGAAATCAAAAGATAAATAAAGCATATTTACCAGTAAATATGTTTCTTGTTGATGTCCCAAATCTATCTAAACTTGTAAGCATTTCATGGCAATTTCGGTATGTGTTTTGGAAATTTGTTCTCTGCAGCTCTATCTCCTTCGTGAAATTATTAATTTTGTCTAAGCTCTGCAGCTCTTCCTCGTTAACATTTAACGACATAGTTGAGCTGTACCTTTGTAGGCTGGTTTCCAAATTTTGTAACTCTTCATTTATTGATTCAATGTATTGGTCGCATGCATCTTCAAGGATATCCACAATGTCTAGCAGAACTTCAGATATAGCTGGAACAATGTGACATATGTCTGACTGTAATCGTTTGGTGGCCCAGACATTTGCCTCTGAATGTTTAGTTTTCCTTTTCTAAAAATAATACAGTTTTCAATGTACTTCAGTCTTCTAGACTGTTAAGATATCTACATAAGTCATACAAAAGCAGAGATACAGAGCTTTGCTGACAATTGACGCTGATACATGTTACAGGGTAAAATTTGCCCCTATAACAGGCAAGATCACCGTTGTAAACATGAGAAGGATTGGTGCAAACCCCTTTCTTCCTAAATAACATACCCGATTGTTTCATTCGGTATTTGATTGAGCAAGAAAGGAAGAAAGACTAAAAATGATGACAACAAAAATAGAGATGTGTAGAGAGACAAAACCTATGGCTTTAGATTGAACACGATTTTTGAGATTACGTCATATCACATTGATTCTAAAATTAAAACTCATTTCATCATATGATGTAACTGTTTGCGTGGGCGGAGCTTTAGATAAATTTAGGTAAGGTCCCTGTGGAATTCAGTCTTGTCAAAAGCTTTTGCAGTACTGTTAGAAGCTCTGTCACTAGTTTTGTTATGCCTGTTGCGGCCGTGTCCTTTTTTTTGTCGGACTGAATTTTAGTGCATGTTAGAAGTAGTCGTCTATCGTGAAGAAAGCCGAAGTAAACAGGTTACCGACCATACTACGAGCCGTGTTTCTAATAAATTCGTATTTGCCCTAGTGTCCGAGCTAAAAGCTCAGTTAACATAAAAGGTATGTCTACTAGGCTTGTGTTATCCACCACATACATAATCACTTCATATAAACTGCGAGACACAAGATTTAGAAGTCATTCAATGTGAAAATGTAATATAGAACTTATTGTATCTGATCATACGCAAGGGCCGAGAGAAAATAGATTCACATGAATAACTTCTTAACCCTGTGTCTCCATATATAGTTGGCCATTATCAAATTTGATACCGAGCACCACTGTAATGTGCTCTTTACAATCAACTTATCTACTGACAATGATCTCATAACAGTCCAAACATCCTTTTTGATGCAACCAAGTGAGCCAAAGCAAAGCACTTTCAAATCCACCTCCCAACCTAACGACTGCAGCAGACTGCACAGCGGCTGATACCGTTTCTCTTTGGTGTTCAGTGCTTGCTCAAAATACAGATTGAGCAGACAGTCACCTCTAAGATAATGCATTTACGTGACTGAATGTCAATGATAATGATGTCAGGTTTACGATGCGTAATACGCTGTAATTTATCACCATATTCCGTTATTATTGATTCTGCAAGTTTGTTTGCATGAAACTGGAAACCAATTATACTTCCTGAGATCACCTCAAATATTTTGTCAGCAATTCGATTGTGACGTCGACTATAAAAGTTGTGAAACTCTCTACATCCATTCATCAGATGTGCGACACTTTCCGTGTGCTGATGGCAAAAGGGGCAAGAAGGGTCATTATCACGATTCCATACATGCTTTGTAAAGTTTGTTGGAAGTAGACTCAACCGTGCTTTTATTGCAAACTTCACCAGTAAATCACTTACTTTCCAGTTGTAAAAAATTGAATGGGAGGATTTCAACTGAACATCAGTCATGCAGAGAAAGGGGCCTTGAACTGACAATTGCTTTGCTTTTTGCAAATCTCGATTAACTGTCTGTTTGAATAGCAACTTCTGAAGTGGAGCACCTTCATCAAAAAATTCACCATTAATAATTACTCCAGCCTTTCCTTGCCTGAACTCAATGGAAACATCTAGCTTTCTAGCATATCTCAGAAGATCTGGCCAATCTGATTGACACCCAAATTTGGTACGACTATTCAGGTAGCCGTCTTCACTAATCTCAAACCCAAGGAAGTTCATATCATTATCTGTTGAAGCAACTTTCCGTTTTTCCATATCCAAATTAAGGGATTGACGTGCAATGTTCTTGAACTGTAATTGGGGATGATTCAACATCTTAATGAGAAATGCAACCCTTGTTGACCTATACACATCTGACACACGCTTAACTCCAATCCCTCCGTGCTCGCGTGGTAAGAAGATGATGAGCTGTGTTGTTGTTTCATACAAATCGTACATATTTCGAACTGCCTTCACCAAGGGCTTTTCCATGAGTTCCAACTGCTCCTCTGTAAACCTTGTATTGTAAAAATGGTGGAGAATCTTCGCGAGAGCCAAGTTATTTAAAGCACTAGCCTTTAGAGCAAGGGGCAATTTGCAGCTTGTTATTTTTTCCAATAAATCTTTATAACTTTCTATAACTTCATACACTTGCACAGCATCTTCGCCGGAAAGTGAGAGAGACTTTCCAAGATACTTATAGGACTTGTCACGGGGATAAACTTCGATGACATTTCCTTGAATTGACACAGTTGGCTTTTTATCTGCCTTGCCTTTGTACCAGTTATTCCCAGACCTCCTTGCATACATAACTGCACATTTACTGGGTTTCACTTCTAAACCTGCTATCTTCATGGCAACTTGTCCGATATCAAACATCTCATTTATAATCGTTACGTCATAACTGACAACAACAACATCATCCGCAAAAGCTTGCAATGGACATGGATTAATCCTTCTTTCATCTTCGATGCCCTGCCTGATAACAGCCTCTCTTACCATAGGCTTGCATACTCTGTCAATCACCAATATGAATAAAAGTGCACTCAAAGGGTCACCTGTCTTTGTTCCTCTGATTATATTGAACTCTTTACTCAATTCAAACCCACAAATCACAGAAAACGAAGAGTAACGGTATAGATCTTCGACCAAGCAACAATAAATCAAAGGAATGTCAAATTCCCGGAGAGTTTTAAAAAGAAAACTATGCTCAATGCTCCCAAACGCATCCGCAAAATCCACAAAAACTGCACAAAACTTTGTACTTAAGTGTCTGAAATCATCCATTGCGGCTTTCAAACTAAAAATCAATTCCTGTCTGTCACGATCGGGCAGGAAGGCACGCTGCCAAAAAGCAATCTCATTGGATATGTGTGGGGTGATTCGTTTACAGATTGCTTTCGAAAACACCTTGTAACAAGTGGGTAAAAGAGATACATCCCTAAGCGTTGACAAATCATTGATACTAAAATTCTTCTTGGGGATTCGCTGAACAATTGACTTTTTCCATGATGTTGGTATTCGCAAATTTACAAGCACAACGTTCAAGATATTCACAAAAACATACCCATTTTCGCTAAACATTTCCTTCATGTCCTCGTAAGTAACCCCATCGGCACCACAACACTTCCCACTGGGGCAGCCTTTCACAGTAGATTCAATCTCATCATAGCTGAAAAAATGACCATAATTCACAGATGCCAATGCCTCCTCACGATCAAAGAATGGAGGTACAACACCTTCAAAGCCATTAGAATCAGCACATTTGCTCGACTGAGCGTAATAATCCTCATTCCGTTGCACTGAAATTATAGCATTCTCGATGTTAGGCCAATAGCCGTTGTTCCTTATTACAGCTATCGCCTTCTTCCTTCGCTGTAACCACAAACAGGTCAGCTTTTCCTTTGATACTTCGTCGCTATTGTTATTCCCTCTTCTTTTTGACGAAAAGAATGGTATGATTGTATTGTTAATGTATTTCAATTGTTTACTTATGTACTCAATTCTATCCACAGCGTTATTTATGCAATAATTGTCATCCCTTGGGAACAGTCGCAAACCACGGCAAACAAATTTCAAAAAGTTCACGCTCCACTGCGACCCATTCACCCTCTTGGCCAAGAACTTGTTGTTTTGGTAAAATATCCCCGATAATATCTTTGCAACTTTAATCCAGTCACCAATAATTCCACGACAAATAAAGTCTCCGTGGTTCGTCCTTTTCGAAGCAAAAAGCGCTCTGAATTTTCGTTCCCTATCCTGAAAAGCTCCCAACTCGTCTCCATTCAATAACCTGATATCATCATAGATTTCCTCGCAATCAAAATTTGAGTCGAACTTGGTTCCAACAAAAAATATCTTTCCTCCTCTTATGGCTGATTTAATTGCTCTTTTTAGCTTGACAATCATGAATATTAACTTGATGTAGTGAATAACAGCATTAACGACGGCAGTTACGACGGATTACGTGGAATTTTTAAACTTCAGACAGACGCACCATTAGGCCCGACTGTCCTCCATCGTCACCACAAACATAAGTAGTAATAATAATAATAATAATAATAATAATGCAAAATTTATATAGCGCCACAATTTAAAAATACTCGGTTGCGCTTTACAGTCTAAGTCCTATTTACAATGTAAAATTTAGATTAAGAATAAATAAAAACATAAGATAAAAAGCATGTTTTCATTTACAATGGAAGAAAGATGTTCATGTCCATGCTTAAACTCAACCCCCCCCCCAGACACTTATTATACGCTTTTTCAAAGTAATATGTTTTCAGGAGCCTCTTGAAAGTTTCTATGCATTTTGTGTTCTTTATGTTGTCTGGTAAAGAGTTCCATACTGCAGGGGCAGCATATGTAAAAGCTCTGGTGCCAAGTGTTTTAGTTCTGGTCATTGGTAACTTCAGCCTATTTTTCTTATTTGATGTCAGTACTCTGCAACTTTCCTGAATTTCCAAAAGATCAACAAGATACTTCGGTGCACATCCATTTAGACATTTATACGTCAACAATGCAATTTTGAAATCTATTCTTTGTGCTATCGGCAACCAGTGCAGAGCTTTGAGAAGCGGTTTTACATGGTCGTATTTACTACTTCCCATCACAACTCGTGCTGCACAATTTTGAATCTTTTGCAATTTATCTAGCAGGTGTTTTGAACATCCATATAGCAGTGCATCACAATAATCAAGCGTTGATGTAGCAGATGAATGGACCAATGATTCTGTGGCTTCTTTTGTCAAATATTGTCTAATCTGCCTTAAACGCCTCAACTGAGAAAAGGCCTTCTTACTGATATTATTTACTTGCTTCTCCAAGGTCATTTTGTTATCAAATATTACGCCAAGATTTCTTGCAGTGTCAGACGTTTTAATCTCAGCAGATCCGACCTTTATAGACAGATTTGGTACCTTTGCTAGCTGTTGATTTGTACCAATAACTAACAATTCAGTTTTATCGTCATTTATTTTCAAGCGATGAGTTAGCATCCATGCGCGAATGTCCGATATGCAGTTTTCAATATCATTTACTGCCTGTATTCGTTCTTCAGCACAAGATGGATTGAAACCAAGATAAAGCTGTGTATCATCAGCATAAGCTGCCACGTTAGGCGAATGGAGCTCAATTATGTCATACAGAGAGCTCAAATATCCCAAAAATACCACAGGACCCGCACAACTTCCTTGGGGTACTCCATACTTCAGCGTGTAAATTTCAGATAGTGTGTCTCCGATCATAATTCTTTGTTCTCTGTTTTTTAGAAACGAGATAAACCAATTGAAAACTGCACCTGATATGTTGAATCTTTGTTGGAAGATTTCTGACAGTATTTGCAAGTCAACTGTGTCAAAAGCAGCACTTAGGTCTAGTAAAATTAAGATGGTCACTTTCTGTTTATCCATATTATTCATAATATCTGATGTCATAATATCAAAAAACTTTAGCAAGTAATGTCTCTGTACCATGATAGTGTTTGTATGCAGAGTTCTCAGTTGAGTACAACCCAAGTGCTTGCAGGTGCTGAACATACTGGGGCAATGCTGATTCTTCTATTATTTTAGAAACAAAAGGTAGGTTGCTGATAGGGCGATAGTTCTTGCAGATAAGATCCAGGCCCAGTTTTTTCAATAAAGGAATGACCACTGCACATTTCCAACATGATGGAAATTCCCTACATGATAATGACTTGTTTACAATTGCTGTTATTGGACCAATTAATACATCAATGCATGTTTTCAAAATTTCTGTTGGTAGTGGGTCCAAAGAGCAATATTTGTTTGATGTATTCATGATGATACCCCTGACCTCATCTTGTGATAGTTCTTTAAACTGATCAAATGCAGGAACAGCTGGAGATAAGCTATAATCTACCACATTTTTGATACCTTCTGTCTCAACTGTTGCATCAATTTTTGATCTTATTGTATCAATTTTCTGACCAAAGAAGTCTCCAAAAATTTTGCAAAGGTCCTCTTTTGTATACTCATCAGGGTAAGGTATGCTTTTTTCTCCCTCTGTCATTTTAGAAACGAATTTGTAAAGGAGCCTTTGACTGCCATTGCAACTCTCCACCTTACTTGAATAATATAATATTTTAGCATTGTTACAACTCTTGATATAATCACTCCGTTTCCTTTTGAATAATTCAAAGTATGCACCGTTTTTACTTCTTTTCCATTTCATTTCAGGATTGCGTTTTTCGCGCTTAATACCCCTAAGTTCACTTTTGTACCACGGGGATACTGACTTATCTTAAGAAAAGTTTTTAAAATTGGTGCACGCTCTTCCAGAATTGCACTCAAAGTAGTATCATATAACTCAGCTAGTTCAGTCAGGGAAAGATTGCTAAAATTTGATTTTGCCAAACTACTTGCTGCAATATCACGTTTAAAATTCTCCAGATTTATATCTTTCGATTTTCTATAGTTTATCTCCTTAGCCTGGACCTCTGGTTTTTCAATGGATGATACAACTTTAACAAAGCAATGATCTGAAATAAAACTTCCCATGAATGGACTGTCAAGTGAAATCTCATTGTTATTTCTTGTAATTATCAGGTCTAATGTATTGCCAGCAACATGAGTAGGCTGCCAAACATGGTTGATTAGATCATAATTCTGGAGCAAATCAAGAAACGCTTTTGCTGTCACATCACTCTCATCATTCACGTGAATGTTGAAGTCACCACCAATAAGCAATTTATTAGGTGTTATTATAATAGATTCCAAGTAACTGGAAAACTCATCTATGAATGTTCTTGCAGTCACAGGATGATGTGCAGAGTATGGAAGTCTGTAGACTATTATCAATGTTTTAAAATCAGATTGACATTTCAATTTCCATTCTGAGAATTCAAAAGACGACTTACAGCCTGAGTGTATGAGTCTTGTTTTCAGTTGTGATTTGGCCAGCAACACAGTTCCACCCCCATTTCTGTCAATCCGTGGCACATCAAGAAAATCGAAACCTGGCAGGGAACACTCAATGCGCTTGGCTGAATTATCTTCCTTTAGCCAGGTTTCTGTAACCATACAAATGTCATAGTTGTCATCAGTGACACTGGTAATAAAGTCTGATGTTTTGTTACCCCTTTTTCCTCTTCCTCTTTGCAAGTCATTTCTTAGAATTCCCAGATTTTAAATTCTCAAATAATCATCTAATGGTAGCCTCAAATCCACTCTTTTCATATGAGAAAAGATGTCTAAAATAGTATTTGAATCGTAATGTAATGCTGACATTCTTTGTCAGTGTTGAACGAAAGCGAGGCAATTGGGCCCAACAACTTAGGCCATTTCTTCTCAGCACGGCATCACATCAGATTTTGACTTTTGACTTGACCAGGATAGATAAACCTTCAGATTGACTCTCTCGAGAGCGCTCCAGCCTTGTCCTTTCAACTTCACACCATATTAAATGAGATAAATAGCGAAATACCTCAAAATTATAAAGATTAGTAAGAGCTCAAGAAAATGCAGCCGATACTTGGTGCAACAACAACGTATATCAGATCGATAAAGACTTTCTGTCTCAGCTCAACAGTGAACTCACTTATGTAAAAACGTCATTTAAGTGGTTGTACAGATGGGCACCTCGCCGACTGCTCTATTTCATAAGCCTTTAATTTTTTTGAATTTTTTTTCCCAAAAACTCTTGGAAACAAACTCTAACAAGAATATAAACAGTATTCTCAACTAAAGCGGGTACTTTCAACTAAAGCGGTGGTTGTGTTGCTTTAAAGAGCTGTAAGTAGCTCAGTCTTAAATGGCCCTCGATAGCCTATACTAGCAACTAAGGTCAAAACCAGGCATGCTAAATACCATGAACTTCAGTATTTGTATTAACCACTAGTTTATAAAGTGATTACAGTTCATCTGATACCACGGATAAATTGATAAACAACTAGAACAGAAGGGCAAAAAAATTTATTGAAGACAATAAGGGACGCCAAAGAACAGGTGTGCGAGATTAAAAAAGTTATAAACTATAAAAAAGGGTGATGTGAAAACAAGAGAGGGATGGTATACATAGATACATGACAATACCTCAAGCATTTTGGTAGATCGTCAATATATACCAAGAAGAGGAGAGGCCAAAGACAGGACCCCTGAGGAACCCCACACTTAATAGCCTAGGTACTAGATTTTTGTCCGTTAATTCTACAAAATTGCATCCTGTTGGTAAGGTATGAGCGAAACCATTCAAATTCTTTGCCTTTAATACGATGGTATTTGAGTTTACTCAAAAGTATCTCATGATCAACTGTGTCGAAAGCCTTCTTTAGAACGATAAAGACTGCTGCCGTGTATAAACCTTTATCGATGTTAAGGTACCAATCATTCTCGCATTTGAGCAGGCGTGTGAGAGTTGAATAGAGTGATCGAAAACCTGACTGATCTAAAAATATCAGTTTATTGCGTTTAAATACAGCTGGTCAAAGACTAATTTCTCAAATAGATGCGAGACGACGAGAAGTACTGAAATTGGTTTATGATTTGACTTTTCATCAGTGCAATAAAAGAGTGAGATTTGATCAAGAGAAGTTAAGGATTGCATAAAAAGAAGTGCGGGACGATTGAAGGAGAGTGCGTAACAGACCACAGGAATGAACTAATAGACAGAGTAAGCAGAAAGAGGGCTGTGATTTTTAAAATAAGAGAGATATTGGAGAAGCAAAAAAGTCTGATGGCACAAAGCAAAAGGCCGTTTGCTGAAACAGAGGTAAAGACAAGAGAGGAAAGGCAGAAATGAAGTAGAGGTATGACACAAATAATTTCAACCTTGAAATACATATTAATGAGAATCTAAGTTGTGAATTCTGAGTTAAGTGTTATCAAAGGTGAAATGTAAATTGTATTGCTGATGCTAGGCAACAGATCATTTGACCAATTAGCACGAAAATTGGTATTATAAAAAAAGAATATATTTTAATTTCCTTCACGAATTTTCATCGACAATTTGGTGTGTGACACAAGCTAGATACAATAGAGTAAACTGAGTGTCGAGTGCTGGGCAATAATTGGCATACAAAGAATAATTGACAAACCTCTGCCAATGTTTCCCAACAACGTATAAAGCCTTTTAAAAAACTTTCACAAAATCATTCATACATGAATCAAGGTCAATAAAATCAAATGTTAGCGTTACGAAATGTATGTGAATTCTATCTCACCTGTTGGTGGTCTTCCTCGGCTACAGCAACAGTAATCGCAGTGGAAAAAAGCAATCCGATAGGCGAGGCAACGTTCAACAGCGATCTACAAATGATAAGTATATTAAAAAAATTTGTGTGATGGAGATGAGACAGATGCTCTGACGTGACAAAAGTATTAGGGCGATTCCCTACAAACGAAGCGTTTGACACCCTATCCTCGAAGAACAACAAAGAAAATTAGTGAACCATAACAAAATTGACGGCTGAAATTTTCAATTCTAAGACCCCGTTTACACTGTCCCGTGCAAGTTTGGAACCGTGACAAAACTGTCGCGGTTCGCCCTTGCGTTTACACTAGCACTGTGGAACCGTGACGATTTTGCTCTGCTATCCGGAACAGTTTTGACTCTGCTTTGAAAGCGAACGAATTTTGTACCGTCACGGTTCCGTTTTTGAACGGGACAGTGTAAACACCTATCCGAGACGATTTTGTCACGGATTCACAAAGAGGTCTTTTGTATGGCTGTTTCAGGTAATCGAGGCTTTGATTGTGGCGTAACTACGTTCTCAAATTCTGAAGAAAAGGAAATTCTGAAGAAAAGACGACCACAGAAAAGGCTTGTAGTGTTTCCCAGTCCAAGCCTTGATTGGACTTTGCAGTTTTGTAGTCTGAAATAACACTGAAAATTAAAGCCACCTTGTCTTTCGTCCAAGTAAAGTTTTAATCGGTCTTCCGCTCCATTTTAACTCACAATAAAAATTCGATTGTTGACTTCAGCGGCAAAATAAAAGCCTTGGTTGACTAAATACAGCTTCTTCTAAACAATGTTCTACCATTAAATTAAGGTCGTACCGGTACAGTGTAAACGGAACGGCTAAACGGAACAATTTGGAACCGCGACAGTGTAAACACTTGCGAACCGTAACGGTACAAAATTGTCCCGGGACAGTGTAAACGGGGTCTAATTTGATTCAATAGTGAGAATTGACATAATTTAAATAAATTATAACAACTACGTGACCAGCTCTCAAAAACACTTTCCACGAGCTCATTTTTTTTCCTTCAAAAATAACCAGATGATTTCAACGACATTAAGGTCTGGACTTTGTGAAGGCCGCAGCAAGACCATGATGCCGTCAGCATGGAAGCAATTTCTTGTTGCAATGGCAGGATGACAAGGTGCATTGTCCTGCTGAAAGATTATTGTCCTTTTGAATTCACAATAAATTTTTTCTGCACTAGCTTGAAGGTTTTCTTTTTCTTTCAATATTTGGACATGATATTGGATATGTTGTTGAGGGACCTCTGGCACAAAGCCAGCTTTCCGACGCCGTTAGGCCTAATACAACCCCACACTTGTTCGGGAGATGAATCATGCCCGTCTTCCAGACATTGACTAGCCCCCGATTTAGGGTCATTGCACATGCGCATTATCACTCGAAGACCTGGCGGGAAGCTGTGTGGTCCCAGACAGAACAACTGTGCGAATACTGTTAATGATGCGCATGTGCTATGACCCTGCAACACTGACAGTTTAAGACGGTATTCTGGCAAAACAACAGACTGAAGGTTTCGTCACCCGGACAAACACCATGATTGAAACAGAGTTGGTAGTAGGAGTTGACATAACATAGGGGATTGTTGCCCTTATATGTTGTTCCCTAAACCCTTAGTACCCCTGAGCCGTTTTTTACCCCGAATCTAGATTCATCTAAAAAATTACATTGTCCCAATAATATAGGGGTCATTCCAGCATCGCCTTGAACCTACAGAGACGGAAACTTTTGTTTTTGGGTGACACAACAGTTCTCTTTCCCTTCTGCAGCTTTTGATCCAATATTTTTTAAGTATTCGAGCAACAAGATTGTTGGGTAATCTAGAACAATCATAGTACTTACTCTCTATTCTAGAATATTCCACATAGTTCTGAACAATTCCTACCTATTGTATCGTTGCAATTTGCTTAGTAATGCGTTTATGTTTAATTTTAGTATCGATAGCTAACCTACTGCAATAGACATTCGAGAACATTCTAGCTTAGGTCTATCAGCATGAAGTTGTTGTTATAACCTCGATTTCGTTACAGTCTCATTGTCAGCTGGTTGCCCTGGAATTATCTAGATATTAGTTCATTACGTAATCGTTGCTAATATTATATTCTAGTAATCATGATTCAGCATTCGAGAAATTTCTACCGTAAACGTATATATACGCACAAAATAGTAGTTGGGGTAGAATAAGCTTGAATAGACTTGGAAATTTACATGAAAATTCTGTGAGTTTTATTTAGTGTCAGGATTTACATCAGAAATTTACATCAAAATTATGTATTGGGCACAGGATTAAAGGAGAAAATTCCCCAAAAGATGTTTAGAAACACTTTTTTTGCAAACGCTTTAGGCCTACTTAAGCTAGCCTTTGCTGACCCAAACTTGCGTATCTTTGCATATGATTCTTTTCCCCCTATCATAAATTTTCCCTGGACGACCTTCCCTTGTTTGAGCTTTAGTCGAACCTCTTTTTAGAAGAAAATAGTCGAACTTGTTTTGAGATTTCGGCAAACGAATGACCGGCTTTGCAGATCCTAAAATATTTCTTACAAGCAACGAAGACTGACTTTTTAGAAGAAGTCAGTGCTATTATTCTGCTTGTAAACTTTAAATTGATTGTTTAACCACCAACATTAATGCAATGCATCAGCGGAGGCTGTTAGCCCATGCACATGCCCAACCTTGCGCTTACCGCAAGCATTCTGCCCCTGCAGAAGTGCCGAACCATTACGAGTCCACGTGAAACATATGTATTCAAAACTCTTATTGGCCAAACATTCTTCAGCCTTCAGAATTGAATAAAGGGAGCAGCTTAACGAACAAACAGTAGTTGAGGCTAAACAATGACAACGAAACGGCAAACGCGTCTTATTTACTTCACTTTTACAACTCCAGGTTTTTAAACATGGGAAATTTAGACCAGGCTCTAAATAACATTTCTGCCAAGCAAGCGGTAAAATTCTGAGAACGGGGGTAAACTATGGCCGAATTAGGATATAATCTCGTTGGAGTCAATAGAAGAGACATGACTGGATATTACAAGTTGTTTTGAGCTCTCAGAATCTCAAATCTCACACAAAATATGTCCAATCTTGAACAATGTACAAAACAGTTTTTATTACCCTTTGAACTTCTTCATAGTCCAAATAAATGAATAGGTCTTTGATATCAGCTCTCTCTCTTACAATTTTTGTTCTAATTTTTCCTCCCTACCCGTTATCAACCACCTCATCGTGCTGACTTTCAGGCCTTGGAGAAAAATGACGTGAATAAGCAATTCTTAAAACATGATTGTCTATGAATATTGATACAAGAAAGGAAATTTGTCACCCCAAAAGTTACATGAAAAAATTATTCTGATAGGGACTGACATGACAGTGGGCAGCAAAATTTCTTGAGAGGCCTTATCAAAGGAGCAGACATCTCAATTTTAAGCAAGTTTTGCTAATTTCTCCAACACGGGATTTTTCTGTTACATTGTGGTCAAGGGCGCCGGAAGCATTTTTGAGGCGACGGGGGAAGGTACTCAAAAAGGGCACATTGATGACTAATGTTAGAATTATAAGAGAAAAATGATAATGAAATTTGCCAAATTTTAGAAGTTTTTTCATGAGGATATGTTTAAACTTTAACATGTTTGAGGGTACAGGGACGTGCCATTATATAGGGGTACCTTTTTCCAAAAGTGTGGAATTGTCTGTATCAGTTTTTGAAATATGTGCGGAACTATGGGTATCATTTTGGGAAAAATATTGCAAAATGATTAGGAGGGAGATTTAGAATTAACAAATTGAATGTCCAGTAAAAAATGAAAGAATGAAAAATGCGTAATATTAAGATGTTTTGGCAAAGAGCATGCAAAATTTCTTTTATGATATTTTTGTGTTTTAAGAATCTATGTTTGAAGATTCTTTTTAAGCCTTATTTGCTTTGTGAAATTATAGGTATAGTTTTTATCATGCTTGCGGAATTATGGGTCAAATTTTGTAGACATATGTGAAATAATGGGTCCAAATTTTTTAAACTAATATGGCACTTCCCCGTCCAAAATAAGGTTTCTTCATTGGTATATTGTCGCTTTTCATCTTTGTTACCTTCTTTCTGGTATGGCAACTTCTTTATTACATATACTCATGCTCTTTTCATTTTTGTTCACTAAAGTTCTTCCCGTTTTTAAAAGATTTTAGATTGCTTCAATTGAAGCTTCTACTAGTTAACTTGGAAAATTATCTGTTTTATGTATTGCATTAGTGTTTGACATAATCTACTACAGCGTTGGATTGAACTTTCTTGCGGTCCGTTAATAGGGGTAATATCTCAGTTTTCCTTAGGGCCCCAAATGCCTCTGTTACTCTCTGAGCTTATTGAACAGAAACAAAGAGCATTGTTGCTGATGAGTTCATACAAAGGCACCCAATATTCTATTTGCTTTCTTTTTATTTCTCACCGCACTATTATTTTCTCTCACCCAAGAAATTGAGACGGTATATATTTATTCCATTCGCATAAACACAGTGTCATTTTCTCAAGGGCATAGTGCTGCCCCCGGTGCCCCCGTAGAGTCAGGGCAGGAGGGGCAGCTGCCCCCGCTGCCCTCATGCTTCCGGCGCACCTGATTGTGGTACGTTTTTAGACATGTAACTTGTGATATAAAGAAATGTGCTCTGGTGCAACGTTTGGGAGGCTGTGGTACCCAGACACCCGGTTTGGTTGAGCTGACCAACATTTTACACCCAAGGACACATACAAATAATGATATGGGGTCACACCTTCAGTAAAAATGGTTTGAAATCTTGTGTGGTGGGCTCCTGAACGAGATGGTTTGCTGTTATTAATTGACACGAAAAGTTAACTGTATCGATGTAACTAAAAAAATTGTAAAACAATATGTTATGGTTATGCTATTAAAAAACAATATCTCAATTGTACATATCCAACGTTGTTTTGTCTAAACTTCTATGAAGGGGTTAACATGCAGTAGTGTAGAGCCAAAAAATGTCGAGGGGGGCCATAGCGCTTTCTCTATAATGTATATAAAATGAGCGTTTCAATTGTTTTCGTTTGCAAGCCTCCTGAACAGGGCCGTGGCGAGGCAAGCCTTGTTGGGGGGTGCTGCGGACTACAAATTTACCTGATTAAAAAATAATTACCTGAAATTGTTTAGTTGCTGACGCAAACCTCTGCATTACATTTTGTCAATCTTAACTCTGTGTCATTTAATTTGCAGCTTCTTTTTTATATGATAAAAACAGACTTTCCTCGTAAATTAATCAAATCTGTATATTGGGACAGGCAAACCATATAGTTGCTACCCGAGGTGGCACCATGGTTGCCGCCGAAGGAGCAGGAAATTTCTCGAATTTCGATGCTTCTAGTTACCCTGGAAAATGCACTCTCTTCAGACAATTTTACTAAAGCAATGCTCCTAATCTTAATGAAAATTCCTTCAATTTTGCAAACAAATTGAACAGCAGATAAAAACAACTGGTGAAAATCTGGAGCTCATTGTGAATTGCAGTTGGTGCTTCTACTGAGAAACTTTAGAAGAGATTAACTCAAGGCACAATTTTACCTAAAGAGGGCCTGGATTTTTGGATTTAGTTCCAACAAAAGAAAACTTCAAATCATTAACGCTTAGTTTGTTTACCTTCATCCATATCAAGAAATATCATTACCAACGGAGTAACTACCTTGCTTGATTCTTTATTGATATTATGAGATGAATGTCTCTGAACTAGCTAAAACGTTTCTTCCACCGAGCGGATTTGGCATGAAATTTCCTATTGGGAAACTATTGTAGGTGTGACACCCCTACACCCCTGGTCGTGACGCCCCTTAGTCCTTAATATCAATTTATTTTAATTTTACAACTAATTCACTGTTGCAAACAGATGCATATGCCATGGTTTAAATCTGTATGATATACATATTGTTGTATGTTGCCCTGTTGCAATCACCTTTTTGGTAACATTCAGATGCTTTTTAACTTCTTAAGCCCAAGCCCACAAAGATGAGAAATTTTTAACAAAAATATCTTTACATTCAGGCAGTCAAAGACTCAAACTGCTTCTACCTTACTTCATTCATAGACTTTAGTCATTATTGTCTCTATTAATGACAGTTTGTGATAATGCAGAGGCTGGATTATTACTAAGAAAGCTTTTATAACTGAGTTATTATTTATGGGCCCCTATAGCCAAGGGCCCCCGGGTCAGTGACCCCCCTGACCCCCTCTCCTCAGCACTGGGGGTATGGCTCTAGAACATAATAGCTCTAGCGATTGCACTGCACTGCGTGCAACATTTTCAAATAATTAATAACAAACAACAAAGAATACAAAGAGTGATGATGTTGTGGTTGTGAAAATCTTTGTCTCTTTTCACGCCAAGTCCGAAACCTGAGTCCGAAAACACTACCATGAAACTTGTAATTTTATTTAAAATTACATCAAGAAGTTCTTTTAGATTCGATGTTACATTATTTACATTAACTTAAGAATAAATGGTAAAATGCTCACCTTATATGCAGCTTCTGTGGAGTTGATATCGATCGCCAGTTCCATACAAACTGTGGGATTCTCAAGCGCGACCCAGCGAAAAGGTTCCGTTTCAAAATTCGTGATGCGAAGAAGGAAACGCTCATTTTGTCAAAATATTAGCCCGTTTTTTGTTTGAAACTTCTTCAGTCAGCAGCAATAATAATATCATAACATCCCTCCAATGTGACTAGCAGCTAGCAGCAAGTAGCAGGAAGCAGACAGAAGAACTGTGACAGGAACCAGAGGCGACAGTAATCCCAGTAGAAGCTGCGGGCAACAAGCGTAACCTTAGAAGAAATTTTAACAGGTATAACTGTTAAGTCAATATTTACTATTTTTGCTTAAGCACAGGGCAAGGGACGCCGGAGAGGGGGGCGGGGCTCAACCGCCCCTGTTGCCTTTGGATGGGGGCTAAAGTGATCAGGGGAAAGGGTGGCTAAAGTGCCCTTTACAAAGAAGTGCCCTTAATGCCAGCCTTTTGTAGAAAATCAATGAGTTTCATACGAAATCCTGACTGTTGTGCCTTATTTATAACGACATATATCGAAACTTGGGAAGAAATTTCTTATGCCAAAATTTAGCCGATTTTTAAGATACCGACAGAGGATCGATGCAAAATAACAGTTATGAGAGAATTTTTGGTAGCTGGAGAATTAATTTTTTCAAATGCCCTTTTCCCCAAGCCCGACCCCTTGCCCCTTGGTCGTTCCAGCGTCCCTGCACAGGGCATTAAGCAGACTAGACACCAGAGTTGCAGACTACGCAAAGGTAAAGGGCATTGCAGTCAAAGGGGGGGGGGCAAAAATGTTGAAGCACATGCGAAAAATTTCAAGAAAAATAGAAATTGAGAGAAATATTATGTTTCATGTTCAGGTTATGTACCAAGATAGGGACTACTGGTGCAGTGCACTCAGACCTCTGTTGACCAACAAAATATTCAACTAAGTCATTGGCCAATAAAGTTTTTCCTGTGATGAGAATTTGAGAATATTCTCGCTTTAGCACAGTCTCTACGTCGTACTGTGTGGCATTACAAGGTAAAGTTACGGCACTGGTATAAAAATGTAATGCGGCTTCTCTGATGCTTTCTCTAAATTGTGTTAAGTATTTAGAGAAAGTTGCAATTGTCGATATTATTAAAGGAATTAAGAACAATGCAGCATCAGATTTTCGAGAAAATTAAGAACAGTCAGCCTGAACTTAAATTTACTGGTTCTTATTAAAAAAGAGTGTATTTACTATAACTCAATGCCACTCAGATTTTATACAAAATAAGCTACACTTTTTTACAAGAACAATTTTAAAAGGAATTGGTCAAAAGTTAAGAACAAATTAAGAACAAGCTGAGGCAGAGCAATTGTGAAATTTAATTCGAACAATGTTTTGTCTAAAAAACTAAGAGTTTTTTCCCATCTAGGGGTGGTTTTTTTATAAACTTTTTGGACAAATAAAGAATGTCTCAATCACATTGTTAGCAAACGAGACCTAAGACCTCCCTAGAGGGCAATATCTAGCATTTGCACACCCTAATCATTTAAGAACAAATTAAGAACAACCCAGCCGCAGATATTCGAAGAAAGCTAAAAACAGCCAGCCGGAACTTCAGAATTTTCGGGTTCGTATAAAAAAGTGTATAAGAGAGTGTCCAATGAAAATTTAGATATCATTAGAAAGGCAGCGAATCTCTTGACAGAAATTTCAAGAGAATTTGAATACAATAGAAACATAGACAATTGTCTTTATAACAGCTGCGAAAATTCTCCCCAACAAGGTTCTGTTGGAAAATTTCCAGGCATGAACATTGAATATGGCAACCCCAATGTTAAAATTAATGACTTTGTGATTACGAGACTCCTAAAAATAATGAGTATTGGAATTTCCTAAGCGTTAAAAAATCGGAGTGCTCAACGTCCAACTTTGCTTCTTATAAAAAATGAGTGTGTTCGGTGTGTTCAAACAGTGGCAGATATAAGGGTCTCTTTAGGATTTCTGGGCATTAGTCTTTTGTTATCTCACTATAACCAACTAGTTTGGGGATTCAACCAGCAGGATCTAACAATGCATTACATTTTGGAATGGTTAACAGTTCTGAATGGAAGATCTGGAACTGGAAGCTGGCTGCTCAACAGAATAAACAACAGCGATTCAACAACATGGAAAATCAAATACGCATCTCAAATACGGAAAATTACAGTTAAATTACAGCTGATTAACAGGTAAATAACGTAATTTGTTACAGTACATCAAGGAAAATAATGAAAATGCATATTGGCTAAAAACGATACGAATTTTGAAAACATTTGAAAGCCATTTAGTCCCAAACAGGTTGCTAATATGCCAAGCTAGACTCTTTTCATCAGGTCTTCAGCGAAGTCCTTGTAAGGCCTCACAGATTTACATTCTATTTTTACCTGATTGCCGATTTTTCTCATTATGGGTAAATCTAAGCTCATCGCATCAAGATCGTCTGGCCGCTGAACTCTGATCAAAACATGAACCTACGGCATAAATCGCACATAACAAGGTCACAGCATTTACAAACGGCACACGAGAATCTGAATGATTACAATGGTGAGATTACTGCAGCTATCACCTTAACAATTTTAAGACTTATGCTGAGCTTTAAGGAACATTTTGTGCGACAAACTGACAGATCAAACAAATTTTCAGACAAAACAATATTCTCTCGATTCCATTTATATGTGTAGACATTAATCGTAGTAAAGTAATAAAGAAACTCTTCCAAGTTGGAAACTCTTCTGTTATGTAAAAATCAACGAACAAAATAGATGGAGACCAGCAGGCAACAAAATACCTCTCTTTTCCCGACACTTTTCCACACACAAAGACCATCCTTTACTTTTTCCTGTGTTTCTAAGACATGCTTAGCTTCTGCAACCCAAGCTTCTAGCAGCTCGTCTCGACTCATCCCTAAAAAAGTTTTATGAAATCAGAAATCCATTTTGAAACTGATTACGTCCAAGTTGAATCCGATTACGAATTGCCAAACAGGAGCTGTAGCTGTACTGAAAATAAGAAAAGTCTTGGTTGTCAACTTTTCTTTATATAAAACTAACAAACCTGCATATTCAATGTTGAAAACCAGCCAATAAAAGATCCCTTCTTTTGCTACATCCACGCCAGTGTCACTTGCTTTTGCACTTTTTTCTTCGCCAAAATTTTCAAACAAGAAATTTGCAAACGAGTAGTACGGAATTATGGGAGTGACTTCTATTTTGACTTGATTGCCAATTTCTTTCATAATTGGAAGATCAAAAGACAATTGATCGACCTTTTCTGGACTTTCAGATTCAATAACTATTGAAGAAAGCGATCAGAAGATGAGTTAAAAACATAGACAGTATGCAAATGAATCACTTTGATGTATGATGCTTATCTTTCTCTGGTTCCACCTCTAATATTGATTTTAAGGTTTCTCCAGAGAATCCAAGAAATAAAATTCAGGCAAAGGTCCTTCCCTGCAACTTGGATAGTTCTACTGTATACAATTCTTGTGCCAGTGGATTCATCAATTTATTTCAATTCGCCGGGGATGCAGGGCTTTTTGAGCCGGTGCCACTAAAATGAGTATTGATTGGGGGGGGGCTGGGTTTAATCCAACACGGAAGAAAATTTTCGCACTGATACCTTCTAGAAATAATAGAAATATACGTGAATAAGTTATCAATTAGATCAAAAAGAACCAATCAGTGCATCAACAGTTTGTTCTTTTGTTTTTATTTCATACTCTGTTTACAAAGACATGCGTATAAGAGCTCGCAGTGTTAAACTTTATTGAAAAAATAGAACGAGAACACATGACACGAACCCACTAAGACTTTTCTTTCACCGACAATCTACAAGAACAAAACATGGGTATAGTTAAAAAACAGTCTTAATTCAGACTAAGAGAGAGTGCTTTATCTTTGGATACCAATTAAAAAACAGTCAAAAACGCTTAGTCAAAACCTACTGATTTTGTTGTAAGGATTGTTTGGAATGCTGTTTCTATACTAATTATCATTAGATAATCTGTCCGTGAAATGCGTTTACAAGTACCAAATAGAGCTGTATTTGAAACACAAACCTTCTTGAAGTGCAAGTTAAGACCATCTGAAAGTACTTTCTTTGAATTCAATTTCTTATAAACATAATTTATTTTAACAGTAGCTCTTTCATATTTTTTTCAGAATTCAATGTGTTATAAATAGGATTTTTTCTTAACAAACTCTTTCAGATTTTCTTCCTTGGCTTTATCTTAAAAGCATAATTTGTTAGTTTAGGCTATTTATTTTCCATCCAGCTTAACATTGTGTGATATTTAAATATAAAAAATTAGACAAAGTATCAAACGCAAATGTCTGGCATGAAGCTATTACATTAGAATAATAATTCTAATGATTTCGAATTGGTTGTGGATGGAGGCTCAAAGACAATTTATCTGAGCATCTTATTACTAATTTTAGTAAGGATGCAACAGCTCAACCAATAACCCCCTGGAAAAAAGTCTAAATTTAGAAAAACAACATGTCTGACTTCTCAAAATGCTTCTAGCTTTTAAGAGTGGTTGATTTGTGTCAGCCAACACTGGGGAAACAGGAGGGGCCCATCAGCCTCAATTTTGTAATTTGACAAAATCTGAATATAAAATATTTGGGTTATATTGAGGAAAGTTCTACATTTTCACTCTGTTCTTATATGATATTGAAAAGAGAATAAAAGACTAGTCATTGATGGTCCCTATTGTTAACATGGGAATTTCTCAATACTCTTTGCATCCTAACTGCACCTACGAGGCTCCTGATTTCAAAGAAAACAATCAAAATACTGGCCATTCTAAGAATAAATATGTACTTTTGCCTTTTCATCAAACATTCATTTATCATCTATTCATATGATTTGAAGATTCACAACTTAGGGTATAAGGAAAAATGAAAGGAGAATGTCAAAATTCATAAATGTTTAGGAATAATATCTGATTTTGTTGATAGAGCTTAACATTGTTAATATCTTATCTAGTAGTGTGAGCTGATATGATTTACGCTGAGAATACAGTCATTTTATCAAGGGTTCCTACTTAATTGCTTTACTATGCTTATAAAAAAGCATCAATTAAACTGAAAACTCTATTCAAATACTACTTCACCTTCTGTTTTACTGCCAAATTTAAGCCAGAATTAGGCCTCTTCGTAAACTTTAGCAATACCTTGTCTTGTATAAATTTCAGTTGCTTGTGTTGAAATTTACTTTTTTGTTTGATAGTTAGTAGATTGGTTATTCATTTCTATGATCAAAATTCACAATACTTAATTGTTGAATATTAAAAGTGTTGCACTGATAAGTGTGGAATGCTATGATTTGTCCGATATCTTTGAAAAACTTTTACTATCACCTTTAAGGTTGCTATTTTTGGAATGGACTTCTTATAGTGCATTGATTGTAAAGGTTTTACTTTTGTATTGAGAAAGTTGTTACAGGATAAACGGTTTGAAGCACGACTTCAACTGATAAACAGCTGAAGAATTTCAGCTGCGACTTGCAATGAGAAAAAGTTTCACTAGATCCCTTTAACCTAGGCCACTTTCTGGATCATGACAAAATGAAAATGAAATTACCTACCTGTGCTTTATCAGCAAGAAAAAATTGACGGCTAAAAAGACAATTAAGGTTTTGGGTGTTCTAAGAAGGTAAAAGCTAAACATATGGTGAACAAAATGAGAATCTACCACCACAAATATTCCTTAAAGACTTTTTGCTCCTTTAAGCTAGGTAAAGTCAAAAAGTAGGGGGCATGGCCAGTTTATTTTTTATGGAAGTGAGGATGGCCAAACCAACTATTTTAAACTGGCCGTGTGAAAGTGCAACTGACAAGCTGCAATTACAGCACGAAATGATGTTCGAACCAGACAATAATCCATTCAGGGATGCCAAAGAAGGGGGTGCAGGGGGTTAACCACCCCTGTTATCTTCTGATGGGAGGGCAAAGGGGACCATTGTGCCCTTTTCATTAAAGTGCCCTTGAAACCAGCCATTTTGTAATAATCAGAAAGATGCAAATGAAATTCTGATTGTAGTGCCTACACTTTTTTATAAGAACCAGTAAATTTAAGTTCAGACTGAATGTTCTTAATTTTTTCAAAAATCTGAGGCTGGATTCTTCTTAATTTGTTCTTAAATTAATAAGGTGTAAGCAGTGCAATTGCTAGTTTTTTCGCTCCAGCAAGGTGTCCAGGCCTCATTTGCCAAAAAAGTGACTGAGACAACCTTCATTTGCTTACAAGTTTGGAAATTCACCGAAAAAGCACCATGGCAAAAAATTCTAAGAAAATGTTATTGATATGAAAATCCTGGTTGCTTAAGTATTACATAGCTCAGCCTCGGCTTGTTCTTAATTTGTTCTTAACTTTTGGCCAATTTTGAGGCTCGTGTTCTTATAAAATTGTTCTTATAAAAAACAACATTTCTCAAAACTTGTTAATATAATTCCTTATGCCAAAAGTAAGTCAATGTTTAAGATACCTACAGAAGAAAGAACTAAAATTGCAGTTACAAAGGAATTAGTAGAAGCTGGGAATTATCTTTCAAATGCACTTCAACTCGAGCCAACCACCCCCCTAACCCCCCCCCCCAAGATATACGTTTTGCGAACAGAATTTATGAGCTAATCAATACCAAACTCTCGCGGATTTTTAATTCGTGATCTTTTTTGAGGATATACTGGGAACTTACCCATTAAACGCCGTGGCAACATAGGCCTTTGCGCCACAGTGATTGTTTCGTTTAGGCCCAGTCAAATGTGTTTTCTAAAGATTTTGGATTCACGCTAGTCTCAACCGTAACCCTAAACATACATTTATGAATACATCTGATTTTAATCCATTGAGCATGGAATTCTTCGGAAATTCAATGAAAAATCGTACTTTTACGCATCCATCGCTGATCACATCAAGCAAGAAAATCTCAGACGTATTTTGAAGTAGACACTTTCTAAAGTACCTTCCATATTTCTTTCACCATACCACTCTCCTTAGCAGCAAGAGCAACTTGTGCTTCTTTCACCCAAACTTTTAGTAGCTCGGGCTGACTTAGACCGCGATACTCAACATTAAAACGTAGCAGGTACAACATCTTTTCGCAGCCTTCTTTTGCAGAGTGTTCTGTGCTTGACCCAACAAAACAAAACAAATTTCTCTCTTGTAGCCTGGGAAAACCAGACCCTAGGACCCCCTAGAACCCCGGATCCCTTTGCCTTGACAGTCGTTGTGACATTTGTTTTGTCAGAACCATAGATATGGTTCGAACATATTATGTCGACCCAAGGCCGCCGAGAGAGGGGGACGAGGGGACGAATTTCCTCCAGGCCTCGAGGCATCGTAAAGTTTAATCAATCTTGGCAAAAGTTTGCCTAAAAATAATGAAACGTGTTAAGCATTGAGTTTTCAAAACTTCCATTATTTTTTAAAACAAATTCAAAACATTTAAACTCTTTAACTGCGTTAATACTCTTATTAATGTATCTATTCTCTGATTAATCTATGGAACTCTATGGAACTATATTCTCTGGAACAAGAGGGGTGATAGGCTCTCCTCCTGTTGATTTATTTTCTACAATAATCCTTAATTTCATGGTTTATTAGCTTCAGCCAGGGCCCTATTCTCCATACCATATTAAATGAATTTTTCGTAATCAACAAATGCGCAATACCGAACAGAAATCAAACTATCTTTAAAGACGTATTTAAAGACGATTTTGGTGTAACAACAATACCGAACTATCTTTAAAGACGTAAAGTGGATGCGGCAGAATAAGTGTCCAGTCAGCATAAAGGTTTTTCATTTGGGTTTGTCGCCAAGGAAGAGAATAGAGACAAGACCTATTTTAAAGTTCATATGGACAGCGATTGTTGTTACACCAAAATTTCCATTTAAAGGTGCAGAAAACACGGAACGGAGCCATATAGAAGCGAACTGTATGTACAGTGTAAAGTGAATTTGAAAAACGAATTTTACAAGCTTACTCGGGCACAGCGCAGCCATTGGGCCAGCAGGGGCTTTAGTTTTAGCGGAACTTTGGAAAGTTAACTCTAGAAGAACTTTGGAAAGTCAACTCTAACGGATCCTAAGTAGTAGTAGTTCTTCTTGACTGGAGACCCGTTTTTGTTCATTTTCTTGGCGTCTTATCTTGCTGATCTATTTTCATAGTAATTGTTATCTTCTCTGAATCGGACTGCTTACAAGGAATAAGTATAAAGCAGCAATTATTTTATAAAAGGGGAGTTTTGGCATTCTAAAGGGTGTGGCCCCAAGAAAGGTCCGGTCACACCCATCTCAGCTCACCAACTTTTAGACTGGTGCTCGGTGCTTGAACTTATTTAAGCAAAATATAAAAGAAAGGATGGGTTTGGTTGCTGTCAATGTTGTGTCGATTGGAGATGCAATTAACATAAAGGATGAGGAATGGTAAAATAATGTAAAAAACAAGTAATGGTGGCTTGTGAAAATACTAACGCAAGGAAAGAAATGAGTTTAATGGTCTAGTATAAGTAACTAGATTATCACTAATGCGTGGAAAGGGGTGCGGCAAATAAGTTCTCAGACAGCAAAAAATTGTCTCTGTTGTGATTTTGTGGCCAAAGCACAAAATAGCTATAGGGAAGTCACTAGGCTTAGTGAAGGGGATGCGGTAAAAAAGTTTTCAATCAGAATAAAAAGAGTCTCTCCTGTGGTTTTGTCATGTGAACAATTCAAAGAATAGTGGCAGAGACGCCTGTCAATGGCCATTACTGAAACAGAGAATGGGAAATGGGGGAATGGAATGGAATAGGGAAACCAGTTTTATACCTTGTTCGACAGGCCTTTGCGTGTATACTTCATTTCTGAGACCAAAATGCACATAATCGTTGGTTTGATTTAAAGAAAAACCAAAACTCCAGCACAAAAACGAAAACTGTTAGCATTCACGATTACATCCATCCAAAGACCCAGGACCCTTGAGTACTACACTGGATACCAGCGCCATATAAATATTATAGGAAACAGAAGATAGGGGTGGAGAAGCGGAGGAGCGTCTATCCGAGAAGAAGGAATATTCTTTGAATTCTGTAGCTTTCTTATTCCAATCAAAAATTGGAAGACAATAAAAACGCAACGAACTGTCGAAGGTTAATATTTGATACCGATAGTGATTCGCAATTCCGTGCAATCACTTTTCGAACAATAGGATTAGACAGAAGAAGGAGAGTGGGTGAGAATTATTAGCCATTTTTACTTCTTCTCGGCTAGTTGCTCCTCCGCTTCTCTGCTTGGCATTCTGTTTACGTGCTCGAAATTTTGTGGCTCTGGTACCCAGGGTTCTTGAGTACAAACACCAAAAAGGACCTTTAGCACAAAAAGGGTCGTCACCCCAATAAGACAATAGTTTATCAGAGTTGACTGTCATCATCGCACCACGTGGACACATCAAATGTCAAATGCACTTTTGCGCAGTGTTCTCACTTTTGAGGAATTATAAAAATTTCGAGAAGGGCTTTTATCACTCTTCTCTGAAGAAGGAAAATCATACCAAGCGCAATATTTCTAACCCGACGCAACATTGAATTAAAAGTAAAGCAAGAGAAGGATGTGAGTCAGAGATGGAAAAAAAATTTCAAAACATTTTCGCGAATTTCGGACAAAAAACTTTCAGAGAAACACTTTTTATCTGAAAGTAAGGTATATGCCAAAATTAACTTTAATTTTACGTTAATGCAGGGGTAATAGAAAAGCTGGAAAACTAGCCTTGAAAAGCTTAAAGCTGCACAAAAGCCCTTGCACACCGCCCCGCACAAGACAACTGAGAAAACTTCAAGAGCTAGTGTTTTTTCTTGAAAGAGGTGGAACGCCAGCGGTGAAAAATATCGCCAATCAAAAAGTCATTGTGAAGGACAGAATTTGTCTGAGTAAAGTATTAAGGTATCAGACTAATAGAGGAGGTACCTTCTTGGAATAAGTATTGATAATAATTTGTCGTTCAAAGGACACGTACAATCGATATGCAAAATGGCCAGCCAAAAGCTACATGCTTTATCCCGAATCTACATGGATGATAGAAAAGTAAAACAGACCATGGACGTCTTCATTTAATCACAATTTAGCTACTGCCCTTAAATTTGGATGTTTTGTGATCGACAGATGAACAACAGAATAAACAGAATTCATGAAAAGTCTTTGCGTCTTGCCTATGATGACTATGAATCAAGCTCTCAAACTCTTCTTGAAAAAGACAACTCGACGTCTATCCATGATAAAAATCTGCAATTCCTTTTTACAGAAATATATAAAACTTTACATAATCTCAACCCAAGTTTCATGAAAGAAATCTTTACTGCTCTTTCACTATCAAAACCAAAATCAAATTGTTATGGTATAGAAAGTACAACCTTTATGGGATCCAAGCTCTGGCAAGAGCTTACAAATGACATTAAAACATCTTCTAGCCTCGCAATATTTAAGAAAAAGATTTGGAAACTTGGAAATATACAAAATGCAACTGCAGACTATGCAAACCTTACGTTGCGCAGATTGGATTCTTGAAATAGTCATCGAATAATTGTATATTTTTATCTAATGAGTCATCCTTTTAATTTTGTACATTTCCTATATCATTTTATCCATTCATTGTAATTAATCTAAGATTTGTAAATGTAGTATAAATAGTAGGCTTTAATTAGCTGTTATATTAGCTTAAAAATTTTGCTTCGCCTACTGTAAATAATTTTATAATAATAACAACAATAGTAATAAACCTCCGTCGACACAAGGACACTGTTACGATCAATTAAGATTTGGAAACTAAGAATATTGGATTGCTGATGAAAGCATCTAACTTTTTGAAGGCGATATGAGAGATTTGAAAGCGAAATTGAAAGTATCAAAATTGATGACGAAGGCAATGATTGAGAAATCGATGATCAGAACGATGTGCTGCTAGTGATGATTTGACATAAAGGCTACGAGTCCGAAACATAAAATGGTGTCGCGGAAAGCAAAAAACCAGAAATTATATGTTTCGATGACTGAAACATATTGTTACATCATGTGTTTGATTCTATATTATAACATTTATCTTTACAAGAAAAAGGAGAGTATAATCCAATGCATTTCTTTGTGTTTTTCTCAATTTCTAAGAATTTAAAAATTTCAGGCGAAAAAATTTCGGACAAACTTAGATTTCGGATAAATATAGTTACAGACAAATGTTTGTACGAAAGTTTGATCGTCCGAGAGTTTTCGGATTTGATGTAGATGAATGACTCAATTTGACACTTAGTAATCATTTATGGCCACAGTTGTTTTAACTATATCTTTTACAAAAAGGCAGATTTTCGTAAATCTAAAGAAATTTTCCGAAATCTGAAGAAATTTTCGTGCGAGTTTAAGGAAATTTACATGAAGCAAAGAAGTGCACTGCTTGCGCCTATTGAGGCGTTCTTTCTTTGCATATTGTCCACATCAGCTGCTGCCTTCAAATAAGTCCGTCGTGGAATAAGAGAGCTAAAGAAAGTTTAAGGCAGCGTTTGTGGCTTCTTCTAGTTATCTCTTCTTGTTCCTTTTCAGAATGCTCACCGTCGAACTGTTGAAATTATCTCGTACCTATGTAAATATTCTCAAGCCAAGATGATTGACTTTTATCCTTCCAGTTCACCCTAAAGATGTGTCCATTGACGTAGCTTCTTGTTAGACTCAGTAAACTAAATTTCCACAAAGTCAAGAACAATTTGTGTAATGACACACTGAACCTTTTGGGCCCGACAAATAATGGTGTTGAGGACACAGAACACTTTGCTCCGCTTTGCCTTAACCATGTTATAGATAGAAGAGATAGTTCTCAAAAAGAGATATCTCGGACACTATAGATGAAATTTCATTTGTCTACCATTGTCAATGTCATCAGGCCTATAGCTTTAAATTTCTTCCATGCTCCACACAAAACACATAATGTATAGGCATCGCATATTGTGACAAAACAAAACATTTGAGCGCGTGCACTGCGTTTCAGACACTATTTTGTATTTTCTTTATTGTGGGAAAGAATAAAATACTTAGTGCTCTAATTCACTCGTCATAGAGAAAACGAAAAATATCAAACAAAAACCAAACTCTCCTTTGAATATCACTTTTCTTGATACATTTAAAATCGATACATTATTAAGGCAATAGCATATTTAGTCTCGTAGTCATTAAACCTAATGCACATTACGCCACAGTGAGGGACAATGATTTGAAATGAGAACCAATTGCATTCTGGACGTGGCACTGGTATACACCCGAGTCTGCCGCCGTTACTTTGCTCAGCTCTAGCATCATTCCAACTTTTTCCATGTTAATGTTCAGTATTTCTGAGGCATCGGAACCAACAGGAAGTGCACCTTTAAGGAAAAGACAACTTTTTTGGAGAGAGGCATACCAAGACAGAAATTATCGTTTGAAATAAATGCAATGGCTTGAAAACATCCTAGGATTCAAGGGCTTGCGAACAAAACTTTCAAAAATTTGCTTCAAAAATGTTGCTTTTATATTAGGTGATTCCACAGTGCATTTTCAGAATTGTATTCTGAGTAAAGCCAAACATCATTAGAATCCTCGTTTGAGACTGATTCAATGCTATAATTACGCTTATTTCGCAGTTACAATTATTCTCCGCATCGTGCGCAACCCTAAACCTCTAAAAATCTTAACTCGTTGCCAAAATGATCTGCTTTTTAACATAAATAAGGCCCGAGTTTCAAGACGTCGGATTTACTTCCATCTGGGATTGGTTTTTATTTTCGATTGATTTTCAGTTCGGAAAAGGTTTATTAACCAACTTCTACAAATGTGTTACCAACTTATTTTACCAAGCATTGAAATGTCCATACGAAATGCCAAATTTCCAAGCCTATGTGTGCTTATAAAATGCTAATAATGCGTTGAATGGATATGGTTCGTGACAATCCAGTAAATGAACTACCAATATTAAAGAAAATCAGTAGCCTCCATGGCATTGCAGCAAGTAATCAACAGACGAACCAACATTTAAAATAAACTATTATGTATCAAAGGCAGGCACGCTTAGATTGAAGCGGTTAAGGTAAGAAAGGCAAATCAGTCGCTATCTGCATTAAGCGTTAACTTACCGTTTAGCTTCGTCCACCTGGTCGAGGGTGATGGCGTGCCTTTGAAGTAGCACTCTAATGTGACGTCACTGCCTACTTTGGTAGTTACTTTCTCCGATGGGTAGACGCTGTTTACTGATGGTGGCACTGTGAACAGAAATGTTACAGGTGACTTAAATGTACAGAATTTTACTTAAACGATTCCTTGATTTACATTTAGGAATCAATCAAGTTACAGCTTTAAATACAGCGTTTACAAAAAGATTTTATAATAAAAAGTTTATACGTACAAACACATTGAGCCATATTTTGCGACCCCGTGCTGACCGTCGTCGTTCCAGCTGGACAAGTCTCACATTCAGTCCTGCCATCCAATTCACTGTATGATCCCTTGGGGCACGGTTGACAAGGCGACGATGTCTCGTTCAGGCCAGATGGGGAGAAGCTGCCAGGCTTGCATTGAGCTGGAGAAATACGAGGTCGTCAATAAGGAAATGCATTTCACATGAAAGGATGGTGCAACTGAAATTTCAAACCTAACTCCTTTTTAAATCGTAGACGTGATACATAATATAATATAACTTCATTTATTATTTCAAAAATAGCGAAACGTTCACATCACAGACGATATAGATTAATAACATTATACCGATTGAGCAGATGACGTTGTGACAGCATGAAGTAATGGTAAAAAAAACTGCAAAGACCTATTTTTATTCCAACAATATTTCCTATCCCTGATTAACAATGTCACCATCAACATTTATTCCTAAATTGACATATCCCATGCTACAGCCATCTGCATATAACAATAAAACGTATGCAAGAAACAATCATCGTTACCAGAGAAAGAAAGACATTTTAAGCTCACCAATGCAATGATTTATGTTGCGAGCACCAGTTACGGCTGTGTTGGAAAACTTAGGACACATTTCACACGAGCTACGGCCTTGTTCATTCTGGTAAGTGTTCATTGGGCATTCCACGCAAGTCTGTAGGGTTGCATTGTGGTAAGTTCCAGCAGGGCAGTTTGCTAAAACAAAAAAAATTTGGTCTCAATTAAACGCATTTTTCTATATGCATATTTTTATAATTCACCTCGCTTTAGGTAGATCACATAAAAACAGGTCTCGCAGAGTTTCCTTATTCGATGGAATCTACTTGTCAATTTGCACATCATTTTGTTAGTAAGAAATTTTGAAAAAATGCTTTCAATGTAAAAAAAGTTAAATTAACACGAAGAATATGTTATAAGGTACTTTATTTCAAAGAGGAACAAGAATATACAACAGCAATCAATACAACAGAAAGGTAGCTTACAGCAATAGTACTCATGTGTTCCCCACCAGTCATCAACGATTGAAAACTTCATTTTGCCTGCTGGACATGCACCAGCAGCAGTGGTCCTCATGTATTCTAAAGAATAATTACAAGACGTTAGGGGTGATAACGTGTCCAATTCAGCCAAGCCATGTTTCAACCATTTCTACTTTAGTGGACATCGTCCAACTTCCTTTCCAGCCGGATTTGTAATTAGTGTAACCGTTTTTATCTTCATAATATTAGTTAGCCACTCGTCGTTATGATAATCTAGCTATAAGTGTTACTTGAAAACCTTTTAAAAGGAGATTTTTTTATCAAATCATTGCGATACCAGGATATGACGAAAACTTGTACATTATGAAACCTTTTTTCAAAGCAAAATGAAAAGTCTAAGTTTCGCTAGAGACATCGCACGAGAAGCCAAGGATAAAAATACACCGAACATTGAAAATCAAACTTGAAGGCCGTGGAAATAAGCGTTGAAAACGAATTTCTATCAGAAAAAGCTGAATATGAAAAGTTGAAATCTTACTCGATGGCCAAACCTGTAAGTGTTGTATACTCACCAACACAATCGGGGGCCCTGAGACCAAGCAAGATATCCTTGCCATTCAAATGAATATAATAGTTTGACTGGCGGCAGAATGCAACTTGAGCAAAGAATCCGAATGGCCCAAACAGAATACGTTGGTTTGTACAGTACATGGAATACTGTCGATTTGGAACACTTTCCCTTATACTGATATGTTCATCACCTGATAATTTTCCGCAATTGTCACCTAAAAATTATAGATACCAAAACTCATTTACCTCAGTAATAACAGAAATTTTATGATTTTTTGCAAAAAGAGCTGCACAGCATCCTGAATGCAAAAGAACTAATGTAAGATGTACTGGCTGGCAATAAGATTAAAATCGATGTACTTAAAATTGAATCAAAACTTAAAACAAAATGTCCAAAACTTGATACAGAAACCAGAGATGTGACAAACTGATAAAACACCCTCGGTAACTTTAATTCATTGGTTCAAATTAAAAGTAAATGGCCAAGAACTTTGCAGAAAACTTAAAACGCTTTGTAGCATCCTCAAATGCTTTATTTCGAGTTCAAAAACAAAAAGAAAAAGAAAAATAAGATAAGGGATGGTGGCAAATGGTCACAAAAACCAAAAGGAAAAACAAAAACCTTTGAAATCTGGGAAATAAAGACTGAAGACTTATAAAGATGACAGAAACAAGTCATCAAACGGCGAGTAGAGAACACAAACGCATAGTGTAACAGTTATTGTCAAACGTAACAGTTTAGTCTGTTTTAATTCTTTGGCCCACTTTCGTAGATAGATGGAGGTGCCTTTTTGCTCTTCACGCTAAGGGAAACTTAGAGATGTCAAAGGACTGGTCTTACAAACATATCATCTGTGAAGCAGCAAACTGCTTGCAATGAGTTAGGTCTTTTAAAAAGTCTTTCCATTCGATAAAAACTGTTGTTAATTGGAGATGTGCTCAATCTTGGAGCTCTCTCAGCCCAATCCTTCTCTGTTTATCCTCACTGTTCTTGTTCTGGCTGGCCATTAAAAGACCATCTATTATAAAGGAGATTTTGAAAATAAGAGGTGAAATCTTATATTACTTAGACAATTTGAAAGTCAAAGAACAATTTAGCCCCTCACCATTGATTGCTAAGCCAACAAATTTCAGTTTTTCCTTGGTTAACAAAATTAAAACGAAATTCACGGTATAAAACGCCCTTTAATTCGACAGAAACAACTCCATTTTTATCGAGAGTAGGCTCCAAAGAAGGGATGTATTGATCAATTCAAGCAAAGCAGTCCTGCTGCAGCCTTAATCACGACACAAGAAACGTGAGTAAATAAACACGGTCAAGAGTTTAGAAAGGACGATTTTGAAGGAAATACTGCATAACATGCTGCATAAGAGCTCATTGGTTTGGCAAACACTCTCATACCGAACGGCGTGAACAGAACCATTGACCGTTAACCTTACAGCAACACAACATCATCAATCATCACGTCATTTTCTCTACCACACAAATATTATTGATTCATAATTATTATCATTACTCTCAATATTCTTGTTATCATTGCCTTTTTTATTTTCTATTCTTTAATATCAGTGTTATTAGTATTATTATTACTGGATAATAAAATAACTTTTTATTATTATCACCACTGTCCAGCCTCATAGCACTTTCATTCCACCATCTACGCCCCCCCCCCCACATCACTGGCCACCCTTCCCTCTTTCACATTCATTACCTGTTTTCTCTCCACTGCACTGCATTCACAACATTCCACATTCAACCACCACCAGCGCCTGTTTCAAATTTGTGTACTTTTAAGTCCGTTCACTTTTGTTGTGATAAAGCCCTGTATGCCGGGGCGAAATATTAGCCACAGTTAATTTACGTGTGTTTAATTTTGTGTGTTCTCGGCACGTTGCGGCGTTCCTTATTTGCAACATTTAAAAGAAAAGAACCCAAAAATTTAAAACTTCAAACTGAAAAGACTTACTCCTAATTGTTACTCTGAATGTGCATCTAGCTGCATTCCCGGATGTATCTATTGCTCTGTATTGCAAAAGAGTTGATTCACCGAGCCTCCAGAACTCGCCAGGTTTTCTAGTTGGGAGCTCCAACCGTGCAATTCCAACATTGTCAGTAAATACAGGAGGAGTCCATGTTATCAAGGCTTGTGCGGTGGTCAGGGTATGAACGATATCACTGGGGCAACTAACGACTTTCGGAGGAGTTTTATCTGCGAATAAAATGTAGAGAAATGGAAAGCTGTTCGAAGGGTAAATAGTTAGAAGATGGCAAACCAAAGAAGTTGAAATCAGGTTAAAAAATAAGGGTGTTTCAATAATACTTGAAACTTCCTTGAATAGACTGGTGCTTTAATAATAATCTTAAAAGTAACATTTTTCAAATACTTAATCGAAAAAGTTATCTGTGCCAATTTTTGCTTTTTATGTAATAGCAAAGCAAAATAAACTTACCTAGAACATCAACAAGGACACTGCACAATTTTTGTGTTCCTTCGATATCTTCGGCGGCAAATTTGACAATAGTTGTACCGACCGGGAATGAAAAATTGCGTGGGTGGCTAACACTTATGATCTTCATGTTGGTTTGTGGCTCCGGGAACTTATATCCAAGGCTAATAGATCCTTTGTTGCTTGGCAACGTCAGCTGGATGTCAACAGGACAGTTCAAGTATGGCACAGCAACAACTACAAAAACATATCAAATAAAAACTGCAAGATAATATTTTGTTAAACAAATGCCGCTGCTTTATTCATGAAAAAATGCCTTATTCCTATTAATGTTGGAAGAAATGTTCAAGTACATCTGCAACCAAGTAAATATATCTATATGGACCGATATAAGTGTCAAGGTTGGTCTTTGAAGAGCTTCTTTTAGAATTCTTAATGCGCAACTCATTTAGAATAAGGTTTTGAAGATTAAGATGCCAACTTGTGACAAAAAATAAGTGGAAGCCATTCTCAGCGCAGATAAAAATATTTTTCATGAAAACCTACTTGGAACGCAGTATGTTTCGGAACTTGAACTCCACTGCTTGTTGCTCTGGCAATACCTTACTGTTGGTCCCTGGATCTTGTATCCATGTTTACAATAAGAGACGCAGCGTTGTCCGTATTCCCTTTGTCCTTGATGACAAGATGCTGGAACAAGGCCACCATTCAATGGCATTTTTAGTGACGAGCATTTGACCGCTGAAAAGCAGCAATGGTTTTCAGAATGCGTCATATCTTGAATACTAAAAAAATTTCTCTAACGAAGCATACTAGTTTCATCAAACAGAACAACTGAATCATCTACGTCTTTAATTGGCGCACTCTAGCTAAGAAAACAAATTATTTATTAAGAAAACTTTTTTACACATGGATTTGCATATGAATTTCCAAAATGTAGAGAAACATGTTTGTCTAAACTTTCAACACGTGAACAATCGCCTTCAAAGTAAAATCCCATCAATAAACGACATGCAGCTGTTTAGAAGTTTAGAATATAAATTGCAAACAAGTGTATTAGAGTATTCAAACTCACGATGGCAAGATGCTGGAGCACGATTCCAGGTTCCAGTTATTAGACAGGTAGTCGTGTCTTGTATTGGCTGTCCAGGTGTAGCAACAATCTCAAAGCCTTGAGTACAGTTAACTTTGCAGTTAGTTCCAATTGCAATGTTACCATAACGTTCAGTGCAGATTGAAGGTGCGATTACTCCACGTGCTGGAGCCTCGATGGTTTTACAGAAAATCTCTGCAAAAAATTGAAAAGTGAATTGCAAAACACCGCATTAGAAAAGGCAGAGCTCCAATGGAGAAATAACTGAAGAGATATAAGCAATATAAGTGATGGATATAAAGAAGAAAAATAGGAAATAAGTTACAAAAAGCGCTATTCTGTAGAGATAGGCCTTTGGTTGGACAAGATCATCCACCGGCAAGTATATTTTACCTTCACAACGCTGATTGTCCTCTCCGAGGCGATAGCCACTTCTACAGCTGCAGTAGTATCCACCATCATAATTATTGCAGTTGTGCTCACAGCCACTGTTGTTAGTGGCACATTCGTCTATGTCTGTTGGCAAAAGAACGTACTTAAAGCAATAAAATCAATAGCCAGGGATAGCAAGACAGGGCAAAAATGACCAACTTTTCAAATAATTGCCACGCAGTGTCAAATTTTCATAGCACTTAGCAGCTAGCCACACAAACACTATAGATCTATATGATTCTTTCGACAGCAAAAGCGGCTTTGACGTACAATTATTTATCCCTGTAAACGCTTTTGCCTTTCAATAAGTATCAAATGTTGTATAGAGGCAAGTTATCAAAAAATGAAGAAAACAATCCAGTAGTCAAAAAGGCAATTAAAAGTGCATAAAAGGTGCGGATAAGGCAGAGATTAGACGGCTTACCGATGCAGCCATATGGTGTTGATGGATCTCTCTGGAAACCAGCTCTACATGTACACAAGTAGCTACCAACTGTATTATTACACATCTGCTCGCAACCACCATTTCCTGAACCACATTCGTTGACATCTGAACAAAAAAGATAAAAATTTATCAACCCAGGCTATCACTGCTGAAGCAAACAGTCAACATTGCAAAAATCTCAAATGTCTTGAGCAAGTTTGTACGTAATACTGAAGAATTGTACCCATGCATGTCCACATCAAATGATTACACCGAAATCCGATAGTAAGTGCTAGCTAATGATTCATTAGTGTTCTTCGAAAACAAACGGCCTAATGAGCAGACACTTAATTCACTTTGGGGAAGCAGAGATACATTCAGCTAATGATTATACCAAAACTATCTTCCTCCGACTAAAGCAACTTAAAGTTTATTGAATTAGTTCTGGAAACATCACGATATAAGATGTAACTCACCCATGCATTCTGCAAGGCTGTTGTCTTTGAGTATATAACCTTTTTCACACCCACAGTAATATCCCCCTGGATAATTGGAGCAATACGCTTTCGTGTCACGTCTGCACCCACCATTATTTGAAAGACATTCATTGACGTCTAGAAATCGAGACATAAAGATATTATGGCCGTCAAAACGAACTTCGACTATCCTAAAATGTAAAGTTTCTTAACCAAAGTTCCTCAAAATCCTAACCAGAAAAAGAGAGATATTGTAAGAATAGTAGCTGACGATTCGCTTAACAATAATCATTGACAAAAACGACAATAATTTTACAAAATAGAGATAAAATAATGTTAAACAATATAGTACGTCATACTTGAATAGTAAAAATTGGGAAAAGCTTGAATTCCTTTCACATCTGACGGGCTATGTGTAAATCAAACACAGCAATGTACGACAAAGCCTTTACTTCAAAATGAAATAGCCGTCACATAAGCATACTGACCTATGCATGTTTTTTGATCGTATGCTAGTTGATATCCAGGTAAACATTTGCAAGTCGTTTTCTTGTCGCAATGATTGACACATATTTGGTCACATCCACCATTTTCTATTTGACACCAATCAGATATTCCACCTACAACAGGTAGCAAGATATTTCAAACCTAATTTTAGTCGACATTACTGTAGTCAAAAAATTGATGACCAAAAGATGTCTTTAAAATACTCGCTTAACGAAGAAAAAGAGAAGCAAAATAAGATATATCTACTACTTGCCTAATCTCGAATTGACAATTACTTCGCACATTGATAATATTCCTTTTCCATACATTTGCACAGATACATAACGACCGGGAATGGGTGGGTTGCACTGAAGCCGGACAGCTTCCCCGTCAAATGCTTGCTTCACTCTGTCGTGGCATACAGGGTGGTTTTTGTGGTTCTGTGAAGTTTTACCAACGTGAACTTGAATGTTCTTGAAGCGATCGCCATACTCAGCCCGGTTGATTATGGTAATATCTACAATTAGAAATATTATATCATTAATATCACACTTTTCAAGAGGAAGACAGTAACAAACCAATATACTCGAGTAAAGAAATAATTTGATGCCCTTTAGCTTGGTTTGTCAAAATCACCATTATGCCTGACAAGCTTGTTGATGGCTCTGATTTTGGAAGCCAAGTAAGTAATGCAGTATAAGTTGCTCATACCAGTAACAATATACTCTTGACCGAGATCAACTCGCCACCATGGGTCTTGTTCGTCGTTGGTGTGTGTACATGACTTGTCAGCCCATTTGAATTTGAAGTTTCCATCTACGGCTCTGTTTGCAAAACCGTTGTAATTTGTACTGGATTGGACAGCCGTCTTGTGCATTGCAATATCTTGATGATAAAAAAAACATTATACGAATCTGAGAGACCAATGAGCGGTTTAACATTTAAAAAGTATCAAATGTACCGCATACGTTAGAGACTTTCAATAAATTTTTCAATGTGACTGAATTCAGGTAGTACTAAATAGTTAACTCCTGACAAGTGGACTATGAGCTGACTCTGATAAACTGTTATATTGAATGACAGACTGACGAGAAGAGATTAAACGAATGTTGCAATACGCGCACAACTAAAAGACAATTTTAGCTAATGCTCAAAATCCTTAGCAATTCTGTAACTTTTTCTACTTGTTTCTTTACATAAAGAAGTCAGAAGTAAAAAGAATGATCGAAAACAATTGACGATAAATGTAAAGGGTTAAATTGACAAAGCTCTATTTTTTTAATCAAAATATAAAGTATAAGAAAATGATTCATAATTTATAAAATAATTTTCTGAGGTTCAATTATGTATGGAATATACTCTGTCAAGTTCGCCAATGGAAATGTAATCATCAGAACCGTCGTTCTTCGTGTTTTCACACAAATGGTCATTGTAGTTGACATAGTACAAAAAAGTGCCTTTAAGGTTTAATTTCCCACATCTCTTGACGGATTCCAATCTAGCACTAGAAATTCCTTTTCTTTGCCTGTCTGAGTAGGCTAAGGCTACTACCTTCCTCATAAACCACTTCAAAAAAACATGTGTACTGTCATTTTAAACCTAAATTTCCTTGATATCACCGATGGATCTACACATTAAAGTTTGCCAGCTCAAATTTTATATATTTCATTCATTTTCTCTACTTGGTTTAATTCAATATTGGGACACTAATACATCATTCAAAATAAAAAGGCATATGTGGTCGATCTAGCTAAATTATAGCAATCATACCGTGAGAGAACTTGGAGCAAACACTGGCAAGCTCCTCGTTCATGACTTGGAATCTTTGCTCGATCCTCATATCATCAAAGATGCCACATGGTTCCATTTTCATGTGCTTGTTTGCTAAAAAATTCAAATTAAGTTTTCAAAACAAAAACAAACTTTGCCAAATATCCAATTTAGAAGACCAGAACTTTGCCAAACAATTTTCGAAGAACCATGACTGATTGAAATTCTTAAAGAATCAAGATATTTTATCTTGCAGATACAACTCATAATCGATGAGATTTCGAATACAAATTGAAAATATTACTGTTTTGAATTTCCGATCATGACATTGTACTCACTTGGAATAAATGAGAACGAAAGTTCAGCATCTGGCAGAGTCTGTGAACTGTTAAATGAGTCACAAGTTGTTCCAAGGACTAAAACAGTGTTGTCTGCTGGTTTCATTTCCTGGATAAGATGAATTGATAAATTTTTGATGAAACATGATTTTTAATATTTTAATGATTAAAATCAAAAATGATGCAGACGTATTCTTCAAAAAGGTTATAAAACTAAATATTTTGCCAAAATGATTTATGAGAAACAAAGAACGCGACATTGCATTCAGTTGCATTTAATATGGTCTCTTTTTATAATGTATCAAGATTAAGTGCCTATATATCGCCAATGAACCTTAACAAAGATTAACAAAAACCGATCCAAAAAGAAGACGTATTTATACCCTTGTCGCAGTTTGAATGCAAAGATTGCTAGCTTTGTGTTTCAATGAACCTTTATCGGTAAAGGCAAAGGCATGGCAGCCTGACGTCACCATTTCCAACTGTGCCCCTTTCACTGCATTTCCATAAACTGGCCTAACACAATAACCAGACCCAGTTGCGACCAGATGACCATTGCTTTTGAGAACAAACTCGGTGCTAGAGAAAGAATACAACTATTTAATATAAAGAAATGTGCCATTTCAATCGCTTTACTGCCTAACTTAGGTAGTACAATTGAGGATTGCTCAGGAGGACTGCTACAGGATCGTAATCTCCGAAATACGAATAGAATATCAACATTTAGGAGAACAGCCGTCTAAAGCCGTCTGAATCTTAAACTCTTCTGAAAGCTAAAGTAATACGTCAACAAATTCAGCATACAAAAATTAGTGGATTTGCCAACAAGAAAACTCATAGGTAGGCCCAAAAAAAGCAGATCAAAAGCACATCCTTGAGAACATTTCAAATGGCATTTCCAATGGGTTCCAACTAGATGAGCAAAGCAAACGGGAATAGCAAGAAGTCTAAGAGTCACAACCTGTTGTTTGCTATCAGTCATGACAAAACTAGGAACGCTTAAGATTTGAAAAATGACGCTTATAGGAAAAGAGATGAAAACTACTGACTCTGCTCTCTGGCACGCTGATCGAAGCATCAAACGCTGAGTTGGATTGACGTGTATGCATTTAAGAGATCCCAAATGAGACAAGGATCCAGGTCCAGAAGGAGAAATTTTCGCTACAAAAAGAAAAATGTTTAATTTGCTGTTAAATATACTGTATTTGTCTTTTAAATTGCAAGTAACAGTATAATCCGGTTATAACGTACTTTAAGGGACCAGCGTATTAAGTACGTTATATCCGAAGTACGTTGTAACAAGGGTAAGTAAAGCACACCAGTACGTTATATCCGAAACCACGTAATAACCGAGTACGTTATAACGGGATTCTACTGAAAAGGTTAAACGTTTTACAAAAAAACCAAGAAAACATTGAAGCAAATAACTGGCCTGGCTGCAAATGTTAAAATAAAAACGGGTCATATCCACTAAGACCGCCTAGAAATAACTCGCCACTGTGGCGTAGTAAACAACACGGTTGCGTATCGCCATTGTGGACAGACATGCACTTCTTCGATCTTACTCAATGCAATAAAAAAAATCAGAAATGAGGTTAGTGGCCTAGGTACCTTGAAGCCAAAAAAGTATGGACTTTACCTGCGGTTACACATCGGTCACTTCGCCTCCTTTTCAATGTCCTTGTGACCACGTCACAGTCGTATCTCTGGTTGTCGGTTCGGTCGTTACATGTCTTCTGGACAACATCAGCTCCCTGTGTCGAGCTGAGATCCAAACACAGTTGGGAATAAGCATTCTGAGAAAAAATGAAATTAGTTTCACGAGGATTTTGCGAAGATATTTTGCAGGAAAGCTCTGTACTGTAGGAAAATACATCAAATCATCATTATCGACAACGTAGCTGTAAACTGGTGTTATTTGTATTACAATATAATACTTCAACCAAAAAATTTTACTTTCATAAACCCATTAGAAGAAATCACCAAAATTGCAATCAACTAATTTCCTGAAGAGTCGAACGAGTTGATAAAAAGAATACATTTCGGGATCGGAAAACAACAGCTCATTCGATAGAAAAATTATGTGAATAGGATTCTGTGTGCTCTACAATCTCTGCCAAAAATCTTGGAACACTAACGCTAGACTTTAAAGGTAAATTCAGGCAACCCCCTTTCCCCTTACGAGCAATTTTGTTTTAATACAGAAGAAAGAAAAAGTTATGGAGTACCTTTCTTCATGTGGCTTGTATGATATCTAGACTTTCAACATTGTTCCAGGGGGGAGGGGGAGGGGTGGAAGAAGTAGTATTCGCGAAAAGAAATGCACAAAAGAAGAGCACAACCCAAATTGCTGGGTTTTCCAAGTAAATTTGGCAGTTATTGTACATGTCATAAGCAACAGAATGAAAATTGAAAGCTATCAGGCTTACAATTATTGCTCCTTTGAGTGTATATGTCCACTGTTGTTTGGTATCTGTGCTGTTGCAGCCTTTCAAAACGATTTTGCTTCCAGATGTTTTATCTGTTACGGCCATACATGAACCAAGTCTAGATCCTTCACCAGATTGAGTTGACTCGATTCCGAAAGCACCTACGATTGAGCATTTTACAACAATGATGATACAGGCACAAAGAAGAATGGAACGAAGAGATTGTAAATATTTAATTTTTTGCTTGGCAATTTGCACGGTCGCAAATAACGGTGAAAAGAAGGCAATTGGATAAATCTAGAAGGGTGCAGAAGAGAGAACTGAAGTGAAGAAGAATGCTGAAAATAGACCCAGCTCCTCGTGCAAAATACTTTTACCTATAATTTGACTCTGCGACTATTTTATTTAAAGGTAAACTAATATCAATCGCCAAATATAGAGTTAAAAAGAAATCCCAAATCTTCTTGGAGAAAGTGTCCTACCGATGTTCTGCAAAACAGGAAAACAGAATCTGAAAAACGTACCTGTAAGATCGAAATCCGTAAAAGGATTTGGTGGATCATAAGCATTGTACATAACCGATGTTCTCGGCTGCTTCAATCCCTTTTTGTATTTGTACATTCCAGAATCTTTTGCACTTAGAATGCTCCTAGCCGGATGCTGTAGATCAAATTCAAATCCGAAATGCATTCTTTGTGCGAACAAGGTGAGATCTATCTCAGCTGCAATCATGAACCCGCCACCAAATCTTTTACCAAGGCCAAGTTCAAAGCGAATTCTGCAAAAACCAATCACTCATTAACAACAACAGCACCAACAACAACAACAACAACAACAGCAACCAAAATTGTCAAAAGAGAGATATTTATCGTTTTTCTTTTCAATCAAAATGGGTCATTCCGTTTAGAAATCTCGTAGATGTGACTCTGCGAGGCATTCATAGTGATCTAAAGCAATATTTGAATGTTGAAGCAATACACGACCCCCTAACCACAGAAAAGAGAAAGAGCGGAAAGGAAACTGTCTGCGGGGCTTTTGTAGTTTTTTCGAAGCAAGGAAAACAGTTTTCGTTTGGTCAACCTCATTTCAGACAAGAAGTGACAAACCATAGCAAAAGAAGTAACCTTTTCCTTCCTATGTTTTGGTGGGCAAACAACAAATGGTTAGCTGCAGCCTGTGAGTAGGCATTCTTCGATATCATCACGAAAAATTTGTCACAAGTGAGCTCCTTGCTGATGACAAACTAGGTTAGCCTCGAAAACATTCTAACGCAGTTCCAAAAAGCGTCGAGATGGGGTTCCCCTTCTGCTTTTTTACTTTTTTGTGCCCAAACATCAAATTCTACTTTCTTCATAAATCAATTAGGAAACTTCTGAAAAGCATTGAACCATATCAAATTATCTAGTAACGACAGTGAGTAAAATCCAAAATCACAAAAACAATAATAGAATTGCTAAGTTTTCAACGCACAAATTCAACGCACAAAATCATGTACCTTCAAAGTTTTCAAAGCACGTTTACTTTCATATTGTTTTTTGATATTTTGCAAGGAAGATGGATGTACTCACCCATGAATAAGGAACATTTGCATGACAAACTGGATAGCTGCATTCACCCAACCAACAACAGCCTCGGCCACTTTGAGTGCCCCAACTGCGATATCGAGGAATTTGCATAGCCCTTGTCCTATGAAATTCAGGGCTTTGCATGTTCCAGAGCACAAATGCTCAATGCCTAGACAAACAGATCGATTTTATCATAGGTGCGTAGTGATGAAGCTAACTTTTAAAGTTAATGGGACAAAACTGTATGATCGATGCGAGAATTTTTATTTAAGATATAAAATATATCAAATCAGAACTGCAAACAACTTATTAAACAATTATCGATAATTTTTAATTAAGAGCGCGTCAAAATTCTCTGTTTTGCAAGTTCATTCGTTTTAACACATTTTATGCGGATAGCTGCAAGGTGCCAGGCCATGTAACACGGGTATATTACCTCTACATCCACCGCCAACGAGTCCCTCGCATATAAGCTTGCTGATAAAACGTCTATTTCTAATATGTAAATCAAAGTTCTCATTTCGTCTGTTTATAATTGAGCGACGTCTTCTCCACCCACTGAAGAATTTCTTGATTGCCTTTCCAACCTTGGATGATAAAAGGAAATTCAAATAAAAGTATGTATATAAAATAACTTTGACGAAACTAGGCAATAAGATGAAATATTATGGGAGACGATCCATAGAGAAATCAGACCAAAAAGCTCAATCTCAAGTCACTCACCTTGGCAAGGCCATCTCTTATCTTCCTCGCGGTTTTCTTTATCCATTTACCTGAGAACAAAAACACCTTTACGTAATTAACCAATTAACACCTCTTAGAAGAAAGATGTTTTTCGGTGCTTCATCGTGTCATTTGATATGGTAAAAACTGTTTATCAAAGTTGAAAGAAAACAAAGCATAGTGGCTAGGAAGAAAAATGAAATGTGCAGTCAAGCTCTCGTCTTCCCTGAATAAAAAGCAAAGGTAACAAAGCAGCGAGCGCACTTGTTCTGTTACAAAATAAGACGCAGGAGATATCAACATACGAAGGATGCAGGAGATAGCAACAGACGAAGGACGCAGGAGATAGCAACAGACGAAGGACACAGGAGATAGCAACAGACGAAGGACGCAGGAGATAGCAACAGACGAAGGACGCAGGAGATAGCAACAGACGAAAGACACAGGAGATAGCAACAGACGAAGGACGCAGGAGATAGCAACAGACGAAGGACGCAGGAGATAGCAACAGACGAAGGACGCAGGAGATAGCAACAGACGAAAGACACAGGAGATAGCAACAGACGAAGGACGCAGGAGATAGCAACAGACGAAGGACGCAGGAGATTCGGATTTTTAATGACGGTCCTTACCTGCAGCATTGATGACGCCACCAATCCATTTTCCAGCCTTATCCAAGAACCCTTTGCAATTATCTTCTGCTTGCTTGCATTTCAAGGAGTAGCAATTCTGGCACTTGAGCTGCATGACCTCCTGGCATCGACGTTTCGCTGCCTTTACCTCTTCTACTTTGCTCTGAGCGTCGCTTGAGCTGCCTTCATTGCCTTATCAACTGCCTTTCGGGCGTTTTCTATTGCCTAAAACCCGGCGCATGTTTTATTAACGCAAACTACCCAAAAAATACAGTCAATAAATCATGAATCGAGAACAGCTATTACAAATTCTAACCGGCAGATTTTCTCGTATAGCAGATTCAGAGACTCAATTCAGATTGGAAATTCATATATCTTAACGCTCTCAACAAAAAAGAAAGATAAATCTCAAAGAGTCTAAAAAATACTGAAGTATGGATTAGTTTGAGTGGAAACTCACATCTGTTAGCCCCCGCAAGTCCACAATCACTCTAACGTAAAAGTGAGCATTGGTTATATCGAAGATGTCGTAGCTGGCAGATATATAAAGTTCGGCATAAATGAGGTTCCAAGCCTTTCCATACACGTAGATTTCGAACCCTTGCATCGTTATATTTATGAATGCATACGCCTCTATGCCAAAAAACTTTCCATATCCCTCGAAGAAAAACTGAAACAGAAATAAATATTGCGATTTGAAAAGTTCAAACAACAGTTATTTTGAACGACTGCTTCAAAAAAATGAGAATCAGCTACGGATTTAAGCTCATTTGAATAGTGTCCCAACCTAATTTATAGTTAACCTTCTAAAGTCATACTAAATTGTCTCACTGGAGAATAAGACAGAAAAACCATTTAAAACAAGCAACCTACACTGTTTTGCTGCAGAAAAATGTTTCTAAGCACCAATGCCCCCGGGATAAGACGCTGGTCTGCTCTTTAAATTTCAAAGAATTCATCCATTGCCAAAATACAATGAATATTTTTGATAAAGCAAATAAATAATGATAGACATATTTACGCATGAAGAATAATCAAATTACTACAAAGATAGCGGTGATATCATCAAATTACCTTGAAGTAAGGCAGAGGGATTAGCTTCGCCATCTTCTTTCGATAATGGAATAGGGCTTTTGGGCCTAAGTTGGAGTGGGTTGCATTCCTTGTGATCATCAAGACCCCACCAAGATTAATTGGATCAATCTCCCCTTCAAAATAGACTTCCTATGATGAAAGTGAAGTGATAAATAAAAATGTAAAGAAAAGACGTATATCGTGTAATATTGCAATTAAAATGAAGGTATACAACAAAGAAGCAAAGAAAGAGAAAGGCTAAAAAACAATATGAAACAATTTATGTCTAAAGACACGGAATAAACAGCTCTTTGTGCACAAACATTTTTCATAGACCTCACAACAATGACAAAGTACAATATTTACAAAATATTTACTTGTAAGTGGGGAATTTTAAAATACTTACGTCTTCACTAACTCTCACTTCGACCTTAATTTCATATCCAGCAAAGTTAAGAGTTCCTTTTACTCTTGTTCCCTTGTACACATATGGTCCACCTGCCATAGTTAGATCTATTTCTTTCTGGGGTGAGTATGAAACCTAGTAAAAGGATTTGACAGCTGATTAAAGATGAGATATGAAAATGTTGCAAATACCCAACGTAAAAACAATCATCATAGGAAGATAACAGAATTTCAGATAGAGTTGCTATTCATCAACACAAAGTGCATCAATACTCGTATCAGATGAATCGCATTGGGTACAACCAAAAAGTGATTGACCAAGGTATCAGTGTCAATACATATGCTGAAAAAAATAACAGATTAATGTCTTTATAAACTTACTAGAGCACCCTTAGGGAAGCCACTTGCAGCAACTTTTTCAGGAACGCTTGACGTTTTGCCTCCAAACATTCGAATCAGTTTTCCGATTGTTAGTGCAGAAATCTCTCCAAAGAAATAGGAAGGCTTTCCCCAGCCAAAGTATATACGTATCATCAAACAGTGTCCCTAAGAATCAATGCTTATCCACTTAAGATATTATCAAAAAAAAGGAGTCAATTAACACAAGATAGAAAAGTTTGCTTTTGATTATCTCGCGGGTAGCAAATACTAAAAATCGTGAACATGTTGTAAACTAAAACTTTAGAACATTGAAATATTGGCGGCAACTGGCCTTAAATGTCTTGAAAAAATAGTAGTAGCATTACCTCCAATGTCTTGAGAAATAAATACTTTACGACAACTAACGTATCGCAATTTTTTAAAAATGATTTCTGTAAAATATGATGATAAAACTACTCATCGAATGATTTAAATTAGGGGTGTACCGGATCAGGATTTTCAGAATCCGGCCGGAACCGGATTTACCGGATTTCTTCGTGAAATATCCGGCCGGATTCTACCGGATAATCTGACCATTTATAGAATTTTCAGTAATAAAAAGTTTTGAGCGAAAAAATGTATAGCGAGAAGATCAAAGAGACCTATTCAGGGTTGCCAGATTGAATTTACAAACGAAGGCTAGACTGGTGAGCAATTTAAGCCAAAATGCTCATAAAAAGGCCAAATCAAAAACTCTCTCAAGAATTCATCGAGCAGGCACGGTTATATTTCTACGCTTGTGCCTGTTAGATAATTTCTTAACTTTGATAAGAATCTTACTTTTTTTCTGAACTAAACAATATTTAGGTTAGGTGACAAAATTTGAAATTTGGTTAACACTTTGTAGTTAACTACTAATTATTCTATGAATGTAGTAATTAATTTTGGACGTCTGCTGAAAAGGCCAACAAGGTCAAATTTAAGTAGTAAGTAAAAAACAATTTTTCCAGGCAATCTAAATCTAAAAACCAAAAATGAAAAATTTGGCCTAAAAAGCCAATCTGGCAACCTTGGATCAAATTTGTGAATTATATCATCCAGTCTTCCTGTTTCGTGATGACGAGCACTTTCATTTCAAATCTGTTTTCAAGGCGCTTGTTTTATCGTTGATATTGTTTAGTTCTGGAAAATCCATTTTTAATCACTGTATGAAGGGAGTCTGACTTGGTTTTCCAAATTTTCTTAGTTATGATTAAAGTTCTGGAAAATCCGGCAACTGGCCGGATTTCGGAAACAAATCCGGCCGGAACCGGATTTTCAAAAAATCAGCGATCCGGCGCCGGATTATCCGGTCTACCGGATATCCGGTACATCCCTAATTTAAATTTGCAAGATATTTTTAACATTCGATTGAACTCAAAAGTCCTCGAAAGCAAAAACAATGTATAGCCTCGAAACCAAACTTTTTTCAGGATTAAAATGTCATATCCTAAAAAATCAATCTTTCAAAAAAGATAACCTAGAAATTCTTCTGAGAGAAATTTCCTCTTATTTTTGCAAAGCTTATTCTAAAATGCCTTCTTTTTTCAACTTTCTCTCACAGTAAAACACGGCAAAATCCGGTAACACTTTCTCTCAAGTAGCGTTTCTCGTACGTACGTCGTTCTCGAAGTCGGCGTCATACAAGCAATTTTTGCCAAATTCCAGTTGACCCCCAAACTGAAAGCCGGTGATACCAGTTGGACTACCAACTGTAATTGTTAACCTGCAGATAGAATGAAACAGACATTGTCAATTTCAGTTTACTCATATAAAATAGATGAAAGACTCAATGTTGTAGACATAAAAACAAATATCACTTCCGTACACCCGCTAAAGTTGATAAACATACAATTCCAGCTCTATCTGGCATAATTTTCACTCTACCTATTACCTCTGGAACATCTATAATAGTTAGGAGGCAATGTGAAGTGGCATACCCAATATTCATATGACAACCCTGTGTCAATATGGCTTACCCTATGTTGATATTTCCAATCGCAAACCAGTCCGAACCAAATGCATTCCTCCACATGCCTCGCATAAACAATTGCCCCTCAATATCACTTTTGCCGAGTGTGTGCTTCACCTGTCCACCAAGACGCAATTCATTCTCAACAGCAATTCCATCAACAATAATCTCTCCTTGGTTTATTGGTATCTTGATCTCGAAAGCAAATCCAAGTTTGGTCTCTTTCTTTGTCATGTTTTTCTATCAAAAAATCAAAAGAACTTTCATAATTCTTACAGTTTTCAAGAGTCTTACTTCGAGAAGCGTGGATAGGACATTAAAATTGAACTTCTTGATTCCGAGAAATATCATTTGCAAAACATAGAGAGCTACTGACCTCGAAAAATAGCTCAGCTTTCCAGAACCAGTAGTTTTCAGCCAACTTTATCTTATAGAATCCGGCAGATACTTTTAAGTAGCCACCTGTTTTGAGATGAGCTGCGATTCTAAATGTGACTTTTGGACCCAAAATACGTTTGCAGACTTCACAGAAGGAGCTTCCACCACAATCTGATGGCAGCCTCACCTTTAAACAAAAACCGAATTTTATCTTGCCACTGACGTAAGATATGCAAAGTCTTTCTTAAAAATATGGATAATAGCACAAAAACATGACAATTGAAACAGTGAAGAAGTCTACTGCTGAAGTGACATACAGATAGCTCTTTGCTTATAAAGATATCAAAAAGCCGGTATTAAAAAGCTTTTGTTAAAAGGAAATGTCTCTGGCTATCGAAATGAATCCCCACACAACAAACGCTGACAAAATCAGAGAGAAATTTTGAAAAATAATAGGGTGATAAATCTAACAGGAAAAAATTTTGGCGGCAAGCAGGAAAACTATCCAATCCAAGGTCATAAAGAAATGTTAAGCAAGCAAGGTTTCACCTGAGCAGCTGCTTGGAATCCCTCTTTGATTAGCCTCTTTCCAAGTTCGTGCAAAGGTTGTTTTGTGAATGCAGTCGAAGTCTTGATCAATCTGAAGTCTGAAGTTGGGTTAACAACAAGGCCCAGCTGAAATGAAAAATGATCTAGCTAGCTACAATTCTACAAAGCAAATTATCTGAAAGATACATTGTAATAACAAGAAGATACTTAAGGCAAAAACAAAGAAGACATACTTCAACTTGTATGCCGATGCTATCGAAAAATCCACCATCTTCGTTCCTAGAGCCAGATATTTTGCCCATAGCAGCACCAAATGACTCTCCATCAAATACAACACCGACTGCAAAGAGCCACTGCGCAAAAGAAAATGCAGCAATCACTTCGAAATGTATTGGTATACCACCAATGAATTTTGTTGCAGTCAGTCTGAATGGGGCAAGACTTGATTGCCAGCCCTGAAAGAAATCGTACCCAATGGTGCTTGTTTCGAAGGTTAGATCCCAGACCTTCATTGCTCTGAAACAGAAAGCAGAATGTTGACAAACAAAGGATTTCTTTTCAATTGTTAAACATTTAAAATAAAGCTGGCAAGCTGCTCACTGGAACTTAATAGCTGATCATATTTTAAAGGGCATTTGTCGCATTAGCAGTTGGCTAATAAAACCAAAGCGTTTGGAGTGGAATTCCATTGTTTAGTGACTTTTCATTTCTTAATTAATTTTTACTGCCGTAAAAATTCACCCTCGATTCCATGTTTTGTACTAAACAAAAGAGATAATTGTATTGCATTAGCCAATCATGTTCACGACACATGCCCTTGTATTACTTATATCCCCTTCACTATTCTCACAAAAGTATTGCACCAATCCGTCGAATGAGCAATTGCGACAGCATGGTACTCAACCAAAGATGTTTGCTTTTGAGTGGAAGCTTTGAAATCTTGGGAGACTTGCTAAAATTTAATCAGTTTTGCTTTCAGGTTTCAACATGATGAAATGAAAAAAAAACATTCAAAGATCACATTTAGGTATTATAGAGCCCGGATCATAAATCTATTGTTGAAAGTCACACTTTTGAATTTAAATTTTAATAACTCTTTAGATGCCATTAGGGCACTTGAGCGTCACTGTTTATGGATGAAATTTTAGTCCTTTTATACCACGAGAAGATAAAATGCTACTTTCAATAGTTTTCAGCTTTACATTTTTTCAAAACAATATTGCTATGAACTGGGAAACATAGAACTGAAGATTTGAAGCCATCTAATAGTTTGAATTCTATTGCAGCATAACACAAAAGGGCCTCGGCTATCTGGTCCTTTGAAACGCAAAATATTTCGACCAAGACATTTCGACAAGACCCAGACCTACTCTCTAAAAACAGTTGGGAAAATAAACATTATTAGAAATTCAAGCACAAAGTAAGTATCTCTGAGTTCATTTAAACAAAGTCTCACCAGTCTGCGCAAAGTAAGACAATTAAATTCCAAACATTTTTGTGTTTTCGCAATAGAATTTAGAAATAAGAGGATCCCAATAATATTTTTCATTTATTAGATTCATTACTATAACTTGATTTGTTTCCATTATTTTCAGACCAAAAGTGATAGTACAACTTTTAATTCAACTTGCAATATGTATTTAATTTTTTTAGCTAAAGAAATTTGTAGCCATCTTGTAACGGATGGTGCGATTTTTCCAATGAAGTTTATCGTACAGAATGAACGTACATCCAGGAAATACCAGTCTAAAAACTGCACAGCTAAGCAAAAATTAAACAAAAATCAATGCCAGAAAAAATACCCTTGCTGCAAAGAACAAATTCAACGTCAATATATGAGAATAGATTAACAAATTAATAAACTCAAAACATACTGGAGAGCTTTAATCATAAAGCTGGGGAGGTTTCTGAATCCCATGCCATGAAATATTCCTTGGAATGTCAAACCCTTCGTTTTCCCAGTCATGGATGTTAGTCCACCTGGCGGAAGCGGTGATGTTGATGAGTGATAAGTGGAGTTTCTGTACACGATGACGTCATAGATGGATGGCTTGAACTTTTCCAGTTTGCCTTTGGCAAGATAACTCCTGTATGTGCCTTCTGTGTAATACGTTATTCTAAAAACCAGAGAAAAATTACAGAAACAAGTAAAGAATGTTGCAATTTGTTTATTCTTATTCAACAAAGCGCAGGAATTTTGATTATAAGACATTTCATTTTCATAATAGCTTAGTCATAATGGAACAGATTGAGAAAACTTGAACCTGAGTTATCATGTATAATTTATGCAATCTGTTTTAATGACCAATATCTCTTTCTTTTGTAGCAAATATCTCGTGGCAGAAAGAGATTTAATCGGATGATACAACGCAGAAAAAAGGGTTTTAACATAAGCAGTTACTAACAGCACGTCTTTGATTGACATTCGATGTCCCGGACTGAATTCTTCCATTTGCTGAAGCCCGAATTCGTACCCTTTCACTGGATAACCAGATTCATTTCTGACACGGATTGAGAAGCCGAGAATAGGTTGCTGTTCGTCCGGTTTCGTGTAGCCAAGAATTGCCTTCGTTCCTCGGTATGAAGTTACCAAGTTATCAGCAACCTCTTTGATTGTCACAGCAGGGATTGGGTCGAAGCAATACTAGAATTAAGAGCAAAACACCATTTGAGATTGTTCCCAATTAGATTCAAGAGCAAGACTTTGAGTTGCTTGAGTGAATACATCGACATTTTAGATGATTTGTGCTAAACAGCAGCTAGAAAATCTTTACATAAGTCAATCAAAACCTCTCGGTCATATTATCAATCGATATAATGAATCTCGAAACCCACAAAATCTAATACCTTGATAATCTTGCCTTTCTCTTCGCTCTGCATGGCAAAGTAACCAGACATGAAGTTGTTCTTTTTAAAGCTTAGATGATTGTACACCGCACCGGGCACTTTGGATTTGTGAATACCATTGGCTGTGTATTTTTCTGTAGCTCCGCATTCTCGGGCCATAAAGGAGCCAGGAGAAACCGGGACACTCGGTACAGGGGTAGGATTGAAATCTAAAGCATGAGAAAAAAAACTCTTGAGTGATTGTTTGAAGAATAAAGATTATCGCATAGCAATTAATGGAACGAGAAATAATCGGAAGGTAAGACATTAATTAAAAGAAGTTTGAAAAGACTTCGTTCAAGAAAATTACCTAGGCAGTTTGTGTATGGGCAAATACGAGTGTCTTTTGCTGATCCAGGACAAAGATCTCCTCCGTTTGCGGGTGATGGGTTGGTGCATGTTCGAGTTCGTAATTTTTCTCCTTTCATGCAATATTGAGATGAGCAGGCACCAAATTGCGACCAATCTGACCAGCTTCCGTTCACAGCACCTGGGTTATGAATTCAGAAGAAATGATTCAGACCTGGTTCAAACAAAAAGGAATCATTCCAAAGCGCAAATGAATATGGATACTTTTTCATAAACTTTGGGTACTTTAGATACTTTGCATGCTGAATACTAAAATAAAGAAATTTGGATACCCTTACATCAGCAAGCACTTGTCTATTTTTTGCAAACTAATTTTCGAACATATCAAATGCAAAGTTCATAATGGAATCCATAAATATACTAAAATGCGTGCGGTACAATATGATGAATTTAAATAACGATCAATGTAAATAAATTGTACCAGGAAAATTTTTTTCTAAAATAATTAACAACGTTTCGAGCATAGCCCGTTATCAAGTAAGATTGAAAAGCGATAGTGACCAGTCGGAAAAGCTAGAAGCAGGGTTTGCGCATCTATCTGTTTCTGCCAGATCACTACACAAAATTCTTTGCCGTTTATTACAGAGTAATATTTTGTAGAATATACTTTCAGAGGTCAAGGAGAGATAAGGTCTGCCAAATACGATGAAATTCACTGAACAATTACGTTATGCAAACTTGAATAAGCCAAAATAAAAGACAGAGAGGTTCTTTATGATCCAATCGGTGCACCTAAAGACCTTGGTGTGGCTGAAGAGTCCAAAAAATAAAAAGTACTTTTTGTCAACACAAGTTTGAGCTAATTCAAATAAAAACCTCAAGTTTCAAATGATTTATCAGGCCAAAAAAGCAAGAGACGGAAATTTCTTTACAGAGGAAAGTCATCTTGGTTTCTCTCCAGTATCTATCTAGCTACCAACATACTGATTGCCTTCTAAAAAGAAGCTTATGATCAGTAAAGTCTACCATGTAAGCCAAGATAGGAAAAGAGATTTTTGTTAGAACCATGCCATTCAAATACTTAATCATTCAATTAATGACGAGCCAATCAATCGTGCCAGGCAGTTGCATAAAATCCCTTATCTGAATTACTCTGGAAATCACATTTTTGCTGCATTACGATTTCAGATACAAAGGGTCTGCTCAAGAGATATAGAAAGACAAAATCTTACCTTGGCATATTGCTAGTCTACAAGACTTTGTTTCTGTCAGCTGTCCAACACAATTTTTAGCACCAACACCCTTTGGCTCTGGGTTGTTGCAGAGTCTCCCTTTCGTTTGTACCCCTGTGCCACATTTCGTCGAGCATTCGCTCCATAAAGACCATTGGCTAAATCCACCGTTTACTGAAATTTAGGTGCAATGTGAAGCTTTATATAAGTTTTAATAATTAAGATCATATACTATAAAGGATGAGTTGATAATTGTTTAAGGTCAGCTGATAAGTGTTTCCTGTCAGCAGACGTTAGAGAAAATCAAGCTTCGATGAACTCAGATTATAGATAAGGAAAGATTCGCTTTTGTTCAAACCATTATTCATAACTACTATTTCTTCACATTTCTTTTTTGAATTACTTAATTGCATTAACATGAATATTGCTACTTACTTGGGCATTTGTTGAAACACGACAGAATCTCCTCAGTAGCAGGACCTTTGCAAGGTGAACCTCCATTCATTGGAGTTGGCGTATCGCATCGCCTGCTTCGCCTCACTCTAGCGCCACCATTTGTGCTGCATTGGCTGGGACATGCAGACCAGTAGCCCCATTCTCCATATCCACCATCGACTCTACCGTCTACAGAAAAATTAATTTAGCATTTTGGGCATTTATTTCAACTGCTGCAACACTTAACCATTTTCAGATTGGCTTATTTGCTGAAAAACATTTTCGCTCACAATGTTTATACTTCAAGAACCCTTTTGTTAGAGATCTCAAAGAGAAGATCATGTCTGGTAGTTACGGCTGAAGATATTTTTGAAACAAAAATTAACAGCAATTTCACCGCACGTGTTAGAGTAGTCAATTATTAGAGTGAAGTAGCTAACGGTACCCTAAAGCCTATACAGTCAATCCCCGCATATAAGAACCTAAAAAAATAAGAACCCAGAGGCTGTTTTTCATAAATTATGCACCTTGCAATTAAGAACCTGTTTCAGTGTGATAAAATATAATAGGGTCTTATTCCAAGAGCAAATAGAGCTTTCAATGGTCCTTATTTGCTCCCAGATTTTTAAAGATGAGGTAAAACCACAATCGGTAGAAGAATTTTCAGTTGTGCATGTTCAGCATTTTATAAACTTTAACGAAAAAGAACTTTAAAATCACTTTGACTTTTTAACATAATTATATATAGCAAAATCCAAAACTTTGAAAAATGAAATAAAAGCATTAGAATTCATAATTTTCAATTCCTGAGGACGTATGAGATCATCTCCAGATTCATCCACTGTCATAAGGCAGCCAGTGCGCTCAAGTGTCTTCCTGTAAATATCTTTGTAATGTTGCATTAATAACATTGCCAAAAGGAAAAAACAGTGTTGAATGCATCTCTTGATAATGAATCCTAAAGTTTTAAATAAGGGATCCTTCGAATAAGAACCTTCATACCCTGAAATTAATCCAAGTACCTTTCCAATAAGAAACTACTTCAGCCTGAACCTCAAAAAGAAGGTTCTTATATGCGGGGATTTACTGTATTAGCATTGGAGAAAATTTCTTCCTGTGTCAATTTAAATTTTATATGAAAGAGATTATCGGTGCCCTAGTTATAATAACGAATTACCTGGACATGCAGCCAAACACTCCAGTTTATGCTGCAAACCAGACCCAGAGCAGTTCTTTCCGCCATATGCCGGCGTTGGGTTATTGCAGGCCCTGGTACGGTTCACAACTGAACCACCGCACGGCTTCGTACAAGTGCTCCACTGCGACCAATCTCCCCAGCCTCCATCAACTAATGTGGTAAAATATTTTGAAAAGCTACATGATGAATAAGAGTATACCGACTTGCGTAAACATGAAAATGTTGCTGTTAACGCACTTGAGAATACATCTACTAAAAATTTTCTCTATTTCAACCTTAACATTTGAATTGACATGGTATAAATAATATTTGGTAAAGAAGTTTGACGCCTAAAGTTGCAAGCAAAAAATGATACTGTCCAAATGCCAAACAGTTAATATTTAAATCAACTCGGGTATGTCTTTTTAATTTCGAAAGATAGCTAGAAAGACAATTATAGATACAATGAACCATAAAGAAGGCAAATTGCCATGGCTTTTTTGTAGAATCCCAGTCTTGTAGGATAGTAAAGCCCTAGTCTGTACAAACCCATGCTTTTAAAGAAAATCTCTAATGTGTGCCTCTGAAAACATACCTGACCCGGGCTCATTAATCGCATTATCTCCTACACAATACTGTCCGTCCGAGCTTGGAACGGGGTTTGTGCACGGTCTTGTCTTGACCCTTTGGTTTCCCGAGCAAAGACCTCGTGCCCAACTACTCCATTCCGACCAGGCACCCCAACTTCCGTCAACTAAAAGGAAAAAATGCATTCTTAATCATCGATTTTCTGCTACGATTAAAATCGATTCAAATAATATACCTCCCCCACAGGTGAAATTAGGCATACCGACACAACTAATGGCAGGAATTACATCTGATTGCCAGAATGAGACACCACTGACTCAACTAAAGGTCATTGGCATTCTGCTAATGCATCGAGACAGTCAGGTGGATATAAAGTCAGTGATGAGCAATGTTACAGCTGCACTTTCAAAGTGACAGATTCGTAAAAGCAGGGATATGCGAGCAAAATAAAAGCGAGACAACACTAAAGACATTGTGGATTCACTGTTAAGTTTTATTATCGGCAAAAAATTTATACACAATAAATACATCAACACAAAATATGCAATCATTCGATGAATATTAATTGGCAGAAAATAACGCCTGAAAGACCTTGTGTATCTATCTACTCATGTTTTATTTATTCTTGTAGGCATAGCTGCAGAAACATATTTTTCATTTCATATCATCAATTCTTTAAGTATATAGATGGTTTGACAAGATAGTACTAAAGCATTGCACGGGGTATCAAATGTTTGATTCGTAAAGACAAGTGATGCTCCATGAAGCAATGGCTTCCTGAGCCAATGAGCAAAGAAACTATTCCCAGCATGACAAAAATATGCATGAAACTCAAGAAAGTCCAAAATCCCTGAGCCTTACCTGCACAGTGCACTTGCAAAACTGTAAAAAGCGAGAAAGCAAAGAAAAGTGCACTGCGGCACATCGTGGTGGTGTTGTCTCCGAGTTGGCTATTACAACGCAAACTTACTGTGTTTGGGCAGCCAGGTCAGAAGTAAGGTATAAACTACCACTGTAGTGCGAATGAGTGCTAAATACTTTGAGAGAGGAGATTTTCTAAAATGTAGTTTTCTTTGAACAACTGCCTGAGAACACATAATACATCATCACAAGTATACACAGGCTCCGACCGAAATCATTTTGAAAGGAAAACTAATTAAAGATAGAAAGAAATGTTTACACAGACGAATCTTGTTCTTAGTACCTAAATACAAACATTTGAAATAATGTTAACCAGTATACAAGAAATCGGTTTTTCAGCTAATTGATTGATTGGTTGCCTTGGTAAAACGATAGACTATAGCTAGGGTGATTGATTTTGCATTCGCATAAAACATTTGCATTTGTTTGCCTTTTCTTTTATTGGGACAGTCCTGATTGGCCACAAAACTTGAAAACAGTCATTATTCTTTGACTTTAAAAAACAAAGCAATATCATATAATTGTAGATCGTTATATAAGTTTTCAAGAAATGAGCTTGCTGTTTTAACGAAGACAAAAATAGAATCTTCAGGTAAGAGCGAGCAGAGCATTACTTAAAGACAAGTGACTTGCTTTCAACAGTGAATGTCTCATCTCGCGTTAAAGAAAGGACAATAAAAATGGAGACAAAAAAATAAAAGGACAAAACAAAAAATGCGTTAAAGCTATCAATCAACTTGGTGGTTGAATTTTCGATTTTTGCAAGGCTTAGATAAAACAAAAATAACTCTTTTCAAATGTCCGTTTAGACAAGACGCCAATTAAAATCTGTGCTGTCTTTGTACAAGATCTTTAGAAGCAATGTCATACTGATATGCTAGTATTAGAGAAAGGTTGTGGTCATTAAAAGAAGAAAATTTCAGATGAACATGCCAGTGGCACCTTTCTATAGTTAAATTTGCTGGTTTTCTTTTGCTTGGGGTTTATCTTTCTTTACTAAGTATGCAATCCCTACATTTCTATTTGCTTGCTAACTAGCCCCCCTGGCTATTAAACAACTGCTAGGGTAATATTTCAGTAACAGCCATGGGAATATTGTCTTCATCAGATACCTGCTGCAAAACAAAGAGCCTGTGAAGAAGGGCAGTTAAAATTCACACATTTGTAAAAACATGGTCTTACCATCTGAATATTTTCTTCAAGGCATCAAAAGATTTACAAGAAATACAGATTTTGCCCTGTTTAGACGACCAAAAATACCTCACAATTCCAGTATTGCAGAGAACATGTCTTTATATGAAGCAAAAACTATAATACTCTAATCAAACTTAGACAATGGAGTGCCTTCCACAAATAGAAGTGGGTATGCTTAACTAGCATTTGTTGTCAAGCCTAATCATACTTGTACCTTTGGCTAGTGGTTCAGCTCTTTGGTAACTGGCTTACAGTATAAAAACATCAATTATTAAAATATGAAGGTCATCTGGTTTGCATACGTTTTTACAACAAATACATCTACATAGATATCTTTGAGAAGAGACAAGACCTGGAAATTCACTTTCTTAAGACATTATTCTATAAGACATTTTTAAAAAAGCAAGACTTGGGGAGGGGTTGGACAATACTGAAAAGTAAATTTTACCAATGAAGCCAAGGAAAAGCAATTTTTTTTCTATTTTGCCTGCTGAGCAACTGATAAAAAACTGGGAGGGGTGTCAGCACACTATAATATCAAACACAAACTACCTGTTAACAACTTAAGATAGTGTGAATCAAGTTATTGAGCAGAGTTGAGTTTGTTTTACATTTCAGTAAATGCCCACACAAAATACACTTCATGCTGTTGTTATAGATTGTTTCAGTTTATACTCTCAGTGAAAGGGGCTTTTGAAAAGAATGAGTGTTTAAATCAGCTCCTAGCAGATAATTAAATAACCCTCATCATTCAGTAGACATACAACCAGGATGTAGTGACATACCCAGAATTGCATTGTGTCATTTTACAGGAAAGGCAGCATCTTGAGAAAAGTGGGGGGTCTAAAAAATGTGCAGGGGCTAAACTGAATAAAAAGGGGCTTTACTTGTTGTTCACTTCCAAATTTTTTGCAATTTTTGCCAAAAGAGAGGGGGAGCTAAAGCTCTGGGATGCCTGTGTTATGCTAATGTCCTGGCACCCTCCACCCTCAGTCACTTGTTATTTTGTTAAAAATTCAATGGTCTGTAGTGGATTACTTAAACACTATAGTTACGAGTTTGCAGTTTGTAATAAATATGTCAAACAAACAGTGGAATAAATGATCTTAAATCAAGCCAAAAATGATCACATAATTATTACAGATTTCTGATAAAAAATATAATGAAAAAAAACCCTGCAACCAAAGTTGTAGCTAAAACTGTTCTTGAGGGGAGTTTTGTCCCCCAGGTATTATACAAATCCTTTGTTTCAAATTAACATCCCTTTAATCTTATTGTTCTCAAATAATGGTGTCCCAAATAATTCTATCCCTCCCACGGTACTGTCTGCCACTACCAATTATTCACAAAGCCAGTCAATATTTTCAACAGAATTAGAAAGAAGCAACTAGAATATTTTTACTTCTGAATCTGCTTGCCTTTTTTTAGCTTTCCGTTTAAGTTTATCGTTTACAATGAAGCAGGTTGGTGATTTAGAAGCACATTGAGCGACCGCCCTTTTCTATGTATTCCTTACGAAATTCAGAATAGCACCTCATTCGAATGCTCATTAGTGCGAGTGTGTTGGCTTCCTCAGCTGAGAACACAAAATTAAAGTTTATTTACTTCACCTGAATCCATACAATTTAAAGTCATGAACATTAGTCCGAGCAAAACATTGTGTAATCATTTTTCAATTTGCATTTTGGTGCAATACTGATGTCACATTTTTTCTGAATACCTTAAAAGCATGGAAATCGCTTACAGTCCTGGTAGAAATCTGGCACAGTTCATATGCAAATTCACAAAACCGATAGGAGGGCAAGCTTATTGGCGAAGTTCGATTAACTGACTGCATGAGCAAAGATAAAGGAAATTGTTTTGTGATCAATTCTTTTGCACCCAAACGTTTCCATTACGTAGATTGAAATAAATGTACCTACCTTAATCATAAGTAAAACTGAAATAAAATGTAGCTACGGAGAAGGGCATTCACATTTTTTGTTTTATAGAGGGTCATAAAATGAAAGCATTTGTATGAGTTTTTAAAAGTAACGGTATTCTCCTACCTTTGACGGATCTTTAGAAAAAGTAATATTTCCTTTATGTACTCCTTAATACAGATATTAGGATTTAGATAACCAACCAAACAAGGCCATGTTTTTAACTCTTAACTTTTTTGACCGCCAAAAATTTAAGACACCCTCGATTTCAGCTTGCAGCACACTCTGATGGTTTCCCTGTGATCAACGTTTTGTGTGAAGTAATGTATTCTCATTGCCAGTCACTGAAGGAATATTGAATATTCTGATTATTTTTTCACTTTTCTATAGTCCTCATGCACAAATTAACCTTTAAGCAAATTAAGGATGTAGTGGTGAGGAGGTCAGAGGGCGCAGCCCCCTTGTTAAAATTTTCGGAAAAAGTGGGGAAGGCTCAGCCCCCTTCATTATTTGTGCTTGGATACAGCCAAGAATCATATAATGCGAAGAACGCTGTGAAGAATTGTTACTTCACCAAAGGTCAGCCATTGACGACTAAACCAGAAAAGGAAAAGAGAAACCACTGACTGATTTAAATGCATTGCAAGCTTTATATGCAAAAAATGTACACAAAGTTTGACATATATTTATAAAAGGTTCTTTAATGATTTCTTACTGAGTACGTTTAGTTGCAGTTTTGTTAAGACAATTGGTTTTTTGTTGCTTTTAGAAACGACGGAATCAATAACCTGGGATCAACAACTGGTTGCTATTATTTGACTCTGTCTTGTTTAGCTTTAATATTTCATGCACTACACCTTTTTTATCAGAACAATACAATTTTTTCCAACACTGGACGCTTTTTTTCGAGATGATTTTAGGCTCTGGTGTTCTTAAAGTTGTATTGATTTCAAAATTGATTTTTCTATATCTGCAAACTATGAATACTTTCCAAGGCCACTGAATAACAGTTCTGCATGATATTTTTAATAGCACTGTTCATTAGCTGATAAAAACACCCTTGTTTTGTTACCACGAGATGAATTGTTTCAATTCAAAATCCAACCAATGAATCATTATTATTAAAAAGAAAATTCTTTTTTATCGATGCCATAAATATTTTAGATGCATTTTTGCCATTCTTAGAATGCCATGTTTCAAAACTTTTCTCGCCACCAACCATAATGGCGGCTTTTATAGAACCCCTGAGCAATATAAACATTTTGCCTCCTCACTTGCAATAAAGTCCTCTCCCCTTGTGCATTCTTCCCCCTAGATTTGATGCTCTCATCACAGCTGTCACTCAACACAGTCAATGTACCTGGCTGCTCAAACAATGTTCGGAAAAACATTAACCCTCACCATAGTCAAATTGCAATGATTACCTGACAAAGAGCAACTTAGCAATTTCAAAGAGCCCCCCTTGTTAAGATTTTACGACTACATCCCTGTTGATGATTTTCTAAAGACTTCCGTTTGATACGATCTTTTGTTGGAAGCCCCGGATGTTAACCTTGGAGAAAAATTACGAGGATGTGCCTGCTACAATAATATTTTATGACCTTGACCAAAATTCTGAGAACGTGATACAAATCTATTCTAAAAATTTTAACCCTGCCCAATTTTCAGGAAAAAATGACTCAAATATACTTTTCACGTGTTCGTAACTTACGTTTTCTTGTTTTTTTTTCAATTTGTCTAGAATACAAAATCTCGCAAAATCTACTCCCCAGTGGCGGCCTGGCTTTTTTCCCTGGGGGGATGCAAATTGGTGTCTTTCTGACAAGATTGGCAGTCTAGGAAGAATAAAACCTAGAAGATTTGTGATAAAGAAGTAAAGGAATGTAATTCTTATAAATATTTAGGTGTTATGTTAACATCAAATGGATCCTATTCAGAACACATCGATATAATCAAAGAGAAAGCTCATAAGGCCTTTTCCCCTCTTTTCTAAAAGCAAAGAATGGGGTGGTTTCCAGTTAGGTCTTTTTCTATGATAATTCGACCATACGATTGTCCCAATCCTAAGTTATGCATCAGATGTATGAGGTTGTGAAGAATGGCCAAAATTAGAAGCTCTACATCTTAAAGCTAAGCATGTAAATATGCTTTTGGTGTTAGATCAAGTACCATTACCGATGCTGAATACGCAGAACTGGGAAGAAAAAGTCTTCAATCCCATCCCATAGAGATGGACTCTAAACGTTACGCTAGTAGGGCCTTTTCTATGCTTTTCAATGATGCTGACTCTGGCCTGGCTGTATCTTAGGCCCTTAATTCTCAAATGCGATATGGAATACAGCAATCAGATACTGTTTCAGTTCTACTAAGCTTAAAACTAAGCTTAGAAACCTTTTTGAGTCTGAAGTATTAGGAAGATTAAATTCACACAAAACTGACAATAAGAAACTATACTTTTACCCCTCATTTAAATCAATTTACAAGTATGAGGCTGTATCTCGACTACATATCTGACTTTACTGTTTGGCAAAACCTAGAGTCAGTACCCAAAATCACCAAATTGAAACGGGACGTTTCAGAAAAAAAAAACGAGTGGCGAAAGATTTTGCTTATATTGCAAAACCACCAACATTTTAACAGTTGAAAATGAAATCTATTTTCTCCTATATTGCCCACTTATTAAGGTAGAAATACAAAAATCACAAGAACAAATTTTTAGAAGTTTCCCTAATACTTACTCATTGTATCTAACTAGCCATTACTGTTCAATGTTGTACTAAGCTATAATTATACCCTCAGTTATATTTACTATCGCCGTAGTATTGTAAGCGGTTAAGGGCCATCTCGGCCTATATAATTGATTTAAATAAAATGCTGTTATGAATTTTTATCTTGTCAAAGATAGACTGACCCTACGTGAGCACAAGTTCGCAAATTAAGTAATATTTCATGGGATTGTCAGGACGGGTTTGACCGACTCGTATACAAAATGGACTTACTTTTCGAAGCCAATCCAAGCAGATGAACTAAATATAAATGTTTAAAGAATATGTTTGGGGAAATTCCAAGAGACCCTACGAGGCCCTACGATGTGGTAAAATCAGGGTTTCATTGTCTAATCTAAGGCACCAGATAAAACAATTTCCTTTGTTTTGCTAAACTTGTACTTTGGGGCAACTAAACAAACTCAAAACAAACATATACTACAACTAACAGCCAGGGTCGCATATCAGGGGATGTGGGCAGTGGCGGATTTAAGGGGGGTCCAGGGGGCCATGGCCCCAGGCCTTTCGCCTATAGTAGCCAAAAGGCTGCTGGGTGTGGGGGTGACAATTAGTGGAAAGATTCGGTCCTAGCCAATACAAGGAGGTTTTCAGTTATTCATAAGGCCAGAAAATGTGATTTCCAACATTTTTTGAATTCACTTTGACCAGAGGTGCCAGGAATGATTATAAGACTATGTCATTTGATTTGATACAATATGAAGTAAATACTCCATTGAACTTTTAAGAAAGATTACGTAAACCCAAAATGACGCAATCGTTAAGAGAATTAGGCCCACCCTAGCTTTCTTGTCAAACTCAATATATACCCCTTGAAAAAGAAGCCTGAAGTATCTACGCGTTAGAGACATGAAGCCAATGCGTTGAATTAAAAATCATTTGTTTGACTTGCCCTTTTTGAAGAAACATAATACCAGCTGGTTTCATTATGCTTGAGATTTAAACGCACTTTTTAGCGTTATTTTTGCTATCTTGTGAATCTAAGACCAGTGGCGAATTTAGCCTTAAAAATCTGAGGGGGAGCCTAGCCGGGGGCCAAACTTTCGGTTATAGGGGCCAACGCTAGCCATTACTTTGCGAACTAGTAGAATGTAAAGCAGTGGCTCAAAATTAACTACAAGACACCGATTTTTAGCGCCCCCTAGATAAGTATGTCTTTGGTACAGCTCTATCAAGGCTGTTATCATTTTGCCAAATAGTTTTATTAGTGGCGTAACGAGCAGCTGCGTCCCCTAGGAAAAATGTCAAAGAAAAATTGTTGCTTGGGGCCCCTTAAGGTGTGGGACCCTTTGTTATTCAACTAAAGGTAACTATGGTCCGTTACTCCACTGAGTTTTATCTGTATAACAATAATACATGAACATTAGATAATCAACAGAAGAACTATACTTCTGAAAATAAAAGGCTAATAGCTTTGTAAAGTTGATTGGTTAGATTTTTCCATAGTAGTTATGTTTTATATCCAACCTATGGTATTGGTGTTTTCCTGCATTGGGTTCCAGAGCGAAAAGGGTTTTCAACGGCATATGCGAAGAATCCTGTTGCTTACCCTGATGCACCCCATTTTTTGTATTTTCGTGATAATATATAACAAATATAGAATTTAAAATATTGTCAAGAATGAATTTTTCTTGGACACTACAGAAATGAGCCAAAATTTCATATACCTCGGTTACAAACCAAAACGCTTATCATAGCTTCTCAAATAAATTCAATAAGGATCGCATTGAGCAAAATGAAGAAAGCAACCCTAACAAAGTCAAAAATCGATTGAACAGCTTTCGAAGAAAACGTTTAATTTTAAATAAATACCTTGGGCACCTTGGGGCGTGAAAGTTTTCTGCTAAAACGAATCGGGAGTCGTCTTTTAGCCAGTGGTGAAGCCTGGCTGTAGGTGATAGCCCGGCTCAAGGAAAGAAGGTCATAGGTCTGGGGGCATTGTCCCTAGGAAAAATCTAGTGTTGCTACGCCCTAAAGACTCTCAGAAATAAGGGCTACGCCCCTGAAAATACATTGGAATCAAGATTACAGTACAACTTAACTCTTGAAATTCCTTTTAACCCAACATCGACCAAAAAGTTGCTCTGATTACCATATACATAGCTTGATATAACGTTTCGAACTCTTCCTAACATGCTGTGATCTTGAGAGAAGAAGGAATCCCATCATTCTATTATTGATACTTTTGACGAGAAAAAATTCGGCTTCTGGAATTTTAGATTGCGCGAGGGCTCCCGTGAGGATCTCATAAGAAACTTGAATCACTCTAAATTTAACGACTTTTAGAAGCTTGTAGTACTTGCTGATAAGTGCACTGCTTACCGAATTCAAGCTCTTCACGATAATTTCAAACGATTTTTAACTAGTAGGGATTTAAGAATATCGACAAAGCATCAATTTCTAATCCATTTGAAGTGATATATCATACATGCTTGAACTCGTTCATCGTATCCAGAAAAAAAGCTTCAAGTAAAATTACAAAGAATTTTTTTGTGGCAGCTGGAGGTTGGGGCCCCCCATTTTAAAGAATTGCAAGAAAATGTTTCAAAAAATATTTGGAGAAGTATTTTTAGCTAATCTAAAGAGCATGGTCGCCAAAAGTCTTCTTCTAGCCTCGTTTGCAAAGGGCCTTATTTATTCATTTTGCCACAGGGCCTCCAAAACCCCTCGGCGACACTGTTCACAATTAAACCGAGAATGATATCATTAGGTAGCCATGTTTCCAGATACAGGCATTTTTAACCTTTCCAGAATCTTTGTTAGAAATTCCTCATAGACATCCAGATTCTTCACTGAAAACTTTTTAATAGAAGCCTGAGACTCAATTATAAAATAACACGGTATCGAAACAGCGTGATCATTAATTGTTTCATGAACATTTTCCTAAATTGTGATAAAATGCAAACACCAAGATTACAATTCCTCATTCAAAACTAAATTGTTAACTTTCCTCAGCTAATTTCTTTGGTAAGAGCAAATCTTAACCAAATAGATGTCTACAAGAAATTTGTGAAACATCGCATTTAGCTGTCGCAACAAAACATGGATTTTTAGAGAAAACAGAACCATATTACAATTTGAAGCACTGTACAATTTCATGTTGTGAGCGTGGCCTCTTTTGAGAAATGCCTCACTACTAAAAAATCTTAAAAAAACCCTGGATCTAGATACTAAGGGTTACCGTTAGCAACAAAAGTTTTATCTTGGCGATGCATTATTAGCCATTCTAGAAGTCTTAATTTAAAAACTTTCCTTCCGCCTCGAACCCAACCATGTCACTAAACGTGATCCTCCTATGTCACTAAACTTGATTCCTAGTCCCCCCAGTCAGGCTCAATTCAGTGGCCCCCGTCTCTGTTATTCAACTAAAAAGGCTCAGATTAATTGATCATTGTCAATCACAGGACTAAAGGTTGTCTTCTCTCATCGTTTGGACCATCCATTTTTAGACTGTCGGTTCTCCAATCGCAAAGACAGCCATAAATAAAACCACAACCGTTTTGACTGGGTTGAGAAGAAGAAATAATGGCCATCTCTTCCACTGACTTTCTTGTTTATGCAAAAGTCACAAGCTATTCGGCCATTAGCAAATGCACAATCAAAAAACTAGTGAAAAAGTAGAAAGTTAATATGCCAAAAAAGCCTGAAAATGCTAAGACATTGGTTAGGCGTCAAGGGTCACAAGGAAAAAGACCTTCACAGTTAAACTTCAGGTCGTCTTGTAACGTGTGAGGAAGAAACTATGCCAACAACATGTTTATATACCCACGGCCAAGGCAATATTTATGTACACTTGCCGCTTGTTGCTTGGCCGTATTAAAGACACAATGTCCTGCTTACATAAGCACTGCTACAATGAGCCCAAACTCCACAATCGTGCAATCCATGCCAAAAACAAAAGCCCAAGGGGCACCGAAATGGCGTGCCCTGTCACCTATTAAACGTGATTAAGTTTTATTTAATCAAGCTTTGTTTTCATAAAGTAAGACAGAATTTTCTGCGTAGAAAATCTTGTTCAAAAAATCTCTGCCGTTAAAACCTCCTTAGATGGTGTCCTCAACTTTTTTATAATGATATCTAGTTATGCGTGTTCATTGGATCAGACAAATAGCTATCGATAATGCAGAGGCGTTCAAGAAGCAAAATGGATGATATGCAAAGAAAATAAAATTCACAGGAATGATTCAAAGTTGTTTATCTCAATTCTAAGTTTTCTTATAATGTTCAGTTCAGTTCAATTACCAAGTGTGTTGAGGTTTTCTTCCCAATTCGACGTTGCATCAATATTTTCTTTCCGTCTCGGGCAGAGGACGTCGAAATAGCAATATATGTGGTTCTAAAAGAAACACGAAAGCATTAAATCTTGAATAAAGTTGCATAAAAAATAAAGTTATATAAATGAAGACAAAGTTTCATATTTGTACGTTTGAAGTAGGATAAGCAAGTATCTTCTGGAATTCACCACAGCAACTGAATGCTGTAAATGTAAGTTTGTAAATGCACTTGTTGGGGAGATGAGATCTCACTCCTATTGTTCGAGACAAAAGGCTTAATGATTTGTTCGAGCCAATCAACGTCGAGGGGCAGGGACGCATGCGTTTTCTAACGAATTATCCCTACAAAATCCCGGGCCATCCTCAACACCAAAAGCCAGGGAACACAACGAGATCTCGCAAACATGTCGAGAACAGTAATTTTAGTAATTTCTGAGGAGTTTTAAGCATATAATTTAAGGACGTATTTTTGTTTATTTTTCATTTAGGGGTTTCCTCGGAACTTTTTCTAGATGTAGTAAAAAGGGGAAGATCAAAATTCGAAGCTTTCCGCCTTAAAAATTTTGTCTGTTGTTTTAGTTGCCTTGGCCTGGCTCTAGTGTCGGAGGTCAGTTAAAATCAGGTTGTGTTGTTTACATCGAATGTCTACTCTCTGTAAACACTTAGGCCGCGTCATAAAATTCTCGATGTTTTCGCTTACCTTTGGAAGTAAAGTGAGCCTTAATACAAACAACAAACATAAAACAACAGAAAATCCAGGCAGGTTTTCAGTATGAAAGATATTTCTGCTATGATCAAACTCCCATGTCAATGTGAATGATAAGCTCCGACCGCTCACTTAGTTTTGAAATTCGATCGCAAAGTTCTGTATGTTCCTTTTCGGGGGGTTCTATGCCTCTTTGACTCAGAATATATAATACGCATGTGCAATGGCCCCAAAACGGGGGTACTCATTTCATACTCAAGAACTTGCTGCATCTCATCTCCCCAACAAGCACATTGAATGCGTTCGACAGAAATGTTTCAATCCTAAAAGCGGTGATGTAGTGATGGGGTAACGCGGCATAACGCCGTTAAGCTTCCTAAATGTGTTTGGGCTGCAGCGTTAGACTTCCCAAACAAAAATGACGTTGTGCTTCTTAAATATAAGCATCATGCCAGATGTTGGTACAATATACCAATCCCCTTTTTTATCAAAGAATGTAAAAAAACTAAATTGACTAGACTTGTCACAGCTAAGGTTCGAGTGAATATGAAAGTGAATAGAGCCATGCGGAGATTCATTTATTACATTGCATTTGTTGGACATGCGCAGTTATGAAGTCCTATTGTTTATTGATGTACGCCGTACCACGGAGAAGGAAAACATTTTAGATGGTCTTCCTTTTGTTTGGAAACGATTCGAACAAATATCGTTCATTGGAAGCAAAATGATTTTTATAGCTTTTGGGGGGCACAAGTCCCCTTGGAGCAAAAGTGGTCACGGCTCTGTAGCTGGAAAAGTATTGAAATAGAAAATTCAAAAGCTAAGGAGAAAAACCAATAAACTCATTGGGAAAAGAAGAAAGAAAGTGAATTCCGAGATTCTAAAAAATAATATTGAAAAGAAAGAGCAGTGTAAAGCAACAGGCAGGGAAGGTACCAATAAAAAAATACCAGCAATGGTATTTTAGAATTCTGTTAACCGATAGAAAAATAGTAGTACCACCCTTTAAAAGAGCGATAAGAAATAGAAAATGCACTCAAGACTCATGAGCTTATAATCCCCAAAACACGTGATGTAAGTCAGCCACCATACAGGCTGCATATAGGAAAGGATAGCAAGAGAATGCAATGAATACAAAAAGCAAAATCGAGGAGTACCACAAGGTAATGTCAACGTACAAGTCAAAATGTACACAACTGGTACAGTACAAATAAAAAGAAAAGCTAAGTACCTCAACAGACATCAAAAGAGAAGCAAGAATAGCAGCAGTAGACAAAGATTTGGGCTATATGCTTATTATATGAGGAAAAATCAAGACAAATGCACTTCCCATGACTGCGACACGAAAGGAGACATAAATGCTAGTGTGAGATTCAATCGTTGTAAAGTGAGCTTACCTGGATCATGAAGAAGGTAATGGACCCAGCCGCGAGACTGTTGCACCCCGATGCCTCTCCACTCAACTTCAGTCAAGAGTCTTCCTTTGGGAATCGCCTTGCGCACCTCAGAAGAAACAATGACATGCCTTGGGAAGGAGATCGAAATCACAGTATTACACGGGAGTACAATTTCATCACAATTAATGGCAGTAGAAAGCCACTGCTAGAATTTGGTGAATTTTCAAGGAGCAATATGAAAGAGAATGATTTAGGAAACATAAAGTAACACCAAATTGAAATAAAACTTACTATGTCTTGAACATTTGTTCATATCATACATTTTCGTGTAATGTGACGTCCGTAAAGTTTTTAATGAGTTGTTTTTGGCAAATTTAGGATTGAATTGTTACGATAATTTAAAAAAGTGTCAAATAAGGAATTACTTTTGCGTATTATCTATTCGGGGCCTAGGCCCATCGGCTTAGCCCATCATTTCGCTTAGCGACCGACAATTCACCCTTGCCAATACAACGTTACATCTCCCGCTGAAAACAATTCATTTCGGCTCAGAATTGTGGATAATATTTGCTTGCTGAATAAAAGCTAATTTCTCAAGTAATTCTCTCCGCGTATCATGCAAAACTTGTCACAATTGTTTAATTTGTGTTCAAGTGTACGAGATACGTCATTATTTTATTTTGTGAGAGTATAAAAAAAATTGTCGTTTAACCGTTAACTTCACTCAATTCAAGATTGATGGGCGCTATCCTCTATAAGCAGAGACAATTTATAAAGAGTGGTTTGACCGGCACTTAAAACAGTAACCTCCAGGGCCTATTTTAAGAAATTTTCAATACTGCACATTTATAATCATATTTTTTATAGGAAATTTTTTGTTGCAATCAGTGCAAACCCATGCAAACCCCAGGTATCTTGGCCATGCAAGTGTAGCGAGGAAATGGCCCGAATTTTGAACATGTGTATACGCCATGACGCGGAAATCACAAACAGACAGATGATAATATACACAATCAACAATGACATTTCAAAACAGCAACACAATAAAAAGTAGCTACAAAACCTGAATAGAAACATACTCATTTATCTCTTGTAAACGGAGTTACTATCTCATGTTTTGTCTGGACAGTACAACAAAAAAGTTTTATTCGGCTCTTTATCTTTCTTTTAGTTAAGTTAAGTAAGCTTCTGCTAGATGCCCAGAGTATGTTAGGGCAACTGATAAATTATTACTGAATGTTTTATTTTCGACAAGATCAAATTACGAAATCTACAAGTAGATGTTTTGTTTTTGGTTCTGGGCATTTCGCTTTGTTTTAAGTTTTGATAAGAGAGTCTTTCCGATGGTTATACGTACGGTGGCCCACAGGTGCCACAGCAAAACTTTCTTTCTCACGGCAAAACTTCCTTTCTTACGGCAAAACTTACTTTCTCACGGCAAAACTTTCTTTTTTCACGGCAAAACTTTACTTCTCACGGCAAAACTTTCTTTGAATTTAATTTATTACTTAAATTAAATTTATTTCGAAAATTTTATCTCGTGACATTGGATTCTCGTCGTCGTATTGCTTTGTTCCTTTTGCTTTTCTTACATAGGCGTAGTAGACAAGGGTCTGGGGAGATAAGGGGGCTGTAGCGGCAACTGTAGTTTCTCAACACTGAAACGTTTCCTAAAAAGCGATAATCAGGCAGAAATCTACCATGATTCAGTCAGGCAAAATTTTCATAAACAATGGATGTTGTTTGTTGGGCAACCACTTCGATTTTTTTCTCCCCTTATATTATGCCCATGCTTATTATTTCATTTCTTTATTCATTGTTATTACTATTATTCGAAAAATTAAGTACCTAGCCATCAACCCACCCTGTGAGTAATACGATATGATATGATATTAAACACAATACCCAATTTATAGGTTTTTTACAAGCCACAATCGAGCGTGCCAAGTGCACGTACGTGATTTTTTTGCACGAATTTTATGGGCACGCCAATTTTCAACGAATTGATCTTTTTCACTGCTTTCAAAACAAAGGAATCAAAGACCTTGCATGCGGTACTGTTTCGTTGAGATAGGCATATAGGCCTAGCCTAGCCCAACCTAGATAAATTTTAGAACATTTCTGGGCTGTCTTTCTGCAAGTATTATCAAGAGAAGATGTAGGTATTCGCAAATTCTGCGAAGTTTAAAACGTCTAAAGCATTGATTAGATCTAAGTATCACGTACACAACAACACGTAAAGAAAGTTTTGCCGTGAGAAAGAAAGTTTTGCCGTGAGAAAGAAATTTTTGCCGTGAGAAAGTAAGTTTTGCCGTGAGAAAGTAAGTTTTGCCGTGAGAAAGAAAGTTTTGCCGTGAAAAAGAAAGTTTTGCCGTGAGAAAGTAAGTTTTGCCGTGGCACCTGTGGGCCACCGTATATACGAGAATTGCAATAAATGAACTCTATATCGAACTGACGAGGAAAATTCACATTTTGTGAACAAAGCAGGAATCTGGGATAGCCGCAAAAAGACATTTTCACAAATCCCAAAATTCAATACTGCACATTTTGGAAATCAATACTGCACGTTTTTAAATTAATACTGCACAAAGTGTGTAATACTGCACACTAAAATAGGCCCTGGTAACTTCATTATCTTGAATCTTACCAAATTTGTAACAACAGTTAGGAAAGTTTGGAAACAACAAATGCTTACCTGTATTCATAGAAATCATCAGTATATTTGTCTGAGTAATAGAAGTGAGACATGCTGAAAACGAACAGAAATGCCGAAGAAAAACAGACGTAATGTGCTGCGACCATGGACGAAATGAACTGCCTGGCCGCTGCGTATTCCATCTCGTCCAGGTCTCAAGAGGCAGCATGGATTTCATTGCGAATCGCTGCCTCGAGTATCAACCTCCAAGGGGTTAAATGAAACGAATCGTCTCGTGAAACTGTGATTCTACAGAAATGATCTACTCGCAACTTCCAGGGGTTAAAGAGGCGTCAAAATCAATCTTTACAAAAAGTGAACTGTAAATTTCTTTCAAAATATTTACCTCCGGTACTAGAGATTGGAAGTCGATAACAAAGAACAATCATTCAATATTTCACGGGGTTTACTGGTCACCTAATAACAAACAACCTATGGGCTTAACCACGAATGAATTTTTAATCGATCAAATTATGAACCAAATTTCCTTGAAATCGTTAAACCATGGCATTCAGCCTGACGTTTTGAACCAAGTTTTTCAGGCTGAAAAAGAAGCAAATTGGCGAAGGAGGTTCCTGTTTGGTTTGCATTGTCAGGGGTGGCTTACGAAATCGTAACCACCACTCTTATGGCGTGATAAAGCAATAACATTTGATAAATGATATCAGCGGCAAACTGATATCGCAATATCTCATAGGAAATGTTGACATGTGACGGTGAGTGTTACGTTATCTACGTATAGACCTTCAGAGCTAATTTAAGAAATTCTTGCTTTGGTGAGCTTTCCGTTTTCTTTTCACGCCATTTGGTGTATAGAAAAGGACAGTTTTAAGCTGCTACTCCGAGTTTCACGCTTAATGCAGTCATCAGGCAACTTTCATTTTATACAACTTGCATATAAGCCCATACTCATTATACATAATGCGTTCAATCTTTCTCTTCATCTGGCAAAAAAGCTTTTGTTAATGTTAGTCATGTAGATATAGTTTCAATTCTTTTGTCTACTTATATGCGTTGTAAAGCCTCATCTCATCAGCCAGATAAACTAAATTGCCAAATTGATTAACTCATTTAGTCTAATAATCTGATTCTGCTTTTCCGTGCTTTTTTCGTACCAAAGGCTAAGTTTTGCGGTACCAAAGGCTTACTTGCTAAGTTTAACAAGTAAAATACTTAGAACGATTCTCTGGCTGTTTCTTTTGACGAAGAGAAGAAAAAGAGACAGAACAGAGACAAAAATGAAAGATCATGATAAATGAATAATCAACAAAGAAAATACAATCATTTTCTACCAAATCTTTATGACATTATATGTCTGTTAACTATAATCTTCTTCAAAAGGCCCTATATCGAGCAGAGCTTGATAAATACATAACGTAACGCATAGCGTATCAATTCTGTTTAATTTCAACTGGAAATACGTTGTGGCAACAAAGAGTCACTTATCAACGTCCTTCATTGATTTATTCGTAAGAGTCACTTTTTTCAACTGCTTTTAACAAAATAAGACTGCATTTACTTTTTAAGATAATGCTTCTTCTGCAACTCAGCATCAAAGTGGATCGATGCGTGCCATGTAACAACGAAACCTGTCTCTTTAGGCCTCACAAGAGCCTAATCAACTACGGCACAGGAAGGGCTCTTCAGTTCAGCATCATCGTACTCGTCGCTATCATCTTCATCTTCTTCCAGGAATATCGGTTCAAGCACCCGCATACGTTTTCCTAGAATAGCAAAAAATTCTCTGAATTTAATGACGTCTACTCTAGTAAAGTTTTCAGTAAGCACCTTGCTGTCGATGGCAGCAACAGTCACTACATAAAGTGCCCTGCTTTCTCTTACCATCGCTTAAAATTCTAGCCCTAAGCTCAATACCTCTCAAATCCTTTCCAGTGAAGTAAGCTACCATCATTAAAGTAACTGATTATCTTGTTTTGTAAAAAAACCAACTGTTGTGTCACAAATTAATTATTTTTACTGTGTAATGCAAGGAAGATATCTCAATTACGTTGCTACAATTGAATATAATAGGTGCATTGAAACAGTTTGCCACATAACCGCCCTTGAACAGCCTTCCAACTGTCATTTTATACATAAGCTTTTTACCACTTGATGAAAAACTAACGTTCTAACTTCTGGCATCCTAAGCGTTACCATTGTCAAGTACCGTAAATCCTCGAATAAACCCCCGTTGGGGGGGCTTATTCGAGGGGGGCTTATTTCAAAGTTTAGTATTTTCCCCAAAGGTCGACATAAAATCGAGATTATTTTTCTAACAAATCTAACAAAAAACTAACAAATGTTCTAATTTTTTATCATCACAAAGTCGCTTTTTTTGCTTTTTGGTCTCCAGTCAAAGGACGTAATACTGGTTTATTCGAGTTTTTTAGGTGGGGGCTTATTCGAGCGTGGGGACTTATTCGAGGATTTACGGTATAGGTGGAAAAGCCGTAGATGGGAAAGTTGTGAGTTGCTGCTTCATTGTATTGTATCATAATCAAATTAGCACATTTATCAACGAATGAGATTTTTGTTCAGCACGTAAAAGCAAAATTGAATAAAAACCGGGTCACTCATCAATTCACGATAAAGATGATCGTAGAACAATTGGTGAAACATCACTCACCTGGAGAAGCCTTTGACTTAGCTGGAACTGTGAAGAGAATTGTGAAAAAAAATGATGAATTTCAATAAAAAGGAGAATATACTCCAATAACAGGAGAAAAATCTTAAGATGTTGGCAGTTAATTTTGCGCAACCCGAAATTATTCATGGCAAAAGCATTTGATTTTAGTTTAAGTGAGGAGTTCTTATTTTCTATTAAGCACGTTTGCCTAAAGTACAGTGTTACCTATTGGACCACAGCGTAGCAAGATTGAAGGATTTCTATAGGACATATGCAGAATTAAAAGCAAGCTTATAATTTTTAAAGCCAACCGACCAAATTAAGAAAAATCTAGAATTCAAATAAATGGCTCTATTATAAAAGAAAGTAAAATGTTAAATTATTGGAAGTAGCATTGGACAATCAACTTAGATTTGAAGAACATATTAAAAGTTATTTCAAAAGAAGTTTGGAAAAAGGTTAACGTGCTAGGTAAGATTGCTTCGTATATGAACGAATTTAAGCAAATTCTTTTAGTGGAAACTTTCATTTTATCACATTTTGTTCATAGCCGGAATCAACTTTTAAACAACCTTTGATAAAGAATAAACAATAACTTCCCGTAAGAAAAATTTATAGTATCTTGCGATAGAAATTTATAACACATTTAACGGTTTGACTCCACCTTTTATGTGTAAAATATTTTCATAAAATGAATACCCAAAAAACTTGCCAATTTAAAACTGCGGAGCCACATTACAAAATACGGATTTTATACCGTATCATACAGATGTAGCAAATAATAGAACTTGGTTCCAAATGAAATAAATTACTCCCTGAAAATTCACGAAAAAAATTTCAAAATTTTCATCGCTCAATTGTACTTTTGATCTTTGCAAGGAATACGTGGGCAACATTGGTTATCTTTGATTTACATTGTATTTGGCGTTGGTAATTTAAATTAGTTAGCTTTAACTGGCATTAGTATAGCTAGATACTGTACCAACTTTAAACAAAGAAAGAAAACAAAATTTAATCATCAAAAAAATCGAAAGGTTATAAATGCAGAAAAGTATAACAATGCAAACCTCGTTTGATATATGTGTTCAACCATGACTTGTTCTTGTTCCTCGTTTTCATGCCGTATTCACAATAACAGACCTTTTGTGTCTTGCTATCAACAGTTGCTCCATTAGCCAGTATACCGTTTTTCTTTCTCACGCTACATTTTGCATAGCAGATTTCCTTGTTTGCGAAGGTACCGATCTTCTCCTCACTTCCACCACTACCATCCCCAATTGTCCAACGCGCAGGCAAAACTATAAAAGAAAGCAATACAAAATTCGTATGTAATGTTGTTTGGAAAATAATAGGAGATAATTTGTCCAATGAAAGACCTAGCATCAGTACTCTAGAAAATTCTTGAAAATCAAATTTTCGAAGGAGAAAACCTACTATTAGCAAACCAGGGATAATTGCAAGGACAACGTTTTCCTTTGGAATCTAAAATTTTGGAATTTCAATCTCCTTCATAAAAATTTGTTTGTAGTGGGGAAGAGAGTGGGTAAAAGAAGCAGACGAGGAAAGATGCTTACCTCTAGATTGTGATGGTCGCGCGGCTGCTGCTAGAAGACAATATACAGTCGATTAACTAATTATTTAATGAACAGTGCATTTAAATGTACCAAAGAAGAGAATGAAATCATGAAAGAAATTGAGATTATGTCAGTAAATGACAGCCGTAATCCTTTAGACCTTTCTTAATCTCTGGCATACGGAACTAAATGCTTATTGTAAATCTAAATGATCTTCAATTTAAGGTTTATAACAGCAAACTATATTGTTCATAGCATTTAACTGGGTAATTTTGAGTAAATTTTGAGAAATCAAAGATATTATCACTTGCATTTAGAATGATGCAGATTAATATAAAGTCGTGGACAGGTGCTCCTGAAGATGCGAAATAATTCAGTGCATAAATGGGATGCAGCAATGAATACTTTGCTGAAATGTGGATAATTTTATCGTCCCTAATTAACCACTTAATTATGTAGCAGTATGGAGCTTCAATAGGTGACAAGCCGAACTTAATCAACTTACTTTTCGATATTTGAGTAAAGACTTGGAATTCGGCAAGCGTCAGGGCCACCTTTTGTTTTCCCTTCAAAACAACGTATACAAATCGACCCTTCGCTGGTACTTTGCATCTTAAGGTGACAGTACGTCCAAAGGGGAGAGCTCTGCTGCTTGCACATCTGAAAAAAAGTTGATGTTGATACAAATTTCAAATCATGCAGCAAGTAACACTTCATGATGAAAGATTAAAACATTATTCCATTTCGAAATTTCAATGTTTAAACCACAAAGTCACAGACTCTACATACTTGGAAGCTGACGGGGAATCGGGGAATCCATTTGTTTGCCAAAAAACCTGAATGTCTTCATTTATTTAGATGATCAGCTAGATTCGGAATAAAAAATTTTGGGCACTCTCTCTCGTCTAATAATGTCAGCTGGTAACTTGTATTACCGATCAACATAACGTCAGAGGAGCAAATGTAATCAGTGGCAAAGAGTGTAAGCAAACATCTGATACAGTTAAACGAAGCTTAACCAATTTATCAAATATAATGATAGCTATGTAAACTTACAGAGCATTTGCAAGCGGGTTATTGTCGACATTGCCAACACGAATCTCAACTGACCGCATGATTGAAGGACATGGTGTTTTAGGGTTTAGTTTTTTGCATTTTCGCATGGTAGTCAGTTTGACAACTCTTACAGTAGCCCTTGGATTGCCTATGTTCACCCTCCACCATGGGCTCACTTGGAATTTGGTCAAAGAGAAGGTTTTTGCAGCCCAGCCACTATTGGCATTTCCATCCACGGCCCTCGAGGACAGTCCTCCGAGTAAAGTAGACGATTGCTTGGTTGGTCTTCCTTTGGCAACATTTCCTGCGTAACGATACATTGACTTCATATATTGATGCAAGTGAGTGACTAAGTGAAGTTAAGTGACTTTAATAGCAAGATTGGAGCAAGTAAAACTGCAAATCATAATGATTCTTTAAATAAACACATTGGATTATGTTAGTGAAGACAAGGATTTTTAATATGATATTTGCTATTAGACCATGGCAACTTAGTAATAGCTGAGGCTTGCCAGAAGAAATGAAGTTGCCAAATCCATTGTTGGAAGCCGAACAAAGCTGTTCTCGACAGAGTCATCTTTGTTTTTTCGGTGAAAGAGCATCCGTGGTAGAGATTCCCGAACATTATGCATGATCTTTGGCCGAATAGCCCGCATCACATGGTATGTGCAGCAAAGAAGCTGTCCTGTCTTACCATGTGACTCATAAACTACCTGAAGCAACGCAAAATAGCATCTATAGCAGACTATTGAACATGTATATAATCAGTTCATATGCCAGAAACCCGCTAAAACCTCAAGGAAATATTATCAGTTCAACTTACCACTCAGTCCAAGGAATGGTCTCGCCTTAAGTGGCTTGAATGCAGGCAGTTTAAGTAGTTTGGGTGGCAGCGGTGGCTTCATCATTGGGGGTGGTTTCATCATCGGGGGTCTCATCGGCTTTGGCTTGGCGAAGGGGTTCGCCATTCCGATAATACGAGCTGAAATTTCAAGATAGTCAAGTTAGTTTCCAAAAAGTAAAACTAAAGTAAAATTGAAACAATTCGTGTAAAAAACAGCTCACATCATTTTAAGAATTGCGGTTTCATTTCAATTAAAAAAAGCTACCCCCTAACGTAAACAACAAAAGACGGTAGCGTTCCAAAGCCCCACCAGTCAAAAGAGCATAAAATTCTGAGTGTATTCATGAATAGTAAAAAAATTATGAGAAATATTTTTGATTTTTTAGCCCAGAGAGTGACCTCAACTGAAAAATTAAGGAATAAGTTTGATGAATTGAAAAATGCTTCGATAAGTTAGAAAATTTCCTAAGTATTATACAGAAAAATTGATGTAAATTAATGCCAGAGATACGACTACAAAAAAGAAAGGAAGCGGCTTTTGAGACCATCGAAGAAGAAGATCCCTAGAAGATCTGATTTCTGATTTTTTAAAGAAACAATGTTCTCTAGAAAATCTAAATTGAAACATTTTTTCGGGTCTATCGGAAAAATATGATAAGTAAAAAGTCACTTACGCATAACAACTTTAAACGGCAAAGCTGAAAGAAAAACAATAGTTTGAAATTAACGTTTCACAAATTGAATTCAACAGCAAGATTACTGCAACAGAACTTCATTTAAAATGTCGAATGAACTACTTGATGAGTATAAATTAAGTCCAAGTATCAATAAGAAGACTTTAAATAGAATCTTGCTGAAAAAATTTCAATGATAATGCATGTGTAATATAACGAAGGATATATGATTAATTTGTTATGACCTTTTATTCAGGCATTTCAAACACCATAAGTTGGTATTTGGCACCACAGTTGATTTTACAATCAGTGAAACTGAAGTTGCCTGGAGAAAAAGTGACGAAGTGGCACTCTTTAAGATACTGTATTGTTCATTTTGGTTTTTTTGTAACATAGCTGAGCGTCATCATAAAAAAGATCATACACAATGATTCTCCTGCCGCTTATATGCGATAATTAGCTCGTCATCATCGTTAAAACTGTTTCTTTATAGCTACATCTCCACGGAAGACAAAAGAGTACTTGCCCTACAGAAATGAAAGCATATGAACTCATTTGAATTGATAAACGGGGGAGCATGGAAAGACATAAAGATACTTACAGATCGATTCGGAGATAACTGATGGCCCCTTTCCTATTCTCCTTGCAATTTGTTTTTTCCACGTGAAAGTACCAGCGCCTTTAAAACCAATCATTGCCAAGGAGCCTCTTAAGCCCATTTTCAAGTTGCCTTTTGCTCCTATACTTTTCTGCAAATGAGCGATATTAATGGAAGTTAATCAAAGCTAATTGCACGAAGACATCATATCAAAAGAGTGTCTGCATTTCAAAGTGCAAATTCATTTCATGCACTGTCATTTTCATGCGCTGAACCTCATGCTTCTTCTTGAAACTAATGGGACCATGTAAGTTTACAATGGATTCGATGTATGTGTAGCTCACTTTTGTTCCACACGAAGTCTCTGAAAAAGATCTATTCGAAGGCGTATAGTAGGGTCACTTCCTTTCAACGAGCATCCTTAACAGCAGTATATTTTCCTCCAACATTCCTACTCGTAAATAATTTCTTCGGGCGTCTTTTATTCCAGTTGTCGTGTCTGCTTCCTTTCTTTTCATTCTTAACAGATTTTCTTTTGCGTCATAGTGTGAAAAGTGCATCTGCCTTAATAGTTGGAGAAGTAAGCTTTTATTCTCCGCTCCCTGCCTATTATTAAGAGGTGTAATATGACCTTATGGTTTAATGTACTGAAGTGAGCGATGCACCAACAGCCATTCTCATGCCTTGTGATGAGGGAATGGAGTCTGGAAAACCTGATGAGTTTCTTAACTTTTTGATAGTGAACTACCAAATAAGGAATAAATTTACATTCATTGCATTTGTGTTTTTGTAGATTCTACAAATTATGCAAAGCAGTTTTGCTTACCAGTACTGAAATGGCGTCATTGTTCAACTTTGAGTCGTATGAATCCATTGTTGCTATTGCGATGATTGAATTGCTAGGCAAACGCCTGATTAAATTGGCAAGGCGCCCCGATGCACCTGGGTCTCCAAATGTGTCAAAATTCTTCTTTCTTCGGATGACCTTTCCACTGGGATACCTGATGACGACAACGTTTATACCTCGCTTGTTGGCACTGAGCTCTTTGCCATTGACTTTGATGGAACCAACTGCATCACCGCATCTTCCTTTTGCCGGAGGGTCATTGCATCCCATGGCATTAATGTCAATTTTCAATGCTAAAATTGAAAGAAACCTTATCTTGTTTCAAGCGTTTAACCTTTTTGGGTAACTGATAGCCAATAAACATGGTTGGTTTGTGAGATCCATGTCATAAAAAAACAAGAAATCAACTTTGAAATTTAAAATGTAACATTTAACGAAATCATTAATTCAATACCATTTCTTTTATGAGTTAATTAGAAAATGAGACACAAAATCGGTTTTAGGAGTCAATTGAAGCAGCAAAACATAATGCTGTTCAGAAATTTTGCCTTTGAGATGAGATAGGGCACCGTAATCGAGATAGCAAAGCAAGAAGATGAAAGCCTGCACACCAGAAACCAACTTCACTTTCCCTCAAGTAACAATAATTTCTTTGCATATCCAGCTAAATTTTTACTCACGTGGCTTGCCGGGCATTGGCGGTGGTTTTGTGCCACGACAGACGTATTTAACTTCCAAATACTTGTATGTTCCTCTACAAGGGTCGCCAAAGATACGGGCACTCGCAGGGATCATACACGTCCTCCTGCCCTCGCACTTGCGCTTGACGACATTCATTGATCTGTGAAAGTATGGGGTTATGGTAAATGACGGGCAATAGCCTACGATGATCAGCTCTTCCTTCACTAAAGGATGTTTAATCAAAACTATGCCAGAAAATTCTGCATTAAGTTGCAAAAGAAATAAAGTTGCGCGAACAGAGCACTTAGTTTAAAAGATGTACGGCCGATATGTGCATTCATTAACGGCTGCAAGGAATTACGTTTATACCATGTTTGCATTATGAAGAATTTATAATACTTTAGCTACTAAAAGCATGAGAATATACTGAACAGGTTAAAAAATTTGACTTACTTGGCAGATTTGCATGTGATGCTTTTCATGTAACGACTCGATTTGCACGTGTCTCTGTTTTGTCGGCCGTACATTGCGTAGGTTACTCCGATGCGCAATCCAACTGGACAACGTACCGCCAACATTTTGCTCTCACAGGCGGTAACAGCGAATTCATTTGCAGCTGATGTGGATAAAATATTTTGGCATTACTTAGCACATCATGCAGCAAAAATCAAAAGAGTTTAGAAAGTAAAGCACACGCTCCTGTATTTTTTATTTCAACCAGACCAACCAATTTGTTTATTTTTCGCTGGATATTGATTTTCCTTGGTTGAAATTTATTCACAAATGTTATGAAAGAGCTCTTTTTCAAGCAAAGAACCGGCAAATCTTGTCAAGATTTGTTTATCTCAATGTTCTGCTGTCTTATCTTCTGTAAGCATATTATATCAATTTGCATGCCCTTATTAGGCAGTTTCATCAAAATTGTATACTAAAGACATACTTACGCTTTAATGGTGTGTCTCTAACTTTTCGTATCACTAAAAAAATTATAATTCACTTATAAAATTTTGTTATGAAATACAGACAAATGAAAGGCTATTTATATCGCTGCAGAAATATCCTGTCAAAGAAATTAAATATTTCATAGCCTAGATCGAAATATTCACACACACCAAACTCTGTTTTGAAAACGTATGCCATAGAATAGGGCTGCTTCAGCCCACTCTACGTCTAATAAATAACATTTCTCTTGATTGCAGCTTCTTCCTCAATTTTATAATTCACTCTTATGAGAACAATAATTGGTGAAGCTTCATATTTATATAATGCGTCCAGTTTGATCTTGAAACACTTACTCGTGAGTAATGGTGAACCCAAACCGCGTTCAAAAGAGTATCCTTGCTTTTTTCTATCTTTCAGAAGTTGAAAAACTGGTAAGCTATAATTTTACAATTAAAATCTACAAATAGTCACTCAAAAGATCTAGTTCTATTAATGTAAGATGGAAATTTTAGCACATCAAAAAGAGGTTGAAGAATTGTGCTTACTGATCTGAGCATCGACTGTTGATGGACCTTTGCCAGGTTTTTGGGTCTGTTGTGCAGTCCAAGAAACTTTGGTTTTTCCTTTAAAACCAACCAGAGCAAACGATGACCTTAAGGCTTTCATGAAGGGTTCCTCTGCACCAATGCTATTCTGCATATACAAAATGTAATAATCGCATTCAAAGTTCAACTTGGTGATTTTTGGGACGGAAACATTGTTTCTCTTTAAAATTGTAATAACTAACATTGTAGCCTTTTTAATCAATCATTTGAGTTTTATGTCGCTTTTATTGAAGGAGATTCAGGGCCATTTCGGACTATCTATCTATCATTATAGATTATGTAGATATTATGCAAAACGCAGGCAATAGATGCATGAAGATTCTGCACCATCAAATGAAACCGGTACCAAAAAAGTGTAATTTCTGCGATTAAATCTAAATTGCAAGTATCTATCATTATATATATATATATCTATGCTAAAAAGTTAACTATCACTGTACAACTTTTCTGTTAGGTTTTATTCAATGAAGCATCATAAATGTGCAAAGCGAAAAGAACTAACCAGAGCTGAATACGCTCGTGAATTCATGCTCATAGTCCATGCATCTTTCGAGGCAACCATGACTAATCTGTTTGTCTTGATTTGGTCAATGAAAGTCACCATTTGCTTAACTGCCACTCGATTACTGTGTGTATCGAAATTGACCGTTTTCTCAAACAAGCCATTAGCCAGGTTGTAAACAACAATGTTCAAACCTCTTCTGTTCACACTTCTCTCAATGCCATTGACTCTTATTGATCCAGGGGACCGAGCACAGTCCTTCCCTTTGGCTGGAGGATCGTTGCAACCACTAGCCACAACCTGCACTTTCAAAACTACGAAAAAAATTGCTCAATCTTGTTTTCAAGTGTAAAAATTAACGAAAGTAAGCAGAAAAACCAAAGCATTCCAACAAGAGTAGACTATTGATGAAAATTTTCATTCATACTTCTGATTTATTTTGGCTCATGATTTGCATCTGCAATGACATAGCAAGAAGTCTCTGACAGCAAACTAGGCTTACTCGAAACAAACGATTTAATAATACAATTAGACTTACCAGTGCCTTTTCCCGGAGATGGCCTTGGCCCTGCAAACATAGAAAAGCAATCATATCACTGATACTACAGAAATTTGATGATATATCCACAATACCGGACAATGAAGCATTTAAAAGTTCTAAGTAAATATGCCTTGCAAATACATTTGCTGTTGCGTTTGTCTCCAGGGGTCTGTGGGTTTTCAAAATAGCTACGAAGTGAGTTGAAGAAGAGGGATAAAAGATATTTACGCACTGATTGCAATTTCGCAAGTAGAATATAAAGAAACTTCTTCTAAATCAATCTAGTCTAAACCGGAAAACGCGAAAAATTCCATACATAAATTTAAATTCCATACATAGTCTTGTGAGCAATGACGTGTCCTTGTAATTCATGCTTTCATAATCGAAACTCTAATTCACTATTTACAACTATCTTTGATAATGATAGGAAAACTACTGGAGAACTTATAAAGAGACATCAAGATGCAAAGTGTCCTGAAATCTGACTGCTCTCACTTCTAAGCCTTGGTAAATGTTTAAGAGTGTTAATGGATTGACATGTGCCACCTTGACCATTGTGGAACAGTCAGTGTAAAAAATGTAAGTGTATCGTGTTTCTCGATGACAAGATTTCAGGATTTCCAAATCAATATATAAAGCGATGCATATAACGACAATATATAAAGACAAGCAAATTTCAACAACTCACTTGGTTTTCCTTTCTGTGCAACATTTCCTTGTTTTAGCAAGTATCTACCAACTTTATTGCCAGGTCCAATATCTAAAAACCGTAAAAAAATTAATATTGCAAGAAAACTTTGTCCTTAAAGATTATAGGAATTTGCTCTCTACTGTTGTATTTTGTTATGTTTATTTGTATTTTGTTTTTTTGCTATTTTATGTTAAATAAGAAAGCGAAAGAATTTTTAAAGGATATTGTAGCCTGAAATAGCAATAATTATAAGACGTTTATATTGTCAATAAGCTGCATCAGACTTAATATTGATTCAGGGCTACTCTTCTTCACATTAGATGAAAATTGAGATAGACAATCCGATGCAATCAAAATTCAAAGCATCTCTTACTTCTAAGCAGCCAGTACTGTATGCCCATAAGTGTGCCTGGAACTCGCGAAGGAGAGCACATAGCAAAAGAGTGAACATCATTGCCAGCCAGGCCTTGAACTTGTCCCATGTTGATGTTGCCGCCAATACCGACTGAAAACACTTTGACACCCGATACTTTAAGGTTCCTGATAATGCCAAACAAGCCATTGACGTTACCGGTAAGTGGTGACTGGTTAATCATGAAAAGCGCTGAACGGCCTCTGCGCTTGGTACCAAACAGTTTTTGAACAAAAGTCAACGCTGGTCCAATATTCGGCCCTCCTGGACTTGGGGCCATCTTTTGGATAGCAAGGCGCAGTTCCACGGGACAGATAATCTATAAAGCACAAGTAAGCATGAAACATTGAAATCTGACGGTAAATCGAGAGACTGAAGCATTTAGCCAAAGTAACTGTACTGATCATCTACTTGTAAAAGAGAAAAACAGGAATGAAAGGAAGTTGTAACCTAACAGCATAGAATAATTTGCTTTGAAGCGGCAATCAAATGATGTTTTCCATAAATAAATTGAGAAAGCAATTAAAATACAAAGTTTGTTCTGTTTTCTAGTATATTGGTTTAAAGTGCGTCATAAACACTCTTTCAATGAAAACTTTAAGGATCAAAAAATCACAATACGAATACCTTCTTGTCTTGCAAAATGATTTGGGCTGGTGTCTTTCCAAATTGAACAATGGTGTAACTCGTTCCTCGGTCGTTAAACATTCTAGCTACATTGAAAATGTAATGTTTAATCAACTCGAAATTGTTCGGTACATTTCCATCGACAATGAAGGCGACTCTAGAAGGAGCAATACCTGAAAAGAAAACAAAAAGAGAATTCTCATAAACGTTGTGCTAAGTATGGGTGCATTTTCATATTCCAATGATTTGTATTGGAACTGTGTTGTTTTAGCAGTATTTCTAAGAAGAAGATAAAAATGCTTGAAAGGAATTCATACCTAGTAATATTTATCCAAATATAAAGTTAAGATAATGCAGTAGTAGGCCAAATCGATGTCCAGTTTTGGCAAAATCGCAAAATGAGATGCGGTGGGCAAAATCTGCCCAATTAGTTTTGTTATGCAATTATGCAAACAGTACAATTGAGAAAAAGTATTTGTTTCAAGGCACAATTGCATACGATATGGCTCTCATAAATGCATTCATATTTCTTTTTCATTTCAATTAGATGAAAAGGTTTTTCTGGCAATTCCATCGCCAGCGTTTCTTTTTGATACTAGCTAAATTCATACGTTTATCAAATTCTTATTGCCTGGGAGATCAAAATTGAAGTTGAAGAATTAGGTAAACCAGAGACCAAACAACCTCGCGGTGGAATTCGCATTTCACTTTTTTGCTTTTTTCTAGTAAGGTTGCTAGACAAGTTGCATTCAGTTTGTGATACCGTTAGTTTGTCATTCGTAAATTCGACCCTCTGGGTAATGCTCTTTTCGTTAAGTTAAATGGAGAAATCAGCTCTAATCTAAAAGAGAATGCTGACTTTTCTATGGTTTTTGCTAAATGTTACAAACGGAACTTTTCCATGTATGCCATATCATTATTTGAATTTCAGAGATATCGAAAAACCTGGTTCATCACTTACTGTTGTAGGCAAAGTTGTTGATTGCCTTCTCCCAGTTCCATTGGGTAGGAAGTTTGGCAATTAGCTCCACTGGAATTTTGATGACTAAAAAAATATTTCCATACGGGTTATTGAAGGGAAACAAGATTATCAGACTATCAACAAGTTATTCCTTTCCACGGGTTTCAGTTGCTTCAATTTGATTGAAGAAGTCTATCAACTTGACTATAAATCGAGCCTTAACTTTGGTGCAGACAACTGCCTAACTTTGTAATTGCTTCTATCTCTCTTTAAGTGAAGGATGACCTAAAAATTTACCTGGAGCAAATCAACAAAAATCAAACTTTTGCATCAAAACGTTTTACCATCTTTAGCCTGCAATGTCACGCAAATTGCACTATTAATCGGATGTAAAAAATATCTTAGGGGGAAGGGTGTGTTTTGGATTCTTCGTTATTCTAAATTAATTGATAAAACGCCACAATAAGGTTTTTGATCTCATAAAGGAAAGCAATACTTACTTTGGATTCCGCCAGTTATTGGATCGTCTTTGTCATCGTCTCCTCCAATCACTATTGGAATAACACGACCTCCATTTTCCCCATTATTCTCTGTATCCGGATTGATTAGTCCACCTGCTGGATTGGTACCGGTGTTAGAGCTGATTTTGTCACCACCCTTCTCTTTCTCCTTTTCTCCAATACCAGGCTCTTTTTCACCAGGTTTCACCTTCTCTGGAGGCTTGTTGTTTTCTGGCTCGACCTCAGGCTCACTTCCACCACCAGGTGTCTTTTCAGGGGTTTTTCCACCGCCACCGCCACCACCACCGCCACCAGGCTTACTTGGGGTGCTGGGTTCTCCAGGAGTAACGGGTTTGGTGCTTTCCGGGCCTACAACATTCGGTTTCTCCTACAAAAATGCATAATTTCAAATAAATGATAAGCTTCCTTTCAGAGAGCAGATGTGAAATAGGCGTCTAAAAGATCTATATGCTTAGCAACCCTCGTGCTATGAAAAATGATGAGTTTTGTAGCCAGTTACCTCTTCCTTTCCGCCTGGTGTACCAGGTCCGCCATCTCCACCTGAAGGTTTCTTTGGCGGTTTTGGCTTCACGACCGGCTTTGTAGGTCCTACCGGTTTGATGTTTGTTCCGGCGGCTCCTCCACCAGCTCCAGTGTCGGTTCCTCCACTGCCGTCTGGTTTGTCTCCGGTTGCGCCGCCCTTTCCACCTTCTCCAGAATCAGGGGTGGCTGGTCCTCCGGGTTTACCTGAGTCGGGTTTACCAGAATTCTCATTCGGGATGCTTGTTTTCGAAGTTTGGTCTTTCACGTCTTTGCCTCCAACCCCACTGTTCTCGGGATTGACTTCTTTATCGGGAGGGGGTCCATTGACAGCTAAAGCAACGAGGATCAGTGTCAAGTTTTCTACCTATCGGTTTTTTGTGATTATAAATACCAACATGAATTACCCTCCTTTATAGAAACTTATATTTTCCTCTGTTTTATAGAAACTTATGTCTTCGTCTGTGTAAAAGTTGCCACACTTGATTTGCCCTCTCAATATCTCAATATGTAGGCGTTAATTACTATCAAACTTTGAAAAAGAACAACTACTGCTTAACAATATAAAATTATCTTGAGCTAAACAGAAACACAATCTCGTCCTATAAATAAGCATTGGAGTGAGATGCTGATAAGCATTGGAATGAGATGCTAAGTTTTCTCGAGTAACTTAGCTAGGCTTACTTTCATTGTCAGAAGCTAGATATATGATAAAACCTGATTTGAATTCCATCCGATTTTTGACAGAGATTTGTAGAAACAGATCATGAACAAAGTGAACAGACTATTCTCATTGCTTATATTTCGTCGCTAGCATAAAGATGTACAAAATATAAACTTAACATACATCAACATAAAAGACTTTGTCAATGATAGAATAAAGTAATGATATATAACACTCTATGTTTAAAGGAAATGATAATATTTGACTTACGGATAGTGATGACATACTGGATTCTTAAGACGATTGCTGGTAGCTTGGAAAATGGTGACTGCATAGCAGAGTCCCCGGTTGATGCAATGGTTTTAATATCTTCTCTTGGAGTGTCCCCGATTCCTGAAAGAGTAAATTCATTTTGACAATGTTTGAAGTAGTTTTAATAAGGGCTGTTGTTTACAGACAAAATAAACAGGTAAGACCTACAGTTTTCCGATTCTCAAAGAGTGCGTGCTGCTCGCCGTATAAAAACAATTGAAAAATACAGTTGACTAGCATTATGAAAAATGTAAGTTACGTTATGTTAGAATCATAAGCTAAATGAACGTTGATTCCTTAATCAAAGTCTGATTCCTTAACCAAAGTGGAACGTGACTAAATTCAGAATATTACAAAATTCCGTGCTGTTGCAAGATCGCAGTAGAATCACTGCAACGTCACTAAAACATCAAATGAGTTGTTGGGTCAAGAGTTAGACGAGCAGGAAAAGTTCTTTTTCAAATACTTTCAATTTCTTACCAACAGAAACAACAAAAACTCCACTTCCTTTCAACTTCCTTGACGGCGAGAGGACATTGTCATCAGAGCTTCCTTGTGTAACAACAACAACCACTCTTGGAATCGTAGGTCTAATCCTTCGGAGGACAACCGTTCGAACAAAGTTTAGAGCGAAACCAACGTTGCTCTTCTTGTCTTTTTCTGGCTTGAGATTTCTCAAGATATTCTGGATCTGTCGAATCTTTGGTAGTGGTCTTGATTGGAATTTCAAGCGTGGCCTTCTACCGAAAGTGACAAGACTTACCCTAACTGCGCCGATCTTGAACAAACGAACTATATTGTAAAGGAATTTCCTGGTTATGTCAAAGTTCGTATCGTCTGTTGTGTCGACTACAAAAATCAATTCAGCCGGCTTCAAACCTAGAAAGTAATATAATTAGGATGAGAACAGATTCGACATTTTATTGTCATTGAAGAAACAAACTGATGCAGTTCAAATCTGCCAGATCAGTTCTTAGATGAAAATTAATTTTTATAGTTCAACATTAAAGATTGAACAATAGTTTAATCTTTCACTGCTAATCTTTCTATTACCATTGCTTTACTTTTTGCATAGCTTAGAGTTCTCATTCGTAAAGTTGGAGCAAAATAATTCCTTTAAAGACCTAGAAAACACTGCTTGAAAGAGAAACATTCCTTGCAAAAAGCGTGATAGTTATAGGAACAAACTCACTTTGATATGTTATTCCTTTCGTTATTTTATCCCAGTCCCAGATAGATCTGATCTTTTCAATGTCCTTGCTTCCTTGTGGACCAATGGAAGGATCTAGAAGTTTAGAGGTCAATTTAAAGATTTGAAAAATAAATTTCCTCTTTACATTGCCATCAAACAGAAAATTGCTTATAAAAGCTTACAGAGAGGGTTGCTTGGAGGGCTACATTATGCATTATAATATTGAACGGCTACCAGGGCGTAACGGCCGCCGGTCTTCGGGCAAAGATTTTTATAGTTCAATAGGCTGTCGCCACTATGTTTTGTTGCTCTGATTTTCATGCTTGCTCACATAAGAAAACCAGCGAAGCAGTTAATTAGGGAGTGAATTGACAGACATGTTTTTAAAAACTACTTTCTGATAAGTGCAATTGTGATTACTTTACCTGTAGGAGGGGGCATTGGTGGATCAATCACTGGGGTTGGTGGTGGTTTGGGTTGAGTACCAGTGTCTTTTGCTGGTGTAACTTTAATACCTGCCGAAAGAGAAGCAGAGGTGATCTTTGCAATCTTCAATTAAAAATCGCAATCTCATATTGATTTAAAAACTTCTTTTGAGAACATAAAGAAGTCGCATTACCAATGTCTTCTTACCTTTCGTCAAAGTTATACGCAGTTTTCCAATGGCTTTTGGTAGATTTTGCCATTTTTCGACATACACCGTCTCAGAGAAAGGCTTTAAGTCGGTTACTTTAACGGCCGGGAATATACCGATGCTCTGGATATTGACACCGGTTTTCTTGAGTCCAGAAGCTGGACCAGTTATTTCAGCCGGGGTATCTTGTGGACGGTCTGTTAAGAAAACCACTGTTACCTTCTTTCCTGCTTTGACAGGTGCGGTGGCAAACAGCCTGGTAGCGGCAGTCAAAGCCGGTCCAACCTTCCTGCCTGGAGCTCCTCGGTACCTATTTGTGTCCATGCAAAGTATCTTAATCGAATTATCAAGCCAAGAGAGCAATTTTAAAATCTAACTGCAAGATAGATTTAGAAAGCTCATTGAACAATACAATACAAATAAAATGAAAGATACAAATAAAATGAGGTATAAATTTTTCAACCAAGTACATGGCGTTTGTTCTAGGTGTTTATGGTATTCCATCAGATTCAAAAGTATAAATTATGTTCTAGGTCTAAAAAACTGCAAACTTGTTACAAAGACATTGATGAAGCGTCAAAGAAAATCTCAAAAACCAGAATATCTGAATGCCTTTCAAAAACTGAAAGGCAGACGCTATTTGGGAGGTTAAAGAAAAAACAATTTTCATACTTCATTTTGGCATCAGCCCTAGGTATTCCGAGAAATCTAGAAGTAATCTAAAACGAAACAATTTTTAGCATTTAAATAAAATGTTGAAGGTATCAAACTTGAAAACAACTTACGATAAAGAGGAACAGGCTGTCATGAGTGGGCCTAAACCTCTGTAGTTTTTCCAAGTTGCAAAGCGCATGTCGACAGTTCCGCCAAAAAGAATAAATGCAACGTTAGACTCGGATCCAAACAGACGGACAACATTGTAAACGAGTCTTTGAATAATGTTGAAATATTTTCTGTTACTTCCATCTATGACAACGGCAATGTTGACAGTATCAAGACCATATGAAATAAGCTTGTTCTTTGGCGTTTTCCAATGCCAGTTGTATGTGATATCGGTTGGTGATACTGCATAAAAAGTAACAGCAATAGTTAATGCTGTAATTTTTTGTGATACTTCATTAGAAACATGAAAAATAATTTATAATATAATGGAGAATGATACTGGATAACAAACAATACATCAATACCTTAAATTCGGGAGAGGAACAAGAAAGCAGTCAAACCTTCTAATTAGTGAAGCAACCCACCTTTCTTTATTAAAGTTAGGAGCACAGGCGTTGAACTCAATTATTACTATGCATGCAATTTTTGCCCCCAAAGACTTATTAGTAAAACCTCGTTGTCCTTCTCCAAAATCAGAATTTTATGAAGTACAGACAGATAAGTTTCAGTAATTTTTGATTACGCAAAGCTTCTCTAAAACAATAATATAAAGAGATAAAAACAATGAACAAAGTCGTTCTAATAAGTAAAAATTTTGTAAGGTGCTATAGAATAAATTTCAAATATCATGTTATTCTAGCAAAGGTGATGGCAAAAGATTGCAAATAAATGTGTTGGTTTACCCTCAACTCTTCCACTTGATCCAGAGTTAGGTGAAGTTTTTCCAACAACTAAAAATGAAAAGTTCAATGAAAAATTTCAATTCTGTAGAGGTGTCAATGATAGGAATTTGATGATAAATTAACGTTAAAGTTTGGATTAGAAAAATTAACTTTTAAAGATTATGAATCTTTTTTATCATATTTTTGAATAAAAAACAAAGATAAAGTTTTAGAGAAATGTGTTCTATAACATTGATAATATTGATTACATCAATAACGGATAGAATTTTAAGAATATATTACTTTTTTGTAAACTGTCCACGATACTCGTGGTTGTTTTCAGTAATCCGTCAATCTTTGATGCAAATATCTCGCTAGAAGAGAATGGAATGAGAGAAATTTCTCTCTGTTTGAATCCTTTGTCACCAAGATTTACGCGAGGGTTGAAGCCAGTTAAACCAACAGCAAACGTCTTGATTCCTTTATGAAAAATATAGATAAAGAATGAGATCAAGGGAAAACACCACTGTTTACAACAAATGCAATTTCAGTGGGACTAAAAACGGTTACATGAAAAATACCAATATTGTCTGGAGACAAGCAGCAATATATGATGAGGTAGAAGTTGCTGCAGCTGCTAGTGTTGTGTAGATTATAAGAAATTCAAATGTCGGCACTCAAATGCGCCTGCGAATCTAACAATGTGATTAATGATGATCTAAAGAAATCAGTCAGTTCTTCATTCAACTGATTATGATTTAAATATTTAAGGAATAGCAATAATTATCGAAATGCGATTTTGTTTGAACACCAGACACAGTTAATGTCTGAGCCAGAAAATTTTGATAAGAGATTCAGATGGATCTGAAAAGTTCTTATCAACGGTTGTTCGCAAATGATTTTGAAACAAGCATGAATGGAACTACAAAGGTATGAAATATTCTAGTAAAATGCAATTGATTCTTAAAAAAAAGCAGCTACGAACTATTGTTGGTCAGACGATTACAAAACCTTCAATTGCTTATGATGGTTTCAGAGCGTGTCTCAGGGAAGGAAACTTTTTCTTAAAAAATTATCGTCTTCAACATTGTCACAATTAGGGGCTGCTTCAAACGGCCAAACAAACCTCGTTTTCGCAGATTGGCAGCAGGCATAACTACGTCATCCGAAGATTTTCCTTTGGTTATCAAAATAAGAATGTTCTGGTTGCCTGGAGGCGCCGTAGAGAAGGCATTTAAGGCTGCTTGAAGCGCCAGTCCAGTTTTACGTGCTGGTCTGTTGGACTTTGGAAGCTTCCTCACTAACTGTCGGACTTCAGCGCCATTTTTCAATTGCACCCACTGAGCAACACGGTACTGTGCATCACCGAAATCCATCAGAGTGATGTATGTACCAGAGAGTGAGAAGACACGAACAAGATTATAGATGAACCTTCGAATGTATCCGAGATTCTTGGGGAAGAAACCTTCAACAAGGATGGCGACGTTTGCCCCGTTGACAACTGAAATGAAGATTGAAGAATCGAAAATGCATATTCACTTAACCATAGAAGATTCTTACAAAAATGTTATAAAATTACAGAACCAAATTGTGGCAAGATTTTTTAACATGCGACAACCAGTGTTCTGTTTTAGAGAAGATACAATAATGAAGGTAAGAAAATAATGTTTGATCATAAAAATTACCTGGATTGCATAATTTTTTCTTTGCTCAACTTCATCTTAAAGAGTTGTTATCTACTCAAAGCATCTCAATGAAACATGAGATAAGCACAAGCGCGCAAGAACTGCCAGATCACGTATCTATTAGCGTCTCTCTCAAAAATTTTTTGTATCTTGAATATTCTCTTAGAGCAGCCATTCTTAAACTCCGGCCCGCCAAGCGCTTTTCTCAAAAAAATATTTTTGGCTTGGAAAATTTAATTTCGATTTAGTTTTGTTTTTGAACTGGCTCTGATATTTTCTTTCTCTCTGCAGTAAATGAAAATGTGCGTCCCGTTGACCAGTAATTGGTCCGAAAGGGAGTACGAAAATAGGAAATGCTTTATTTAATCTTTTAAACGTTTTATAGCAAAATATTTTACTGATTTCATTGAATTCAATAGGTCGTTGATAAACTCACCATGACCTCACCCCTCTCTTCACTTTCTGAGATCCCAGGCCCAAGGCCAACTTAATCTTTAGTTTATAAAGTTCATGCTTATTAGCGTATGTGTATGAGGCAGCGTGTGTGGACTAGAGCACTGGATAATGCTTTATTGCCAAATTGTGTTTTATTCATTTTTCTCTTCATCTTATTTTGACTTCATTCATTTGTAAAAAGATTGATTATTCGCTGTTACGCTAAGATAATTCTAAAACTTTGGAAGACCCTTTCTTTTCATGTCAACATTAAAATGGATAAAACTGTGGAACCGTTAGCTTTTCTCCCGTCAAATTCTATTTTAGATGCAGTTTCTGGCCATCTCTAAATTATTTTGATCTAAAAATTTTTTTGCCGCCACTTTGAAATACGTTTCGCCCTCCCTGGATCCAATTAACGTCGTAACCTAAAAATAGCACAAATGTCTTCTGATTCAACCTGGTATAGTAAAAGAAACGCATGCTGCAAACTTTTGTGTAAATCATTTTTTTTGGCTCCTTATACCTTGCTACACTTTTAGTCCCCTTCTCCTAGAAAATTATCCCTGGCCTTGGGTGTGTAAATCCGTCGAGTATTGCACATTGAGCCATTCCCTCTAACATCAAGCCAGCATCATGTTCCTAAATGCTATCATCGCCCTCCCTTTCCCTCTCCTCTCACCCACCATTCCAAAACGTATTTCATGAAAATAAGCGCCTAGATTTTATGAATTTGGGATCTAACAAGTAATAACATTTCTGCCTATCTTATCTCTAAATTAGCCTGGTAAGTATGAGATCTGAACTTTATTTTGTGCAACTTTTTTGACACAAGCCATGTAAAAGTCGAAAACTCCGCATCTTAGAAAATCCGCATGTTTTTTTCTGGCCCGACACTCAAAACAATTAAGAACCCCTGTCTTAGAGTATAGTAAACACTAACTGACAGTTATCAAGTTCTCGTGTGACAGGCCAAAACTGTTATTCACCTCCGTATTTAATTCCCTTGTATCTTTTTGGCCAATCCCAAGTCTTCAGCACTGAAAGGGTTTCCTTGTTTCCTAAAAAGTTTTATAAGAATCGTTAAAAATTACTAAGTACTAGATTACTTTTATGTGATATAAAAATAAACATTTCATTATCTGTTACGAGCGGCAATCATAAAGGGAGCACTATATTTGTGAGCATAATGTGAGCATTTATAAAAAAAAGACAATTATCCACTTTAATGGCACATGATAATCTTTCATTCAGGTTTTGCACTACAAATTTATCGCTAAATAATCAAAGCTCTAAATAACAGACTCTACTTCTTCTTTGCCTGCAGAATAACTGAATCTTAATTGAAGATTGATAGATTATCGTAATTATAGCTGTATCAAAATGTATTCCAATTTCTAATTGATTTTTTACAGCAACAGTGCATTCAGAATATGGTTCCTTTACTGTATCAATCCATCAAAGAAAGCTTTGTTATGTATTGAATATTATTATGGCAATGCTATTAGTGTTTCTCAACAGCGTCAGATGAGCTGATATTTTGTATTATGTAAGGCTAAACTGCAAACGTTTTCCTTCATTTGGCATCATAACAGGCTCGATAATGATGTTTTATGGTCATATAATTTTTCATAATATTTATAATAAATGTTGACCTATTTTGATGCTTCTGCTACAATGAAAATTCATCTATAACGACTGTTTGCTCTGCAACTTCTCCTAAACTGTCCCACCAAACCTGGAAATCGGTGATATCTGCCTTTGGCCACTCTCTGCCTTTGGCCAACTAACTGGAGACTAAAGTTTCTTCAAAACGCCTTAAAGTATATAGAATTAGCAAAATCTAGAAACTTACCAACGTTAATTGTAATCGCAGATCCTTCACCAGTATCTAAGAATGAAACAAATAAAGTGTAGAAACTACTTTTCTTTCAGATTTAATCTAGAGTAACAAGTTTGTTGATTGCGACTGACTAACAACAAATGACTTTTACAAAATGGAAGCAAAATTATCCGAACGACACAAGATTATTGGGGATGTCACACCCCTTACATCCTCCCACTAAATCCGTGCCTGGAACAAAGAAAAACATAAAAAAACATTCTGTTAACCTTGTTTGATAATTTCCTGAATGGCTTTGAATCTATCAGGGGTGACAAACGATCTTTTCTGTCCATAAACAACCAAATTGGGGGTTGTGGCGATTTTCTTCAACTCGTCAATGTATTTATTGGCTTTTGGATTGATGCCATACGCCAAAACCTTGATTTTCTTTCCTCTGAACTTGTCACCAATTGCCTGCATAACTTCCCCGTCACTTGTTGCTCCTGTGGTAAGCACAAAGAGAATATTTGGGAGGGAGTTGCGTCGTCTCTGGGTTTCAAACTGCTTGAACATCTCTGCCATGGCAAGTCCAGTTTTTCTGTATCCACCTCTAATGACAGGTATTGAGTTGATGACTCCCTATGAATAACAAGGGAATAAATAATTTGATAACGATAAAGGTAGGATATCGTTGAATTTCGTTATCAAGAGCTATCAAGGAAAGAACGGCGCTCTTATCATTCGTCTGCTCCCTACCGAATGTGGTGGAAAACATAGACACCAGTATACTTGTGCAGATTTTTTTATGCCAAAAATATACCACTTGTCTTTCTTGGTTCCCTTAGTTCGATTCTGTTTCTTTACAAATGTGGTAAAGTTTAATCCCATTAAGTGGGACCTTCAAACAGGGGTAAGGAAATGTTCTGTCATAGCGACAGTCCAACTTACCCGGGTACGTCATTATACTTGATAAAGTTTGAAAATCCTAAAGGAATTGAAAACCAGTCTAACTGAGTCCGAGGTATCGTGGTATTGAAAACTGAGTCCGAAGTCCCACTGAGTGTCCGAGGTATCCAGGATACGACTTAACAGGATTCAACTGTATTTTGAAATTATTGAGAAATTTCGTACCTGTATTGCAGCCGGGCTATCAAAGGACCTCCAGTCACAGACACGGGACTGCGTTGGGCCATATGCATAAATTGTGACGCTAGTGCCTTGAAGCTGGAACAGCCGAATGTAGTTGAACACCAGTTTTTGTATGAACTTACGGGAAGGCGGATTTGAAGTATCAAGCAAGAAGCCAACATTTGCCTTACCACAGGCTAGGATACAGAAAAGGATTAGGTCAATTACGATGATTCGGTTATCAATCTTCATTTTTTATCAAAATCCTGTAAAAATGCAATATTTGTAACGTATTGTCAAACGAAAGGCTTTTAACATTGATTATGAGTTGAGAAATGAAATTGAATAGACGACTACCTTAGTATATTTCTTCTCTGTTGCTTGTTCACAAAAACGTATCAAAATGCATTGATTATAACTCGGTTCTAAGTAACAATACCTATATGGTTGACATGAAATCTGTTTTATTTGAAAACGTGGAAGTCGTAAATATACCGGATTCCTTACTGACTTTTCAAAATTAAAAACTTGTTTCCGTTAAAGGTAATGTGTCCGGCTAAAGCAAACGATTCTGCGGGGATTTTAGAAGCATGCGGCTGCGGGGGTTAATCTATCATGCTGCGAGGTCAGCTTTTCATGTGAGCAGTTTAGCATCGCAAAAGTACTAACCAATCGCAAACCGTTATTTTGATGCTTGATGGCTTGACAAGTTGGGTATACGCAGTCCTTTTATATGGACCCATTACCTTTAAGCCATTACAAAATACAAAAACGTTTATAGCCTTAGGGGAACAATTTCAACTGGTAATAACTTACTTCCGTATTTTAGACCTTTGACGTATTTGTACCAGTTCCACATCGAGTGGTACCAAACTACAAGAGAGAGAAAATCACAATGTGAAAAAATACAAGAAGATTTCTCTTCTCCTTTGCCTATGCTGTAAAACCATTCTGTATTAGTTTCATTGTAAATATCTAACTAGGAAGTTTTTTTAGGCCAATAGGCAATAGTCAATAATAGAGAATCGCATTAAGGATTTTAGCAAAACTGTTGGTGGTTCTTCATTCTCCCGACAGAAGATTCTATTGAAAATGTAATCTGTTGAAAATTGTGACTAAAGTGCTTTTGTTTATTTCTACTAGTTTTATTTTAAACAGCTTAAATTACTTATCAAACGAAATATTGTTTTATGGTAATTAAGAAAATCTGGGTAGTTTTCTCTCTGATCCACGCCTTCTGCCTCTACTGCTCGAGGATTTTCTTTCTGAATGAATTTTTCAAAAACTTAACATATGATGCAAATATAATGATATTTTTTGTTAGAACGTGTATTTGGCTGTGAAGGTGCTGGAAAATGGAAATATGGGAAGGTGTAGCGTTTAACGAATGCCTGAAGCAAGATTCATTTAGGCGTATAAAGAAACGCAACGTCATGTTTAGAGATCTGTGATAATGGAACGTACCTCCACCATATCCGTCAAGCCCTAAAAAGTAAGAAACAGGTTAGAGACTATTGGCTTTTTATGTTACAACTACTTGAAAGAGGTTTACACAGAAGAAAAACCAAAAGAATATAAAGAAGAATACAAATTTGTACGATTTTAGAGACAAAAAGTGATTTGCAGCATTATCAACAAAATAACATCGAATGTCCTTAAAAGATGAAAAAGTTTTTGACTTGATGAAAGATGTTAAGCAACAGTAATGTGCGTTAAAAGCTCAATTGCAATTCAACGTACATCTGACAAGGCGGTTAGCCAGCCTCAGCAATATTGGTGGCCTGACTCCCAGTGGTGACACCAGGTGAGCGTAGGTCGTTGCTCTGAAAATCATTCCCGGCTTTGTCATCATTGTCAACTCTTCAAGAATAAGACGAGTTCCAAAGCCAATCACGTATACCTTCACGCCAAGTCGCTTGAGAGTTTTTGCCGCAGACTGCAACTTGTATATGCAACCGTATGAACGACCGCGAGTAAATATGAACAAGACTTGCTTTTGCCCTGGTGTTTTAGCTTTGCTTGCTGCAAACATTCTGGCAGCTTGTTCCATTGCCTCGCCTGTGCGTCTGCTTCGCGTATTGTCTCCCCTCAACCGGGCCATGGCAGCCTGGAGTTGCTGTTCTGTTGCAAATCTTTGAAAAGAGCTAACCTGTATATGAAGCAGATCGCAATTACTGTCACCCTGAATATTCAACAGGACTTAGGTGTAAGCTGAATGCTTGTCGTACGTTAAGCAACTCAATGTACAGTTGCCTAGCCACCATTATTTATCTACATTGCAAAAAACATAGAATGTTGCTGTTACGGCCAGATCCATCAATTAAATCAAGGAAAAATGAAGTGATTGCAACATCATTCCGAAGATAAGAGCGGATAATGCTGACGATCCCAAAGCCATAAAACTACAATTTTCGTTCATTTTAGTTTGACACGTTTCTAGAGAGTGATCTTTTGGTTTTTTCCATTTTTGCCTCCACTATTCTTCTGGTGGTATATAAACAATCAAAACCATTCTGGTGTCTCGTCTGGCATATATTTACTCTTTTTGGGTGTTTCTCCTAGCATCATTTTTGGAACAGACTTTCAAATAATTGTGAATGGCCACAGAGTTGTTATGAAGACTCAGGCCTCCCTGTGGTCTCGTCACTGAACTGTAGTTTCTAGCAGTGTATTGTAAATTTTTATGAGCAAAAAAACTGTCTGATTTGGAGCAATGATACATTTCTAACTTGACTAAATAGCAAACGAAGCAATGATTTCAATTGCATACCTGGTTATAACCTTTTCCAAATGAAGCAATAGTGAAAAAAGACGACTTGATTGGAAGAACTTTGGCCAGGTTGAAAGACAGTCTTTGCATAATAGGCATATGTTTGCGAATGGATGCATCAACAAGAAATGCGGCATGGGCTGGAGTGCTGGCACCTGTAAAAAACGCACATAAGTAAAGCGTCTTTCCACTGCGTCATAAAGCGTTCGTTTCTTTCCAAAGCGTTATATAAAGCGTCAAAATTTTGTTCTGGAATCTATGTTTAGAAAAGGCAGCTTTATTATCAAAAGTGTCTGGCCTACTTTTTAGTCGAAAAAATACAAACAAAGACTATAGCTAATGAACAATAGCTATTTCGACGTGGTGTGTAGCGTTGCCGTGTTTAGAGAAATGAACCTGATGCAAAACGGATGCAGTGTCGTGTGAACGGCCAAAATATTCGTATCCTATTTGGTCAGTGATTCCGGTCTAGTATAGTGTAAACAGGGCTTTAGATTTAGACAAACACTATTTGTTCTCACGCGCAAGATACCATTTGTCTTCATTCTTCCACTTAAAGTCATTTTGATTTTTAGAAGGAAGAGAACATTATTTCTGCAAATTCTATTGCTAGCAAGAAAGGTTTTAAAACATTTTGATGAAAATACATTATTCTCTCGTTCTAAGCCATCATTTGCCTTTTCTAATACATTTAATGAAATAAAAATGTTTGATTTTTGGCGTTCATATCAAGCAATTAAAATTTTCCAGGTATCTTTCTCATTTTAGATTTTCCTTAGATACTGCATGAAGTTGGCCGTTTTGATAGGCTTTTCTTTGCACAAGACACTACTGTAAATATTTTGCAAAGCAAGCGATTTTCAGAAGAGGTCACAGAATCACAGAAACATAGAGTAATGGAGGAATCAGTCAAGAACATTTTTTGGTACTTTCAGCCTGTTCAATGAAATGTTCTGTTAAATGAAATGGCAATGAATGTAAAGAAAAGGTTTTCCTTACCTTTTAACTGAACAAACTGTCTCCAATTCCAAGAAAGAAGTTTGGTATTCCAGCTAGAAATCTGTGCTGGCATAAACATTGGTGGCCTTTTTCCAGTCAAAAGCAGCTTATTCTTCATAGGAGCACGCAATTTCATTGGAGGCCTTCTGGTTAACCTCTTTTTTTTCCTTCCAAACAATCCTTTGACAAACCTCGAAGCTTTTGCTCCCGCTTTTCTCAATCCAGAAAACAAGCCACGTGCAGTACCAGAAATCATCCCTCGGAATGTCCGTACTTCCGCCTCTTGTGGTTCTGAAATGTGAAATGGTTTCATATCATCGAATGATTCGATGCTCAATCGAACTAAATATTTAATATTGACCAAAATAGTGTCTTTGCGGTTGTACCAAAGAGCCAGACTCTAACAGCTTTCTAAAACGCCTTGTAATGTCTTTTTACCAATAGAAAGTTAATAAACATTACGGTTCGAAACATCATTACAATTGTAGAATATAGAATAGCTGTTGAAATTTTACATAGACGTAATGCAACTCAAAATTATTTGTAACCGATTTCAATTATAACTTTTATTGCAGTTGAAAAGAATAAAATATGCTTCATTCACCGCATTCAGCCATTGGAACTTCTTCATCTTCGCCATCATCATCTTCATTATCAAAGTATTCTTCGGGATTTGCAATTTCCACCTCTTGTGTGTTGTCTGCAAGGCTATCTCCACTTCTTGCCTCAGCTGAAACATCAGTATCAGAGCCGTTAGAACCTGCATCTTCTGCAGCTGTATTCGTGACATCTTCGCTGTCTCCTGCACCTTCTGCTGGAGCACCTTCTAATTCAGCATTTCCAGCATCTTCAACTCCGTCGTTCACATCCATGGTGCTGTCAGCATCTTCACCATCGATGCCGTCTACCTCACTGCTAGCATTGGCATCGTCAACAGCTTCTGCATCTTCTTCTGAATCGGATCCGTCATCATTTTCGAGCCCAGCATCATCAATGCTTTCGTCATCGCTGCTTTCGTCTTCGCTGCTTTCGTCGTCACTGCTTTCGTCGTCACTGCTTTCATCGTCACTGCTTTCATCATATGCAAGGTAATCTGAACCGACTTCATCGTCTTCTTGACCATCAGCATCTACTTCAGCGTCGACATCCATCGCATTCTCAGCTCCTGCACTGTTGCTGTCTCCATCAACTACTTCGGCATCTGCATTGGAATCGGAACCTTCTTCCTTGTCCGCAACAGCCCCGCCTTCAGCGTCAGCCGTATCGTCTGGTTGTGTGGCATCTTCACCCGCAGAATCATCTTCTTCGAGGTCTCCACCATCATCATCATCAGTTGTTTCAAGTTGAGATTCGTCTTCCGTGAGTTCATCTGAGGGTGTTGTTGTCTTCGATTCGGCGTATTTTGCATCATCTGGCATTGCGGCTGCATCAACAGGAGTCGATGCTTCATCAGCTTTTGTTGCACTTGAATCTGTTAAAGACATAGAAATTTAGTGAGCATTTCAGTACATTTTGCCCGTAGCATTTTCTCTGGATGAAACCAACCTCTGCTAGTCAAAATCACTGTTTCTTTAGCGAGGAAGTGATCAAACGACAGGACTGTTTTTATCTGAGAAAGGCAACTAAAACAGCAGAAGGTGCACGGACCAGGGATTGCTCGTCAATACTAAGAATGTGATAGTTTCAACATGCAAGGACACTCAAGGCAGTTGATCAAGAGTGTTAAAACCAAATATATGGATTGAGTTTCCTGTTTATTTCAAACAGGCATGCTTCATTTAGAACTTTATTATTTTAAATACTTTCAATGTTCACAATTTAATATTGGCTTAAAAATTTCTAACATTTGAAACAATTTTGTAGTACTTTTTTAGGCTATTTCTGACAAATAACAGAAAAATATCTCTTGAAACCTTGCTGTGTTGAAGCTTTAGCGGTATCATCGCCAGTCGACTCTTCCATGGGAGCACTGTTATCCTGCTGTTTAGTCTCTTTTGCATCAGAGCTTTCGTTATCACTAGCAGCAGCGTCTTTATTTTCCTCGGCTTGCTCATCTGCCGTGCCGCCTTCTAGCATTGTTTGCGGTGTTGTCTGGACATCGCCCGCGTCCGCAGATACTTCATCTCTTCTTTTACCAGTCAAGGCTAATGTGTCATCAACCTGCTTTAAGAAATAACAATTATCAACATTCTAATCATTACATATTTAATATTTGAATCAATGCTAACACTATGTCAAATTTGTGAACACTATATCAGAGGTAGGCATCAAAGATCTTCAACGTATAAAACTAGCCTCTACTCACCTGTGCGGCATTTGCGGGTGCGTTTGCTGCTGGTGAAGATACACCTTTACTTCTAGTCGCAGCTTGCATGTCGGCCCCAGCATCCTCTGCCCCAGTATCATCTTCAGCCATTGTATCTTCTTTTCCAGCATCTTCAGCCGCAGCATCTTCCACTGAGGGCTCGTCAGCTAAAACACCATCCTCGCTATTTGCATCTTCATCTGCTTCGGCGTCGGTAACATCTGCGTCATCTTCGCTTGCACTGTCAGAGCCGTCGACTTCTGATTCGGCTTCCTCCACAGCATCATCAACGCCAGTGTCTTCTGAAGCAGAGCTGTTGTCTTCAAGTTCTTCAGAGGAGGCTAAAGGAAAGATTTATGAATTTTTTTAAGTTTGAATGCGATATTATACAGTCCATTTTGAACTCACTTGGAGAGAAACACTTTACACCGACAGGATTCCCTTTCCTTAATGGAACTAAGTCCTTTCCTTAATGGAACATCGTAGATAATATTGGATCTTTAATCGGTTTTCATGTGACTATATTTTCTTGCTCGCCATTTTGCTTACACAGATTCTCATACCATGGCCAATGTCAGACAATCTCATGCACTTATCAGATGACGCTTAATGCCTAGTTCAGCATACCCTAAGAAAACAAAGCAAGTCATTGGGGATATGTTTAAGTGGATTTGATGTCCATCTCACTTACCATCTTCATCATCTTCAGCATCCTCATCGCTGTAATCATTGATATTGCTGATGTCACTCATGACTTGCTCGTCATCACTTTCAGTGAAGTTGGCATCGCTGTCGTCGTCATCATCATCCGCAGCAGAATCTTCGTCATCATCATAATCATCATATGACTCATCACTCTCGTTCTCGAAGCTCATTTCCTCAACATCAGATTCCGAGCTTTCTCCATCCGAGAGGTCAGTGATTTCGTTGTCGTCGTTATCGTTGAACTCGCTGTTTTCGACTTCATCGTCATCGTAATCAGCTTGCTCTTTATCGACAACTGGATAGAGACAACCAACAGCTGTTTCACGAATTTTGCAAATACTAATCACGTAAAATAAACATATGTGCAACTTCAACCTTGATATTTCTCACTGTCTTGTAATACAACAGATTTCATAAATTTCAGTGTATTCTGCAATACCTGAGCCGTTGCCATAAACAACTCAAACATAATAATCTAGAAACAAGTTTGGATCAAACCTTGTTCTGCTTGGTCTTCATCCTGGACATCGTCTGAAATGTCCGAATCGGCAAACTCGCTGTTAGAGAAATCAATCTCTGCTTTCTTGTGCAAATGACCTGCTTTAGAATGCTCAGCTCCCTTTGACTGGTGTTTCTTTTCATTTTCAGCTTTTTTATGATGTCCTCCTTTCTCGTGCTCTGCGTTGGTGACACATCCCAGAACCAACAGAGCTAGCAATGCTAACGCAATACGCAGGTAGCCCCTATGTTAAACGTAAATTTAAAGGATAAGATTAAATTAATCAAGACTTTTGCTCTGTTAAAAACACAGAACGTTCGATAAAAAACTGACAAGCGTCACACTCGCTGATTTTCTTTTTGTTATAATCTTAAACAATTATAACCTTTTATACAATTACAGATACTTAAGCACTTGAAGAATCAGATGTAAAGAAATGCGAAAAATTAACACTCGTACGTACAATTAACGCTACTTAAAATAAAACTAAATATTCAAAACTTCTCAGGACACTGTGCGAGGACAGTAGACTCCACAATTTCAATTTAGATAACAGCAGTAAATCATTTTGGTGAGTAATTTCTGATAGCATTAGGCAAAACAGTTATCAGTGATTATCAGTAAGTACAAACGAGATCCGATATAAAGTAATCTGTTTGTTACTATTAAGATACGATTGAGAATCAAGCTATAAACTATTATACTATAGCATTGAGACTCTTACCTGCTTCGGAGAAACATAGTTGCGCCAGCGGCGTGAACAAACTAGACTGAAATAACTAAAATGGTACAGCTCATAACCTTACTATAAGGTAAGCGCGCTAGTCCGTTAAAAAAGTGTCGTCGGCTTGACGGGCTGGATGTAGTAATCAATAGCCCGATGAGCAGTGAGACAATGCACTAAATGCTCCCTGTCCAAGAGCTATACGCATCAATGAACAATATTATAAGACTTGCATAAGAAGACAATATGCGCAAATTTTTCATAGTTTTGTATGAATACTCGTAGAATCAGCTGATTGGTCGACAAGATAATTGTTTATACCAGCATTTACGAATCACCAGCTACCCCAAAATTCTACGTGGAATCCACAAGTCACCCTTCTTGAGTTGTATTTTCTCGTCAACCATAACAACGAAGGAAGATCATTTGCAAAGATCTTTTCAATTCAGCAACTAGTTTGTAAAAACTTATTTAAAAACATTGTAATATCAAACATTAAGCATTTTGAAAAAATTACATTTCAAGTTTTGCTATTAGCATAGTAGTTAAAGCCTGGTTTTCACTGGAGTCATAAAGGTCGTAAGGATCGTAAGAAACGCAATTTTTAAGATTTCATTACGCTTATGATCATGTGAAAACACCATCAATCATAATCGTAAAATAATTAGCACTTGATATTATCTCTTAAAATTCGTGACATGAGGATCGTAAAGATCAAAAACTTTTTCATCTTTACGATCCTTACGACCGTTTATGCATTTTACCTTGCATTGTAATGAACTGTCATTTGTCACGTTGAAACAAATTTTCAGTTTCTCAGTATCATTTTTTACGCCTCTTCTTTAGAACTCTAATAAGAGACGTACTTTTTTAGTTAAAAAACACGTGCGTGTAGAAACAAGTTATGGGGCTTACTAGAAATTAATCTAGGATGTGATTCAACTTATTGGAGACAATTCAAGATGAAAAATGTTTTACAGATTAAACTAATGTTTGGCTGCGAGTAGAGAAGAGACATTTGAAAATCTGCCCTGGAAGGTTGGCTATACTGTTGCGGAGCCCTTCTGCATAACGTAGGAGCAAACAAATAAAATTGCTTTTGAGTATGTTTCACATTTATGAAGAACATATAAGAATTTTAGGACAATTTCACTGAGCATTGTTTATGGTGTTCCACGGTAAAATATAATTTATAAGTACATCTTCTTTGCTCCTTATGACATCCTGAAGGCCAGCATAAAAATTGAAATTTTCAGCCTGAATAGTGACATTAAAAGTATACGGGGTCTCAGTGAAGAAATGTTTTTCAGGTAGAGTTCTATTCCTTAAGTCTCACGTAGTCGTAAGGTTCTACACAATATCTTACATCTAGATCTAACAACTGGAATTCCTGAATCTCAGTCGAAGTACAGGTGTGACTGTCGTTTAGACATTGATACTGAAAAAACCAAAATCATATCAAAGGTCTAATTGATTGTGAAAATTGGCGGGCATAAGCGGTGGATTTTGGTTTACCAGGGGCAATTCCAAATTTCAAATGCATACGTTGTCATAAAAAGGGGGCTCATTTCATTTGCATGGTGCTCGTGATGAATTCCGATCTCAATAATTGACAATTAAAGGCATTAACAACGTTTGCTAACAGAGAAACTTGACTTCTAAAGGTCGGCGCTTACGTAGGCATGCGCTTGTACATCTAATTTCTCCATTTAGCTTTATAACTTGTGCGCTATCGGTGAACTTTGCGCACTTGTGGCAAATAAATATAGTTAAAAGGATTGGTACATATCAAATACTATAGATAAGATATGCTTTACACTTTCAAGATTTTTTAAGTGATACTCTAGGATACCTGCAGTTTCTTTTATTGTTTGCGCTTTCACCTGCCCCTTATCAATGAACAAGTCTGAACAAAATCAAGTCTTACCATCAACTTAAGCTTATACCTGCAACTATTACTTATGAAAACACTACCTGAGTACCAGAAATTCGTTGTAAGAATATCTGACCTACAATAAATACAAAAATTTTGAGCTGGTAAAATTTTACAAGAGTAAATTCCGGCGAAAATATTTTCAGACACACTTTTGAAATTTCAGAGAATCAAATTTCCAAAAACTTTTGAGCATTCTTTTGGATGTTTAAAAGAAAGCCACATCAAATTATTTATTCATCCATATTTTTAAAGTCGTTATTGAACTCTTGAAAAAATTACTGATGATGTGACAACGCTAAAAAACAATGAATATCGAACTGGCTAAAGTTCTAAGTTTCTCATAAAAATGTTTCTGTTTCTCATAAAAATGTTTCTATATAAACTAACCAACTCAAGCGATTGTACATTGAACATGCGTGGTTGAATCAAAAACGTTTGGAGTGAAAAGCCTTCGTACAGACAAATTTTCGGACAACGATATTTTTTTAAAGTTTTACACGCCGATATTTCTTTTCTTAAAGGCATTGAGTCATGATAAAATAGATTGGGTATACCCAAAGTGCTAAAATCCGCTGAGTCACGATTTTCATGACTGCGATGGTATTGGTTGACCTCAAACTGGTCACATGAACTCACCTCGTACTGATTAATAAAACAGTTTCCATCAATAGCAAGTTGTCAACAACGGATGCCAGTATCACATGAAACAGCAACGATCACGCTGAAACTAAACCACCCCCTATAGACAAGGCCTATTTACCATGACTCAATGCCTTTAAGTATTCCAATATTAAGAAATTAAAAAAATTAAAATTAAGTCAATTGGTCAAAATTAAGAAATTCTAAACATAAATTTTTGTACCCTGGGTACCAGACTCACTATAAAATAAAATAGAGAGTCTGGTCTAGTGCGCTCCATTCTCGTTCTGGTGAACTTACTTGAAAGAACTGTAGTCTATTTAACAGACTAGGCCTGTGAAACAAGACTGTTGGATAAATAACAAAGATACTCAGAAGTCAGAGGAGTTTTGGGAAATCTTAAAGCAAATGTATTAAATTGTGTGCACTTTCAAAGTCTACTTCCTCACTGTGAAGGCAGCGTGCTTAGACACCGCGGCGGTTAGAATCATCACGTTGGAAGTTCATCACAGCAAAAATGGCCAATACGACAAGCGAAGCCCCGTATGCCGGGTGAAATAATAGCTATAACTTATTTACTTGTGTTTGGCGTTGTTTGTTTTCGGCGCCTTGCGGTGTTTCTTATTTAATGCATTTCACTACAAGGCCTAATTTCTTTGCATGGGAGGCACAGCCTGAAATATCAGAGACTTTCCGAAGGTGGCAATATGACGAAGGTGTCTCCTCTCTACAAACAAGGCTTTCAATGCAGTTCTGTGTTAAGTTCCACAACATGCGGAAAATATTCTTCGAGTACAGTTTTAACAGCATCTTCAAACTCAATCGTTACGGTCGCTAGCATATATTTATGTTGTGTTTTGTTCAATGTTTTACACCAGAGCTACGTATATCGTTTCGCTGTGACCTTTGAACGTACAGAAATCCGTACAATCGCTCCTGATTGGTTAATATCAGCACACCAGAACGAGAATGGGGCGCACTAGACCAGACTCTCTATTTTATTTCATATATAGTGAGTCTAGTACCCAGGGTAAAATTTTTGATGCAGTCACACTTCGGTACTCTATTATGATGTCCTCATCTTCCTCAGAGTCACCACGAACAATTGATGTCCCCTGGGAAATCTTCACAACAAATTTTGAGTGATTTATAAAGGGCTTCTAAGGCACACAAGTAAATATTTACGTGGGCGGTATTTCAAGCCCACAATCTTAACGTCATCACACCCGTCAAGAGACCCACTCAATGCATATGTTTTCTTTGTTGAAATCAGGGGCTTATGAGGGGGCATTGATAGAGAGAGGGGGCTTTTTTTTAAATTTTTGCTCGATAAGGGGGGCTTAATAGAGAAGGGGGCTTAAAAAAGAGGGGGGTTGAGAGAACTTTTATGGTGTTTCTCAGCGTACTTTGACATTGTTCTCGCCGAATAGCGGGCAAAATTGTTTATTAAATGGGGAATTTTTGATTGGTGGAAGTACCGTTATTCTATGGATATTCATGACTAATTTCTATTCAACCTGAAGTAGTTTGATCTTCAATATTAGCTTCTCAAAATCCCCACCTTCGCAGCATTGTCTTATTTTTTCCTGAATTTTGTGATACTCTATATTTTCACCAAAACCAGCATATCGAAGGGCAACAAAATTAGTCAAAACAGTTATCACTAAAGCATTTTTAAGTTACTAGAATTTCACTTAATTGTGATATTTTATTCTAAAAATCTTGAATACCAAGACGCTACGCTACTGCAACCCACCCCCTATTCCCTCTCCACCCCCATTCCATGTCCGTCCCATCCTCTACTCCCTCTCAATCTCATCCATTACACCCCCTACTCCCTCTCTATTCCACCCCCATCCCCACTCAGTCCCATCCCCTATTCCCTCTCCAACCCATCTCCATCCTCTATTCCCTCTCCATTCCACTCCCTATTCCCTTTCAATCCCATTCTTTATTCCCTCCCCATCCCATCCCCTATTCCCTCTCCATTCTACTCCCTATTCCCTCTCAATCCCATCCATTATTCCCGCCCCATCACATCCCCTATTCCCTCTCCATTCCACCCCCTATTCCCTCTCAATCCCATCCTTTATTCCCTCTCCGTCACATTTCCATCCCCTATCCCCACTCAATCCCATCCCCTATTCTCTCCTCATCCCATCTCCATCCCCTATTCCCTCTCAATCCCATCCCCTATTCCCTCTCCATTCCACTCCCTATTCCTTCTCAATCCCATCCTTTATTCCCTCCCCATCCCATCCCCTATCCCCTCTTCATTCCACCCCTTTTTCCCTCTCAATCCCATCCTTTATTCCCTCCCCATTCCATCCCGTATTCCCTCTCCATTCCACCCCCTATTCTCTCTTAATCCCATCCTTTACACCCTCTCCATCCCATTTCTATGCCCTATCCCCTCTCAATCGCATCCCCTATTCCCTCTCCATCCCATTTCCATCCCCTATCCCCACTCAATCCCATCGCCTATTCCCTCTCAATCCCATTTCCATCCTCTATCCCCTCTCAATTCCATCTCCTATTCTCTCTCCACCTCATCTCCATCCTCTATTCCCTCTCCATTCCACCTCCTACTCCCCCTCAATCCCATCCTTTACTCCCTCTCCAACCCATCTCCATTCCCTATCCCCTCTCCATCCCATCCCCTATTACCCCTCCACCCCATCCCCATCCCCTATTCCCTCTCCATTCCACCCCCTATTCCCTCTCAATCCCATATTTTATTCCCTCTCCATCCCATTTCCGTCCCCTATCCCCACTCAATCCCATCCCCTATTCTCTCCTCATCCCATCTCCATCCCCTATCCCCTCTCAATCCCATCCCCTATTCCCTCTCCATTCCACTCCCTATTCCTTCTGAATCCCATCCTTTATTCCTTTTCCATCCCATCCCCTATCCCCTCTTCATTCCACCCCTTTTCCCTCTCAATCCCATCCTTTATTCCCTCCCCATTCCATCCCCTATTCCCTCTCTGTCCCATCCTCATCTCCTATTCCCTCTCCATCCCATCCCCTATTACCCCTCCACCACATCTCCATCCTCTATTCCCTCTCCATTCCACCCCCTATTCTCTCTCAATCCCATCCTTTACACCCTCTCCATCCCATTTCCATCCCCTATCCCCACTCAATCCCATCCCCTATTCCCTCCACCTCATCTCCATCCTCTATCCCCTCTCAATTCCATCTCCTATTCCCTCTCCACCTCATCTCCATCCTTTACTCCCTCTCCAACCCATCTCCATTTCCTATCCCCTCTCCATCCCATCCCCTATTACCCCTCCACCCTATCCCCATCCCCTATTCCCTCTCAATCCCATCCTTTATTCCCTCTCCATCCCATTTCCGTCCCCTATCCCCACTCAATCCCATCCCCTATTCTCTCCTCATCCCATCTCCATCCCCTATCCCCTCTCAATCCCATCCCCTATTCCCTCTCCATTCCACTCCCTATTCCTTCTGAATCCCATCCTTTATTCCTTTTCCATCCCATCCCCTATCCCCTCTTCATTCCACCCCTTTTCCCTCTCAATCCCATCCTTTATTCCCTCCCCATTCCATCCCCTATTCCCTCTCCATTCCACCCCCTATTCTCTCTCAATCCCATCCTTAATTCCCTCTCCATTCCACCCCCTACTCCCTCTCTGTCCCATCCTCATCTCCTATTCCCTCTCCATCCCATCCCCTATTACCCCTCCACCTCATCTCCATCCTCTATTCCCTCTCCATTCCACCCCCTATTCTCTCTCAATCCCATCCTTTACACCCTCTCCATCCCATTTCTATGCCCTATCCCCTCTCAATCGCATCCCCTATTCCCTCTCCATCCCATTTCCATCCCCTATCCCCACTCAATCCCATCCCCTATTCCCTCTCAATCCCATTTCCATCTTCTATCCCCTCTCAATCGCATCCCCTATTCCCTCTCCATCCCATTTCCATCCCCTATCCCCACTCAATCCCATTCCCTATTCCCTCTCCACCTCATCTCCATCCTCTATTCCCTCTCCATTCCACCTCCTACTCCCCCTCAATCCCATCCTTTACTCCCTCTCCAACCCATCTCCATTCCCTATCCCCTCTCCATTCCATCCCCTATTACCCCTCCACTCCATCTCCATCCTCTATTCCCTCTCCATTCTACCCCCTATTCCCTCTTAATCCCATCCTTCATTCCCTCTCCACCCAATCCCCTATTCCCTCTCCACCCAATTCCCATCCCATATTCCTTCTCCATCCCAGCCTCTATCCAGCACTAATTTCTCTAAAATCTTTGGACGACGATTAATGCTCTGGTCAAAATCTTCCTACAATTACTGGGTTTTTTTTAGTTTTTCTATTTATCTAGTTTTGACTTACCACGCTTGCCTGAGTCAAGAAAATGTTCTGTATATCTTTTTGTGAAAAACCATAATATCAGAATATAAGTTTTATCATCAACATCATCAGGACCGTAGCCGGATAGGCCATTGGTGCACCCAATTCTTAACACTCACACGCCATTTGATTCTGTCCAGAGCCAGATGGTAACATTCTACACCTTTGAGGTTGCTCCAATCCTTGATAAATCCTTGATATCAATCTGCCATATCCGTACCGGCATTTCCTAATTCCTGTTACCGTCACAATTTCCTTACATTAATGCCTTCGTTCATGCATCACGTCTGACTTGATGGCCAAAGAAATTAAGCTTCCTTCTCTGAACTACTTGCATTAATCGCTCAGGCCTTTTAACATTAAAGATGCTTGCAACTCGTTCCCAGATGTAATAATTTGTCTTATGCTCTTTTCATGACACGCCAAGAAGTCTTCTGTAGCACTTCATTTCAAAGGCATCAAGGTTTTATCAACCGTGTTTTAACCAAATTTTGTTAAATAGTGTGGCAAACAAAAATCATGTTTCGTCTGAGAAGATTTGATGATGTTTTATACTGATATCTTCGAAACAGTGCCTCCTTGTTGAATGAAAATGGAAATGTGCCACACAGGCGCCATAATGTATTGATTCATGCTACTTGTATTGGACAGTAGCCCATATTACGCGCCTGCTCGCGGCATCCAGATTTCAGAACAAATAAAAAAAAGACAATATATAATTAAATCGATGCTCGATCACGAAAAGGTTCATACATCATTTGAGTTAATTGTTGAAATTGGTAGTATAAGTTTCTGGTTTACAAGTCACGTGTTATGGAAATAGAAAGGACAAGATCACGTTGCCGATATACCAAACGATATTGCTCTAAGGCACTGAATCTCGTAAGAGAAAAATAATGCAATTTTCGAAACAATGCTGGTGTTAGTCATCCATTCAGCTCAGTCAAAACGCATTGAATGCGAGTCAAAAAGACTAGGAGCAGGCACCATGTTTAGGCCCATTAAGAACAGAGCAAAACAGCACATCTAATAGAGAAGTGCAATCTTATGGCAATCGCTCTACGGATAAGGCCTTCTCGTATGGCTCATGGCCAAGTTTCCGTGTTGTTGACCTTTCGGAAGAAAACATACCAGAATCAAATCTGATAACATCTTATACTGCCTCGCCCTTTTAGTGACAAATTAATATGCAAATTACAAAGACGCCTTGAAGAATTCGATTTGGCTGGTGTGTGATCTTAGCCTTATCATTTTTCTTAAATATCACATTCACTTTTAAGGATTTATTTTCGAAGGATCAAAAGCTGATCGTTAATGCATCTTTTACACACGCTCAAAAAAACAAGCTAACAATAATTTCTACATATATTTATATATATATTCTAAATGTAAATTGGTACATATAATTAAACGACTCAGTTCGAATCAAAATTTGCCTTACACCTAAAATGAAACACTAGTCTCATAAAGTGCATTAGACAATATGAAACAAATCTGAATGTAGACTCCTACTATATAATTGACATTCTTCGTAATCTAAATTTTCTATGAAAATGAAGAACAGTTTTTAAATGTTAACGGAGCATATCTCACTGTGGAACTCGTCGTCATCCCAGTCATCACTATCATCAATATCATCATCTTCGAATATTGGCATCTCTATTTCCCCACGTTTTCCTGAGGTAGGGAAACAAGAAGAAGTTAGAAATAACAAAGAGAGAAGAAGAAGCATCTTTATTAGATAAAGGGAGTTAAGCGAGTTTTCAAACGACGAAAAAAATTTCCCCATTGACAAATGAATGTAAAACTTGAATCTTTACCTCCAGTCTGTGCAAAGACCTCCACTTCACAGAGGGTGAGGTATTCTGTTACCCTCAAAGCGACGTACACATAGCGACCTTGCATTGGTTTGGAGCAGGCGATTTCGGCTGTCTTCCCTTGTCCAATTGCGGGCACACGATATGCACAGCTGCAAATACAAAGAGCGATCTCAATAAGTTGGAAATGTTCGGGACCCCCGCACCACAATTAAAGTTCTAGCATAGCAATCAACAGTACTGCAAAAGATATCTTAGCTGCTCGTCAGTCCTTGGACTGGTCTAATGTCTTTAGGCAATAGAGAATATATCAAATTTAGATTAAAACAACCAAATTTATAGGTTCATTAGGTTGGTGGTACTTTGCCGCTAATAAAAGATTAGCTTGAAAGGAAAACTGGAAATCAGGAATGACATAGCAAATTCGCAAAACTCTCTTAAAATAAGAAAATGTCGATAAGCATTCATTCCCCAATTCAATATGCTCACATTTCAATAAGCATAAATTAGGATACATTTCAAGCCACATCATTGCCTTTTGCACAACGATGCATAAATACGATTTTAAGTATTTGCTCTTCCAGCATAGGTTTTCCTCGCGATTCTTTAAAAAATTATAAATCAATTATAAAATACGTTATCTGGAAATCATAATAGAAAAATTACCGTGGGTTCCCCATTGGGTTGTTATCAAGATTCCCAACTCTGATGTCGATGTTTCTCAACCTGTTGCCACAACAATCACCTCTGTTGGTGAGTCGCACTTTGCGTACCTGTAACAATTATTGACACACTTAACAATTGACTTGCTTTGAAAGGCAAACTTGAAAAAAGGAAAGCCAAATTAATCACGGGTATGACGCAATAACAATAATCAGCCATGCTACACAGATGGCTACCATTTCATGAAATATTATGGTAAATTAACGACTTGCACTTTTCGAAGCAAAATAATTACCCAGAGAATGTTCTTGAAAGCAGACAAAAAACAATCGGAGCATTTTAAAGATGATGTTGGCTTTAGGGTAAAGACAGCCGAACATATAAGTATAAACATTTTTAGAATGGAAGATACAGTTGAAGCTCACAAGAAAGTTAAAACAAGGGTGATAAGGCTCAGACCGTAAAAGGGCACGTGAATAAAATCAAAGCAAATGTTATTATCCGTCTGTACAGTAACCCATCATAGCACTGCAAGATGGTATTAAATTACCTTATATTTGGGGTTTCCAAGATCAACCCTCCACCAAGGAGTTCCCTGTCTGGAAGTGTGGGTACATGATCGGCCATTCCATTGGCTGTTCTTATTACCATCCACAGCCCGGCTTGCTGCACCGCCGGCGGCCGTTGAAGACTGTTTAGTTGGTCGTCCTCGTGCAATGTTTCCTGGAAATGAGGACAGGGTTGCTTAGCTAAAATTATTCAACATAATTCGTGAAAATGATGGCAGTGAAAAAGAGTAAAGAAAAAGTGTTATGACATTGGCTTGAAAGATTTCATGAATATCACAAAATATCTTAGCTTTTGGACGAAATTAGGTCTTTAATATCTTTAAAATTCATGATACTTGGATAACATGATTGCATTTAGGTCGCTGAAAAGAAGACAAAGAGATGCGAAGACAAGAAGGCAAGAAAACAAGAAGACAAAAAGCAAAAAAAGGGAAGAAGATAAGGATACAAGATATGAAAAAGACAAGAAGACAAACGACAAAAAGACAAGAAGAAAAAAGGGCAAGAAGACAAAAAGACAAGAAGAAAAAAAAGGAAGAAGACAGGAGGAGAAAAAAAGACAAAGTAACAAGATAACAAAAAGACAAGAAGAGAAGAAGACAAAATAACTAGTTGACAAGAAGAAAAAAGGCAAGAAGACAAAGATAAAAGCACAAAAGCAGAAAGAAGACAAAAAGACAAGTTAACAAGAATACAAGAAGACAAAATGACAAGAACGAAAGAAGACAAGATTACAAAATAACAAAATGACAAGAAGACAAGAAACAAGAATACAAAATGACAAGAATGCAAGAAGAAAAAAAAGCAAGAGAACACCTGCTCGAGTACGAAGAAAACAACGTTACTGATAGGCGATAGAAGGCTAGAATGATCGGCAAGTATAGCTGCATTACCTGTCATTTTTATTGGTTTGGCTCCTGAAAACAAAAACCAAAACAAAACGTTAAAATTGGTGAACCTCTTCAACTTCAAATTAGAAATGAAAGTTGGAAAAATACATCAATGGAGTGTCGCTACAGGATCTGTAAATATATTTAGGTATAATCCGAATGATTGTTATCTCATCAAACCTTAAGCAAGTATGGGCCAGCTAGTAAGACGAGATCTCATTTTGACAGATCATCAATATGACCCTCGCAAAATAAATCAATTAGGAAAAAGTTCGAACCTCCTCTGTTGATGAAAGTGCTAACCCAGTTGGTGTTTCTGTTCCTGCTTTTCATGCCGAATTCGCAAAAGCAGCTCTTGTGCGTTTTGCTATCAACAGTTGCTCCGTTAGCAAGCTGTCCTTTGTATCTTCGATTCAGACATTGCTTATAGCAGATCTCCTTATTTGCAAAGCTTCCTATTCTCTGCTCTGCGCCTCCAACTCCGTCACCAACAGTCCAACTTGCAGGTGATGCTGGTGATTCAAGCGAAGTTATTATCAAAGTGCTTAAGAAAAAATTACCGTATGAGCCATTAGCCGACCAGTTGACTTAAAAAGGCAAGAAAAGCTTGTTTAACTGTCTAGTGGAGTTTCAATATCAAACTTTAAAAACTTAAGAATATCTCATTGCATATTTCATAAAATTTTAAAGCATAAAAATGTGAACAATTAAAAGGTGAGCGTTCTAGCAAACCGAAGAAAAAGGGTTGATGTCAAAAGAGAAATGAAAAACGTAGAATCTAATTGAATAGACAGAAAAAAGAGTGCAAGGGAAATTCATCAATCAAGAAAAGACTTTCGATCGAAGAAAGGAGAGATATCAAAATATCTAGCAGCTATTACTTTCAATATACATTTTGGCCTGCAACATGCATGATCGAGCCCATTTTAAAAGGATCACAATAAGAAAACAATATACTTTTAACTCATCCAAAAAAGAAGATGATATTTCAAAGCATATGTAAATTCATCTGAAGGAATAGTACATAATAAAAATTGAAAAAAAATTAAAAACAAAATGGAAAGAAATTGAATAAATATGTTAACAAATTGAAACAAATTAAAATTTTAAGGCTTTTACTTTGTATTATGTATTTTTGATAAGTTACATTTTTTTCTTTCAAACAGGGCCCTTATTGATAACAATACTCGTAGTATTGACAAGGTTTTACCCATAAATATTCCTCTTATTATTATCATTATCAACAATCTTGATTTAAAAAGAGGCAGGCTTACCTCCACCTTGAAGAACATAAACCTCGACTTCACATAGAGTCAGCCATTCACGGACTCTCAGTTTGACATAGACAAAACGGCCAGTCTTTGGTTGTGGACAGATTAAGGCTTTTGTTTGGCCCTTTCCGAAAGCAGGAGCATGAAAGACACACCTGGAAACAAGAGGTAAAGAAGTTTTTAAAAGAAAGCACAAAGGTATCAGATAGAAGTAAAGATATCACTCAGCTGCAACTAGAGACAGTGCCGGGGAAACGAGAGTGTTACTAAATTCAAATCCCGTTAGTTGGAATATGCATGGGTTCCTACAACCTCAAATATTCACGGAAAGGCAAACAAAGGTGAATTTTTTGAAATGAATTTAAGCCTCTGAAGTTACTTTCCGTAGGGGCTATGATATAAACAGTAATAGCTAGAAATTGACTCACAAAGCGTTTGCATTTGGGTTGCCATCAACATTTCCGATACGAATTTCAATCTGTCGAAGTCTATTGCCACAGCAATCACCTCTGTTGGTCAACTGAACTTTCTTTACTTGCTTTGGACTGCCCAAATCAACTCTCCACCATGGGTTACTGTCCCGATTTGTGTGGGTACATGAGCCTCCACCCCACTGAGAATTCCTGTTTCCATCAACAGCCCTTGAGGATACACCACCAAAGCCGGTTGATGATTGGCGAGTTGGTTTACCACGTGCAACATTACCTTAAAAGGAAAACCAAAACTTCACAAAATAAAGAGATTAAAAAGCTTCTCTACAATTTATGCTCTGCTGTTTTCTGAATCGTGAAAATTCCATTTTGCGATGCCAATAATGTATAAATTAAAGGGAACAAGAAGAAAATGCAAACATACTGATTATACGTCAGAGCCAAAAATAAAAAAAGTTCTGAGACAATTTTCGAAAGTGTTACATACCACTTAGTTTTGGAGGCTTCTTGACGCCAGCTGGAATGAAAACGTAAATTGATTGATAAGGGACGTAAATTGATAAAACAATAGCTTTGTTTACGAGATGGCGTCATGTGTTCACGGGTGTTCAGTCTGATTTCATCATTAAAATCAGGTGGCTGTTTTAAGATATCAAATGCTTTCTAATAGAACAATTTGTTCATCACACAAGGTAGATTGATAAATTTGACAACGGCGCAGAATCTTATGTTTACAGAGCCTTTAGCTGTATATAATGCTGGAAAAACAATACATAAAATCGATTCCTCATTCAAAAGATGAAGTTGAGTTTCGAAAATGAAATGGAAATAAAAAATTAAATGAGCTTTTTGCTTACCCGTAGATGCACCTGGGACTGAAAAGTAAAAGATCGAAAAAGCTTATTAAATATAACCAAACAACAAAGAAAGATGAGAAAACAAAATGTATCAGAAAGCAAAATCGTTTATGAAAAAAATTGTATGATAATCAATGAGTGAATTTGCAAAATGAATAACTATGCTGCATGCGTATTGATAAGAAAGAAAATTGTCAGCGATTGTCAGTTAACATTACACTTTATCACGTCATTTTCAGTTCGTTTAGTGTATTGAGATTCAAGATCATGCTCGCTTATATTTGGAAGTAAATGATATATGGGACAGATGAGTTCAAAATCAGGAATTTCATAAAAGCTACAGGCTATAGACATTTACTCGCAACATCTTGTGGGTTTTATGTTTGGTTGTCATTATGCCTGCAAATCTGAATATATTTCCATGAATGAACTTTCACAACAATATGCTAAGGACACGGCCCACTGCAGAAACATACTTCGTTTAATGAACGTGCTGGTCCAATGTTGGGCGCTGTTTCTTCCTTTCATTCCATATTCACAGTAGCAATTCTTGCCAGTTTTGGTATCAACAGTTACTCCATTAGCAAGCTTTCCGTTCTTTTTCCTGCCGCTGCATTTGGCATAGCACTCTTCCTTGTTTGCAAAGACACCAATCTTCTCCTCGCTGCCACCTGATCCATCACCTCTGGTCCATTGTGGTGGTCCAACTACAAAAACACGTTTTCTTTAGAAAAGACACTAAAACAGCGGCTTGTACCAAAAGAACGTGTGTTTACATATTTTCGAGCTTATTAATCATTCAAAAACTAATTGAACAAACATTGAACTTATTTCATCTAGATAAACTAAGAATTTTGTTTCGTTTCTGTTTAGTTTGTTTCGTGATAACTATCATCTAGAAACTCATACATTAAACAATTTAGTGGCAATTCTGCCTTACATGAATTTGCCCGTAGTATTTCACACCGTGTCTTTTCTTAGCTTGAAGCAGGTTCCTCTTAACATGCCATCTAAAACGCCAGTAGGCAAGGAAACGAAGGTCATCTTAACTAATTCTTACCTCCATCTGGGAACTTGGGAGCTGGGAGTGGTGCTGCGATTAAACAAAAACTGATTTAATACTTGATCCATTGTCATAAAATTTTAAAAATAACTTTTCTTTCATTAAATTACTGCATCGGTGAAGCAAATAGCATTGCATTCTTACCAAAAGCAAAAACTCAGTTAAATACAAAAATGTCTAGAATGAATAAAAAAAGTTTACATCGACAGGATATTCCTGTATCAGAGTTCAATAGCACGTTTTGGATGACCGCTCCAGACCAGCATATCCGAATTAAAGGAACACGAGAGCACTATGCTAGCAGAGGTCTGCTAGAAAAAGCCACCATGTAAAAATAGAGTCAGGGTACGCTTAAAGGCTAGAATAGAGGAAGGTTGAAATTATGAAAAACAATGTTAAATGACCATCTGAAATAACTCTATAGATCACATAAATGTGCAAATTCAGCTCAATCTGCTCCAAATTGGCTGAAACAGAGCTATTGAAAACATGATTATTTTAGGATTACTGATAGGATTTTAGGAATAAAGTTTTAGGATTACTTTATTTATGTCAAATGTTGTTGGATTGAACGTCGCCTTAAAGATTAGACTATTGTCAAATTTTCTTTCAGAAAACTTAAAAATTCTGGTTAAACATGCTATTTGGTTACAGCACTGTTGAAATGAAAATATAAGTGCAACTAGAGTTCGCATCCAAGAATTGACAACTTTTAACAATAATAAAAAGGCAAAGATTCATAAAGACGCTAATCCAAATTACCTATTGTCTTGCAATTGCCCCACTTTCTGTCTTTGTCGTAATTTGCTGTAGTTGCGCACCATGGTTTATTGTGATTGACCTTGGTGCATGCGCTGTACATCTTTCCTTTGTATCTGAATGGGAAAACACATTTGGCACCACCAGCATTTCCACCAAATGTGCCAACTGAAAAACAAGGAATGTAAATATTTTAAGAAGCCGTCGCTATTAAGAGTGAAACTAAGGAAACTATGGACAAACACGTTAGAATCGAATTTATAGGAGGTTAAGTCACAGGTTTAAATGGAAAAGCAATTTTTTAGAATTTCAGATCACGAATAAAAGGGCCGTTTGTAGGCATCAACTTCTTTTTATAGTCAATATAGCAAATTTTTCTATCTAAAGCAACTGCTGTTCAAAAATTTAAAGCAAAAACTGAGAAAAAACTTGGTCACTTAGCTCAACAAAAGGATGACCGTGGAGAGGTTGGTAAGAAAATATTACTTACTTGGAGAAGATTTCGGCTTAGGTTGAGCTGGACAAAGAAATACAGAACAAATAATGAATTGAAAGATAATATTAAATGAAATTACGTGCAAGAGAAAACAGTAAATATCTATATTTGGATATTTTATAAATAATTTGTGTCAAAAGTGTTTTACGGAAGTGTGTCGCGCCGTTCATTGGCTTACCCGAACAAAGGGATAAATATATATTTCATTTAGCTCTAATTCTTAGACAAAAAAGTTTAGAACCAAATTGGAAAGTCAAGAACATATTTTGCTATCTTTACGATGAGCGTAGGTAACTCAAAGAACATTAATATAAAATATGCTGCACTTTGACGTCAATTAAGTTGAAACGTTGTTAATACAGGGAGAAATCTAAGTCAAACCTCGTTTGATAAATGTGCTCCTCCATGACTTGTTTTTGTTCCTCGCTTTCATGCCGTATTCACAATAACAGACCTTTTGTGTCTTGCTATCAACAGTGACTCCATTAGCCAGTTGACCGTTTCTCTTTCTCACGCTGCATTTGGCATAACAGATTTCCTTGTTTGCGAAGGTACCGATCTTCTCCTCACTGCCGCCACTGCCATCGCCAATAGTCCATTGCGCAGGCAACACTAAATAAGACAATACAAAATTAGTAAGCAATGCTCTTTTCAGAGTAATTGAAAGGAAATTTCAATAGGAAGGCCCCTCTACACAGCATCTGCACTCTACCAAAAATCCTGAAATTCAAATTATCTAAGGAGAAAACCTTTGCTTGGATATCGTATAGACAAATGCAAGCATGAATTTTTCGGAATTTCAGTCTCATTTAAAAGGATTCTTCGAAATGAGGACGAAAACGGATAAAAGAAGACGACGTGAAGAGATGCTTACCTCCAGATGGCAATACGGGAGCGTTTGCTGAAATATAATATACAGTTGATTAAGTGATTTAGTGAATGGAAATGTGAAATGTAATCGATAAATGCTTTCTATAAAATTTGGGTTCTATAAAATGTGAAATGTTAACGATAATGCTTTCTATAAAATTTGGGTTCAGTAAAATTACTTTTGAATACAGCATGATAGTTGACAGCGTACTTTAAACTATACTCGAATATCATTTACTGCATAATAGTAAAGCATTCCATCCATGACCACCTTATTTCTACAAATAAACGATTATAATCTCATTGAACATCAAATCTATCCAAAAATTCAGCAGAAATAAAAATTGTTTATTATACGGTAAATTATTTTCAATTCATTACTCGCAAACTTACATTTGACAGCGAAAACTTCAGCTTCACAAAGAGTAAGCCATTCTTGAACCCTCAACGCAACATAAACAAACTTTCCAATCTTTGGAGATGAGCATTGAATATCCTTTGTTTGACCTTTGGTGAAACCAGCTGGGTGGAAAGCACACCTTTAAGAAGAAAACACAATCAAATGAAACATTTACTTAAAAAATTATCGAATTGTCAAGTCAATTCATGTATTCAAAACTATTAAATATCAATAAGAACTTACATCTCTATAACGGATGACGGAAGGACTTTATACATATTTCAAGATAGCTCAAATATGATTTGACAAGCTAAAAAAAGAAAAAGCCAAGAGACGTTTGCTTGAAAATGGTGTCGTCTGATGACAAGTGATGACAAGTGATGTTAAGTGATGATAAGTGATGACAAGTGATGACAAGTGATGACAAGTGATAAAGTGTGATTTCATGTGATGTCGAGTAATGTCAAGTGATGACAGATGACGTCAAGTGATGACAGATGACGTCAAGTGATGACCGATGACGTCAAGTGATGACCGACGATGTTGTATGAAGTCAAGGATATTACTCGACATTACGAAAGGATAAACGTTCCACAGCAAATACTCACAATGGATTAGCATTTGGGTTATTGTCAACATTTCCAACTTTAATTTCAATCTGCCTGAGTCTGTTCCAGCAGCAGTCACCTCGGGTTGTAAGCCTGACCTTGTAGACCTGTTGTTGAGATCCAAGATCGACTCTCCACCATGGTTTCCTGTCACGGTTTGTATGAGTGCATGATCTACCACCCCATTGCGAATTTCTGTTGCCGTCTACAGCTCTTGAGGCTACACCGCCGAATCCTGTAGAAGACTGTTTTGTGGGTTTGCCTCTCGCAATATTACCTGTATTCAAAATTGTAATGGATATTAAACTTTGAAAATATAGTGTTTACAAAATAACATTCAAAGCAATAGAATTAGCAGGGATGAAAACATTGCTAGACATTAGGAAAATATCTTCTTGTGTCGTAGGAAATTTTATTGCCAAAAAATGGTTAGGTGACAATATCAAGAACAAATAAGAATTTCAAGGTATACCTGTGAGTGGGGGAGGAGGAGGCAGCGCTTTTCCACCTGCAAATGGATAAATTCATACATCAATTAGATATGTTAAGGTATAAAAATGACGAAATCAACCTATTGCAGCTGTCACATAGAAAAGGTCTCATTTTCTATGTCGCGGGGTTATGGAATAATCGCCAGACACATTGCCATCACTAATAACCTTATAAAAATTATTCCCGAGTTTATAGCAACACGCAAGGTGAAATCTTAACCACTAGGGAAATCGAAATGCCTTAGGTTTAATGAAATGACAAAATTGACAAAACTGCAAACGGCGTCGTTCCTATAAAAACGATGGTATAAAAAGTTGGAGAATCATCATGAAAATGTTTGAATGCCTTGACACAATACAAAAAAATTAACTCATTTCAGCATAACCAATTACTATAAAAAGTTGATATTGCGTATTTCGAAAAGATGTTTAGCGAGCAAAATACATGCCTCCTCGAATAGCGAATACTTCAACCTCACACAGAGTGAGCCATTCTTGCACCCTCAGAGCGACAAACACATAGCGACCTTGCTTGGGTGGTGTACAAGAAAGTTCTTGTGTTTGACCCTGGCCGATTGCACCAGGGAAGAATGTGCATCTGCAAAGAAGGACAATCGAATAAATATAAAAAATCAATGACTGGACAAATGCACTTTAGTTTCTTTGCATGTGACTCATGCAAAAGATCATCACCAATGCAATGCAGAACAAGTGGTGATTGTGCCATGTTCTTATTTATACAGAAAACAACAGCAACACCCTCATACTTACAATTGATTAGCATTCGGGTTGTTGTCGGCCATTCCGACTCTGATCTCAATTTGCCTCAGCCTGTTTCCACAACAATCACCTCTGTTTGTAAGCTTCACTTTAGCAACTTTCTGAATGGATTTCAAATCAACTCTCCACCAGGGCTTTTTATCTCGGTTAGTGTGGGTACATGATGCCCCTCCCCATTGTGGGTTCTTGTTTCCATCAACAGCCCTTGAGGCTACACCACCGAAGCCAGTTGAAGATTGCTTGGTTGGTTTGCCTCGAGCAATGTTTCCTAAAATTAATAGTGACTCGTTAATTTTAATCAAGAACATTATTTTTCTAAGTTTACTTTTTTATGCTCGTGCCATTAAAGCAAGCATCTGTAAGCGTCAGAAGAACAGGCAATTAGACATGTCAAATATTGAATCTAAACATTTTAGCAAAGATAAGGTTACGATAAACGTTTTCTGGATAAAAACATCAATTATTCGATTATTTTACATCAGAGTAGCCGAACTTTTAAGGCAAACAATGATACCAAATTTGAAACTAACATAAATTTTGAAAATGGGGAATATTGAATCTAAACATTTTAGCAAAGATAAGGTTACGATAAACGTTTTCTGGATAAAAACATCAATTTTTCGATTATTTTACATCAGAGTAGCCGAACTTTCAAGGCAAACAATGATACCAAACTTGAAACTAACAGAAATTTTGAAAATGGGGAAAATCACATGTAAGCCAAGGTTTCCATAATTTCTTTATCAAAACTTTTTGTTGAGGACCGAAAATATCTTGACCTGTTAAGCCGATTATCGTTGCTTTGCGGTTGTGGTCGCATGTCTCATTGACAATATCGCATGGCACATCCATGTATCCCATGTACGGCTGTGTTTATTTGAAAAGGTATATTGATCTCAAAGCTTCAAGTGGCTTCACCTGGATTACACTGCGGTTTACGAGTGTACCTTGCGAGTGCGATCAGTAAAATCCCGTCTTTTACGGACTTGCAATTCCTCTACATACAAGTACGAGAAAAGCTAACCAAGGAACCAATCGAATGGCTCAAAAATTTGCACACGGCCACGACAGATGTCGGGTAATCAAAGAGTGTCTCAAAATTTTTGTATTTGCTCTGGTCCGTCTTTTATAGCCAAATATGAGGAAAGAAAAATTGTTTGCCAATTTTTGACAGGGTATAGTTTCAAGGGAAGGAGGTATTTGAAAAATTTGAGACACGCTTTGGAAGCTAAGGATCTGCGCTTTCTGCTGATATAAGTCAGATTTCGATACCGCAAACCCAAGTTACAAAATAGCTTTCGAAGGTGGTACACTCACTTAAGCAATTAATTTGCCTGGAAAGTATCATTTTACAATATTTGCCAATTATTTTGACATGGTTGGAATCACCACATTCTTGTGCATCGAATGATGTATAGTTTAATCTGATTCCGTTAATAGTTTGGCTTTTAGGGAGAGAAAACCAAATATTGTGTCAAAAACGTTTACCGTAACCTCAAAGCAGCGAAGAGACAATATAATTTAATACTTTTTTTTGCTTATTTTACAATGTAACTACCGTCGTTAAGTGGAATTTGTGAGTTGATAGTAACAGGAATTATTATTTATATTCCATTATCTATGAAACCATTACTTTCTTTGTAATGGTAAATCATTTATGTGAAAAATGCTTCGCCAGAAATAAGTAGTTTCTTTGGACTGCCAACTTTCTTTGGACTGCCAACACCTTCAATAATTACAAAGAGGCTCACGATTTGAACTGTTCTGAGTAGACAAAAATGACGAGCGACCTTACCTGTCATTGGTGGTTCTGGCGGAACTGGTTTTCCCTCTGAAAATTGAAAGATTTTTTAAAAGACAGCGAAGTTTTAAGGTCTACATTAAGCTATCATTTAAGCCTACTCATTAATTTTGGAAGCAAACATTCTGTGTTGAAATATAGCAAAGCGAATTCTTGCAGTATATTTCCTTACATGGTTTTTAAAAAAAATAGCATTTGAACGAGCAGTTCTCAGTGCAAAGGTTCTGGATAACACAACAAACAAAAATTCACTTACTTCCTCTGGCAGCAAAAACTTCCACTTCGCACAAGGTTAGCCATTCCTGAACCCTCAGTGCAACGAACACAAATCTTCCTCTTCTTGGTGTTGAACACGTTATGGCTTGTGTTGCCCCTTGGCCAACAGCCCGACCAAAATAGGCACAGCTGCAGAAAAATTATGGCAAGCATGAAAAGAGATGTTTAGTTGCAAGGATTTGGCTAAGCAACTACATGCAGTGCATAAATAAACTTTTACATAGTATTCGAGGGGAGGAAAACTCACAGAGGATTTGCATTGGGATTGTTGTCAACATTTCCAACTCGAATATCGATATTTCTCAGTCTGTTGCCGCAGCAATCACCTCTGTTTGTGACAGAAACTTTCTTTACCAGCTGATTGCTCTGCAAATCAACTCTCCACCAGGGCTTTTTATCTCGGTTAGTGTGGGTACATGATGCCCCTCCCCATTGTGAGTTCTTGTTTCCATCAACAGCCCTTGAAGCTACACCACCGAAGCCAGTTGAAGACTGCCTTGTTGGTTTGCCTCGAGCGATGTTTCCTAGAAAAATGATCATCGATGTTTAGGATCAGGGTCAGCTAGAGCAGATTTAAACAAGCTGAATAGAACAAAAATCTCTAAAACCATTAAGAAGCTCTAAACTGGACCAGAGGTCATTAAAACAAATCAAATGCACGTAGAACAGATTAGTAGGGACCTCTAGATTAAATCAGGGATCTCGATAGCGGATGAGGAATCTTAAAAAACTAAGGATCTCTAGACGGTTCAGGAATGTCTGGAACGGGTTATCAATCTCTTAGAACGGTACATGAATCTTCAATAGAAATAAAGGATCTCTAGATTTGATAGGAAATTTCTAGAACACGTTAGGAATCTCCAGAACGGATTAAGGATCTTTAGAACGGATTTAGGATCTATAGAACAGATATCCAGATCTGAATAGGAATCTCAACACAGTAATAGGGAGCAACATAGCCGAATGACTGGCAATGGCATAAAAATGAAGTCTTTGAGTGGAGTTTTGTTGATAAGCTATCGAGTTAACAATATGAAATGACAATATGAAATTAATTACGATTCTTATGTCTCTAAGAGCTTATTATTTAAACGGCTGACCTGAAAGCTTGAAATAATAATTTATAAGCTTACCAGTCAATGTTGGTGCGCCTGAAAAAGAAAAAATTAAAAGTCAATTTTGTATGTTTGAAATAAACAGAAAAATGAAATCAAAATGAATGTTATTGTCCGCAAAATTGCTCCGATTTGACATTCTAAACAAGAAGCTGATAATTGATAAAATGCTAAAGCGTAATTTCAAATCGCCCATTGGAAGTAGCCTAAAGACGAACAAAAATTTATTTGGGACTGGAAAGATCATATTTCGGATTAAAACAATCCCAATAAGAAAGCATCATAGCTGCTGATTCATGATAAAAAATTAGACAAACTAATTATAAAAGGGTGACAGAAAAACACGATGTTTCTCAGTCTGGGGGGGGGGTTGCAAGGAACAGAATTAATGTAACATAAGCATTAACAAACTTACTTGCTTGTGGTTTTATTGGCTTGAAACCTTGAAAAAGGAACAGCATGATATGAAAATGATGGTTGCGTTGCAAAAAAATACTTTTAGAAAACGATTTTTTGTTAATGAAATGGGGAAATTTATTTTCATACAAAATATAAAACAATGCCCTTAAATAAACTTTGCAGGATGAAGGAGTTACTGCGATTAAAGAAAAGAAAAAGTAGTTTATGATCAAAAATAGTTAAGTCAACCCGCGAAACAAGAACAAAGAACCTACACTAATGAAGGTTAGTAAGCATGATCTACATATTGTTTTAATACTGCAATTCCAAACAACGAAGTCTTTTATATGAAAAGCTAGCCATTCTGCTGGCAATATTAAACATCTGGTGGTAATTAAATGCTGGCGGTAATTAAATAATTTCTTCGAATATACACAAAGCATTATTAAAAGCTGTGAAAAATGGCTTTGAAACTTACCTCCTCTGGCTGCAAACACTTCGACTTCGCAAAGAGTGAGGATCTCCTTGACTCTTAGGGCAACGAACACAAAGCGTCCTGTCTTAGGTGACGAGCAAGTCAGTGATTTGGTCTGTCCTCTTCCAACTGCTCCAGCGTAGAAGGCACATCTGTTTTCAACAAAAATGCACGTCAATCATTTGTCTTATAGGCTAACTGAAGAATAAGCTACCTAACAAATAAGAGTTGAAATTGACAAAGATACTGTTAATGTACAAAAATGTCGCAAAATGCTTTAACAATGCACAATCTGACTTAAATATAGTCTTTAGATAGATATGCCGACCAAAGAAGAACTATGTTTTGGAAATCTACCTTTCCCTTTACTAAAGAGCATAAGCTCTTGTCTATTTAAAAGATCATTATCTTGTTTTTACACTCCTTTCAAAACTAGTTCTCTTGATCATCAAAGGTTTTCTAGAATCAAAAAAAGAAATGAACATTTTCAACTCACAGCGCATTTGATAACGGATTATTATCGGTGTTTCCTACTCGAACCTCGACCTGTCGTAATCTGTTCCAACAACAGTCTTGTCTATTTGTGATGGAAACTTTGAGCACCTTTTGGTACCCTTGAAGGTCAACTCTCCACCATGGCTTATCTTGCCTGTTTGTAGCAGTGCAAGATCGTCCGCCCCAGTTGGCATTTTTGTTCCCGTCCACAGCTCTTGGCGATAAACCTCCATATCCAGTAGAAGATTGCTTGGTTGGTTTTCCTCTGGCAACATTTCCTAGAAATTTTTAAAGTTAATATTAAGATCTTCCTTCTTATGAGGAGTACTTCATGTGACTACTGAAAGTAGCTAGTGATAGTTAATGACGTTATGAAAGAGATTTTCTAAAGGCAGACGAATCGGCAATGATATCTCGAAAGTAATAAAAACTTTACCAGTCATTGGTTGGGCTTGTTTTGCTGGTTTTGAACCTACGAGCAAAAACGCATCAGTGTTAACGAACTAAGAAATAGGGAATCGAGCATACTACTTTTGATTGTCTAAATGGTGAATGCAAAGGCTGAAATGCCTACAATGGGTCAAGGGCTACATTCTTGTAATCCCTACAGTGGGTCAAGGGGTACATTCTTGTAATGCCTACAGTGGGTCAAGGGGCACATTCTTGTAATGCCTAGAGTGGGACAAGGGGTACATTCTTGTAATGCCTAGAGTGGGACAAGGGGCACATTCTTGTAATGCCTAGAGTGGGACAAGGGGCACATTCTTGTAATGCCTACAGTGGGTCACGGGGCACATTCTTGTAATGTCTAGAGTGGGACAAGGGGCACATTCTTGTAATCCCTACAGTGTGTCAAGGGGCACATTCTTGTAATGCCTAGAGTGGGTCAAGGGGCATATTCTTGTAATGCCTACAGTGGGTCAAGGGGTACATTCTTGTAATGCCTACAGTGGGTCAAGGGGTACATTCTTGTAATGCCAAGAGTGGGACAAGGGGCACATTCTTGTAATGCCTAGAGTGGGACAAGGGGCACATTCTTGTAAGGCTAGAGAACTTATCTGAATTGTAAACATATCTTAGCAATCAAAAGTTGATCTGTCAGCTCAATTTAGGTAGTTATAGAGTTTGTTAGTACAGTGAAACCAGATTTATTGATTTTAGATATAATTGGTGAAAATCAATATATTTTCAACAAAAAGTAAACTAAATTCAGCGATTAAATGGCAGTTACCTCCGCGCACTGCATAGACCTCAACCTCGCACAGGGTCAGGGGTCCTCTGATTCGGATGGTGACGTAAAGATATCTGCCGCGTTTGGGTGCGGAGCAAGTGAGTTCCATTGTTTGTCCCTTGCCTAAAGCACCAGGGTAGTACGAGCATCTGCAAGCAAATGAAACCATACTTAGATACGCAGTCAATCGTATAGAAATGCTTGTCGTGGTGAGCACAAGTAATTTCAAAACCAAATGGTGTTACGTAGTAATACTATTTAAACATGCAAGGAATGGGTGGCCTTTTTGACATTGTATCGAAGGAGCAGAACAACATAGTTGTAACAGTCTTATTTGCCTTGGGTTTACTTGAAATGTTGATGTTAGTGTGAAGGATATCAGACATTCTGGTGTTCGATAGTCTGCTAACTAAAGAGGAGAACAATAGTGAATCAATGCTTAATAAGCCATCCAACTTCCCGCCATAGTTTTATTGAAAAATGTCGTTACACAAAGCACTTACAAAGCATTTGCCGCTGGATTATTGTCAACGTTTCCTACTCTGATCTCGACCTGTCTGAGCCTGTTCCAGCAGCAATCTGCTCTGTTAGAAAGCGAAACCTTATAAACCAATTGTTGCACGCCCAAGTCCACTCTCCACCATGGCCTGTTCTGGTTTGCTGTGTGGGTGCAAGTAGAGGCCCTCCATTGACCATTTCGATTTCCATCTACAGCCCTTGATGCAACGCCACCAGCTGCAGTTGTTGACTGTTTCGTTGGCTTTCCGCGAGCAACGTTTCCTTTTGGAAAAAGACATGCAAATTGGTTAGACTCAATTCAAAGAGCTTAGACTCAATGTCAGCTTGGGTTGGTCTTTATAACTCGCTCAGTTAAAGATTTAAACAAAAAGATTTCCTCCGGATATACAAGGAAAGAACCTGATAGTTACTCGTACACAATTATAAGAACATATACCTAAAACCAAAAAAGATTTACTTGATCAAGGCAGATAAGGCAGCGGCTGCATCCTCAGAAATTTGGATCACTATCAAATCTACTCACTTTTGGAGAATAGGAAGAATATCGACTTGTGACAAAAAAAATTACCTGTTAATGGTGGGGGTTTTGGCACTGGTGTTGCACCTGAAAAAAAAACAAAAGACTTCAGATGTCACAACAACATATAACTATGCATCCAGGGCCTAAAGGAATCAAACTTCTTTTCTAGCTTTTAGTCAACGAAAAACATAGAACATACCTCCTTTCAGAGCAAACACTTCAACTTCACAGAGAGTAAGCCATTCCTGGACTCTCAAAGTAACATAGACATATCTTCCTGCTTTTGGTGAAGTGCAAGCCAATTCCTTGGTTTGTCCTTGTGGAATGGCACCACCGTAGAACAAGCAACTAACACAAAAATATCAAAGTCAAAATTTGTATGTTTAATTGCTAAATTACTGGGACAAAAAAAGCACTTTAAAATTTTCTTGAATTCAGGATGATTAGGAAAAGGGCAAGATTTTTAAATAAACAGAAAAAGAAAATATTGTGACTTGCTGTAATTTGCTACGGGTAGTCGTACCCTGGAGCAAACTTGTGCCACTCTGTTTATGCAAAAATTAACCTCAAATGAAATACTTCTAAAAGTGTCTAAATGCTTTAAGCTCTAATTGCAAACAATGTTTCCATGAACTGAAAAAGTAAAAATTCACGAAATTCGGAAAACTTACAGTGTATTAGCAGCTGGGTTATTATCGATATTTCCAACTCTAATCTCAATTTGCCTCAGTCTGTTTCCACAGCAATCACCTCGGTTTGTGAGTTTTACTTTGGCAACCTGTTGCTGCGCTTGCAAGTCAACTCTCCACCAGGGCTTTCTATCTCGGTTTGTGTGTGTACATGATGCGCCACTCCAGTGTGGGTTTTTGTTTCCATCAACAGCCCTTGAGGCTACACCACCAAAGCCAGTTGACGATTGCTTAGTTGGTTTGCCTCGAGCGATGTTTCCTAGGATTGATGAAAACCAAGTGATAAAAAACCAAGTGGTCTCAAAAATGAGCGTAGAACCGAGGTAATTCTGCAAGATAATAATTACTTCTACCCAGAAGAACTGCCTCCTATTTCGAATGAGGGGTGCATTTTTCTTTCTTACAAAAAGCAACCATTTCTTATGGCTTGAATTCAATTGTGATGAAAGATGACTGAAAGAAGTCTTCATCTAAAGAGTCAACAGTATTGTAAACAATATTTAAGGCTGTTTTCTATTTTATAAAAAGCTGAGAAACAATAGATGTCTCTTAAAATTTGCCCACATATTTAACGAGCCATAAGTCAACTCAAGCAGTAAAATATAAATACCTGTGTATTTGTTTGGGATAATTTTCATTGAGCCTGCAGCAAATAAAATAATTGTGTTAGGCAGAGGAAAACATCAAAAAACATGTGGGTAAAAAGAATAAAATCTGCAAAAGATCATTTCACATTAGGACAAACGACTCGCATAATGGTTTACATGCCAATACATCTCGGCAGACTACTTGCCTCTCGCAGCGAACACTTCTACTTCGCACACGGTCAAAATTTCATTTGTTTTCAAAGTAACAAACACGTATTTGCCACGAAGAGCCTTAACACAAGGAAGCATTTTCTTCTCGCCTCTTCCGAAATTTCCTGGATGGTATGCACATCTAAAAGTAAGCAAGCTTCGTTAAACAAGGCGGACACAAAGAAATGCACAGAGTCAATTGGCAAAAAGTCATTGCATATAATGCCATGAAGAAGACCCATCAACCAATACATCAATCACAATCATTTGGAAATCATTAAAGAAAAACATCTAAAAAACGATGCAAAGCGAGTACAGAATGTTGCGAAGCGCCATAGATATTGTCAACAGTTTGAAAGTATGAAAGAACCAAACACAGAAATGTAGGCTCCTTGATAATGCTTATACTTGATAAGGTTAAGAGACACACGTTTCTTTATAAAGCTCTTATCAATAAATCCTTAGGTTGATAATATTTTTTTATAAGAGTTTTCATTACGATCCCGTAAATTCCAGGAATATGATAATTCAAAGAACACAATATACAAAATGAAAGAATTAAATTTGACAAAGCTAGATCTGACACAGGTAAGACATTTGACACATGCTTCTAGGTGGTAATGTTAGCAGACGGCAGCGACCTTGGCAACAGAGAGCTAAGAAAGCACTTAAAAAAGCTGACCAACCTTGCATTTCCATTAGGATTTGCAGCGTTGTTCCCGACGCGAACATCAACTGCCCTCAGTCTGTTCCAGCAACAATCTTGCCTGTTTGCTATTCTCACTTTGTGCACAACGAATGAGTTAACCAGATCAACGCGCCACCATGGATTGGGTTGTTTATTGGTTGCAGTACAAGAATTTCCATTCCATTGTGGATTTGAGTTTCCATCGTTACCTCTGGTTGCAACCCCACCCCATGGTCCAGTGGAAGACTGGGCACTTGGCTTTCCTTTAGCGATGTTCCCTTAAAAGGAGCAACCAACAGTTAGTAAGAATTCCATCTGAGATCACATTAAGGTGCATTGTATCAGCTTTCAATGATTGGAGATTGTGTCTTTTGTGAAAAATCTCAACTAGAAGGCAGTGACAATCTCAAACTGCTAATCTGATCGGGTAAAAATCCCCATTAATATGCCGAAAACCCTTCTTTTCGAGAAATAATGTCTTTTTGAGAAATAATCACACGAAATGAATAAGCTTTTTAGTTCTAGCAGGAGTAGTGCAGATTGTTTACCTGTAAGTGGTGGAGGCTTTGGAATTGGTTTTCCAGCTGAAATGAAAATTCGTTCTTTGAGATGGCAAACGATTTTAATCTTACTTTAAAATGTATCTAAATTGCAAATAAGAACAAAAATTTATAAGAAATTGTTGTAAAACATGACTTTTTCTTAAGCATAACTATCGCTATTGATGTCAAATATACGGGTAGGACAGTTCTAGGACAAACTCAAAGTAACGTAAAAGGCAAGGCCGCAACCGTATCCGCTTCCAATTATCTTCGCTTCTACTTACCGCCTTTGAGAGCATAAACTTCGACCTCGCATAGCGTTAGCCATTCAGTAACCTTCAGATTGACAACAACGTATCTGCCTGATTGAGGCGATCTGCATTGAATGAACTTCGTTTCTCCTCTGCCTAAGGCTCTGTCGTGGTTGGCACAGCTGTGAGCATACGAAGAATTAAACAAATGTTGCCAGATAAAATGAAATGAAATTGCAAAATATTTCGAAAAACGTTGAGCTTTAGAGGAATAGCGCAAAAATTAAAAATTATATTTACACTGGATTGCTGAGAGGTGTAGGGTTGTTGCCAACTCTGATCTCAATGGAACGTAGCCTATTCCAACAGCAATCGGCTCTGTTCGTGAGCCTGACTTTGTAGATTTTCTGTTCACTTCCCAAATCAACTCGCCACCAAGGTTTATTGTTACGGTTCGTGTGTGTGCACGATCCACCTCCCCATTGACCATTTCGGTTGCCGTCAACAGCTCTGGAGGAAACTCCACCGAAGCCGGTAGAAGACTGCGATGTTGGTCGTCCGCGCGCAATGTTTCCTGCAATTCACAATAATATATATTTAGAAACTGCTTTATAGAAAAACCGTCGAAAATAGTTTAGGCCTTTCCATGCAACCTAAAAGCGCTGCAGAAGTAAACTAGCTCAAGTAATTACATATTCTAACTGGGGAGAACAGGTGAATTCAGCATGCTTAAAAGCAAACCAGCAGCATTGTACTTCATAAGAAATGACATGGTGAACGTTGTGTTTCTGATTGCAGAATTAATTGCTCTTACCTGTGAGCTTAGGAGGAGGAGGTAATGGCAGTGCAGCTAAAAAAAGAAGGTAAAATTAATCTTAAGGTATTACCAGGCTTCAAAGCGAGGCTTAAAAAACTCTTAATACTCATGTTTCATGTAAACAAAGAAACATAAATAAATTGATGAATGCAAAAATTCAAAAATGCATTTGGAAAATGCACACTGATAAACACCGAATAAGGGAAATATATGCTTCTAAAACTTGCTCAGTTTTTTGGGGTTGGGGGAGGGGAGAGAGTAGCTGTGAGTTTAGGGCTATGAGCATTTGACGCTTACAAAACATACTTACTTCCTCTTTCAGCGAAAACTTCTACTTCGCAAAGAGTCAACCATTCTCTGATTCGCAAAGCAACATAGACAAATCTCCCCCGTCGTGCAGGTGCGCAGTCGATTTGTCGTGTCTCGCCACGGCCAAGAGGTCCAGGAATATAGCGGCATCTACAAAAGTACGTATAACTTACTCAAGAATATCATTTTTCATTTCCAATCGACACAGTTGATAGTAACCAGCTTTTTTAACGTTTAGCTCTGTAAAACGCTACTAAAATATTAGACTATTCTAGATTATGATGCTGGCCTTTTCACGAAGAGAAAAGAAAAAACTGGAAAACCAATAAAACGGCTATAAATAATACCATCAGCTAAGAAACGTGCACGGATTGATACCAAATAACAATAAGAAATATTTTATGTGAGTATGCCAATACTTAAAATGAAGAAGCGAATTTACTCACAGTGCATTTGCACTTGGGTTGTCGTCTTTGTCTCCAACTCTGATCTCAATTTTCTGAAGACGATTTTGACAGCAATCGCCTCGATTTGTGAGGGATACTTTCTTAACCACTTGTCTTGAACCTAGATCCACACGCCACCATGGTTTAGCATCTCGGTGTGTGTGAGTGCACGATTTTCCGCCGTAATTAGTGTTCCTGTTGCCGTCAACAGCTTTTCCAGAAGGGCCTCCAAAGCCAGTCGATGACTGCTTGGTCGGTCTGCCTTTGGCAATATTGCCTGCAAATAAGGTCAAACAGGGATAACATTATTGCATGATACTGAAACCAATAACCTTTTGCAATAGATTTTGCAGCAAGTATAAGGATACACAATTGTTAATGGCAAAGAAATAAGGTGTATGTGTAATGAGAAGATGTAAAGGATCGTTGTCCGCACAAGTTTGGTTGACGTTCACCATCGAATGCTTTCAGATTAGTTTTTATCACAATGCTCTATTAAAGAAAAATTAGAGATGCAGCATTGAATTGAAATGAACTAATACAGAAATGTTCTCTTGTAAGCATACCTGTCAATCTTTTCACGTCATTCACAACTGCGCCTGTAAATAGAGCATGCATTTATGAAACACTCTTGTCAAGCAAACAATGGCAAATGAGAAAATTCGAGTGGAAACTAGTATGCCATCGAGAGATCGATTTCAAACATTAAAACGGCAGTACAAAATATCGTAAAAAAGATTTAACCGGCAAAAGTGCTGTTTAAGAGAGGGTGTAATTATCTCTAAAAGAATTAATTCTATATGTATTTAGCCAGCCACCGATGATTCACAGATGGAACACTTGAATACTGTAAGATATAGGGATGTCAATATTAATCATAATGATAAAGAATAATAAAGCAAATACCTTGAATTGGGAACACCTTCACCTCACAGACAGTCAAGATCTCGTTTGTCTTCAGAGTAACATACACGTAACGTCCCCTTAAAGGTCTTGAGCAAACAAGATCTCTGGTCTCTCCTCGGCCAAATGCACCAGGTGCGTTTGCACATCTAAAGTTAAAACAGTTTATATTGAGTAGCAATGCTAAGTCAGTTTTACAGAATAGTTCTCAATGAGTAGCTTACAGAAGCTCGAGACAGTAGGTTACAGTGCAAAAACATAAATCTGGTCTTTCAAGAAAAAATGGATAGGCCAGTTGTTGCTGAAGGTTGTTGAAAAGATTAAACCTGAAATGGGTGTTTCAATAGGGAAAATCGTTATGAAGATACAGGCACAAAGCTGGAACTAGATGGACCCCTAGGCAGCCAAAACTATTTTTGTCATAATCGCTGTTCATCAAACACAGAAGTTATCGACAAAAGAAGCAGAGAAGTCAGTTAAAGAACATAGAAGAAAGTTTAAAAAGATGGTATAAAGTTTAGTTATTGAGCAGAGATCAACAGCAGAGGTTTTACATTTTGTCTTTGTTGTTGTTAGAACTGCTTCTCAAGCCAATTTCGATGATCACACCTAAATAATAGAAAAAAGTAAAGAGAAAGAATGATAAACGTTAATGAACTTACAATGGGTTGCGATCAGGTCCTGCACCGTTGTTTCCTACTCGAACTTGCACACGCCTAAGTCGGTTCCAGCAGCAATCATTTCTATTCGTTATCTTGACTTTTCCAACCATAAAACTCTTCTGCAGATCAACACGCCACCAAGGGTTAGACTGTTTGTTGGTAGCTGTGCATGTCTTTCCATTCCAGTTTGGATTTGCATTTCCATCATTGCCCCTTGAGGCAACCCCACCCCATGGTCCGGTGGATGACTGCATTGAGGGCTTTCGCACTGCAACATTTCCTATTAAACAGCATTCCATGTCAAAAACAAAGCACGAAAAGAGGTTCAGTACAAAGCGTACACAATGGCTTCAACAAGTAATAAAACATTTTCAATTATCAATCTGACTTTTATTGATTTAATTCCACATCGATATATTGCAAATAGCATCGGCCAAAGCGAATTAAGCAGCTCACCTCCGTACTTAAATCCTTTGACTGGTGGAGGTTTTGGCAATGGCTTTCCAGCTAAAGGGGAAAAAGATGTCTTAGTATTTATTGGAAGTTATCAAGAAAATTGTCATCATCTACTAAGCTAAAAATAATAAAAGCCTGACTCGTATTCAAAAGTTTAAAATTAAAATGCTTCTATTTTCCAGATCATAAATATTAATGGATTTGTCTATTTTGGATGTCTGTAAAATTCATTCCCCTCAATGGTCTACTTTTGCTACAACGGCATTCAAGAATGAAGGCATTCCTACATCAAATTCATCCTTCGACATTCTCATTGAGGTGATTTCGTTTTAAAAAAATTGTTTGATGCTAGCTTGTAACAGTTTGGCTAAAACGTACCTCCTTTGATCCCAAAAACTTCAACCTCGCAGAGAGTCAACCAATCGTTGCCACGCAACATAACGAAAACGTATCGACCGGAAACTTCTTTTGTGCAATAGAGATCTATTGTTTTGCCTTTGCCGACAGCCCCTGGGAATGTTGTGCACCTAAAAAAGACAAAATGGGACGATTTTGAGAATTTTGACCATGAGCAGTATGCATACCATTTCGAAACATGTTCAAATATCCTAAAGAGACAGATTCGCCTGTTGAATTTCCTACAAAATCCCTGTACTCTCTACTCTTTACAAATAAGAACAGTGCATGTAGTTCTGACAATTATGCTTGCATTAGACACAAAACAGATTTGTTCCATATGTTGCTAACATAATACTGTTGACTCACAGTCCATTTGCTTTCGGGTTATTATCTGTATTTCCAACTCGAATATCGAAATTCTTCAATCGGTCATCGCAGCAATCGCCTCTGTTTGTAACCCTGACCTTTCCGATTTTCTGTGTACTTGCCAAATCAACTCTCCACCATGCCTGATTGTTGCGATTCGTATGAGTACACGATTTCGCACGGTAATTCGAGTTTTTATTCCCATCCACAGCTCTCTTTGCATCACCACCAGCTCCTGTCGAAGACTGCTTTGCGTTCTTGCCTTTTGCAAGATTTCCTAAAAAAATAGCGCAGAAAACATCAGGGACATTTTTAATTTACAACTAGAGAACAGCTATAAGCAATTCAGCTACTATAGCTGTTGAATAAAACAAATTAAAAATAAAAACACTGTTACAAAACAACTTATAAAAATTGAAATTACTTGAGACTGTACTATCAAACTTGTGTTTTGGGCAGAGGAATGAAAAACGAAAGAAGTAAAGAAGCTTTTTGAAATTGAAAGGCATGAAAAAGAGCTGACCTGTATAAATTAAAGATGTAATGAAGTGATGAAAATACAAGTTTACCTGTGAGTGGCGGTGCCTTTTTGGTTGGTTTAGCAGGCTTAGCTGCAAAAAATAATTCAATTGTCAAAAAAGAATTGTTTAGAAAGGACTGACAATGTTAACACAATGTGCCATGATTCAAAGTGCCATGAACCAATGTGCAATGATCCAATGTGCCATGACTCAATGTGCCATGATCCAATGTGCCATGACTCAATGTGTCATGATCCAATGTGCCATGACCCAATGTGCCATGACCCAATGTGCCATGACTCAATGTGCCATGATCCAATGTGCCATGATCCAATGTGCCATGACTCAATGTGCCATGATCCAATGTGCCATGATCCAATGTGCCATGATCCAATGTGCCATGATCCAATGTGCCATGACTCAATGTGCCATGATCCAATGTGCCATGATCCAATGTGCCATGATCCAATGTGCCATGATCCAATGTGCCATGACTCAATGTGCCATGATCCAATATGCCATGACCCAATGTGCCATGACTCAATGTGTCATGATCCAATGTGCCATGACCCAATGTGCCATGATCCAATGTGCCATGACCCAATGTGCCATGACCCAATGTGCCATGACTCAATGTGTCATGATCCAATGTGCCATGACCCAATGTGCCATGACCCAATGTGCCATGACCTAATGTGCCATGACTCAATGTGTCATTATCCAATGTGCCAGGACCCAATGTGCCATGACCCAATGTGCCATGACCCAATGTGCCATGACTCAATGTGTCATGATCCAATGTGTCATGATCCAATGTGCCATGACCCAATGTGCCATGACCCAATGTGCCATGACCCAATGTGCCATGACCCAATGTGCCATGACCCAATGTGCCATGATCCAATGTGCCATGACCCATTGTGCCATGACCCAATGTGCCATGACCCAATGTGCCATGACTCAATGTGCCATGATCCAATGTGCCATGATCCAATGTGCCATGATCCAATGTGCCATGACCCATTGTGCCATGACCCAAGGTGCCATGATTCAATGTGCAATGAAGCAATACATGATGACGCAATACATGATGACGCAATGCATGATGACGCAATGCATCATGATCTTGCTACTGAGTCAAACTACTATTTTGCAATTATATTTATATGCCTTAACATGTATGTTAGCAAAGCAAAGAGGAGGTCTAGATCGTGAAACGATTTCGACGTCAACTCACCTGCCACTGCCATAACCTGAACTTCGCAAAGTGTGAGGAAATCAAAGTTCTTCAACATGACAAAAACGAATCTTCCGTACTTGGGTTTTGTACAAGCCAATTCCCTGGTTTCACCTTTGCCGAGTTCTGAAGGGACGCGTACGCATCTGGATAGAGATGGAGAATAGCCGATAAATGACAATGAACGATGATAGAGCACAGTGCAGGGCACAGCTGTTCAAATCAAATAATTTTTATCTAAAACATGTAACTTGATCCAATTGAATACTGGCATGACTTTGAGCATTGCCCTACCATACTCAATCTTGCTAAGATTCTACGTGACAATCAATTAATCAATTATTCTAAAATTTCTTGGATACCTTATTGAAAAAAATGAAAACTGTATGATGTGAAATCGCCCATGTTGCCATAGCGAATGCGCAAATTAGCAAAGCTCGCTGAGGTGCCTGAACAGATTCAGCATTCACGGAGCAAACCTCCACAACACGAGAACCAATGAAAAATTCAATGAACCATTAAGCACTGCGATCAAAATCGTTAATCAAGGATAGAAAAGTGCTCAACATCACTGACTAAAATTAATGGGATGGTCAAAAGAATCCAAAATTGAGCTAGCATGTTTCGGTGGCTACTTTAAACATTAGATTATGTCTGTTACTTACAAATCGTTGGCTGAAGGGTTCTGATCAACATTTCCAACTCTGACTTCAAAGTTTCTTAGACGCTTCCAAGCAGCAACCCGGTTAGTAATCTTTACTTTGGCGATAGGGTACATCATTTGCAGATCAACACGCCACCATGGTTGACGGTTACGTTGTGTGTGCGTACAAGATCGTCCACTCCATCTAGGGTTTGCGTTTCCATCAACAGCCCTTGAAGATACTCCTCCAAAGCCGTCCGATGACTGCATTGTTGGTTTTCCACGTGCAATGTTTCCTGAAAAATGACCATTCAAGATCGCCATCGAAAGCAAGATACACAACAATAAATGTTTTTTTTACTATCATTTTAATCATAGAGATTATATTATATGATGTCTTATCAATTGTCAAAAAGGTGACAGTGTGGTGTGACAGGGTGATAGAAAGCCAGGCTTGAACTTACCAGTGTAAAGAGAAGGTGGCTTTGGTATTATCTTGGCACCTGAAAAAATTTAAAATAATTAAGATTCGTGGCAATTTTATTCTGATGATAAAACTCGCTCCTGGTGTAATAATAAAAATATTATTGTGTTGCACTAGGATTTTTCCTGCTGTAAGCTAATGAAAGATATGATTGTTGTTCTGTGACATATTCAGTTCTGTGAACAATTGTACGTGTTGGAGGGAGACATGTTGTCTCGTGCTTTCTTGGCCGTGGCTCAATCTCTAACTAACAGAGCGAAACCCTTTAAAGATAGAAAAGGTCTATTTCAAGTTATGAATTTTCACTAAATTACCAAAAGGCTAGATTTGGTGAATGAAAACGAGCGCCAACCTTTTATTGCCATGACATCAACTTCACAAAGTGTGAGAAAGCTCCTTCCATTCAGTACCACGAAAACGAGATGTCCTCTGACAGGCTGCACGCATAAGATGTCACGTGTTTCACCTTTCTGCATTGTACCCCGGACGCGGTCACAGCTACAATTAAAAAAAAGTGGTCAAAGAAATATATACAGGGAAGGAAGGAAAACAAAACCAGTCAGAGAACGTTTCTCACTTAGGAAAACCAAAACAGAAAATATGCAGCTAAAAACACTTTTTTTTAAAATCATACTAATAGAAATGTTTTTTGGGTGTGATCTTGCTGGATATAAACTCATAGACAACTGGTCATGTTGACCAGACACAAAACTAAGGTTAAGCAGGAAACACAACCACCCATTAAACTATTTTGAAAGTAATTGTACTACTAGATTTCTTCGCTAGCATTTTAAATATATCATAAAATTCAAGAGAACAAAATAGTGTAACTTTGAAGTCAGACAGATCAGTTAGAGCAAGTTAATCTCTTTTTCTAGATCAAAACAATAGAAAGAAAGAGACTTACAGCCTGTTAGCCTTGGGCTTCTTGTCAACATTTCCAACTCGGACGTCGAAATTGGACAATCTAGTCCAGGCAGCATCGCCTCTGTTGGTAAGTGTGACCTTGCCAACGCTGTACTGTTTACCAAGATCTACTCTCCACCAAGCACCTTGCTGTAACTGAGTATGAGTACAAGATCTTCCATTCCAGTTCGGGTTCTTATTACCATCAACAGCCTTGCTTGGCTGTCCTCCTGGGTAGGTACTAGATTGTGCTGTTGGCTTTCCTCGTGCCAAGTTTCCTGTGCAAGGCAAATGCAGATTATATATCAGAATTTGGTATTCGGAGGACCATTATCTTTCCTCACATTACTAAAGCACGATATTCGGTCATTATTTTCTACTAGAGGATTGAAGAAGTTCTTTGAGCGCAAAGGCGATGTCGAAATCCTAACATCATCATCAATTTCTGTTCAGTTTAACGCAACACAAAGGATAAAAGCTAAAATCAAATTGTTTTACTTTATTTTTGGGGGTTATTGGGTGACTGAGTTCAAGCCAAGAAAAAGAATAGAGCATGCGGCTAAGGTTAATGCAAGCATTTGTCGCAATGATTCCTGAAAAAACCTGATGTTTACTTACCGGTGTATCTCACTGGAGGGGGTGCTGGAGTTGAGGGTGCACCTACAGAAAAAGCATTCATAATATGCACTCATTGATAAAAGCTCAAGAATTTTCAAGATGTAAACTAATCATATTATAAAAGAGAATATAAGCTAAGAAACGACTCATTATGACTTCAACAATGGTACGTTTCATTATACGTAAAAATACCCTTTGCCACCTTTTGGGTTGAAATATGTAAGGTGCATTGTAAAAGTGGCTATACTTCTTATATCCTGTCCTATCGAGCAAGACTTAAACTGTGCGTATTTACAGAGAACACAATGCAAACTACTGCAGCTAAAATGTTTGTTTGCTGCAATTGGCAATCTTCTTAATATTTCAAACTTACCTGCAACAGCATAGACCTCAACCTCACACAACGTCAGGTATTCGTTCACATTCAAGACAACGAAAACATAACGGCCTTTGATCATTCTGGAGCAAGGGAACTGTCTGGTCTGTCCTTGCTTCATGGCTTTACCGTACCTTGTACACCTAAAAGAAACCAATCCAAGCATGCAAAAAGATACAAGCTTAACTCTACAACAAAGATACAAACTGAACACCACGTAAGAGCACTGTCGTGTGTATGAAATTATTTTCCTGTGATAGAAGATCAACCGGCTTAGTTTGTTTGCAAATGGATCAAATCATTCATTGGCGTTGCCAGAAAGAAAACACATTTTTTTATTTAACACAAGCCAAGAAAGCTCCCTTAATGATAAAATATATTAATTTATGCAACGCATACATTCCATTAGCCTTTGGCACACGGTCCCTGTTTCCAACCCTAATTTCGAAATTCCTCAGTCTATTGCCGCAGCAGTCTCCACGATTCGTCAGCTGGACTTTTCCAACAAGGTAGAATCGTTTGAGGTCGACGCGCCACCATGGGTACATCTGTCTTTGCGTATGGGTGCAAGACCTTCCATTCCATTGAGGGTTTTTGTTACCATCGACAGCACGCTTTGACAATCCGCCTGCGTGAGTGCTGGACTGTGCAGTAGGCTTTCCTCTCGCAATGTTACCTGCACCATGAGAAACATTGATTACAAACCCATTAAAACACCGAAATAGCCACAACATGCTTATATGGTTCTGGAGACCTGAGTCAATTACAGCACAAACTAACGAAAATTCAGTTGATATTGCACGCGATTATTCTAAACAGATTAGGCTTACTGGATATAATTGAATCTATTTTGAAAGAGTCACTTAACATGAAATTAAAATGTCAGACATAAATTGAGGATAATCAAACGATTAAGTCACTCAAACTATTTTAGCTCACCTGTGTATCTTGGCTGTGCAGCTTGAGGAATGGCAGCTGTAAGTAGACAAATTAATATTAATGCAAACACTTTAGATTTTCGTTATCCAAAAAACTGTTTAAAAACAAAATAGGACAATAAAAAAAGAAGAAACTAAAAAAGCAACGGCATGGTGTGTGCTTCATCAAAAAATAAAAAGATAAAATGTAAGATACAAGCGGCGGAGAGTAGCAATAAAAAGTGTGACTCAAACACAGGATCGGGTCAAAAGATGATATCTTAAAGGGGAAGAGCATGTTAATTGAATATAAAAAAACTATAAAGGGATACTTACGCATGATAACCTTTGTTGGGAGATCTGAAGAAAAATAAAACAATTAGTTGTACTCAATGCTTGAAAGATCTAATAAATATTGTATGTGCTTACTCACTAATGTGCTATTACTTAATTTTGATTATGTTTCCCGACATAACCAATCAAACACTAGTTAACACCCAACCTGCGGAAATCGTATATGCCTTTGGAAAGATAAAGAGAGGAAAAAGCTCAAATTCACCAACTCAAAATTGGATTTGTAGATGGCTTGAGTTGAGCCAACAAAGTATAAGCTAGGGCACTTACTGATCGAAGTTGAAATGGCAGTAGGCCCGGTTCCTGGTCTCTTGGCAATGGATTGGATCCAACTGAACTTTCCAGCGCCTTTGTAGCCAATCATAGCAAAGGAGGTTCTAACTCCAAGTTTAGGATTGACTTTGTTGCCAAGAATTTTCTACACAAAAAGAAATGACATTTGCATTAATGAACTCGTGCTACCAGTTTGATCATATTGTGCTTCTAAAAAGCTTTAAGTAAATTATCAAACAAAACCCTCAGCTAAGACCCCTTATTGCTGCCAGCATTTGTAATAAAAAGGTGGAAAAAGAGACGAGAAAGAAAAGAGATAAAGGAAGCATATATTGATTGATGGCTGCATACACAAGGCGCGAGCAGCTGCTAATTGCGGCTGTTTATACCCTTATCTATAAAGATGCAGATAATTGCCAAATGGAAGAAAACGAGACATACCAATGCATCAAGAGCTGGCTTCTTGAAGTTGCCTGAGTCAATAGCATCTCTGGAAGCAATAACAACGATCTTGTTGTTCAATGCTTGTACCCACTTGAGCATTCTGACTGCCGCACCGCCGTCACCGTAAACATCAAAGTTCGCGCGGCTGAAGTATTTCCCTTCGGGATACGTCAGCGCAACCAAGTTCATTCCCCGTCCGTTCGTACTCTTTTCTACGCCGTTAATTTTAATTGATCCATATGATGCTCCACAGCGACCTCTTGCGGGTGGATCGTTGCAGCCAACAGCGACCAAGTCAATCTTCAATGCTAAAAGTAAATTTTAATATTTTTATTAGCACAAGTCATTCAAAAACAATCACGCCATTTAAATCACAAAATTACGAAGTGTAGAATTACGAAAACTAGGAAGAGAACGTAACAAAAATGTTGCGTATACATACGTGGACGTCGCGCTGGAGCTGGCACTTTGGCTCCACGGCAGACATATTTAACTTCAAGGTATTTGTATGTGCCGTGGCACGGGTCTTTAAATACACCGTTGGTGGCACTCAACGAGCACTTTGGTTTGCCTTCGCACGCCCTCCGAACAATGTTCATCGAGCTATAACAAAATGCAAACCAATTTAATGTCTACCCATTTCATTAACCACTTTTCGTACATAGCAAAACATAAAAACATAGAACATGCCCACACTTATCTGTATATTTTCAAATTTAGTGATATCTTGAATATCTCCCCTCGCTCATAATGTAAAGATGGTTAAAAACTGCAAATAACAAATCTATGCATGACTTAAACCTTTGACTAATTCCAGAATTCCGAAGCATGAGTTTATTTATTGAAAACTGTCAGGTAAGTAACTGTAATAACAAGAGAATAAAAAAGATGATTCCGAAAAACCTCACTCTATCAGGAGTCAAATCAAAACGGATAAACACACTAGTGTTTTGTGGAATAACATAGATGAGACTTACGCGCCAGCCCTACAGTTAGTTTTCCTCATGGAGGAGCTCTTGCACTGATCTCGATTCAATCGTCCGTAGTTTGCATATGTGATGGTGATAAGTCTTCCAGCAGGACAATTCAGTTTGCCAGTACGCCCTTCGCAAATAACCACCGCCATTTCACTTGCAGCTGCAAACAAAAAATTTTCAACAGTTTGAAGAGTTGATCATAATTTGGTAGCAAAACCGAGATCAGATTGGTAGAGCCTGTTATCAAATACGGCAAAAGCAGAAGAATAAGAAGAAAAGACTGCACTTTTACAATGTATACGTATTAAAAACAACAAAATATTCAACTATATGTTAAAGCAACCATTCAATTTTATTCATTCCTGAATATCAAGGAAAATATCAAGGAAAATATCAAGGAAAATATCAGGCCATACATACGTTTCAATGGCTCATCTTTGACCTTGCGGATGACTAAAATTCAAAACAACAAGCCATTTTATAACTCACCAACAGAAAAAAATATATAAATAATTAGGGAAAGCTTCGCGTTGCAATTTGCTGGTTTAATGTGCTTTATTCAAACAAACGATGAAATTCTACAGGCTGACTAAAGTGGCGTTACTGAAGAAAACTAAAATCACCCATTTAGATAAATCTACATGGATCACGTTAAACATTCAACAATTTATGCTGATTTAGCCAGATAACACTAGATTTAGCAAGTAACCTATAAAACGTATTTATCAACAACAATACTTTGCGCACCTTGAGCAGAAAGAGCAGACCGGGACTGGATTCAGAGATGGCACCGGAAGGCTGTGTCGAAATAGAGATTCTAATATACCGAGAATTTATTTGTTTTCTGTCGTCTTGATTCCACAAGAGCGCTGTTAACCGCCCATTTAATTTAACAACATGTAAATTCACTGTGTTTGCTAGGGGCCCGGCGAACATTAGATTATACCTAGTTGCATGTAAGCATATTTGACTGCAAAGTTTTGATGTTGGTAAAAGTTCTTTAGAATCCAAATATTCCGTATAAACAGGTTACAAAAGACAACTCACGCAGCTGGGCATTGATAATAGATGGGCCTCTGCCTGGAGGGAGTGACTTTTGAACGGTCCATGGTTGTCTTCCTCGGCCTTTGAAGCCAATAAGGGCATACGAAGCTCGATACTTCTTGACGAAAGGTTCCTGACCACCGACCGAATACTAAAATAATAATAACAATTGCACGATTTGAACAAGAAATTGACAGAATTTTGCAAGGAGACTAGCATAGTTTGTTAAATGTATGTCAGGTGGCAATTCAATGGATTTTCATTTCGCAATCTTTGATTTCTACCCAAAATAGTGTATTAATAGCGAGATAAGAATTCGAGTTACCATGGCAGAATAGCCTCTGTTGTACATGGACCTGGTGTATTCATCTTTGGCGGCTATAAGTACGAGGCTGTTTGGCTTGATTTTGTCAACAAAGGAAACAAATCGATCAACATTGCCTCGGCTGGCTAACGTGTCAAAATTCCTGGAAGCGACGAACTTGCCGGTCTTGAAGTCGATAACGACAACATTGAGACCTCGCCTATTGACGCTACGTTCACGACCGTTGACTTTGATTGAGCCTGAGTTGTGACCGCAATTTCCTTTGGGAGGATCGTCGCACCCTTGGGACTTGATCTGGATCTTCAGAACTGAAAAAACAGCAGAAGAAAAAACAATGAGCTCAGCGAATGACATCCACATGACAAGAATTAAATGGAACCATGTTTAACTATATTTTGTTGATTAGTTTCAATCTGATAACACCAGTTAGTGGGATCTTTCCCCACTAACCTACCTATTTTATTAGCTACTTCTTTAACCCCCCCCCCCCCTAATTTTGCTGCTTTAAAACATAATGTTATTTACGAAAACAAAAGTGAATAGAAAAAGCAGTACCGATTCCTTTGCTTTCATCAGGTTTCACATCTAAAATACAAAACAAAATTTATGAATCAATGTATTTAAAATCAGTAGAAGGCCAAAATGGACACGGGTAGAAACAATCTTGCCGGACTAACTAAACTTCTTATTCCTCGTCGCTACCAATAAATCCCAGAAGATCATTTCACAATCTGTGCATATCTGTTTATTTTTCAGCCGTTCTTCGGTCATAAGTACCCCAACAAAAAATACTTTCACAAACAACATCATCGAAATAATATCAAATATTGAAAGGGCTTAAAGATGCAGTGTCCCCAGTTTACAAACAATTAACAACATAACTTCCTGACAGAGGGAATTGTGCGAAAGAGGGGAATTTTACGAAAGAGGCAAAAGTTTATAGATATGAAATGAGTTGATCTTACTTGGCTTCTTTTCTCCTGGGATTCCAGCTTGTTTGTACATATGGGTACCCAATTTGCTACCAGGCCCGATATCTATGGAAAATGTTCACATGAATGTTAATGATCTAAACAACAATTTCACTAACAAAAAATTGGGTAGATCAGAATAGAATTGAATGCAGCTACTCGCTCATGACTCAGAAAAGAGGTCAAAGACATAAACTTTCTTTCCACAAAAGCGATTTTTTTCGTTTTATGCATGCAGAGTGTACCAAAGTAAATATCAGTAAAACGGGAAAAAATAAAAAAACCAAATTCTGACATACGTCTCAAAAGAGCGAACTGCAGGGACATAAGTGCAATCGGGAAGTGTGATATTGGCTCAATCAAGCTGAAATCCTTCTGATTGTTAACGAGGTTGTTGATCTGTGCCTTGTCCACTTTATCACCTAACCCAATGGAGAAAACACGGACACCCATGCCTTGTATTCTTCTAACCGCAGCCTTGAGCGTATTTATATTGTCAGAGAACTTCGTCTGTGTAACGATAAACAGAGCTCTTTTTGAGGCCTCCCGTGTTCGGAATATTTTGTTATACCAGTTAATGGCACTCATGACGTTGGTTCCAGTAGGGTTTGGTCTCATTTGCTCTATATCTCTCATGAGTTGGCTTCCGCAGAAAATCTACGAAAGAAATAACTCAAATATAAGTTTTCTGAGGCTGGATGTGTTAATTTACAAACTCCCTTGGCCAGTCAGGAATTCGCACCCCCCAGTGAGGTTAAATCTCAATGAAAGAAGACTGTTACGAACCTCTTTGTCTTGAATAACGACTTTAGTTGGGTTTTTTCCAAATTGAACAATGCTGAACTTGCTACCTTCCAGGCGGAACATTCTGGCAATGTTGAAAACGAATCGTTTGATGAGCTCAAAGTTTGCTGCTGTGCTTCCATCGACAATAAAGCCAACTTTTGATGGCAAAACAGCTGCAAAAGGGACAGAGGGTATTGAGTCAAAATGCAAAAATACGGTACATCTTGGCAAAAATACGCTACAAAAATACGCTGGCAATTGGCAAAGGTTACAATATGATCAGCTGCTTTACTCTAAATGCCGGTAAAGAAAATTTGTTTATAATTCTTTGCTTTAATTCCTGTTGAAGATTGCCCCTAGCGATAACTAACGACTAAGAAAAATGAAAAAATAAGCATTCCATAGACATGGTTGAAAAACCTCAGCGAATTCAAATGTTACAAGAACTTTTAAACAGAAGTAAGATTTTAAAAACAAAAACGTACTTCCGTATCCAAAACAGTTGATGGCCTTCTCCCAATTCCATTGAGTTGTAAGTTTTTTCAGAAGTTCAGGTGTGATGTTCATAACTAGAAAAGTGAAATTGCAAAGCCTCGTAAGAATTCGAACTCTATTGAATCTCGTGATGCTTCATAGTCACGACACAGAAGAAGGGGAGGTAGTGACACAGAAGAAGGGGAGATAAACAGGTGCGGGATTCAAGAACAAAACACATGTAAACGGTTACGCTGCAACCGTCAGTAAATTGCTTGTGGTAGAGATAACAAAGTGAAATCATATTTAAATCCTAATTTCATGAAGAAAATTTTCGAGGAAAAGAAACATCTGAGAATTTGTGGCGGTCGGATAAACTACAATTACCAAGGCTGAAAACAACTTGCCTCGGAATCGATATAGTCAGATTAACAACTGCAGATTATGTAAGATATTTTATCTAAACTTAGGCTTTAACATTAGGTGTATTTTTCTAATTGCATTCATTTTACAACAATTTGTGTGTAATGTGTTTAAATGATTGGCTTAAATCAGCATTATATTTGTAAAAGCCACTTTAAATCGGAGAATAAATAAATAAAATAAAAATAATAAATCTCGAATGTTCAAGTCACAATTTGAAAAAAACCACGAGTTTATTTTCAATTAATAAAATAGTCTACAATTTACCAGAACGTCTGTTCATGCAGAATTAAAGAAACTCCTTTAAAATTGAAGAAACAACATTTTACCCTGAATTCCACCGTGAACGTGATCGTCCTTATCATCGTCGTCACTAGGTGAGATTGGTGTAATTGGACCAGTATTTGTCCCTTCATTTTCAGTATCTTTGTTCGACGTTCCACCGGCTGGATTGACACCTTGATTTTTAGAAACTTTGTCACCACCCTTATCTTTCTCTTTATCGCCAACACCACTAGGAGCACTTGGGGTTCCTGGGGTTCCTGGTGCACCACCTGGGGTGCCTGGTGTTCCTGGTGAGCCACCTGGTGTTCCTGGTGAACCACCTGGTGTTCCTGGTGCACCTCCTGGTGTTCCAGGTGTACCTGGCGTTCCTCCACCTCCCCCTGGTTTTCCGCCTGGAGCTATTGGCTTTCCGCCTGGAGTTCCTGGTGTTCCTCCTGGAGTTCCTGGTGAACCACCTGGTGTTCCTGGTGTACCTGACGCACCTCCTGGAGTTCCTGGTGCACCACCTGGTACTCCTGGTTGACCTCCTGGTGTCTCTATTTTTGGCTTTTCCTATATCAAAAGTGAAAGAATAACGAATATGAAGTACAAGAGCGTCTATATTCAGTTAAATTTTCATGTTAAACATTTTTTAAAAAAGTCAAGGATCATCTCTGCATTTTCGCTGCATTACCACTGAATTACTTTCAAAGATAGGTAATGTATACACAAAATAACATAAAATGCCATGAATTACATTCTCCTTGCTCTCAGGTGCTCCTGGTCCGCCAGCATTTGGAGTTGGCTTAGGAGGTCGTGGTTTGATTGGTGGTTTCGGTGGTGGAACTGGGTCTACATTTGTTCCAGTTGCTCCACCTCCAGCTGCAACATCAGTGCCACCATCACTCCTGGCACCGTCACCAGTAGCTCCACCCTTGCCTCCTTCCCCTGTACCAGGCTTCTTTGGACCTCCTGGTGTTCCGGCGTCAGGTTTTCCAGAAGATTCATCCGGAACGCTGCTTGTTGTTGTCGTGTCCTTAACATCCTTGCCACCGTTTCCGGCGTTGTCCGGTGTTACCTTTCCGTCCGATGGTGGACCATTTGAAACTTGAAAATAGGATAATAGCGTGTAAGAAGGAGAAACAAGATCCCAATTCTTTAATTCAGCGCAAGAACAACACCCACTATTCATCTCCATGATAGAGGTAGTGCAATTCTTAGTGATCTGTATTTGCCATGAGTTTCCATGAGCTTAAACAAGTTTCTTTTCCTTAACAGCGGCCTGAGTCATCCTACACGATTCTAAAAATCTGAATGTCTCAATTTTCCTTTAATCTGTGATTTAAAAAATGACACAGAACGAGGGAAAGCTGGACTAACAACATCAAACAGAATATTTACCCATGGTCAGCACAAACTGAATTCTTAGAACGATGGCTGGCAATTTTGAGCATGGGGACTGCATTGCCCAGTCACCGGTGGATGCAAGAGAAGTGATTTCTCCTCTGTTGATATCGCCAATACCTTCAAAAAGACAAACATCCAACTTAGGCAAAAATTGAAAACAACATTTGAAAATGGCCAAAAAAGTACACGACGAAAGAAACAAATGATCAATCTCCGGAAAACATCAAGTAGAATTAATAGCCACAGCCCTTTCGTGAAAGCCTTCTGCGTGAAAGCCATCCCTGTCATTGTGAACAGAAAGCACTCTGCATCGAACACAAAGACGTTGCTCAAGGACATTACATGGAACTCTCCCACACAAATCACGAGAAGTGAATTTGGAAAAGGCATAGATAGCTTTTCAAAGTAAAAGATACGTTGTATTTCAACTACCAAAATTCGGTAGCTTGAAATAAATTCTGTTTTTGCAACCAAAATGAGCATTGGGCTTCTTGATCAAGAATTAACAGCTACATATTCTCACCGATTGACAGCAACTTGACATCAGATCCTCCCAGGAAAGAAACTGGACTTTTAAAATTGTCACTTGAACTTCCTTGCAGTATTGTTATGACAACCCTTGGGTTATTCTTTGCCAGTGTTTTCAGGACATTTCTTCTTACGTAGTTCAGAGCTCTCCCGACATACAGTCTTTTATTGGCACGTGGTTGAACCTTGACTACAGCATCTTGAATCTGCTTCACTTTAGTGTATGTTGCCCCCTTTGTGACCAAACGAGGTCTGTTACCAAAAGCAACAATGGTCGTTTTCACAACACCGTTTTTGAAAAGTCGGATGATGTTGTAAATAAGTTTCTGGACAAGTTCGAAATTGGTATCATCTGTCTCGTCAACAACGAAGACAACGTCGGTGTTGCGCAGCCCTATAAAATGTGAAATATTGTGCAATCAGAAAATCTTAAATCATCATATGAGCTAAACAAATAGGTCACCATATCAAAGTAGCAGGGTTTATTGTCATCATTACCTAAACTTAGAGGAAAATTTTTTCAATGGCTATATCGAGCCAAAACGTAGAAGAAATTTCTAAAATGTCAAAGAAACAATATCCCCTTTACGTAGGATCGATAAACCTCTTGACACATATTGCAACAAAGAGATGAGAATACAGGTCCACTGAGAAAAAATGATAAAAACATAATACCCGTTGGTTCATGACATAAAAAATACAACACGTAAATTTGATCAGCACCATACGGCAGTGCTGGCGCCGTGGAAGCTAAAAACAAGTTGAAAGGTAAGCAGAACTTGACTGCCACATACTGTTGTAGACAATTCCTTTCTTGATCTGGTTCCAGTCCCACAGTGATTTAAGCTTTTCGATATCCTTGCTGCTCGATGAACTGATAAATGGTCCTGTAAATACATTATCATAATTATTGATTTGTAACCTAAGAAGGAAAGATGGCAATATTTGGTATCAATACCTTGAAAACCTACAACTCTACAATCATATTCAAATAAAATTGGTTTACGATATAGAGCCCATTAAACTGTGATGACAACGGTGAAATAGCTTGTCCTCAAACTGAGTTCAAACACAGTATACAAATTGAATTCCACAAAAAAAAGGCGAGAGGAGATTGATTTTCTTATTACCGTATGGTGGAGGAATTGGTGGTTCGACGATAGGCTTGTCAGTTGGCTGAGGTAAAACTCCCGTATCCTTGTGCTCTGGGTTCTTTCCGACAACTGCAAAAAACAGAAAAATGCGTAAATTACAATTAGATGCACTCATTTGCATAAATTACAAAAATCAGTTTTCAGAACAAAAACTCACACTATTAGCTACAGTGAAAACACAATCTAGAGCAAGAAAGGTTTAATGACAATGACAAACAAATGATAAAAGGTGAATCTTGTTTCAATATATTACTTGTTGTGATGAGCACTTGGATTTTTACAAGATTCTTTGGCAGATCTTGCCATTTTCCACTAATGAATTGGTTTGAGATGGGCTTCAAGTCATTTGGCTTTGCACCAGGCCCAGCACCAATGCCATAAATTGTAACACCCATTCCTCGCAGTTTGGCAGCAGGCCCTTTGGGATCATCGCTCGATTTCCCAGTCGTTATGACGAAAACAATCTTCTTTGCAGATTTATCAGGTGCAGAAGGGAATAATTTTCCGGCAGCATCAAGAGCAAGACCGATTCTTCTTCCTCCAGGGCCATAGTATCTAATGCCAGAAAAGTAAACGTCAAAATCAATAAACTACCGAACATTGTACAATTCAGAAACTCCTTTCGAAACAAAATAACGTTCTCCATTGGAATAAATCATAATTTCATAGTTCAGGCAGCCAGACGCTGGTAGCCACTACATACAAAGCACCAACAATTCCTGCAAAAAGTGTCAGACGATAAAGTGACACGCTCCTATCTGAAGTTGGAAAGTTGGAGCTCACCTGGCGTTTTGTCTTAATTAGTTTTTAGTTGGGCAGTCAATCACTGTCATGTGTAAAATGCGACATGGTGACATGCTACCGCGGATTGTGTCGTAGCAGTGGTTTGTTTTGGTAACCGCAGTGCGCAAATCGCCTTAGTAATTATAAAGACAACCAATCAAAGAAGCAGAGTCAATTTCTGAAAATGGCCTACCGCAAAGCGTTGGCGGCTGATAACAGTACACTGACTCCTTCGTAGACTTTCCAGGATCCGAATGTGTTATCAAGTGCACCACCAAAAGTGACGAAAGCAACAGAAGAGGTGTGGTGGAACAATCTGTGGAGATTGTATACGGTTCTTTGGATAGTGTCGAAATGATTGCGGTTGGTACCATCGATAAGGAAAACAATGTTGGCTGGCTTGAGGCCTGGAAGCAATCAAAAAATAGATTAAAAAAAATCAAATACAAAATATTTCAAAAGTAATAAGAAGTTCAATAATTTCAAGGAACAGAAACTTTTGTGAAGTAAACGTCATTCCCCTTCCTTATTTTCCTAAAAAAACATTTTTTCATAAATATTAGATTGTGAATTTTTCTGTTGGCGGTTAAGGTTAAGCAAATAGCACCACCAAACTCACCATTGTAAATCAGGTTGATGTCATATGATTTCCAGTCCCAGTTCTGAACAACGTCGGTGAAATCAACTATGATGTAACAAAAAGTACAATTTCTTTAACCTTCGAAAAAAATTAAAGAATACCGAAAAGAAAATAAGAAAACTGAAGGTAGAAAAATGAACTAGCGAAAACAATGGAAAACATTCTGGAAATCCAGCATATTTTTTTACATAAGAATGACCTATAAAAAGGTGACTTAGTTCATGTTTTGTAAAAAACAAAAAATTAGAAACAATCGATTTGCAGTAATTAATTGAAAGCTGTGATTTACTCGATATTTAAAATATTTCAAACAACTTCAAAGAGTATATAAGCTGAAGGCGGTGAGCAGAAAACAATAATGATATGAAAATGATTAAATTATAGAAAATAAGACAATGATACCATCAATTTTGCCACTTGATCCAGTATTCGGAGAGCTTTTACCAACAACTGAAAATATTGAAATGAAAACAACTCTTACAAAAATTTATTAAAATGACAGAACATGAAAAATTATTGTAAACTTTTTCAAAAGAAAGGAATTTATTTCAGCTCGACAAAATGATATATCCTTGTCGTCTTTCAACGAACACCGATTGCCACTTCAGGCATGCTTGCATGAATACTGAACAAAGGCCAATATGTCTGATATACGTCTATATACGTCTGATAGCCAAAGAGTCTCAGCATATTTCTAAAATTTCATAAAAATGCTTCGAAAAATATGATTACTTTATAAGACAAATATATCAATAAGGTTGTTTAATGCATTAATAACCAAAAACATTTTTCCAAAAATGCATGTGTCATTCTTGAATTCTTGTTCGTCTTTAAAATGCCTGGCCGCAGCCCCGTTTGTCGGTGGCCTAACACTCTGGTGCGTCGTGAATAGAGGTGGCTTGGAAAATCGTATAATTTAAACAATTGAAATTAAAATTTCGAAAAAAATCGTGGTCTTCGATATTCTTTAATGTACTTCAAATGTAAGGAATGAAAAAGAACATACCTTTAGTAAGGCCTTCGAAAATAGCACCGCTTGCAGTAACAAGCCCATCAAGTCTACAGCCAAAGATGAAAGATGATGAGAAAGCAATGAGTGACAGCTCCTTTTGCTTGAACCCTTTGTCTCCGAGATTAGTTTTTGGGTCGAAACCAGTCAAACCAATGGCAAATGTAAGAATACCTCGCTTACGTAGGTTAGCAGCTGGTCCAATGACGTCATCAGTAGACTTGCCCTTAGTTATGAGAATAACAATGTTTGGATTTCCAGAAGGAGCATCTGAAAAGGTGTGGAGGACAGCTTTTAATCCAGCACCGACCTTCCTAAAGCGCTTCTTTGACTTGGGTATTCTGTTAACCAAACGACGAGCTTGTGCACCATTCCTAAGCATCATCCAGTTACCGACTCTGTACTGGGCGTCTCCAAAGTCAATTATGCTGACGTATGTGCCAGAGAGCGAGAAAAATCGAATGATGTTGTACACCATGTGACGGATGTAGTTCAGGTTCTTTAAGAAAAATCCTTCAATCACGAATGCAATGTTGGCTTTGTTGAGCACTGCAAAAAGATACACGATGCTTAGATGCTGTGTTGTGAGATAATATGAAAAAGTAATCTTTCGAAAGGAAAATCTGGAGAAATTCACATGAAAAAAAGCAAAGTCACTGACCTCCATATTGGATTGGTTTGTACTTGTTTGCCCAATCCCATGTTTTCTGGATATTCAAAATTGTGCTGTCACCTTGCAAAGAAAATGACAGGATTATTGATTTCAAAGAAAGAAAGAAACTATTCTTGCAGCTAATGGTTTTAAAATCAGTACTTTATTTATGCACGGGATAAATTTGCAGATGAGGAAATTTCTTATGATGGTTATCAAACATTGCCCTTCATGGTAAAAATTAAATGAACCCTCCTGGATGAGCATTTTTTAAAACTGCTTGTAAGTCATTTTGCAAGGGCATATTGGCTTGTCTATCAGTTCGACAGATTTATTAATTTAAAGAGTGCTTTGAATTATGTGTAGTGGCTAGACTTTTGATAGAATATCATCGCATTTTAACAGAAGATTAATTGAAATGGACTGAAATAAATAACATCGAGAATAACATCAATCAGTAATTTCTGATTTCGAACATAGAAAAACAGACAAATCTGAAAACCCGGGTTGCGTGTTGCTCGTTTTTTCGTATTTAATCTTCGTATTTTTTTTTCGTATTTAAGTAATTTTTTCGTTCAGAGTGCCATCATCAGTACTATGGTTTGCAGAAATCGAATCAAATTAACACATCACAAGATGCTAAATGCAGTTCAAGGTGACTTAACAACATTTACTGCAATAATTTTTTATCCAAAAAATGCTGATACTAATTCAGGATGCTATGATAGCATCATAGTCACAAACTACATGCAGGCTTAAGGGCTCGAGCCTCCATGAGAATTTTTGGGAGGGGACCAAACTTTATGATAAAGCAAAAGTGCATTTTCCAGGCAATTGTTGAATCGAGTTTTTACCATTAACATTTTGAAAAAACAATACTAATCTAAAATGAACAAATTTTGTGCTTATGGTTAGGACTGCAATACGATAAATCAAAAACAGTGCAAAAAGATGAGAAAATTTGCTTACCAACATTGACAGTGACTGCACCACCAGACCCAGTATCTAAATACGAAAAAAATTAATGTCATCAGTTCTAATCGAGTTTGAGAGGGGGTTATCAGACTCCGACAGATTGAACCGATTATATCACTTCCGATTATATCACTTCCGATAACATCACTTTCTATTACATCACTTCCAATTACATCACTTCCAATTACATCACTTCCGATGTACTTCACTGCCAAACAACGGAAGCGTAACTATGGAAACATGTTGCTTTATTTATAAATTTAGAATTATAATATCATTTTTACACGTAGTGATTCATTTTGAAGGAGAAACATTTCCAAAAATCTGGATTGGTTAATTGATAAGATATGATCTAAAAGTTGTCAAAGACGTAATCTAAAAACAGCATTTGTGAATAAAATGGAAATATTAAAAAAACACAATACACTTCCTCAAATTAACATAGAGAACGATTTTAGAATGCTTAAAAAAATAACATATTTAAACGTTTTTTGTAAAATTTGACAAACCTTGTTTAATGAGATTTTCAATAGCCTTGAATCTGTCAGGGGTAACCATTGATTTTGTGGGCCCATAAACAACATATCCAGGACTGGTAGCAATCTTCTGGAGGTCATCTTTGAATGTGTTTGCTTTTGGGTTGATTCCATAGCCCCAAACCTTAATGTTCTTTGCCTTGAATTTGGCACCAATTGCAGGTAAAATGTCAGAGTCAGTTGCCTTGCCAACCATGATGACGAAGAGAACATTTGGATTTTTGTTTCTTCCCATCTGAACGATAAACTGTTTGTATACTTCAACCATAGCCTGTCCTGTTTTCCTTGACGATCCTCTTATTATTGGAATGGAGTTTATTACAGCCTGGAAAATACAAGCAGCATGTCATAACAAAATATGAACCAAATACACGAAAAGGATTGAAACATATCAAATCTATGGAAAAGCAATCTTTCATTATTAGGTTTATTCCTATTAAAATTGATCGTGGATTTATCGAATATCATCATTTGACTTTAGAAACGATAAATAGACTTGCTTCCATTCTATAAAATGCATTCTATATAATTACATTTCAATGTGAATTTGATTTAACAAAACATCTCTCCATTTCAGATAATCAGCAAAGCTGGCGCCCTACCTGGATTTCTTGCGGACTGGCAAAAGACTTCCAGTTTGTAATTCTTTGCTGGTTTGCGCCATATGCATAAATGGAGACATAGGTGCCTTGAAGCTGGAATAATCTTATGTAGTTGAAGACCATTTTCTGCAAAAAGCTACGTGTTGCACCGCTGGATGTGTCAATAAGAAAACCAACATTGGCTTTTCCACAACCTATGTTAACAATAAATGCATCAATAAGCAATTAATTTACAGCAACAAAACATGACTGTAAGCGGACTTAACTTTTAAACAGAAGTCGTGCTTTGATAAACTTTGAGGGCATTTTATGTAACAAACACCTTCAATGTACTAGGCTTAGAAAGCTTCAAGACGAGGTTGATTCATAAAACAACTACGTTATTGCGTTTGAGTCGATGCAGTCTTTATCCTCTGTATTCGTGATGGCCCAACGTTGAATGCAATAGTCCTAAAGTAGCCTCAACATTTTTTATTCTTATGTGATTCATATTATTCGCAGTAACTGCAGAGTGTTCTTATAAGTACAAAATTCGTCATCTCAGGATTGATAGTCGCTTAACATTGGGTTATGGGCACAACGTTACTCTGTCATCGTTGGCAAATGATCCATGGGCCTATTTCGAACAGACCTTTATATATCAAACACGGATAAATTGCACGAAACTAAAGCAAAGACAAATTACCTCCATATTTCAGTCCTTTGATGTATTTATACCAATTCCAGTCAGAATGATACCAAACTATAATAGATTACGCAATTAAGAATTTCGATGCGTTCAAAAATTTCAGCTAAGAATTTACTACGTCGATGTTGTGAGAGGATCATTTTAACATTAAGAGTAACGGAATTTTGTATACATGATGAAATGTTTTTAAGTTATTTTGACTCAAATAATCGACAGGAATACACCTGGTTATTAAAAAGAATTCTCCCTGCGTATTCAGATGCTGGTAAAGTTATAGAAAAATATAAGTGAGCAGCAACCTTAAACAATCCATGCATACTAACACATATCAAGATAAAGTTGATTTACATTTCATTGCAGTCAAGTACAAAATGAAACTTGGCCGTAACAAACTTACCGCCTCCAGCTCCTGTCAGCCCTGTATAGAAAACAGAATGATATCAGGATAAGGTTCCGTATTAAGTAAACAATTAAGAATTGTCTTTTTATAACAGTTTTCAAAGTGGGACCAACGATGACCAATCACTGCAGTATTTGTGACTAAAAACAAGAAGTCTTAAGCAAAGGCTATCTGCCTAAAGGTTGTTAGTTGAATTTGCTAAAGCGACTTTCTACGTTTATCCTTTTTTGTATCCGGTCAAAAGCAGAGACTCTTTGATTTATTGACAAACATCACATTAGGTGACCAGATTTTTTCTTGATAATTTCATGCCATTTCTCCGAGCCAGGATTTTCCAGGTAAAATTGGAATCTTAAGCTTATTTTCAATGCCTTGTGACTGTCAATGACTGGGTGTGTGAAAGAGCATGGTTTTCCCTAATAACTGAAGTCAGAACCAATCGTCCCTTATAGAGAGCATGTTTTCATCATCTAACGAAAGCTTCTATTAAAAATGCATTTCCCAGCTTAAAAAAGTAATTTCTCAAGAAAATTGTCGAATGATATCAACAGACGCTGATTTATGTTATACAAAACTGCTTCCACCAATTTCACTGATTCACATAACAACTTCGTTGCCCTCCTTAAACTTAGAACATACTCAAAACGCCCCTTGATCAGAAGACCCGTGCATTAAAGCTAGTAAATGGCTTACATCTTTGCAGCCTGTGTTGGATCCTAATCATAATTGAAGGTTTTCTGCTGCTACCAATAACCACGTGCTCGTACTTGGTCGCCCTGAAGATTCTGGGTGGTGTTGTGATCATGGTCAACTCCTCAAGGATAAGACGGGTGCCGAAACCAATAACATAGACGCGCACACCGAGTGCCTTCAATGACTTTGCTGCAGCCTGCAACTTGTACACGCACCCATAGGTACGACCACGCACGATCAAGAACAGGACCATTTTTGCTTGTGGAGCCTTAGCCTTGTTGCCAGCAAAAACCTTAACGACATTTTCCATTGCTTCTCCAATCCGGCGGCTTTTTGTTTGGTCCATTCTAATAAGAGCGGCGTTTCGCTGCAAATCCTGTTCATTTGACATCTTCTTGAAAGCAGTTACCTGTGAACGTTCAAAGGATACGTTGAAAATTTACTCAATACAAAAACCTACTTTTTTTCAATAACGGAATATTGAATACATTGATTACCCATAGGACTTAAGGGGTTATGGATCACATGCGTTTTTACCACTAAGCAAATTCAAAGCTTGTGTTTTCCATTTGCACTTTGAAGAAAGCTTCATGCAGCATCTACACATAATCGCTCAATATTTGAATTTATAATTGCCAAAACTGTCAAGCAAATGGTTCCCTATGATGAATTTTTTATGATGAGTGGCTATTTCACGCAAACAGATATTTTGGTGCTGAACAGCTTAAGGCATTACAAAGCAAAAAACCATTTGTAAATCAAAAGAGGTTTTTTTGTCAACCTGATTAAAGATAATAGGAACAAAGAGCGTTGTTTTACTTAATCATCTAACAGTAGGCAACTCACCTGATTGTATCCTTTACCAAAGGAGGCAAGTGTATAATATGTATCCCCCAAAGAGAAAGTTCTGGCCAGGTTGTATACCATGCGTTGGGTTATAGGCATGTGTGTGCGAATGGAGGCATCGACCAAAAAGGCAGCATGCGCCTGCCCAGATGCAACTAAATTCAAACAGAACACGTGAAAATAGCTTGAATGGGTTAAATGAAATCTTAAAGAATGGAATGAAAATTAGAAACACTTATCGAGCACAAAATCATGGCAGCATCAGAATCTAAATTTCTTTGATGAAATCATGAAGCATTAAAGACTAGATAGACAGCCAAGTAATCAAGACCTATCTGCATTTATAGAGAGGAAAATTCTGCATAAACACCTTATTCCTCATAGCACTTGGTTTTCTGGTTAATCAGGGCATAGTCTATAAACAGTCTTAAACAAATCTCGTATTAGGATCCTAGCCATCCTATTTCCAACATGCGACCTCAAATCGAACATTGCTTCTTTGGAAAATAATAGCCATGTACCAAATACCGAAATACAAATTTTTGTTTGGGGGGCCGCCTTAATAAATGAGCGTAACATTAGCTATATTCTCTTATGCTATTTATGTTTTTAGGGGGGGTGAAGGCCCCCCAGTATCTCGGTCCTTGCCAGTTACTGAAACTGTTAACTTGCTACAGCAATGCAAACCCATTTGCAAATACTAACAAGGAACTTAGACTATTGCATCAGGGCATTTCTATATTAAAAAGTCATTCACTGTGCTTTCTGGCATACCTTCGTACTTATAACCTTTGACAAATTGCTTCCAATTCCATGCCAGCAATTTCGTATGCCATTGTGAATACTTGGAAGTCTTTACTGGAGGCTTCGCTAGCACCATTGGAAGTTTTGGTGCTTTTCCTGTCAGTTTCGCTTGCTCTATTGCCTTTTGTATCTTTTTGGGAGGTGGTTTCCTTCTTCCTCTGAAAATATTTTTCACAGCATTCCAGGCACCCTTGGCTAGTTTTTTGAAAATTCCCCATCTCTTATTGTTTTCACCAGTCACCATACCACGGAATGTTCTGACCTCTGCCTCTTGTGGTTCTACGAATGTTCAATATATAAATTGTAGATATGAAATCTTTAAGATGCAGTACTTCACGGCATAACAACTCGTCTGATGAATTTTTGAAGCAAGGATTCACATAAACATCCCTTTAGTCATACTACGAAATATTTTAACACCTCTAGTGATGAAAATGAATTTGAGTATAAGCGATTCAAAGAAAGAGTGGTTGTAACAATGGCTAAGGAAAATAAGGTATGAAGAAGACTGCCTACCACATTCACTAATAGAGACTTCTTCGTCATCATCTTCATCTTCCTCATTATCAAAGAACTCTTGAGGATCTGTAAGTTCTCTGGCCTCAACTTCTTCTTCATCGGAAAAGTCATCAGTAGAAGATTCTTTCTCCTCTTCTGCAACATTATCTTCCATTGCATCGGATTCTTCATTATCATCAGCTTCTTTGCCGTCATCTTCAAAAGCAGAACCATCACTATAAGTTACTTGTTGGCTTTCATCTGTCACGTCATTAGAGTCTTCATCTTCATTGCTATCTTCAGTCTCTTCAGGATCCTCCTCACTAGCCAAATCTTCTTCACCCTCGGAGAATTCATTAGTCTCTGCGGTATTTTCATCTCCGTTTTCGTTTGATTCACCTTCACCTCCCTCTTGATTATCAACATCGGCATTTTCATCTCCGTTTTCGTTTGATTCACCTTCACCTCCCTCTTGATTATCAACATCGGCATTTTCATCTCCGTTTTCGTTTGATTCACCTTCACCTCCCTCTTGATTATCAACACCGGCATTTTCATCTCCGTTTTCGTTTGATTCACCTTCACCTCCCTCTTGATTATCAACATCGGCATTTTCATCTCCGTTTTCGTTTGATTCACCTCCACCTCCCTCTTGATTATCAACATCGGCATTTTCATCTCCGTTTTCGTTTGAATTTACCTTCACCTCCCTCTTGATTATCAACATCGGCATTTTTCATCTTATCGTTTTCGTTGATTCCCTTCACCTCGCCTCTTGATTATCAACACGGCATTCACTCCGTTTTCGTTTGATTCACCTTCAACCTCCCTCTTGTTATCAACATCGGCATTTTCATCTCCGTTTTTCGTTTTGATTCACCTTCACCTCCCTCATTGATTATCAACATCGGCATTTTCATCTCGTTTACTTTGATTCACCTTCACCTCCCCTTGATTATCACATCGGCATTTTTCAATCTCCGGTTTTTCGTTTAGATTCACCTTCACCATCCCTCTTGATTATCAACATCGGCATTTCATCTCCGTTTTCGTTTGATTCACCTTCACCTCCCTCTTGATTATCAACATCGGTATTTTCATCTCCGTTTTCGTTTGATTCACCTTCACCTCCCTCTTGATTATCAACATCGGCATTTTCATCTCCGTTTTCGTTTGATTCACCTTCACCTTCCTCTTGATTATCAACATCGGCATTTTCATCTCCGTTTTCGTTTGATTCACCTTCACCTCCCTCTTGATTATCAACATCGGCATTTTCATCTCCGTTTTCGTTTGATTCACCTTCACCTCCCTCTTGATTATCAACATCGGCATTTTCATCTCCATTTTCGTTTGCTGCAGTGCCATCTCCAGTTTGAGTACCATCTCTAGCTGTGATTGTTGATTCTTTCTTGTCTGTATCAGAATCATCGAGCAGTGTCTGGGGCGTTGGAGCCGCTTCGTTAGATGGCGACTCATCTGAATCTGGTATCTATAAAATGAACCAGATGTAACCAATGAAAAAAAAATTAAAAAACCAAGATGTTAACATTATTAATTAATACGAATTCGTACATATAATGCTAGAAGTATGAAACAAAAATGACATACATTGCCTCGAATTTGACCAGTTACAGCCATGGTTAAATTTGATGGTGCGTGCAAAGCTGCCGATCCTGGCATTGATGCAGATGTGCTGCCAACTTTGCTTCTAGTTTCTGCTTGTGTTTCAGATCCTGCAGCATCAGTACCTCCAGTACTACCAGCTCCTTGACTACCATCTCCATCTGTACTGCTAGTTTCACCAGTACTTTCATCAGCATTTCCAGGGGTCTGATCACCGGCACTTTCATTTCCACCAGCAACTTCACCTGTATTGTCGTTATCTGTGTTGCTATTCTCATCACCACCACTTTCGTTTCCACCGGCAATTTCACCTGTGTTGTCGTTATCTGTGTTGCTATTCTCATCACCACCACTTTCGTTTCCACCAGCAATTTCACCTGTGTTGTCGTTATCTGTGTTGCTATTCTCATCACCACCACTTTCATTTCCACCAGCAACTTCACCTGTGTTGTCGTTATCTGTGTTGCTATTCTCATCACCACCACTTTCGTTTCCACCAGCAATTTCACCTGTGTTGTTGTCATCTGTATTGCCATTTTCATCGCCACTATTTTCGTTTCCATCAGCAACTTCACCGGTGCTTTCGTTATCTGTGTTGCTATTCTCATCACCACTACTTTCGTTTCCATCAGCAACTTCACCTGTGTTTTCGTTATCTGTATTCTCGTCACTTCCCTGTTCGTCTCCTCCCTCTTCGTCTTGCCCCGTTAAATCATTCTCGGCATCATTCTCGGCGTCAACCGAAAATTCTTCGCCATCATCATCTGCGACATCACCCTTGTTATCTTCTTCGGGAGCAGTGTCATCGCCTTCAATATTTCCAAACTCTTCGGTTGCAGTACCGTTGTCATCTTCACCCTCATCTTGATCTTCTGCAGATTATCAAGAAAGAAAAGTTTGTCAATAGATCTAAATTATTTTCATACATATTGATGCTTTTTTCCGAATACTCTGCTTGCGTATAAGCTCAAACCTTGTAGAATTATTTTAAATTTTGTTATCACACGAATACAAAGTTGTACCATCTGCTAAATTACATATATCGGCACCAGTCAACAAGAAGAGTAAACAAAAGAGGCCCTAGGACCGACCATTGTGACACTCGTAGTTTTGTTTTCTTCAATGTGCTGAAGGCTTTATCTATGCCTCCAATGTGCCAGGTAACTAAAGATTTGAAGCAGAGTGTCTCTGCAGAATCTATAAGCATGTAATTTTGCAATCAGGAATTCATGATCAATGCAATCGAAAACTTTCGATAGGTCTACCAATATAGCACCGGAATATCCTCTTTGGTCTAAAGCTATCTTACATACGAAGGGTCAAGCAAAAAAACCTCTTAGCAATGAAAGACTTTAAATGCAATCCTGAATGGAATATTGGTATCTTTAAATTCATGTTTTTAAATGACTCTTTATTGAGCATCTATAGCAGACCGATATGTGACCAAACTACACAGTCGCGACTTGTTTCATTTAAAAGTGCTTGTACAGAATATTCCATCAAACGTTCAAAAATTTTAAATTTAACCAAATAAAAGATTTTGTGAGGATCAAACATAAATTTTTCAGTGAAATAATTACGCTATTTCATAGTTTTTTTTAATTACAAAAGGGCCTTGGTGGCTTAAAATAGACCTTTCATTGGAGTAGTGGCAAATGTGAAGGGTCTCGAATTTCCTTGCGAAGGTCATTTTAAACTCAAGCTTCAAAAAACGTTTTTAGTAACTATCACTCATAATTGAAGTTGAAATCTCATTTGATCCTTCTATATTTTAAGCTACATGGTGAAAAGATTCAATGAAATTAAAAACCAAGTCCCCTACTTGCGCAAAATATCCCTGACAGCTCAAAGTGTCCAGGGAACACAACCTTGGATCGCACTTCCCTATAAACATACACCCACAACGGACTCATATTGTACCCCAGTGAGACTTCACCTGATTTTCTCATTCAATCCTTCATATATCCCAACCCGTTATTTTAACTTGAAAAGTATATTTGCAACGAAGTAAATACTTACAGTGAAGAATTAGCTTTTTACAAGTACTTAACCCAGAAGTATCATTGTCTTCATCAGTATTTCAATGCAATTTGTTTCAGCTGAATATAAAAAAATACAATTCCTGCAACCAAGGGACCTCTCGAGCAAGAACGTGCTCGAGGCTTACACAGTTTAGGTATATCACCTTGGAAGGTCTTGAGAAACTCGTCAATGCCAAGAAAAAATGCAACAACTACCTTGTGTAGATTCATCTTCCTTCTCTCCCTCTCCATCGTCCTCTCCAGTCAGATCAGCATCATTGTCATCTGAAGATTCGAGGTCACCATAGTTTTCACTCTCGCCATCGTCACTACCATAGTCGTTTATGTTGCTGATGTCGCTCATGATTTGCTCGTCGTCAGCTTCCGAGAAGTTTGCATCGCTGTCGCTCGCGTCATCTTCATCAGCGGCAGAATCTTCGTCGGGGTCGTAGTCGTCGTAAGCATTGTCACCCGACTCATCGTCGTCGAATGAAAGCTCCTCATCGACCGATTCTTGTTTTTCTCCGCTGCTGAGGTCCTCGACGTCGTTATCATCTTCGACGCTCTGGTTTTCGATCTCTTCGTCGTCATAGTCGGCCTCTTCCTTCTCTAACGCCAACTCAGACTGATCTTCCTCGAGCAGATCATCACCGCCACCACTGTCGGTAAATTCGCTACTTGCGAAATCTATAATCGCCTTTTTCTCGGCCTGAACATCTGTTCGATTCTTCGCGACTATAGTAATAGGTACTTCCGGTTGCCTCTGCACAACAAAACTCAACGGCACAGAGTTATCTTCTTTCACTTCAGCGAAACAGGACGCTGCCAGAAAGGCAAGAGTCACAGCTACTTGCCAAGTAAACATCCTGAAAGAGAAAGCAACCTTTAGTAAAATAATTTGGAAATTTAAAGGCTTTCTTAAGAGGAAAGAGGATAGTGGTAGATAGAACACTGCGCAACAAGATCGGGTATGATGCTCTACATGAAATTCCTCATTTTAGTCAAGCACATAGCATACATTTTGGCTGAAAGGAACTCAATCAAACTGTACTTTCATAAAGAATACAATTAAAAAAGCAAGGTAGCCTAAGAAAAGCTTTGTTTTCCGCGCACTTCGATAATGATGGCCTTTGGATTCCCTGTATAATACTTCCAAATATGGCACCTTACGAATATAAAGGGCATTTTTATCAACCTCAACCATTCACAAACTTGAAGATGACATGTTTGTCGAGTTATCATCAGCCTCGTCATCACCAAACAGAGACGCAATTACGAGCTGAGAGCCCCCGCTCAGCAAAAGCCACTCTAGAGACCAGCCAGCCCCCGAACACCACCCAGCCCGCCGAAAAGCAGCAGAGACGCCGCCGCCCCGCAGAGTCCCAGCAATAGAAGAAACATAACGTACACCTCGACAGCTAAGACCACGCAGAACAACACCACCCCCACCGTCTCCATTAAGCCTAGCGCAAACAGCAGATATTTGTCGCAAAAGACGAAGATTTTTGTCTTTCTCGGAATAACTTGCTGTTTGCACACAGGATAACGGTTTCCATATTTCCCCTTCTTTGCTTTTATTTTTCAGTGAACGAAGTGCTTTCCTCTTTGACGGGAAAGACCTTAAAGAAAGCCTCGTGAACAAAAAATCTATCTTTGATTGGTTTTTATTTTAGAATGAAAAAGCCTGCCTTTCGTCGCAAAGACCAAAGACAAATATTGAGCATTTTTTATCTCAAAGATTCTCGCAAAAGCAAAAATCTTTCAATTTTTTGCCCCTCACACTACAGATTTATGTCGTAAAAAACAATGATCTTCGTCTTTTGTGACAAAAATCTGCTGTGTGCGCTTAGGCGTTAGAAATTTAAATATAATTACGACGTTTCAAGCATAACTTTTCATCAGGTTAAAAGATTAGGAGGAGTAATAGTTAAAAAGAGAATAGAAAAGTGGAAACGAAAGATAAACTTTATGGAACGCAGTAGGAATACAACGTAGAACGTGAGATGAGGTGAAAATATGTGAGGGGGTAGAAAGCGTAGAGATAAGATAGTAAAATATAAAAGAATGATAGCTGGATTAGGAAATATACGAATATCGTTTTTCAAGTTCATTAGGAATAAGAATTCAAAGTTTGAAAATAATACGTTTTTCGAGGATCTTATAAATAAGTTACTAAGACCGCTGCTTTATAACTAAGAATCTGTTTTCAACAACAAATTGCATGCACAAATTAAAAAGAATTGATTGATTTTTATTTGAAACGGGCATATGATCTTTGCTATCGGATAAAGTTTTTCTGTACGCTTCATTTCAATTATACGATTTTTAAACTGGTTACTTCAATTTTTATATTCCAAATAAAAAGGGTTTCGGCCGATTCATGCCACCTCACGACCCCTTGTATATCATAACCTTTCAAGTGATTTAACACGCGTCTTTTCCTAGGTACATTTTTAATCTGCTGAATTGTAAACAGTAGCGAACATTTAAAATCTTCTAGAGAGTTTTAGAACTTTCGATTTAGTAACTATTCTTGCGATTGGCCAACCAAGTAATTTAAAAAACAGCTGGGAGAAAATCTATCAACAGAAGATAACTGGGTTTTGACGTGCAATTCTGAATCTGACTTAGCAACCATTATCTTATTTTGATGTCAATCATCCCATTATTAAAGATGTTGGTGATAGCCGTAGCTGAAAAGGGTGCTCTGAGAAGAGAACAAGGAACAAAAATGGAAACCGAATCATTGCGCGGATATCTGCGGGCGTGATGACAATTTTAAATGTTTACAATAAGAACAATCTTAATGAACGTTATCGATAAGAAAAGTGTTTATATAACAATTCTGATGGCATTCAAAAGCAATCCACCGTACCATGCGACACCAAGAACAGAGGTGTGACTTTTACCGAATGACCATTCATAACACAAATGTTTAGCACCAAAATAAACATAACACTTGTAAATCACAAACAAATATTGATTTAAGAAAATCCAGCAAAAAAATCTACTCACCTGTCTCAGAGTTTACAGCATTTTTACAAAATTTACAAACTGCCAAAGAAAAGACAATACCAGAGAAGATCAGGCAAGCAAACAATTGAACAAATCAAAGCAGGTATCAAGGTTATTAGGGCGCTGACTCACCAGGGTGAAGATATTGATAGTCAGCTAAGCATGTCCCATTCCAAGCAGGTGTCGTGAACGCTCTGTTTCCAGATCCTAATAACACAGATCTCAAATAACGTTATTGGTTCAGGTAAAAATAATCATAATTATGATCATGATCATAATAATTCGATTGATAATGATGAAAATCGTCCTAACCATAAATTGCCGTTTGATAAGACGCTTAACTTGAGTGCTGCTTCTCAATCATTCAATCTGCAATCTCAAGAGAAGTCGATTTTTTCGCTTTCTTTCGAAAATAACTTCTCACTTTCCCTGATTCAATTTTGAAGGAATGTTTTTGGAACACAAAAGATAAAACCGATAATCCAACATCGATTCGGGGGAAAGGAGGGATTCGAGTTTACAGGGTCAACGTAAAGTAGAAAATTGCAAAAAATTCCATTTTATCTCAACAATTTGTGCGTGATTGTAGCTCTCTGATTGGTGCCCAGTGTGTGTTGATTAACAAACGAAATAAGCAAAAAACTTACCAATAATGATTATAATAGCCCAGCTTTTCTGATGAAACTGACTTAAGAAACCATAGACAGTGATGGTGTAGCCTACTGTCGACATGCGTTGAAATTTTTAGTTTCTTTTTACAAAGAGATAAAAACACATAAAAATCTAACAAACAAGCCTCATGAAAATTTATTTCAGAACTTTTGTCTCGCGGTTCTTCCTCTTAGTAAAAACCCCGGCTTGAAGCTGGTACAAATACTCATTTTACGTAAATTTTAATTTGAACTGTTTTCCGTTTACAGTTTTAATTAAGACTTTAGTATCACAATTCAACTGGCGTAATATTAAAATAGGAATGTAAAACAAGCTGATTTTGTTTAGATATTCTTGAAAAAATCGTGAACACCTGAAAAACCTTTTTACCAAAGTAAGCGACAACTCATCCAAACTGCTTTCTTAATCTTAATATGCAACAAGTGTTATTAACTAAGCAATAGCAGATGCGAAGTAATGATGTTGTTTTGTGACAGCTGAGACCCCGTTGACACAGGCATAGATAGGTATTTCGTGTACGCCAGACCTTGGAGACCTGAACCGGTTTGAATACTATATCCGAATCGCGGTATTGGGATCACTTTCTGTGACCACTTAGAAAAGATCAATCCGCTTCTGTCTGCATTTTCAACGCCCTCGACGCCGAGCTACTATTTCTAATATAAACCCATTAATTTTCACTTGAAGTTTGCACCTGACTGCTTCAGGCTTAAATGTACTTTCGTAAAACTTAACAGGTGGCATTCCGATGAGTTATTATCAGTTCCGTACAGTAAACTTTTGCGGCAGATCTCGATTATATCTTCATTTTTACAAATTTCTATCTTATCTTTATTCTAAAGAGATAACCTTTATTTTAAAACACTAATGATTGGGTTTGCATAAAAAACACTACCAGATGGACAATAACGGCTCTATTGCGTATTTCTAGTAGTACTTCCAGTAATATAATGTGGCTGACAAAATATCAACATACCTCGTTCATTTATACTTCTATGTGCCTTGAGAGATTTTGCCAGCACTTTGAAAGAGTTCACATTTATCAAGATAATCAAGCCGGAATAGAGGAAAGATATTCTACAATGGCAAAACTTTTATAAAGTTAGTGTTGCAAAAGCGAAAACCGTATTTTTTTCAGTTTTTGACAAAGTTCATTCAGCCGAAATGCTTTTCCAAACAATCATTGCAGGGAGAATACGGGTATTTACTGGACAAAAAAAAGTGATAATAGTAACTGAGTCACGGACGAGATAAGGATGGGAAACGAGACTAGAGAAAACAAGTCTAAGCGAGAGCTTTATCTTCCTGTACAAATTCTGGTATAATTATCTTGAACACGTTGTTAAGATGCTCTTCTGCGAGGACAAGAAATTGCGAGAATTCACGGATCAATGAAGATCACTGGTTGAAAAAGCTATCAAGTATCATCATTTGTAAACCACCGGTATAGTAGTGAATGAAATTTAATAACCTCCCCGTCAATAGGCTGGTGGCACACCTGTCAATCCCATTCTGCTCATGCGAAAGCTATGATTTTAGTACGAATGCAATGCGTTCTATCAAAGACCTACCACGTAAGAATCTTGAACAGGTTCTATGGTTTATAAATCTTTTAACTCTTTTGCACCTCAATATTTCAGCAACCTTTTCGCGAGGCTGCCTGGGCAGGATCCAAGAGAATTGAGGCCTCGCAACGCAGGGCTCGCAACAGCCCTCATGTGGACTGGCAATGGCCAGAAATCCTTTGCGTATCGTGGGGCCAGTCTCTGGAAATGTCGAATACAAAATAGTTGATTTGAATACAAAAATTGTTCCTTCAACTAATGCATTCATATCTAAACTCAGAAAAATTCATTTTCATGTACATCAGGGATATCGCTATATAAAAGCTATATAATTTATAAAGCCACATCTACATGTTTAAGTTTTATTTTTTTGTTCTTAATCTGTTAATCTATTACGCTCAGATTATTGTAAATTTTGGAGAAGATAATTCTTTAATTTGGTAGTAGATTATTGCAATAATTTTACATTTCTGGACATGATCACTTCAAGCTGGGGAGCTACCACGGGACTCAGTTAAAGAGCAATGGCTTATTGGCAGGCATTGCTTTAATACTTAATATTACCTACAATCCCTCTCGCTAATATTTTTATGACTATCTGAAAGGTAAAACTGGCCTAGGCGTTGTCTATAAGGTAGATTACGTTAGATAAGAATTAGCTCAGCCTTAGGTTTGTCGCATCATTCTCCGTGAGCAATTTTGTCTTGAAATGGTGGTCATCTCAGGAGACTGACCTCTATCTATGCAGCTTAAATAAGCCAAATTACCTTACAGACTTACTTCAAAAGTGATTTAAAACCTAAAATGAGCAGTCTCTAAGGAGCCCTTGCAAGCATAATCTTGCCAACGAATCTCCATTTTGATAGAGTTTTTTAGGATTCCTAGAACTACGGCTTCCTTGAAAGAAAAGGAAAAATGACCGACCCGTTATTCAAAGGAGCAGCCTTGATCGACATTGTGAGCAAAAAGTTGATGATTTATTCTAATAGCTTTTATTCTGATTCAACTACTTCAAAACTAAGATTAAAATTGAACAACAATTAACAAAAAATGATACAATGGAAAGAAACGATGATGGTGTTACGAAATGCTATCTGGTCCTTAGGTCCTTCTAATTAGAAGTATATTATCAAGAAACGAAAAAAGCGACTGGAGATAGAGTAGCGATAATTACAAAAAGACTTCGCATAAAGTCTTCTAAAGATAAGCAAAGTTGGGTCAATTAATACCCAAAAATATTGCAAATATAACAAAACTAAAGACAAAGGACTGGGTAGGAAGAAAGTCCTTCCACGTACATTACCATTCTTAGATTTGTGATGGTGGCAAGCCGGTCGAAGCACCTATGCTACGAATAAAATGAAGGCAATGTCTTGATTGTGGCCCAGAGGTTCCATTTCATTGTGTTATCGTTTGATGATATCTTTTGTTATAAACCAAAAACGTATTCCATTGCCCTTGAAACGATTGAGTTTGTCCTCTGCGGGGTTCCTTTGCCTTCTTGCACGACCTGGCGGTTATCGAAAAAAGAGCAAAGCTATTTTAATCAATTTACTTGAATAATCAGAATATTCGGTCTAATTCAGGTAATTGTACATCTTACGGCTTCATTCGTTTTGATTTGATTTCAATGTTTGTTATCTTAACTTGCATCTTTAATTTTTATCTTACATTTTTACAATGCAATCTCAATTTCTAATCACAGTTAAAACCGTTAGCCAGGGTTTTACACCCCTAAGTGACTTGTAAGAAACCGATCCTAAATTCTCTGCCATATCATTTCTCCAGTTGAACAAACACAAACATTAAATGCTGCTCAGGCACACCAATATTTGGCTTCAAGGTAAAGACTGACACTGATTTACCTTATTTTGATTGGCTGCTGCATTGTAGGCGGCAGTGAGTGGCCTCAAGGAGGATTGCTTCGGGGTCACCATTTGTTGTGCAGCGTCTTTTGCGGGCGTGTGGAAAACCGATCTGTTCATTGCAGAATCCTCACTGCTTTCCATCACATCCTACACAGTCCAGAGAAGACGGTCATTGACAACTACCGCAGTTTATCAGATATATGTTATTGAAAACAATAAAACGTTTCAAATTAAAGGCATTATGATATGATAAAAACCTCACAAAGGGAAGCAATTTGATACATTTCATATTAAAGAGCTTGAAGCGTCGGTCAGTCACGAAAGCGTGTAAAAAACATTCCACACCGGAGTGTTCTAAGCAAAATGAATGAATCTTCAAAACCTATATAAAATCGCATATCAAACCTGTACCTTATTGATGCACTGACAGACGCCAATCATGATGTTTCCGTTTAATATTTTCCCATTTTTGCTGAGGGCCTTAGAAGCAAGCATAAATGAAGCATTCACTAACTGTTGCCAATAATAACATTAATTTGAAACTCTTTATTTTCCTTGACATACTGCACCTGATGAGATGAGCTCAGAAGGCAGTGCAGCACTTTGAAGTAATGAAAGGTTTGCCTGAACAGAATTTTTGAAGGGGAAAATTGTTTATATGGAAAAGAAAAAGTTTGAATTGTCAAGAGGTTGAGATAACGATAAACGTTCCTCCTATGAACGTACAGTCAGTTTCATTACGGATATCAGCGAAGGTGCAGTAGTTCTGCTTACTAACTGGAGATCTGCTTACTAATAACAAGTAATGGCCCTAGAAAGATAAACAAATACAAACCAGCTTTCCTATCAGATATGAAGAATTTATTTACTTTAAAAAAGTAACATATATATTTGAAGATTTGGAAACATGCTTTTAGGAGCACGGAAGCAGCTGATGTGAATTTTCATGGGTACAAACTACAACCGATAAATCAAGAAGGGCTAGGAATCTCGACTATGGAGAGAAGCCAAAAGCTGGTAGTTATTCATATTTCAGTTTCAATCGTCTGTTTAAAAGGGAATAACAGGTGGCCTTCAAACTATGAAATTTTGGAAAGTGAAAAAGGAAAAGAGTTACAAAGAGAGTTGTTGAATTGATAGAAAAGAAGCTTTTGTTTATCTGAAAGAGAAAACAAGTGGATAAAGTGGCCGTCTGGTGAAAGATCAAAGAGGACATTAAAGTGAGGAATCCAAAAAATATTTGAATCTTATTGATTTAAAAAAATTATTTGTTTCAAGATTAACAACAAGTCTCGCTTGACTAGAGCTTTAAATTAGTGAAACAACTGGAAAATTTAGTTAAGGCTAGCAGATGCACATTTTACAGGACTAACACCCACTCAAAGAACACCTTATCCCAATCAGACCACGATATGCTTAAGTCTGCTGTGCCGGTTGAGGAAGAGGGGGAGGTAGAAAGAGCTTTAACTGTATGAGAGGAAACTCAAAGCTGCTTAAAAAAGTAACTGTAATTTATACTGGGGGATAGAATAAAACAGGATGTCCCTTCTAGCATTAGAAACAAAGTTCTCCTCCTAAGAGAACAAGCTTCTTGATCTTACAGATAAAAAACAACAACTAAAATGCCTAATTTTGCACTGAGGCAGGATTCATTAGAAAACCCTGATTTTGCAAAAAACTTTGATAAAGACATGTTTTTAATAATAGGCAGACCACGCTCCTTGTTCCACTTGGCAGTTTTAGAACCCATCTACAAAAACCGCTATTGTGTAAACAGAGGGAGTTCATTTTCACTCTTGGACACCATTGGCAATATTCTCGATAGACAAGCGTCATTAATTGGACAACTTTCACAATCATGTGATTCCATTTCTAATGGATCTGTCTCGATCCACAACAAAGTAAAATATTTCCTAGCTTTAAGTTTTCGATTAACATTCTGACGTTATATTCTCTGAAATGTGTCAGAATAAAATTTTTAGTATTTTTCAAAATATTTGTTTTCTTTCAGAATTGCTAACCCTGAATTAGTAATGGGGCTAAAATCTACATTAAAATTCCAGCTGCTATAATCACAAGACAAGGCGAACAAAATTGAAATCTATCAGTAGTAAAAAAATAACAAATGAAGCGGGTGAAATATTTTATAAATACCTTTTTAGCTTGTAGTTTTGACTGATATTGTATATGTACCCAATTGACGTTACTTTTTATCTACAAAAAAGGCATACCATATTAGAATAAGTACAATACGTAAAATGTAAAGCAATATCTTTATTGAATAGGAAATGTAAAAAAATATTGGATCAAGGAGGTAGCTGCTTGAAACAGTAGTAAAGCAGGCGGGAGTCGAGAGCAGATATACTAGCAAAACGACAGGCTCTTCCATTACCGAAATGAGAGCAGGGATTCAAAACAATCTATTAAAATAAGCAAAAATAAGTGTTAAGAGGGGGGAAGAAAGGAGCAGAACAGAAGGAAGTCATACTTCTTCTGAAGGTGACTAGTCTATTGATATATCAATAGCACAAATGTCCCTAACAGTTTTAGCAACAGTGGCTCAACGATGTAATTCAAAGCGTACTGGTTTTAGAAAATTAATAAGGCTTCGAAATAAAATATTTAGAAGAAACAAAATAGTCCCCAAAATGCATTGAGTTGGCAATTTTCTTTCCATGCAGCCAAGAAAGTCGCATGAGAAATCCAACAAAACCTCCTTGTTCTCAAATGTACTGTTTTCTGAATGGTGGACGGTACGTACGATAGGACTGAAGGGTACGATAGGGCTGACTCTGTAAAGCCCTAACCCCGCCGCCTTCCACTGAGCCCAATAAAACTATGCTTTCATCCCATAAGGATAACAGTAGAGTACGAAGCTCTTTTGCGAAGCAACTCCCGTCCCAGCAAACAATTATTGGTTTCATACAGGTTGTATCAAATCAAATTGATAAATACTATGAGTTCTAAGCATTAGACAAAGTCCTTACCCCCCTTCTGTTCAAAATAGGTTATGAATTTGAAACTAGGTGCTATACTACCTCCTTTTTCTCGATGAGTCCATACTGCGAAAATTGTTCCAAAATGTAGCCAACCATAGAAAAGGGGAAACTGAAAACAAAAATTGAATAGAATGAATCACACTTACACAGAAATAGCCTTACTTACTTAGAGCTAACATGATAAGTATCGTTTTACAAACATTTATAAATAAACTCAGTGAGCCATGAAAGAAACTGTAGATAAAATACAATTGAAAATAGCACAACAAAAACGGAAATCTTCAATGCTTTAAATATAAGTCCTTGTCAATAGTTTTAAAAATCTTCACCGATATGGGTCTAGACCGACTCACGCAAATTTAGGCTTAAATTACAAACTAAAGATGATTTTGATCACAGATATTAAAGCAGACAATCAAATTTGAAATACGATATGCTTGTAAAAACTTTCGTTTAGAATAACAGGGATTTCATTAGAAGCTGGCAACCAGCGAGAGTCCGCCGCTTCATCATCAAACCTTCTCCGCCTACTTTCACCTAGTAAGACTGCCTGCACAAAATTTAGTAAACTTATAGATGCCTACTTTTACAGGTGAGCCTTTTACTTCAAAAATTAATGAAGACCCTGGAATAAGAGTGACAACACTGGCCTAAATATTTGCCACAACTCATCTCATCAACTACAGCAGCTACTGGTTGAATTGTTATTACAAGCCCTTGGAGTCTTTCAATTGGAAGAATTATTATTTTCCGATCCTCCTTCCATAAAAGCAACAAAACAGGGAACATTTAAACAAAGTATATAGTATACAGTTTTCTGCTTCAAATTTCTTCAAGCTAGAACGAAATAGTATAACATCGACATAACGAATGAAAAAAGCTTTTTCTTTCTAAAATATGATTTTACTCTTTCAAGACCAGGATCGGCTGATGCAACATGGAAAACAACGAGCTTGAAAATTTTTAGGAATGGCACGAAAATATAAGGCAGGAATGGCAGGAATGGCTTTTTCCAAATAAGAATACCGAAAATATAAAAGTCTTTAAGTGTATTTGAAATCTGCCCAGACAAATCCTTAATTGTTATACAAAAGAGTAAACTTGCTCTCCTCGACTTTTTGACGACTTGAGCGGCTTGTGACTGCTGTTTGGTTAAAACGAGCAACCGTTAAAACGAGCAACCGATCAATGCGCAATGCTTTCGTTCCCTTTTTCTTAGTTCATCTAAGAGAAGGGAGCGAATATCATTAGAAACTGGACATTCTTACAACAACGTGATTTATGCGCAAAGAAGTTTTAGCTTTGTTAGGTTTCTTGTTTCGCTAAAAAAGTTTTTATTTTACAAACATTTGTAGCTTCCAAATATTTTTCCCCCAAAAGATTGGATAGCATACGAAACGCGTAGTATAGATGAGAAACAAAGGATTCGATTAAAGGAGACTCACCCGAATACTGTCACCCATCTTTCATCAAGCATATCATTTGTAGTCAAGCGCTCTCTACAAATTTGGAAAAGAGATTAACATCACCTCACAAGTTCACAAGAACAAACCAAATATTGTGCATTAACCCTTTCGATAAAAAGGCTTTCCCTGAACATCGTGTGGTTGCGAAGGAGCTTAAACATGTTGCTTGCTTTTCGTTATTGACTGATGCTTTGGCTAGAAGGCCTATCCATGTGTTCCACAAACCTATTTTCCTTAACCGTCACAATCCTAGTGCCCAGGCTTGAAGGAGCGTCTAGATATTTATTGTATTTTGTTTTACAGTAAGTGTACATTAGAAAAGTTGAAATATTGCACAGCCTTAAATAAAGGAACGTGTTAAAAGGAAAAGGGTGCTTAAAGGGCGAGGGCCAATATTGACAGACGGCAGCTTCAGTTCCTTGATTCTGTGCTTCTTGTTTCTTTTAGAAAAATATAGAGACATTTTAAAAGGAAGGAGAATGAAGGTAGAGTAATAATCCATACGCGTAGCCAGAGAAACTTTTTCAAAACTTAACAGTTTACATTCAAAAAGAAGGTTTCTAAAGGATGTTTTTAATTAAAGATAAAGGGAGACAAATTGAATAATTGGAAATGTTTAGCTTGCAATCATCTGGAGGCCCACAAACGCTAATGTTAAGGGAATGTGTGCACTTGATTACTTTGTTAAGTCGTTTGCAGATGTCAAATGCAGGTAGCAGAAATAATAGACTGCTGTTGCAAGCCCTCTTTTTAAATTGCGCATCCACGATCTCTCCTGTAAAGAATTCTTGGAAAATTCGTCATCGGATACAAGCAAGAATAATTTAAGAACAAAATTCTTATGAACAAAAGAGTATCCTTCTTGTTGATTCTTTCGTGTAACCTGACTTTTATAAGCAGATGAATGTTTGATGGAAATGGAAATGGAAATGTGCAACAGTCAAAGTCGTTAAAACAAATAAGGCAATATAAAAAGTAGCATAAACGAAATCAAAACAGCTCTAAATTGCCTTTGCCATAAACAAAACAAGAATCCCAGTAGCTTTGTGCTAAAATCGGAATTTGGGAGGCCATGTCACAGTAAAGCATCTCCAGTAAGCAAAGGTACATTTTCTTACCCTTGTGTGTAAAAAGGATCAACTTGTGCAGGGGACTGGATTACGCCATCAATTCTTGGGGAGTAGACACTTGAATGCATTGGCGTCTCAATGTTTTTTGCACTCCCTATAACAGGTTGAGTAAAAGGATCACTGCAAATTATTGCCATAAAAAGCAAAAACAACAAAATACCTGGCTAATGATTTGTATGCTTCATCTTTTTTTTAAGAGAAATGACAAAAAGATAAAGCTGTTTATGCCATACCACAACATAGTGACCTGTAGTCCATGGAGCCAAAACTAGAGAATCATACCTGGTGTTGCAAGAGATCTTGATACCGAGTTTGGGGACTATAATGTAAATTAAAATGCATACATAAATAAAGATTAAAATTTAACAGCAGTAAAATGACCTTGGTGAAAATCTACAAATAACACAATCATGGCAGACTTGAAAGCTTAGAATTTAATAAGATTAGAGATTTCTTAAATTGACCATCCACAGCTCAGGATGATGATTAAACAACAACAATTTGGTGGAAATGAATACATAGTAAGCTTTAATGAGATAAATCATAAAGTGATGTTGATTTAAATAAAGTGCAAGTTTGAATCTGACATACCATGAAGGATCTTGATGGTGTACAACCAGTCCAATTCTCAGCAGAGTAAATCTCATCAACAGTCATACACCGATCATCATCATACAAGCCTCCAACAGGAGGAGCATTGCTTTGTTTATCTCTAATATTTTGTTGCAGAAGAGGTGAAATCCTACAAGGAAATCAATGGTTAAAGCTTTTATATATTTATAGCTTTGCCCTTTAAAATCAGCTCATTTGTGTATAAGCAGGTCTTTGGTTCACCAAATTTTAAAGATGTATGATTTTTTTATTTTTTTAAAAATTCATTGTCCTTGACTAATGACACTAAAAATATTTTGTCAAAACATTTTCAGCTTCAAGTGGCTAGTATTAAGTCAATGGGGTAGAAGAATTAGGTATTTTCTGGACTTGATGGCATTGATTGAATCTTTGCACTCCATAAGATAATGGAATATAACTGTTGTTGGTCTTGGCATTTTGAAACAACAAGCATGGGTCTTTATCATGGTCATATAACATCAAACTATGTATTTAAAAAATAAAGGTGATCTTGTAATATGTAATTCCTGTTATTTACACATATTGGATAAAGATAAGAATACAGTCAAAGCAGCTTAAGGTATGAGAAAATTATTACCCAAACAGGATGTGTTCTAAACAAACATTTTTTACCAAGCTAAATGTGCAAGTATTTAAACTGGATTGTTAAACTATGATATTTTCAATTTTGATTGCCTTTGTCCATATAAATGGGGGGATTTCAATTTGGCAACCAGACTTTAGTATACAGTCATAAAACTAATATTTGAAAGTGAATTTTCTGAAACAAAGATAGCATCTAAATGGCTCTTAATACATTGCTACAAACATTCATGAAACCCACTGCAGTCAACACTTGGCAAATAATTTCACAACATGGAAAAAATTTGCATAAGAAAATTAAAGAAAAATTTATTTTTTTCACAAGGCCAGAGAGCTGAACATTTTTGTATTTATCTGATTTCTGTAACAGACTACATTAACACTGGAAAACTTAAAAAAGGTACCTTTTTTGTTGATTTCTTGAATCAGACATTTGGACCTGTTGGCTGGAAGCCCTTGACAAGCCATGAATATGAGGGCTGGAACCTTGTCCTACATTTGACAATGACCGTCCAAACTGTGGGGTCTAAAAAAAGAAGTAATATTTTTCAAGAAATGTCCATGATTAAAAAATATTTATCATTCTTACAATATGATTGTATGCCCTAAAAAGAAAAACAACTAAAAATAATGCAACAAAAAATTACAATTTATTATAGTGACACTGAAAAAATAAATTGTTTCATTGATGAGAAAGCTGGTAGTGACTCTGTTTTGGTCTGTTTAAATCCTCAGAGTTAAAAGCTTTTTCCTCAGAGTAAAAAAGGTCAGAACTAAGGTCTGGAAGAACAGGATGGAAAATATATCCAATTGTTGATCACAATAGGCCAGTCAAAAAAACACAGGCACATAATCGGTTTAGTTGTCCCATCAGTACTACATGCCTATATGAAAATCACCAATGGAGTCACAGAGAAAAAACGAACTCCTTCTGTCTGCACAATAGCGCAGGTCTTTTCGTTTGACACGAGCAATCACTCACGATTGCGTTAGCACTCAAGCAAATCGAACCACGCCAGTGTTTGATCGCTCATGCAAAACAGTAAATTTTGAGCAATGAATGCCTCATCAATTAACACATTTCTAGTCATCTTTTGTGACCCCAGCAAGTGTTATAGACAATTCAAAACCGATATATCAGAACACAGAAAATATTTATCTCAACGAAAAAATGCATTTGAAAATCAATTCTACAGTGAATGCTTATGAATACTATTGGTACTTAGACTTTGATTTTGCAATCATCCAGCATTAATGTCTACATGACCATCGTGATGTACATAAAGTTTATAAACGAAGCACATTTATATTCAGTATTTAATCTTTCTTGGAGTGCATTAAAGTACATTGTAACAGTTCATTTCCATTTGATATTACTTTATGATCATATGGTTTTTATAAACATTACGGACGCTTTTAGCATTGTTGAATACTATCATTTTTAGAGTGATGGCTCATGCAAGAGAAATTATGCGAGCGCTTGGCCACTCGCATGGGCTATTTTTTACGAAAAGATCTGATAGCAGCTTTTCTGTCTGTATGTAGATCGATTCCAAAACTACTAGATTAAAAAATGATAGGGCTCTGTCAATTGTCAGACCAGTTTTTCAAAGCCATTCTCAAATACCCCAAAAAATTGTTCAAATTCAATTTAGTTCTTCAGTCCTTTTCCTTTTTAAATGACTCAACCCTTTCTGGCTCAATGTTCTTTGCAAGTAAAATAAGACAAATGATGGCCTGGACAGTGCATGGAAGTTTAGACACGCAGTAATACAAACTTAGGAAAACGCTTGTTTTCAATTTAAATAATGAAAAACAGTTTAAACAGTTTTAACATTTAATGACATATTTTCCTAGTTTTATTTCTTCAAATAAAAAGATTAGAGATGATAGGTTGTCTCTGTATGACTTTCTCTGTTTAAAAGGGTTACCTATGATGTAAACTAATATTCAGGCTTCAGTTGCTGTCTAGGAATAGCGTTTCTGTCTTCAGACTTAGCAACAAGTTATGCAGCTTTTCTATTTATATCCAAAAGATTGTAGAAGAAATTTTATTGTCTGCAGCAGAAAATGAAAAAGTTTTTTAAGCACAAGAACCCAGCAAATTTCATTTCGCAAAAATGGTGGCAAATACTGCAGATTTTGTGTGTGATACTTGCGATATTTACTGTTTAGCTAAGTATATAACTATGCTATGTGCAACAAAGTTAATAAAAAATTTTATTGCATAAACCAGACTTTCAGACCAAACTTGTTTGAAATATTTTTGTCTTTTCAATCAAAAACAGAAAGTTTGCTGTGTGTAGTATGTACTGTGTAGTAGTATTCAAGATTAAAAATTGAAAATATTCCGGATTGTCATGAAAACTAATCATGGCATAGCAGCAAAGTACCTTTCCAGAGGATAATAACAAAATAAAGGGCAAAAAATCTAATTTGTGTGCTGGGTATTATAGACTTGATATGACCTTCATCAAAAAAATGTTTCTTGAAGGATGAAAATACATGTGTATGAAGAAGAGTTGTCAAATACAAAAAATATCTTAATATTGATTATCTTAACATTGTTTAATATGTCCTTTACTGTCTTTCCAGTTTGAAAACTTCACACAATCAGTGTGTCTTACATAAGGGGTACCATTTGTGTGAAAAGTAGCACCACTTTCGCTGCTTTTACACCTCAATGGTATGCACACATACTTTTCAAAATATCTGTAAACATACATGAAAAAACACACATAAAAATTTGTGTCAATTCGCTGTTCCAGATTGATGTCATCAATTTTGCATCTTGCCATCTACAGACCTTTCTCAAAAATGAAAACTTTATGTCATTTGGAACATTTGGTTGCAAGTTATTTTGTTTTAATATACATGTAGTGACTCTACTTGAGCCATTTTACACTCACTTCCTACTCATTCATCGATCATGTCATCACCATGATATCCCCTATGTCACTCACAGCATCACATACCACAGAGCATTCCCTTCATAATTGTTTACATTTTAACTCATCTAAGTCATGCTGACTTCTTCCAAAGTCTAGATCTTTCTCCTCCATTGCATCAGCATTACATTTTCCTAACTATCCTCAGTCACCAATTTGATTTCTGTATATAAGTATCTTAATTTGCATGTAGTTTTAGCCAGTCAGTTCAGTTCAGGTCAAAGTTATACAGTTAACATATAGACTCTTTAACTGGCTCCATGTTCTCTACATGTTAAATAAGACTCAAAGAAACATCAACGATGGAAAGTTACAGGAAATAAGATAGCAACCATGGCAACTCTTGCTACACAATGTCGTTCCTATATATATATATATATAGAAGTTTGTCTTTTGATACTTCCGTAGCACAGTGCTCGATACGTTAGCACGTAGAGCGTGATATATCATAGATTGAAGAAAGTGAAACTACATGGTTTATCTCTACAAGCCTGTTTCGTGAGTAACTCACTCTTCAGGAGATGTTGATATACTGGAATATTCCTCGAATAAATAGATAATACGGTACAGAAGGTGTTACATAATGTGTAAGGTTATACAAAAGGTAAATTAGGGGCGGTACATAAAGGGATTTAGGTGTTACATAATAGTGTTTTGTTTCTATGGCGGCAGATAATGAGGGTCTTTTCTTTAAGACAAAGGCTGCATATATATATATCAACCATGGAAAAAGAAAAATAACACCACGTTTGATGTTACAATGGGCAGCTACGACGGTGCTGAAACATGCGAGTTGGTTGGAAGCTTTCTGCTGTCACAACTACAACACCTCGACATCAATGTTGGACTATACCGAGACGACGGACTAGCCATTTCAAACTCACCACCAAGAGTCACCGAAAATATCAAAAAGAAAATATGTCAAATTTTTAGCCACAACGGACTACGCATCACGATAGAAGCCAACAAACAGGAACTGCCTACAATCATCAGTCATTTACCAAGCCACCGTCACACGCAGAGACAATGAAACTACAGAAACATACATCGGACTTACAGAAAACAAATTCAAGACAAGATACAGAAATCACACCGCATCTTTCCGTCACGCAAAACACAGAAATTCCACAGAACTCAGTAAATACATCTGGACCCTAAAAGACAATAACATCGACCACTCCATTTCCTGGCGCATCCTCTCAAAAAAGCCATCCTACAGCAGCTCAAACAAAAGATGCAGCCTTTGTCTTAAAGAAAAGACCCTCATTATCTGCCACCCCGAATTATCAACACTCAACAAACGAAACGAACTCGTATCTTCTTGCCGCCATAGAAACAAAACACTATTATGTAACACCTAAATCCCTTTATGTACCGCCCCTAATTTACTTTTTGTATAACCTCACACATTATGTAACACCTTCTGTACCGTATTATCTATTTATTCGAGGAAATTCCAGTATATCAACATCTCCTGAAGAGTGAGTTACTCACGAAACAGGCTTGTAGAGATAAACCATGTAGTTTTACTTTCTTCAATCTATGATAATATATATATTAGATATATATATATAATATATATACAGATATTTCTTTCTAAAGATTTCACTGGAATTTTTGACATTTTTTATACAGTATTGAACCTATTTTCTTTAAAAGATATGAATTTTGGAAACTTTCAGATGGTGTTACTCTCTGGAAATCGTAAATTTTAAGTTGAACATATAAATTCCTCTAGAATACTCTAATAATAATTATAATATAATTCCTTCTAAATTCCTCTAGAAGTCTTTTACTAGTTAACACACCTTCTGGAATTTTCAGTTTGCAAATGTAAAATTCCTCTAAAACAATCTTTAAATATGTTATTAAAATAAAAATAAACTTAACATCTCTTCTAAATTAAAAGATATTGATGATACTTTGCACAGCGGATTCCGTGCGTATCATCAGAGAGAATCATCAGGATCAGAAACAATCGTAAGGCCTGTATAGTTTGTTAACTAAAACTCAGTGAAATATTTGTTCAAGTTTCAGATTATGCTCTTACCGTCGTAGGAGAAGAAGTTGCCCCTAGCAGATAATTTGGTAGGTATGTCGAACTTCCGCTTTTTGAAATGGAATGTGGCGGATGATCAGGGCTTGTCGACATCATCACGTTCCCGCCGCTTTGACCTGAGAATGCACTTTCATGGAAAGATCCAGGTATAAGACTAGTCTTTGGAGAGAAAATTCCATCCTGGGATTGGGCTTGGTTGGTAAAGGCCGTGTCTGACAACATTGTGATCTATAGTAGGTTAAAGAAAGCGCGGAACAACTGAAGAGACAGCTTCTCCCGCCGTTAAATTAAAATTAGGCCCAAATTTCAATACGAGGCTTAAACGAGATGATAACCTGCTCCATACACTAGATTTTGTTTAACTCAAATAAAAAAAAATCAAAACTTTTTTTTTCAGCAACAAATCAATTAATTACAAGATACGTCATGCTAGTTGTTAAGATACAATCATTAATAACAATAAAGATTACATTACAGGGAACAACATAAGATATTTATAAGATCAGCTGATGGACAAATGGAAAAAACTCATGAAGGAGCTATCAGAACCATGTGCCCTACTCAATAACAATATTCGTACAATCTTTCCGAATTTCTCTTAATTGACTCTCTTTGTGCACAGCTGCGAAGCAGCCAGACAAAGTGAAAGATGTGTAGGGCAAAAGTCACAGGACTTTGCAAATCTTCGGAGACTACTATTTATCAAACTATTATGATTAAAAATTTTAGCCAGCCAACTACTGGTTCAGTGATTTGCAACTTTCACTGGCTCTTTTAGTAAGTTGCACTTTTTTTGTTCCTTTCATTTTTCGAAAGATATTTAACTGCAAAAACCAAAAAGTGATGAAATTAAAAAACAGAGACACTGCAGGGGCGGATCCAGGATTTTTGGTGACTACTATAGCTAGCTCAAACTTTTTGGGATTGGGAGCAGCTTCATGATGCGGCGGGGGCAGCACTGATAGGCCTGATAGAAAGCGAGGGGCAAATCACTCCAAAAAAATCTCGTACACCTTTGGTGAAAATCCTCTTGCTTTATCTGAAAATCCTCGGAAATCCTTTTGTTTTAGGGAAAATCTCATGCACTATTTGCAAGAGTGAATTGCCCCTCGGTAGAAAGGGCACCTTGGGGTGTCAAAGTTTGCTGATGAAACAGATCGGGAATCGTCGTTTAGCCAATTACGAAGCCTGGTCATAGGTGGGTGAAGACCCTGTCAAGGGAGAGGGTCTGTGTTCTGGAGGCATAGCCCAAAGGGAAATTTTACGTTGATACGCCCCAAATACTCTCGGAAATGAAGGCAACATCCATAAAAAATACATTTGAATCAAGACTACAGTCAAACTTCATTCTCAAAATACCTTTCACCCCAACATCAACCACCAAGGGAGGCTGGACCAAATCCTACTTTACCCTACAAAATTTGTTCAGATGACCATCTACATGGCTTGATATAACTTTTGGATATAACTCCTCTGAACTTACCGTTTTTTCTTTCTTTATTTAAATTTGGTACAATCTGCAGCTATATTCAAGCTAAATAAAGCCGATTAATTTAAATTACAAACACTAAATATAATTCAAATCAAATATAACTTATTTTGCATACGTATTTCTTGTAAAACTCAGTATTGTAAAAATCTTGTAAGTATTGAGCGATGAAAATTCTGATATTTTTCTTAATTTTTGTAAAGTTGGGGAGTACTTATATTTCGCTTTGTACTGAGTTCCATATTTGGCACAATCTCTTTGACAAAAACCTCGAGGGCAGAAGGAATCATGTCATCCTATTACTGTTAAAAAGGCTGTTACATAAAGCCTGGCTACAGTGATATAGATATCATTTTCTGGCTTAGTTGTTTTTACTGCCGCGAGAGGTATCAAAGGTCCTGTGGCGGAACAGAAAGAGGAGGCCTTTGCGAGCAAAGGGAGCAGAAAATCTACGGTGACCATGCCCTTTAGATTATCTAAAAATTCATTTCAGAATATTCTTTGCAGTCACCTTCTTGCAATCGTTTAAAAAGTTGCACAATTTTGTTATGTCTACTTACTAATTGCTTTCACAAACTGGAAACCTCGAGAGCACCCTAAACCTCAATTTTCCATCGCTACTACCTTTCGCCACCCCTTGATGTGAGCCGGTTTTTTGGTGTTTCTAAGGAGTGCAGGGCACTTTGTACACTCCCCTCACGAAAGTATCCGGACAGTTTCGAATTCAGTTGCGAACCTGTTGTTAGAGAAATTTGTTTACAAATTTCAAAGTCAGTTTACATGGAAATATTTTTATCAATTTCATTGAATTTTTTCTTAAAGTTGTTTTGGCCTTTAATTTATTTATTCGTCAAAAAAAGCAATCTTATCGATACGTAAGCAAACTCTGTGAGGGTTTTTCCTCAAGATGGTAGCGACCGAAAGAAAATAATTGACTTCTGAGCAGCGTCTAGAAATAATGTTTTATCACAATGATGGGGAAAAGCTATCATTAAATTGCTAGTATCATTGAATACTCAAAGACTGCCGCTTTCGAGATATGCAAAAAGATTTGAAAAACAAGAAGTCTAAAAAATTGTTCACGGTCAAAAAAAGCAAGAGGTCTCGCGACACCAACATCTGAGCGTTCCGCCCTAATCAAATTTGCATCAAAAATGGTTTGCATCATTACGCAAAATTGCAAAAAATGTTTATAAACAATTAAACTTTTAAAAGCTGTCGATAAATATTGCAAGGAAAATGATAAAGAATTGTGAATGTACCCTCGTACCGACCGATTTCAGCAAGATTTGCAGCGGAAAAGAAACAATATGGCTTTATGGCCCTGGACTGAGTGATATGTCTGTTTTCAAAGAAATTTTGATCTGGTAAAATGTTACCAAATGTCATCCATGTTTTATAATCGATCGGTGGCATCTCCATGCTAACATCTTTCCCAACTGAAAGTAAGCATGTTGTATTTCTCTTTATTCAACAATATTTGTGTCTCAAGAACCAGCTTGTAAAAAATTACCAGGTGTTATTGGCCCATTTTAACTGAGTCCAAGTCACCTGACTCTGCTTATTTGACATCAGTTGATTTGCGTAAGGCTTGTAGCGTAAAGGTTTCGCATTTTAACAAAAAATGATAACAGATAAAAAACGCAGAAGTTTTGCAGCATTTTGGTGTTCTGGTTTTTTTGGAAGGGTTTCTCAAAAAATTATTATCACTAAGTTAAAAAGTCCTTTTCGCCAGCCTAATTTTGTTTTTGTCTGAAAGCGCAATCGATCTTCGAACTGTCCGGGTACTTTCGTGAGGGGAGTGTAGTTATGCCGTTAGCAAAAATGGCAACTCGGTGAGCTTCAAAGGGGCAGGTAAACTGAATTTTGGAAGAAAGGGGATACGTGCCCACTGTGCTCCCCAGTTTCAACCTTGACTGATATATCGAACATATGCAAGCCAACGTTGGTAGCAATCTGAAATTAGTTCAGCATGATCATGAAAGTTAAAGAGAACTTATCAACGAAATTGTTTTTGTTGGTCAAATTGATTTGCAAATCGATTTTCAGTTCTCATAAAAATGGAAAATATTGACTTTTGTCTTGCATGTAGGTATCAAGAGATCCTTGAAACCTAGATTTTATTAGCATTCAAAATGTTTATATGAATTAATATTGCTCAGAAATCAATTTATTGAAAAGGCACTTTGCTGCTCCCTTGCTGCCCCTTTCTTACTTGTAAGATATGCCCACTATGGGCAAATGCTGTAACCATGTGTGTTTATAGTTGCTTTGTATTCATAAGTATTCCTTTGAACTTCCTTTTTCCATTTCCTAGTAGGTCTTTACCTTTGAAGACACATTACCGGGGACACATATTTTGCAAACAAGCTATAGTCAAATGTTTCTTTACAGAGGACAGAGAGCGGAGAAGTACTGTGGATACTCATATTCTATTGGTTGAAAGGCCATTTTCAAACCAGACTATAGCTGCACTATAGCTCCAAAAATTGTAGTATAGGTTTCATTGCCTTTGATGCTGTTTCCAGAGCAAATCCCCAGACTGACTACAGGTCGGAATGTCTATTATAGCTCAATTCTGCTTGGTTACTGTCAACAAAGAACTGAACTTCTGATTCATCAAAGTTTGAATATTAGACCATTCTGTGATCAGTGTTTTATATCTTATCTGTAGCATTGTTTGAAATATTTCAGAGGCATTGTGATGACACATTGCCAGCATTGTATGTTTATCATATTTGATGACCAAATACGCTGTTTTAAAATGTTGATAGGCTTGAAATCAGAGAAAGAATAAACACATTTAAGGGACTGCAAGGAAACCGTGAATTCCAAAAATCAAACACGGAGAATCTGACTATAGCTCAAGCCACAGTTGCTATAGCCTGGATCCACTCCTGCACTGTTAGATTACAAGTTTGGATATAACTGCTTATGAGAAAGGAAGCTTCATGATTAGATTTGACTGGAATTTTTCAACAGAATCCCTCCTCTTTAAACAGCCTAATTTTCTTAACTCAACAATATTTGTATTTGCTTTTTTAAATGGCAAAGATTACAAATAATGAATCCTATTTTAACTGATTTTTTATTTAACCAGTCAGAAATGGTCTCCAGGGTAGCCCTATTAAATAAGTTATTGCGATAAAATAGCTGTGGATAATAAGAAATAAAATCCAACATAAAAACGATGTAAGGTGAAAAAGTATTATCTGATAAATGTTATACACTTTTCTGCATGTGCAAAACAGGCTTGACACCTACATAGTGACTGAAAACTATGTAGGGCTTTAAGGGGACTTGAGCGAGACCTCAAAATTTGTTTGATTGATTGAAATATGGGATTTCAAGCACATTATAATTTTGTTTTAGTCTGTCTTCTTGTGAAAGAATTTAAGGGCCCACTTTCCCTCTCGTCCAAGTGAAAACCTGAAATTCCGGCACATTTGAAGCTTAACAAATAAAAAGGGTTACAGATTTTACCAGAAACAACAAACCGGTAATCGTGTGAATATCTGCTCATGAAATGAAATATACTGATCCAATTTAAAGTTTCCAAACAGTCTAAAGTTTCAAAATATCCAAATGAAGTTTCTGAGTGAAATTCCTTTCCAGAAATTGAACTGCTTCTTCATTTATTGAGCTCAGGAAAGGAACAAAATTGCACTCAACAACTACCAACATGTTTTTCTGCCAAAGAAGATATTCACGAAATAATTCCAAAAGCTACGCCAGTGTCACAAAATCAGTCCATTTTCTGCTAACCTTTTATCGAACATTATGCACTCTCACTCCTGGCTTTAATCTCAGGTTCTATATGTTTCCAAAGTTTGCCTTGATTTTTCCATTCCCATAGACTATCCATACCTTGGTCATAAATTCTTTCAAAAATTAGGGCACTTACTACCACTGTAAGAGCAAACGTGGATGTTCTCCTGAACAGAGTATCATACACTTTCCTTCCGAACGCCATTTTGAAGAGAGAAGAGAGCTAGCTAACTAGTTTCCAGGCTCCATATTTGGTCAGCTACTTCTAACGGGGGTATGTATGCCTAAGTGCTGTGGGAATTTATTAAAACCAAAATAGACGTATCAAAATATCATTATTCTTTAGGTTTCAAATAATCGTAGTAAGTAACGGTTTGTTTTGTAATCTTATCTTTGTATAAGACAAAAATATGCGAGCTGAGGGTGAACAATATTCTTAAAATGTCTTAAAAATTGGACGATTCTGAGCCTGAATATTCTTATAAACAATATTCTTACAGAAACGAGTGTGCGTATGTAACATACCTTATTACGCGAAATACAGGCAGTGGCGGACTGGCAGGGATGCTAGGTTGCGATCGCAACCCGGGCCTTCTCAACTTCATAATAACCAGGCCCTTCGTAGATAAATTCGAGAAAATCACTCTGTTAATTTCAAAGATATCTATGTTCAAGAGAATATAAGTCACAGAAATGAAGATAAAATCCTTAGAAAGAAAACAATTCAGTATTGCTTACCAGGGGCGTTGTGGCTAGGCGGGACACGGGGAAATTTCTCGGTGGCCCCCTTTCGAGTGAGTTTGTAAAACCCAGGAAAATATCTAATATGAACAAAATCTTTGGTGAGAAAACGCCTCACCTACATTTATACTCAAGTTCACAGTTCAGAATTAGAGGAGGTCACCATTTACAAACAGGCAACTGTGAAAGGGATGCGTGGAATTAAAACTGGGATCTTTTTAATATTCCATAGGTGCATGGTTTCCAGGTACATATCATTTTTGGCGACTTGGGTTTGTGATTTGAGATATCATACACAAGAGTGGGCCCCCTTATGATAATTTTCTCCCAGCCCTTTCCTAGGAGCCACAACGCCCCTGTTGCTTACATTATACGTAGAACGGGCCCCTTTTCTGTATATTTTCTGTATCGCAGGGCCGTAAATCCCGGGGGGACGGGGGGGACTGGACCCCCCCCCCCAAAAATCTGGAGCAAAACGATTTTTTTAGAAATTATCGTCATTTACTTTTAAAGAAAGGAATCCCCGGCAGCTGGGTTAGAACCTAACAAAGTTTCGCTGAGTTATTGCAACATACCTCAGCCACTATGTCATGTTGACTATTGCCAAGTGCAAATCGACTATTGTAGATGGCTGTTTGTAGAGTGGTGTCGAGTCGGTGACGATGCCCATGGAGGGGAAATTAGCCCCAAATATTTTATCCACCGGTCTCCCCTTGAATAAGTCTCAAAAAGCATGTAAGAAAAGAATCGTTTAAGTCGCCATAAATCTCGACAAACTCATATTACACATATTTTTATACACGCCTTTTTATAAAAATCCTTACTCAAAACCTAGGTCCTGTCGTTCCTAATTTCTGAACCTCTATTAGTCAGATTGAGGTACCAAGACATCCATAATAGCTCCTTAATTTTGACTGCACAGGAACAAGGAACAAGGCCAGAAGACAAAGAGGACAAGAAGTAAAATTAATTTGCGTAATTTACGCTAATTTTTTATCTGCGTAAAAGTATCACGGCAACAAATAAGTACTTTTGCATTTAATATAGAGAGAAGTAATGACTAAACTCTTTATTGTTAGAATGCAATAAATTTTGCCCATCCTTGATTTTTTTAAAAAAATTTTCATTTGGAGCCCGAATATGTTCTTAGATACATCCTAATTGTTTTCGAATCCGATATGGTTTCAAGAAAAAAAACGCTTGCTATCGAATAGAAAACACCTTTTCTTTCTTTTCTCCAATGTCTGTCACTAGAGTTTAAGCATTTCCCCAATATCCGTCACTAGACTCTTCCCCTTCCCAATTTCTCCCAGAAACAATAGTCTCTGTTCTTCTGAGAAACGTCGATTTGCCTATCCTGAACGGTATAGTATTCTGTTAAACTTGGTCAGGGAGATGCTTTTATAGCTATTTAGAAGGTATGATTTCAAAAATTTCCTTTCACGACCCAACCATGGTGGGTCCTCCTACATCACTGAACGTGATTCTCAGCCCCCTAGGTTTAATTTATTCAAGCTGTCTCTGAAAAATGTTATCAACTCAAATACAAAAAGTCAACGTGCTAAGAAATATCTGTAAATACCCTCTTTAGGGCTGAAAAACCTTAGTAAATCTACAATCATTTTTGTTTTTTAAATCGTTTGCCACTCAAACTGTTTCCTTAACACACACTATAAATTGCTTGGTGGTGCCATGACCCACTGCACACTTTATATTCATTCGCTCTGCTGACCCCCCCCAATTGACATGACAGATTTACGGCCCTGCTGTATCGGGCTACTTTTGTAGTAAAGTCATGCCAAATCTTAGGCTAAAAAAATTTCTTAACTAATATTGTAACTGAAAAGCAATTTCTTTTTTGATCCAACCCCGTTTTTAGTTCAATAGTTGTTACGGAGCAGCAGGTCCCCCGGTTTCATCACCTTGCTGTCACGCTCGTGAAAACGAGGCTATGACAACAACTCCAAGAAAATTCTAGATTGATCTGGAAACGAAAATGCGACTTCAGTATGAATCAGCAAACCCATGAGGACTTTATATAAAGGTAAGCACTGTATATCATTTTTTTATCACTCTGTAAAACAAGAAGCTGACAGAAAACGAACTGCGTTTTGTGGCAAGACTATTTGAGTAGCTTGACGATGGCAAATTTCCAAGATATAGACTTGATGGCAGTTGGAAGACATTGCTCTAGAAAAGATTGCAATAGGCTAGATTACTTGCCAATAAAATGTGACCATTGTAATTTATTATTCTGGTAAGACCTTTTTTCAATCAAATTTTTCGTATAAATTTTGTTTGAGAGAGAAAAAATCAAGATTGCAACAAGATGCATATTTCGGCCTCATTTTAAAACCTTCCCAATAGCGCCTTTCCAGTCAGTTCACATTGATTTATGGAAGTAATTCATATTCATTGATATTACCTTTTGTTAGGGAAAAACAAAAATTTGTGAACATAGTTCCAAGCCTATGTACACACTGTTTATCTTATTTTGTATGTCTTAAAATGATCTTAGAGAGTATTGATTTTAATTCCTCTTTTCAAAGTGCTCAACACCATGATGCCAAGGAACACCACTGCCAGTCTTTTGTGAACCTTGATGTGAGTTCAGGTTATTTCTAGACTTGTTGATATTATGGAGTAACAATGTGCAACTTGTATGTTTTTGCATAGCTTAATGATAATAAAGCTTTCCTTGTATTTAAAAATATAATTTATGATAAGTCATAAAGCAGAAGAGAAGGAACTGTTAGCAATACTCATGCTAAACAGCCTGTCACCAAATTTGAAAAATTTTGTAGAACTACTTGTTGAAAAAGGCTTTAATTTGACTCCTTTTGTTTTATATTTGAAACTTCTGATATCGGAAAATCTCTGTTGATATTCATTTATTGGAAATCATACCCATAAAACAAGATGGAATTGGCTCACAAATTATAAAGCCACCCTTGAGGTTTTATAGCTTAATGAGCAAAAATGGATGCATGAAAAAATAATTTAGTTGTTATAAAAGCCGCTGGTCATTTTCATTTTTGCACAGGTGTGACTGATAACACCAAAGGTTATATGATAAAATGCCAAATACAGGCATATACATATACAGGTTGGCCATTATCAACCTTTATGCAAATGCATTAAGCTACTATGCCAATAATATTATAAAATTAATACCAAAGTATCTCCAGGTAAGTAACATGGATTCCACTGTGGCCTTCCCAGTGATTTAAATTTTATCTTCAAGAAAGCTTATTCTTCTATTTCTTTTCAGAGAGTCATACCAGCTTGTCCTCTTTGTGGTCAGTTGGTTGCACTTGTTTCAAATGTATCCAAAAATGACCAGGTGAGCATTACTACTTTAAATTTAAAATTATAAATTTCATTAGGAAGTTTGATTTTAAGATTTTATGTCCTTAGTATTTATTGACTATAACTGTTTTGAGAAAGAAATAGTTTGAGTACTATTGTTTTTAACTGTAGGTTGAGAAACACATCAGGAGTGGGTGTAAAGCATTGATAGCAGAAAAGAGAAGGAAAAATGTGTGTTCACAAATGAACTGCAAACGACATAGTCTTATTCCTTTCAACTGCCATATTTGTCAAAAAACTTTCTGTGTCAGGTAAGCATAACAGGCCTGGAAATTGTCAGCATTTAGGGAAACAAAGTATTGTTTTCTGGATCATCTGGTTGCAGGAATGAAGTAACACTATTTCATAGTGAAGGCTACAAAAGCATCTAAAGCATTTAAAAACTAATGTTGCTTTAGAAAATTAAATTTTTCTTTCCTCTATTCAGGCCTTATTGTCTTTTGTAAAGTCCATAGTGAACATGTAGAATTGGGAATTTTTCTTTTTAGAAGAGTTATAAAAAGTTGACCCTGATGAAAATTTTAGGTTTATTCAAAGAGCCTTTACTAAACCAGCAAACATTAGCTTTGCAAAAGAAGAAAAGCAATGCATTGCTCATGTCGTTATTCTTGAAAACTCTTTGAAAACTCTACTTTTGATGTTTAGAAAGTATAAATCAAGTATAATAAAAAAGTTATGAAGAAAACTTTAAAGTCTGAATTCTTTAACCCTATTCTACTTTTTGATTTCATTACTTGTTTCCTTTTTTAGGCACCGTCACTCTGGTGATCACACATGTATTCCTTTGCCTCCAACAACAATTGCAGTTTACTGATTAAATGCGTATTTCGTTATCCAAAGGCTACATGGTATATTTATGGTGTACAAAGATGCTATGGTGTATAAGTATGCTTTTTGATTGGCAATTGTTTCCCTAGATGCTGTCCTTATTCTGTAGTATGCCTTCAAAGGAGACATCATGTACACCTAGCTTTAAAAAACTTGTGAAGAAATTCATTTATTTAAAGAGGGATAAAAGGAAATATGGAAAGGTCTATCTTTAAAAGTATTTTCTGGAGTTGAAAACATTTAGTAGAAATTATTAATGATTTCAAAGTCATGTATATTTTTAGTGTATAACTAATCTTAGGAAAATTGTTGTTATCTGTAACATAAGATGTTGGTGATTCATTAGTTGTTTGCAAATTTAAATGTTGAATGTTGTCTGAGAATACGTGTCAGTCTCTCCACAATTTGGCTTGAAATATACCCAGAAATCTTTAAGCCAGGAATCATACAAAATCAAATACGCTCTGCCAGTATTAAGGATGCCAACGCAATCTGATCTGTAATCACAAGTTACAGGCTTAACTCCTTCAACATTTTTTTAGCCTTCTAGAAGCATTCAAAAAAGCTGCCTTCACTTTCTTATTGATATATATTAGAATTTTGCAGTGTTCCACAGGATAGTCTTTTAGGTCCCTTACTCTGTTACAACACATAGATGATATCATTCAATATTCCTACTCACTATTTGATTTTCATTTATTTGCAGATGATACTAGCTTACGTTATTGAAAAAGTTTGTGAATGATCTTATAATGTAAATAGAGAATTATCTAATGCATCCTGTGGCCAATAAGCTTTCTTTAAACATGGCCAAGTCAAATGTCCTTATCATTTGCCCTGTACAAACAGGGCCCACGCCACCTGGGGGCCGCAGGGGCCATAGCCCCTCACTTTTTTGCAAAGTAAGTAGTTTTAAAGCTGCAGTAGAAAGGGACGGCCCCCACTTTTGCTAGCCTTGGCCCCCCACTTTCAAATTCGTGGCGTAGGCCCTGATAAAAGAATTAACCCTTAATGTCTTCCCCCTAGATGTTGACAAAACATGGCATCACTGCAAAACATGGCAACACCACAAATTCAAGTGCTGGAAATTTTTTTATCAAGTCTTATATTTCTACTCTTGACAAGAGCAGCTGCAAAAACGGGAATTTGAGAAACACTAAAACATAAGTCTTGACTAAGAAAAACTTCTTTTGACTAAGGACACTGTTTTTCAATCACTGTACGTCAGCACACTGGTCTCCGGTGAGATATTATCTGCTGTGCCGTGGAGAAATCTCCAATTTAATGTAATTGGTCTAAAAAAGAGACCAAGTTTAACACTGAGTGAGTAAGAATATTTTGTTTTATTCTAAATTACTTTTCTTTTGTGATTACACTGAGATATTCAAGTTATTCAAGACAGTTCGATGAGATCGAATTTAAGGTTACGGTAAACGTTTCTGACACAAGATTTGGTTTTCTCTCCCTAAAAGCAAAACTATTAATGGAATCAGATTAAACTATATATCATTCGATGCACAAGAACGTGGTGCTTCCAACAATATCAAATAAATGGCAAATATTGTAAAATGATACTTCCAGGCAAATTAATTGCTTAAGTGAGTGTACTACCTTCGAAAGCTATTTTGTAACTTGCGTTTGCGGTATCAAAATCTGACTTATATCAGCAGAAAGCGTAGATCCTTAGCTACCAAAGTGTGTCGCAGATTTTCCAAATTCCTCCACCCCTTGAAAATATTCCCTGTCAAAAATTAGCAAACAATTTTTCTTCCCTCGCATAGCTGTATTTGTTGTGAAAGAAGGACCAGAGCAAATACAATTATCTTCGAAATCCTGTTGTCTGTAAACAAAAATTTTGAGATACCCTTTGCTTACCCGACATCTCTCCTGGCTAGACAGGGAATTTTGCATAACATTCTAGTAAACTGGGTAACCGAAGTTTTTAAAGTTTAAATCATAAGAGTAAAGGCCGCTGATCATTTTAAGCCCTGGGAAC